CGTTATTGTATACACACTTTTCTACATCATAACGGCGCAACATCATCTTTCCCCAATGGCACGGTACTCGATACGCGGGTCATCACTAACTCTTGTTATATGTAGACACACGGCCCCATTAGACGTATTGTCACCATTGGAGACAAAGTCCGAAAGCCGCACCGTCACTCGGGGAGTTATACGGCTACAAAAAAATTCCACAAGCTGGTGAAAGCGCCCTATTATCGCCTTTTCAGTATCATGCTCATCAAGCGGCACTTTGCGAGCAAGAATAACGAAACAGTTGAGTTCGTCCGGCACGGATTTCAAGCCAGAGCAAATGGTCATGCCCTCGGCCCTTGCTGTCGGTAGCAATATGAGAAGTAGATGGCGCATCCTTTTGCGGTTTTCGGCCGTGATTCACTGAGTTATAAGGTGCGCTTCTGCGGCCTGATGCTCAAATTGTAGAGCATAGTGGAAAGTGATGTCGAGGGTCAGGCAGTACCAGTTTTCGCCATAGAGGATGTCGAGACATTCCTCGCTTACTTGTTTACAGAGGAGAAGGATACTGTTCTTGCGGTTTGGAATTCGTGGGTCTGAAGAGGCCTCTCGGTAGGCAAATCGAGGTTTGCCATTAGCAGTGGGTGGTAGCATGATATGGTGCTTTCGAGGAAGACAGCAGTAGTAGATTTCCCGGCGTAGTTCGAAGGGAAGATCTAGCAGGCGGAAGTGAGTGTTCTGCTCTGATTTATCCATGATTAAATTTAATGGGGTCTCCATCATCTAAGTAGATAAAGTTGGATTTGATTGAACATCCCCGTGAAAAGGTTACAGATGCCGTGAAAACTACCTTTGTTTGGTAAGATAAATAGCAATGTTTATCGGACCGCGAGGAAAGACTCAAGAGCGTTTTGGTAGGTTCATCCCAGGAATCAACCAACTACCTACATTAACTATCTAAGTTAGCCGCGATGTGGGTCGAGAATAGTTAAAAAAGTGGATATAGCGGATGATAGCAACTTTTGCTATTAAAATTATTTTGACGGAAGGTTACTTCTTCAGGAGCTCGATTTAAATTTAGAACAAAAGAAATAAAACATTTGTATAATAATACTAGTTTAATATCCAATCTTTAACAGCTTTTGATTTTGATTCTGTATCCCTTTCTAATGATTCACCTGATAATAATGATTCATTATCTGATTCATCAAGGACCACCCATTCATGTCTACTTATTTCCCGTTCGCGTTTAGGGAATTCATTATTTCGAAGCCAGACAAAAATATTCCGTGTAGCATTTTCTGATGCTGATTCATTGCTCAGATCTAGTCCTTCATATCTGATCGGGGTTATATGTCTCGTTGCGGGCTTTGGTGGTATATAGGTGGACATGGAGGCTGTAATAGATAATGGATGTACCAGTGTATTATTTTGACAAGCCCAATACCAATCTATATATTGAAGACCGTGACCAGTACACTGTGCATGTAGACGGACCTCAATTTCAGCGTCTTCAAGTAATGTAGTACCAAAGGGCATCCATTGAGTCACTGGCCATCCACAGTGCCCTTCTTCTTGGACTAGGTAGAGTAGTCGACACTCATCTGATCTGGAAAGTGTGCCATAAATGGTTGTTGGTTCCGATACAGGCTCCTGTATAAAAGATTGTGCGACGCCACACCATGACGCAGCATGGGGTTCAATCGATGAAATACCGTGTCGACCGTCCCGGAGGATATCCTTTTGAGCACCCATAATTATACCGCCAAGCCACAGGAAAGAAACTTGCGGGACTCGGTTCATCAAGATATAAGAAAGTATGTGGTTTTCTTCCACAGAGTCAAGGACGACGAATATAGACTGCAGCCATGGGCTTACCGCGTTGCAAGGTATTCCAGGTTGATAAAATACGCTCGACAGAAGAGAGAGCAGTCCCCGTGTGTTGCAACTCAACGTCAGCAGTTTGTCTAGCTCCGGCAGTATCTGATCCGATATAAAGTCAAATTGCATCTGCTCTGTTGTCTCTAGCATGAGCACTCGAAGCCGTTGGTCCTTATGATAATCGGGTTTCGGGAGTGATATCGGGTTCTTCTTCCTATTCAGCAAAGGGAGAAACAAAGTTGAAGCAAGCGCCGCCAGGGTTTGGGCGACAATGTTGTGTCGATTGCAATATTCAGAGAGAAAATGAACTGCAGTAGTAAACGAAGGTACAGTAGTTGGTGTATAACAGAGAGGTGCCCTGCAGGATAGCGCAAATGTCGCCCTTGTTTCTAAAGCAGTCGACCATGGCGATAGGAATTTTTCTTGCTCCCTTGTAAGGCCCGCCTGCCATCCCTCACCAGGCGACAAAACAGCGGCCCACCATCTGGCTGCATCATCGCTAACGTCTCCTACATCCACCATGACTTCGATTCGTTCATCTCCCCTGCTGTTGCCATATTCCGCCTGCTTTTCAGTGTATGTTAACTCGGCTCCTGGCATAAGCTCAACCCAGCGCGCCGAAAATATATAGCTCCATGCCAATATTAGCACAGAAAGGTGATTATCTTCACGATTAAACCATTTTTGATAAATTGGCTCCACATTTTCAGAGAGTGCAAGTCGTGTTGGATGTTCGATAGCAACTGGGAGCCTAAGACTTTTTTCCACGCGAGGTGTCTTGCATTGGCCCCTGGAAGTTTCCCAGATTGACGTTCCACTCGTGCAGAGACAATTATATTCATACTTCAGGTCCAGGTTATGGACCAAGGGGGGTATATTTCGAACTGCGGCCTGCACTTGGAAACAAATTGTGGGCAGGCTATGTTCCTGTCAGGCGCGATCGTGAAGCATTGCCCAGGTACGAAAGCCTTGATCGTACACGGTTCGACTGATTTCGGGACTCGGACGTACAGCATCTTTAGGCTCCATGGTGGATGATATCGCAGATACGTTGAGGAGTTGAAGCGTTTGGCGTGTTTGATATGAGGGAGGAGTACTCTGAATATAAAACAAATACGTTTCTTTCAAGCGTGGTGAAGTTATTTAAGTTCATTTAAGTTTAAGTTAACCATGGGTTTCACCAATCACCGTTTAGTTATATTTATGCGCTTCCAGACTAAAAATAGTATAAGGAACAAGAACGCTAACCTCGAAAATATGTAGATGATTAAGTATTTAAAAGTAAAAATTCAGAAACCCTCTTTATCTGCTACTATATAAAGTGTTATGCCCTTAGCTACATATGTCCCTGGAGCTAGTACCCTTCCTCAATACCGGGATACTCTATTATTTGTACACGCGGCGCATATCGGTAACATCGTGACCGCAATTATAAGGATTATTTGGGCGCCACTTGCACAACTCAGAGGCTTAAAGAGAGAGATTTAGGGGGAGAGAGAGAGATCTCAAGAAAAAGGCTTAGATAGAGCCCTAGAGAGAGGTCTAGGGAGGGGCCCAGGGAGAAGCTTAGGAAGAGGTAGGGAGAGGCTTAGGGTATAGAGTAGAAGAAGAGAGAAAGTAAGTATTCTTAAGGGAAGAAGTACTTAAGTAAGGTGTGTAAAGTATTACCTATATAAAAAGGTGCTATTTTAAAAACACCTTTTTCATTATTGGGCTACGTGGTATCATCCTTAACTACAAGCTAAAAACAAACTCTGATGGCATGGTCGCTATCATCCGCCATAGTGGATTCCGCGCGTTAATGAGCTATAAATAAAATTATCATTATAGGATCCATAAGAGTATATCCACGAAATGCATTGCGCAGCCATATACGATGGTTTCAGTGATTTGTGATGCGCCATAGTGAGGGGGGGAGATGGATGTCAAATCATACGTGTTAGGTGTTGCGAGTAGGAGAGGGTATAGTTGTGCCCTAAAATATGTAACTAGTCCGAGAAACGCAAAGGAGAAGAAAGAACAACAACGTTCAAAGGAATTAAAATCATTCATCGTTAAAATCGTTAGAGTAGAATCATTCATTATTAAAATGTAGGGTAGGTAGCCCAGCCGCTTAGTAAAGGATGTTATGCGTGTATGGCAAAGCGTCCCCTCTGGAAGATAAAGTCGCCATGGATATCATCCCTGACCATCCGGGGCCTATACGGGAGATATTGCCTGACAAGCTCTGTAGTGACGTCTTTTCCGTTCTCGTCCACCTCAACGACGGTATAGGAGGTCAAGTATTTTGCGAAGCACTCCATTAAAGGACCGAACCACTTGATCCAGCTTTTGACCTTTTCATCGAAGGCTGGGTCAAAGGGTGAATGTGGGGATTGCACAGGTTGCTCGGCAATGATTTTCAACTGTCTTAGGCCAGGAAGTAGGGAAGACCACAGTCCATCTGCAGGTACCGGTGGTGGTAGTCCGTATGCGGGGCCCATATGTCGCACAATAACCACCACATCTCTGATTCTAGCTCTGTTCTCTGTTGTGATGCGATTGGCAAGGAGGCAACGTTTCGCGGCGTTGAGGGTGATATAGAACCGGTTCCTGCCGTAGAGTATATTCAGGCATTCCTCGCTAACTTGCTTTGAGACGCAGAGCAGGGCAGTCTTGTTCTTGATGTTTGATTTCTTTACTACTGGCTGCGGAAAGCTAGCTCGGGCTCTGAAATAGCGTATTTCCTCAAAATGGGTACGGTAAGGGATACAGTATGAATAGATCTCATCACGGATTTCAAAGGGGAGATCTAGGAAACGAAAAGAGGCGTTCGTTTGCTTTGGCGGGTTGGGAGTCTCCATTATCACCACTAGTTATCGACTATATTTCTGAGGTATACTGGATTGAGAGATGGCACGATGGAGTTGCGGTGTAGAAGGTAGAGGGGTGAGATGTATATATACATTCAAGCCCCCTGTCCTCGTTCCAGTTAGGAATGAAATATCGCCAGCTCATAGGGCTCTTTCATCGTGCAGCAAGGCCGCTATCAATGCACGATATTGTCTTGATTTGCTTGCAGATCGTATCGTGGCCATCTAGCAACCTGGGTGGGGATATTGATGGGAGGGGGCACGGATCAGGCATGCATCAAATGTGGTACTGCAGTTGACCTGACCCTACCTCTCGGACCAACGATTCAGGTATAACGGTTCAACTTGATGCTTGAGCCCTCGAGACCAGAACAGTTCCCAGTCAGCTGTTCTCATCGTCCTCAGGCTTGCTCCCTAACTCGTATAGTCAACCAGCCAATAGAGGTTCCGGTTGTTAATCCAACTGCAGAGACTCAATAGCTGGTTTATGTAGTATGTGCGTGCGTACTTTGGGTAGACATCGTCCATTTCTCTTATCTCTCTGGCCTCCTTATGTATCTGCAACCCCCCCGGCACCCCAGCAGACGAAAATAGGCATCGGCCTAGCGGCAGCTTCACGAGCCAGTAACCAGACGAGGGCACGCGACGCCCGACGCAAAAAAGATGGCCGTGAAACCTGTTTCGAATGGGAGATCGAGGAGCGAGTGAAACCTTGTAGCGCGGGGGAGGTTCTTCTGGTGCTGCTTCTCGCTGTCCCGCAGCTACTATTCGTCAGATGCAGCTTGTCTCCCGCTTCATCTGGGCAGAAGTGGTGGGGAGTAGCCGACCTGGCTGTGGTCTTGTGCCCTAGTGGTCTCCGAGGTCTGTTTCTCGTTGGTTAGATATTCGGTCCAGAAGCACGTAGAATGGGAGGTATCAGTTCGTCTCTAGTATAAGTGCTGTGTTGCTTGGGGCATGACCCGGGCTACATCAGCCAGCCCACGGGCGTCTGGATGGCTATAGCCACCACCAAAATCGTCGACTATCGACTATCAAGCTGCTCCGTGGCTATAGTTGCCTGTTTCTCAAGCCGGCCAGCCATATTCGCGAGGAAAAGTTGTCTGCCTTGCCCTATCTTTCGGACAAACATCAGCTCTGCGACGGGTTCGCTGGCCTCTCTCCAATAGCGCAGCGATAAAAAGATGAGGCGAGATTAAAATGCCGCGGAAAGTAACAGGACAGACCAGGATCAAGCCGTTCTTGAGATAAGGGACGCTTCCACCACTGGCCGTTGCCTGCCTGTCCTGGTCGATGGCTATATGGAGGTGCAAGGGTAGGGCAGCTACTGCAGGAGGCACAGCAAGTAGCAGGCTATCAGCCCGTCATTCTGGTAGGATGATATCTATGCATGAACTGTGTTAGCTATTATTACTGCACTCTCTGTGATATATGATGAGTAATGACAGCAGCAGTAGTAGTAAATAGTGGATATAGGGATGGGTATTTAGGCAGCTTTATGGAAGCATTTCGTTTGTCGTTGGATTCGGTGAGAGCAGTAGCCGAGTTGGTGTGAACGGTCTACATATATAGCTGCCAAAGTCAAGGAAGAAGATCTACTACGGCATCACTCTAGTTGATGATATACCGATGACCAAGTAGTAATAGCTATTAGCTGGTTATTACCTTTGAACTACTGTTTATCAATTTGTAACAAACGGTCAGTCCTATTTTAATTCCGGGCATGCCTTGTTTAGATAGCATCATAACCTTCTGTATCATTGATCCGCGCACTACTCCGTACTTGCCTCAGGAGCTACATCTCCGCTGCCTATCTCCGCTGCCTTGATATGATTGTCAATATATTAGAATCACAACTACTATTACACCTATGCAATACTACATCCTGCCTGCCTGCACGCACAATTGTGTAACCTAGTTAACCGTACCAAACAAACATATAGCCGATCTATGGATGAAGGAGCAAACCATGTCACTGTCTAGTTCTACAGGAGAAAAATCGAGAAAGATCTTAAATAGAGCAAACTTTCATTTCCATTTCATTTTTACAAGGGTAATTAAGACGTCGTGTCGTGGTAGTGAGAAAGCAAGATCAGGCACTGACAAAGGAAAGGTGTTCACTACTACTAAAGTTTCAAGTTATCGACAAAGGAAAATAGAGACATTTGATTCCGAGACGTAAAGAGGAAACAATCTTGTTACAGTTAATGTCCAGGCACTATATCCGGTAACCAAACTAGACATAGATCAAAAGAAACGGCATTTTGATTGGTTGTATCTCTAGAAGCGTGTTAGTAACAGTAACGGGAAGGAGAGCAGATAAGGTTAAGGTTGGTGCCGACGTACCTTTTTTGGGTTGGTTGGCTGGTGGGTTTGGTTGTCTAAAGTCTGGAACCGTGGATGACCTTGTAGTCGACGACGAGCTCGCGGCCACCGTCGTTGATGACGAGGGCACGGACGGAGCCACGGCCCTCAGCAAAGGCATCGGAGATGCGGTTGAAGAGGTTGCCCTGGTCGACGACACGGAGGCCCTGCTTGACATCACCAGTCTCGGTCATGGCAACGAGGCGGTTGTCGTCACGCATGTCGAGGACGCGGTAGGTCTTGTAGACGGGGCCGAGCATGCTCTGGACGACGACGGATGGGGATGGGTTGGAGATGAAGCTGGACTCCTCATGGAGCTGGCGGGTGAAGAGGTCGACACCGAGGTAACGGTGCTGGCCGGTCTGCTGGGAAACGGAGACACGGATGACCTGGCAAGGACGGCCCTGGAGGATCAAAAGGTCGCCGATGCGGATGAAGTGGCAGGGGATGGTGATGGTGTCTGGGGGGTGTCCACCGCGGGGCTGGACAACGCGGACGTTCTCGTTACGGGGGGCACCTTCAACCACGCGGCGCTCGTCAGAAATGATTCCATCTTCGTGGGTGTGGCTGTGGCTGTGGTGGCGGTGGTGGAATGGGTGTAGCACGCGCTCGGCAGCGCGCTCGACTCCGCGGCGGAAGGAGTGGTACTGACCTTCGTCGTCGTAGTAACCCATTTTGGCTTTGGGGTCTTGTTCCTGAACTACGCGGTGATCGGAGATGAGGTTGAGGGTATCTGACTTCTTGGTCTGCTCCTGATAGTCGATGTCACGGACTTCGACTGGTGGGCGGGCTGAATCGACGGTCTCGTAGGCGCGGGTGTAGGCGACGTCGACTTCACGAACTTTGTCGGTTGGCTTCTCGACGGAGCTGTAGGTACGGCTGTTGCTGCTGTACCCGAAATCTACGTCTCGGACTTGGTGGGGTTCAGGCTCGTACTGGGCTTGGTAGCGAGGATCAGTACGGGAACGGTATTGGCGCTCAGTGATGTCAAGCTGGGTATCAAGTTCAGACTCTCGACGGTCTCTGGTCTCGACGTATCTACCGTAATTGGTTAGACGTGGGGAAACGAGACAAAGCAAAGAAAACAAGACTCACCTTTCGCGGGAAAGCTGGACTTCAGGGACGTGCTGTTGGTACTGGTGGTGCTGATGCTGATGCTGGTGTTGCTGGTGGTGGTGGCTGGGGTGTTCCTCGTGAGCTACGACGGTGGTCTGTCTGTAGTCTGCGGTGACTGGACGGAACTCCTCGTTGTCAAAACGCTGGTCAAACGACGCAGTGGCTTGCTGGGTGGTCGAGGTTCTGGGTGCTGGGAGGGGGCCTTCGTATCGAGTATCTTCCCGTCCGACGCGCGAAGCACCTGAAAACTTGACCTCGCCCTCTACTCTCTCCTGAGTCGACTCAGAGACAGCGGCAGCAGCGTCACTCCGGTACGACGACGGGAAGACACTGAAGGGGATGGGGACGCGGGCGTCAAAGTCCAGATTGGCTGCTTGAGGGGCGTCCTTTCTCGAATGCCTTTCGAACTGGGTGACAATTCGAAAGGCTAGACAAGAAAAGACGGGAGTCTCTCAAGTCCTACAGCTACAACGGGGAGGAAAGGGGGCAGAGGGTGCTGAGAACGAAGATAGACGGGCGTCTGTCCTGTTCTGGGAGATGCAAGAAGGTCAATTGAGATGGAACTTGATGGGTGAAGTCGAGGTTGGTGATGGAAGAAGGAGAAGAAGAAGAAGAAGAGAAAGAGGAAGAAAGTCGGAGGCTGGGAAGTTTTCGACTCTTATTTGACCCTGCGGCAGAAAAGGAGGACCAAAGGCGGCCTGTATCTGTACGGTAAGAAAACAAGGCTTTTGTTTGTTTATTTTACGGATGTCACGCCCATAAGCGGCTAGCGTGGTTTTCTTTCACATGCCCTGGTACGGTATTTACAGTACGCGGTTACTTTACATCACCTTTCACTCGGTCACTTTGGTGCCTGAAGTGATAGTAAGACAAAACAGACTGAGAGTGGAAGACACTGAGTGAGAGAGATGGACAGAAGTGAGGAGAGACGGGGTGATGAAGTGATGATAAAGTGAAGACAGGAGGCGAGGGAAGAGCACGACGTCGTGGACCTTGGTGGTTGGTTGCCACCACTGCCAGCTCATGCAAGCTCTCGGACAGGCCCAGCCTCCCCCAGCTCTCTCTGGCTTGCTCCAGCTCCAGCTCCAGCTTCAGCTCCCGAGCTGCGGCCTCGACCCGTCGCCGATTGACCTGCGACTTAACCTCCATGCAACACGCAACATGTACTCCGTAGAAAGTATCTTATTTTCCAGCCCCCAGAAGACGGCAACTCGGCCAGCCTATCACCCACATGTCAGAAGCCATCTCCTGTCTAGGTCCCTTGTCTAGGTCCCTTGGGTACGATCCTTCTGCTTGCTTTCCTAGCCTGCCTCATGTTTTGGTACAGAGTATAGATTACGGCGTTACGGCGTCAGTACAGCGTTACGCGCGGCGCCTGCAAGTCGCAAGTCAGCTGGTGACTAAGCAAACGGGATGGACCTCGGCTTTTTTGCGTCGCTCTGTTTGGCCAGCTGCGGTTGCCCGGGCAACGGGCGCCAGCCACCTGCTTTGTTTGCGTTTGTTGTTTTACCGCCAGCTCGCTTTCTCGCTTCTTCTTTCACGGTTCCATGCCGGTTGCCAGTGTTACCATGGCAGCGAGATGGCCCTGTCTCTCTTAGTAGCGGTCTTAGAGAGATGATGTCTGCCGCTGCCGCCGCCGCTCCCTCCATGCTGGGCCCCATCGGATCACTACCCAGAGACCTGGGGACACCCCCACAGTCAACAGACACCACACCGTAAAGCACCAGCCAATTCCGATCCGCTCAATTAGCGGGTTGAACGATGCCGTTGCTCCAGCGCCCACCAGACAGCGGATCAGGTTGCTTGCTGCTGTCACCGCTGACGGGTTGAACGGGTACAGGTCCACCAGCAGCGTGCTCAGCGCCGTAAAGGAGCTACCGATGCAGAAGCCCGTCACGAACTGCAGTATCAGTGGTCCAGCAAGCATCGCCTTCTGCTCAAGAGCCCAACCGTACCCGACCATCGCGGCCATGCCAGCGTATAGGAACGGGAGCATCAGTGAGATCCGGGCCCGTTCGATGGGGAACTGCTTCAGGCTTTGGGCACGTTTGCGGTCCACTGGCAGGCCAAGGCTGGTAGCGATGCGCTGGAACTTCCAGTCGAGGAGGTGGCCAATGCTGAAGCTTGATGCTATTCCCCCAGCGGCGCTCGGCCTTTTAATTTATAAGAGAAAGAAAAAAAATACGTTAGCAAACCAATTTTTCCTTTCCCACAAAGGAACACAACAACGACCTTTATACTTAATTTGACATACAGGAAGCAGAGTCCGACTTGGAACTCGTTGAAGCCATATATCTCCTTGAAGATGGATGGGACTGAACCCAGCATGATATAAAATGTCCCATACAGCACTGCGGTGACTCCCAAAAGCAGTCCGATATCCTTTTCCAGAGCTAATTTTGCGCACTGCAGCGGGTTAGGAAAGTTCGAATTCCTCCTCTTGATCCCTTGGGCTGCGAGAGATGCTTCCCACTCTGCCGTGCTTGGATAGGCCTTTCTTTTACCTTTCCATATATCCATCAGGGTGCGGCTCCACCACCATGGCGGTTGCACAGAGCCGTCACCAACCACATTCCGGCATGTTTCCGGTACAAAAAGCATATACGGCACCAGAAACACTCCGGCTCCAATCACCAGAAACCAGAAAGTTGATCGCCATCCAAGGTATTGCACAAATACACCACCCAATACCGGGCCCAGTGCTGGGCCAGCCAGAGTGCCCGTCAACACCATGCCCACATACTTCCCTCTCTCGGAGACAGTTGCAATGTCCGCCATCACGCCCATTGTGATTGCGATGGTTGCGCTACTTCCCGCGCTCTGCAAGCACCGTAGAACCAACAGTGCCGGGTAGCTGTTCTGCAGCGCCAGGCCAATGTTGGCTGCAAGGTAAACTGCAAAAGTGGTAATGTATGCTGGTCTCCGCCCGCTTGTGTCCGCAAAGTCCCCAAAGAACGTGGGGGAGAGGGCCTGGAAGACCATGTACGTGGTCAGCGTCAAGTTGATAAGGTTAGTCGAGACCTTTAGATCGGCTGAAAGGGGAGTCAGAGCCGGTAGGTACACTGTCGTGGACAGCGGGGAGAATAGTGACGAAAATGTGGCCATCACCAATATGAAAATCTTGGTTCCGGGCTTGAAGGCTGAATAAATGGCGTCTTCTTGTCCCTGGGCATGGCCTTTTTCAACTTCCTCCACATTCTTATTTCCAGTGCTGCCTTCTGCTTCCACTCCATTCTTACAGGCGGCCTTGTCTGCTTCCCTCTCTGACATATTCACATCCCGATTTTCATGAAATAAGTGGTTCATAGCCCGCTCAGGAAGATGTATATATTTGGTTAAAGATCCCCTGGTTAAATATCATCTTTCTGATATTTCTGATACCCCACCCGCGATCCGAAGGGCGTTACTCTCGGGCGGTTATTCTTGCTATGTCCGTTAAAGCCGATCTCTAACCAGTGCAAACGGAATGAAACAGAAAGCAAAAAGCAAGACTAGAGATGGCGATCCCCATTGTATGCATGTTTCAGCCGGGATGCAGCGTGCATGTCCTTGGAGTGAGTAAATGTTATTCATAGTGATTTATCGTATAACGGGACTTGCGGCAAGTCACATGGATTATGTCAACTGCCATAAAGTTACCCAAAGGCAAGCCGAAATGTTTCTGGGTATCATCAGTTTGAAGAGCAGTTGAATATATCAATTGATGTCGGTGGAAGAGAAAGAGAAACAGCGTCCACAAAGTGTCTTGAGCCGCAAAGATGAAGGTTGTAGTCAGAATTTCCCGATCAGGTAGTAAGCTATAGCAGTCACATGTCCAGCTTCCTTCCAAGCGCCTCGGCCACCAAGCCTCTTCTTTCTCGTATATAAAAACTGCCCGCAAGGATAGAGGATGAAGAGGTAGCTGGTACGGAGTAGACACTTACATTACAGCATCAGCTTCCTGAGAGCCATCCAGTGATAGAGAACAAACGGGAAGAAACTCACGATGGACGTCAGCCTGCCTCCAAAACCCGCAGTGTACCTCCTACTGGTATCCCTGCCAACCCTGATCCTATGCGAGGTCAATTCAATATACATCGGCCACTTTCTCGGCAAACCAATCTCGTCCCTCGCCTTTCTCTCCGGGGCCATCTACTTAACCCTCCATGAACCCTCTCCCTACCGCAACTTCATCACCTGGGGCCTCTTCTTCTCTCTAATCGGAGATATCCTCCTTATACCCTCTCGAAGCGAATACGCCAAAGACACAAAACCCACCCCCAGAACCGCCAACAAGCCCATTGCCGAGAAAGAAGTCTCCATATCAGCGTCATTCCAGGCTGGAATCGGTGCTTTCGCTGCAGCTCACATAGCGTATATCCTTGCCTTTCTGGAAGATACGCAAAGTATATCGTGGCCTGTCTTCGCGAGCGTGGCGGTAGCCTCGTTGCTTGCCGCGAGATGGTTGGGGGTTCTATACCCGAAGCCAGGTAGCGAGCTGGAGGCGAGTGGTGGCTTGCTTATGAGGTCGAATGTATTGGGTTTGTCTGTGCCAGATGATATGCGGCATTTGGTATGTGTGTATACGCTGATTATCAGCTGTATGGTTGCTTCTGCTGTTTCGACGGTACCGGTGTTGCAGCTTCCGACTAGCATGTCGATGCAGAGCCAGAGAACTTTGGGAGCGGTGATGTTTGTGATCAGTGATATCTTTGTTGCTAAGGATGCGTTTAGCAAGAAGCGTGTTGATAAGGGAGGGTATTTTTGGCTGCAGTGTTCTCTTGGATGGGGGCTGTATTTTTGGGGCCAGATGGTTCTAGCTGGAACCCTGAACGGTGTATAGATAGATTATCTATGTGGGGTTCTATTTGATTAATTCATTAGAGGGGGTTATGCTACTTATGAATTGGGGTTCATATATCAACTGGCTTAAAAGTAGTACAAATATCAAGCATTATTATCATTATTGACATGGCATTAAACAAGATGAGAAAAAAATAGAAGAATAGTCTATCTACAGGAAGATGGAATTGAATGGTAAGCGAAAGGGGAAGAAAGGGGTCGTACTAAACAGTCAAAACATTATCGTGTGCTTTTATGATGTCTCTTGAACACAAACCTGGTGCCAATATTATGTAACGATATATCAAGAAGTAAATAAATATGGCAAATTCAAGAAAAATAGGCGAGGAGTAGATGATCTGCGGATTAGAGAGCGTAAGTTGTTCGTGGTAAGAGAGAGAGAGAAAGAGAGAGAGCGAGGCTAGGTTAAGCGAGAGTAAAATCGTGTGTAATGAAAGAAAGAATTGAACAGGGGCTAAGGAAGGTAAAGGTCATCGGCATTAAATATTAGAGAATGGTATCGAATAGCGGTCGATGTTGATGTAGATTCCTTTTGTTTCAGGAAATCCCAAATACTTTTTTCAGTTTTGGAAATCTCCCTTTTTTCTCACGTCGGGAAACCTCCGTCCGTAATGAGGAGAGGTGCACATCTGATATCGCTGATGCAGTCGAGTTATCATCTGTGCCACGCCTCGAGGGCCGGAAACGAGATGTCCAGAGAGGTTTTTCGGTTCTGGCCGGGCTTGATGGGCTGTTTGAGATGGACGTTGCATTGGTAAGTGGTGTATTGTTCTGTGCTGCCACACTATCTGCTGTCCGAGGGCGAGCGTTTGAGTCCTTGCCATTAGTGATGTCTTGCATTGGTAACACTGTCGGCCTTCTTGTCTCTGTTGTGCTGGGTGAGGATTGCAAAGAGGATGCAGTGTGCCCGTTTGAACGAAGAGGCCAGGAATCAGCAGCGGGTCGATGGACCAGTTTGCTAGCTCGTTTCTGAAGTTTAGGTGATATTACTTGCCAATCACTTCCCGAACGCTCCAATACACGTCCATTGATGGCGGTGGTAGTTGTGGATCGAGAATAGTCTTCCTGTGGCAGAGCCGGGGAAGTAATGCTAGCTTTGTCCAGGCCCAGCCTTGGTTGTTCGAATGCTGTGTCAGGTTTTCGTAATATTGACTCTCTATTACGTATCTTATGCTTTGGCAGGTGAAGACGCCAAAGAAAACTCCTGTGCTTCACATTGAATTCAGGGAGTTGCTCAGCGCCCGGTATGGCAGAGACTGCAGCTGAATGTTCAATGTCTCTAGGAGCCATTAACCTTGCTACAGCAGCAGCGACGGCCGGATCTTGAATATTCCTCGTGTCAATCTTATTCGACTTATTCGACTTCTTCCGCCTCAAAACATTCTTTGTAGTTTCGTACTCGGAACTATCGTCAAGATCGGTCGAGTCCCCGTCTGCTTCATTTTTTCTTTTGGGTATACCACGGACCGGTCTTAGTTTAATAGCGCCAGCTTCATCATCACTAGAATCTTCGTATCTAGATTTGAACGGCTGCTGCTTTGATGACGATCCGTTTGTCCTCATGGATTTTCCTCGGCCGGTGAACGCAGAGAATCTCGAGGTATTGGCGCCTGTAGGTTGACGCAGTGTGGTTCGCATCATTGGACGGCTATCGCTAGAAGAAAACGGTCGGTGGTTTAGTGAATAGTCAAATGGCTTTGGCGGCAGGCCACCGTCCGATAGAACTTCCATGCCATGGTCAGGGCCATTGGCTCTCATCGTTCGTCGTAGAGTATAGCGCCCGGTTGAGCGGAGTCTCTTAGGCCGTTTGAAACTGCTTGATGAGTCGCTTGCGTTTGACATTGTTCGCTGGGGACGATTGGTAGGAGCAGTTCTTCCATTTGTCTTGACAGGCTTCTTTCCACTAGATGCGTTGGATTCTAGGATTGGGCGAAGAGCGGGTGCGTGACGGTTGAACTGCCCAAAAGAGCCAGCATTTGAGTTCGTATAAGTCGAAGCTACAGGTGGCCTTGTCAGATTCTCCTCGAATAGAGGTTTCCCAGTTGTATTAATTGGATCAGCTGTAGACGGAACTTCACGGCGACTTTCCTCCTCCTCGGTAGTGCCTTCAGGTTGGTGTTGATGAGTAGACTGCGACTGCATTTCTGGAGCAATATCAAAAGATGCAGGAGATTCCACCGAACCGTTTGACTTGTCCTTTTGGTCACTTGCTTGAGGCAGGGAATGCATGGTAATTGGCGACTGCGGCTCCGGCTCCGGCACGGATGTTACCGATCTATCGACAATCGCGTCAATAGAGCCAAACCTATCGCCCTCCATGTCTGAAAGGTCTTCATAGGCATCGCTATAGACACTATTCCCTGAATCAGAATCATCATCTTGCACCTCGCGGCTCTGAGGATTGGCATCATTTGCCGAGAAATATGGGTTATTTCCTTGCGGGCTTTCATCATTGGGCATCTCAGGGGATGATTGTCTGGAGTGCGCGATCTCCTCCATGCCTGGTGTAGCGGGCTGAATAATTATCGCGGGAGTCGGTTTTAGGTTGTTTGCCGCCTCCGTCTGGCGAGGTGGTGAAGCTCCGTTAACCTGGTTAGTCGTGTTCCTTGACGCAGATATATCCCTTAAGCTATCGAGGCGTGGAGGAAAATCGCGTAGGTCTGCACCTTCATCGCTTGAACTGTCGTCTGATAGCGAGCTGTAGCCGGTGCCTTCTAGTGATGTCACTTCAGGTGGCAGTGGTAAGTTGGGGTTTGCATCATGTTTGCTCTGGTTTCTTCCACTAGTGGTAGAAACGACCTCACCAATTCCATGGTCAGCAGAGGAAGAAGATAGGCCCAGTGCAGGGTTTGGATCGGTCTCGATATCTCTTGATCGCGACGGCTTGCGACCTCGTATGCTGCCAAATGAGGGCAGGGCAGGACGTGGAGTGAAGAACAGCTCGAAGTCATTCGAATCATCGCCATTGAGTTTTGATCGAATGAGACTGTCGCTCCACGGCCGAGATGTAGTATACGCCCGTGGGCTTGAAGTTAGAGACTCTGGCGAAGTAGGAGGGCTGGTGCCGTGGCCTATGACTTCTGTCTCGTCTTCAAAGCTGACTTTAGGATGTCTCTTTTTAGAGCCCGCCCTTGAGCCATCGTCAGAGACCAGGGAGGTACCCTCGGACGTCTCACTGCCTGGTTGTCCCGGTTGATAAGCCGGTCTCTCGGGGCGAATCGCTGGGGAAGAGTTGGGCGTTGATTTCAGGGCAGGCTTAGCTGGGGAAAGCGATCTTGGGGGAGGGATGTGTAAATGTTTCTCCGAGTCTGGTATTTCTAGATGCTCGGAGAAGCGTGTGAGCCGATTTGGACTGACGGAATGAGGTCTGATATGGAGAACGTCCAGAGGAGGCGGAGCAGCAAGCCCCTGAACCTGGGACTGTGAATGTCGTTTCTCCTGGTTTTTGATCTGCTGGACGGGTGGCGGTTCTCTCAGTCTGATAGGTTCCACTGACTGACGCTGTTTGGTGATATGTAAGCTTGAGTGGCGGTTTAGAGGTTGCTTGTTAGGCTGTTCATCCTCGGCTTCTTCCTGGAGCTCTAGGACTGTCGATGGCCTTCTGGCAAGGATAGGTGGTGGTGATGATGCATGACGTATGTCATCATCGTTATCTGTTTGTGTCCCATCATTATGAGTAGATGGAGGTTTAGCAGCAACCTCCTTTACTGCCTGCTTGTTGTCTGTTTGCTGTCTACCGGGTGGAGACGATGGTGTTTCATCGAAGGAATCGTCCGCAACCTGTGTGGCTTGATCAACCAGGGTTGGTCGAGACTCTGACAACGGTGGCTTGTTTGACGTAGGCGGCTTATCTGTCGAGGGAGCCGCTGTAGAAGGTACATGCGCTTGTTCAGCAGAGACCTTTTGATGCTGATGCTGCTGTGCTCTCGGAGAAGACGGTCGATTTCTCCTCGGCGAATCTAGCGACGCAATTGATAGCCGGGGCGAGTTCGGCCTGTTCATCGGATAGGAGAAATTAATCGAGTTCCTACTTCCACCCCTTTCATGATCGGACAGCCCCAAAGACAAATTGGACACTGACCGTGCCCTGCGTCCTGCTGTTGCAGCAGCAGCCGCGGCCCCGTTAGACGCTGGTATCCCATGAGCGCCTGGTAGCTCCGAGTTTCTAGGCCGTTGCGGAGGAGAGGCCGCATATCCGCGTGGTAGAGGGGGAACTGGTATGATATCACTTAAATTCGACGTAGCACTACCGCCTCGCGCAGGTGATTGGTCCCTGAACGTCCTGGCAGTCATGGACCCAGAGCTGCGAACCCTTCGAAGGCCTCCATTCTTGTCATCTGGGAGGGTGTTCCCTGCTGGACCGCTGATGGATGAGGTAGACCGCTTCCTGCGCAGCATACGCTTGGTCTGGACATCTCTGACGGGTATTGGAGGGGGCGTATGGCTTCGAAGGGCTGCTGCTGCGGCGGAGGAGGATAGGTTGGGAGTTGGATGCTGGGAGGCTCGAAACGCCTGGAGAGCCGCAGTTTGCGCAGAGGGCGAGGGATTGGTATTTAGAGGCTATTCCAGTGTTAGCAATCATGGTATCTTTCTTATTGTTATAAATAAGGCTGGAAAGGAGTTGGTTGTTGTGGTTGTGGTTGCGTTGGTGATGATGATGAAACCGGGATACTGACAGCATGGCGGACGCTCTTCTTGCGACGGAACATTGCTAGACTGTTCGACACGGAGGATTCATCAAGAGAAGCAAAGACGGCGAGCCCAGCTTCTCCCCGGCCCCAGAGATATGATGATAGCTAGCTGACACTCGGAGAATTCGCAGGTGTTGGTGTTGATCTCTGGTGGCCAAGTTGGATCTGTAACCGGGCGACGCAAGGAAGAGCTATCGATAGCTGGGCTAGCTTCGCCCTGGAGACGCTAGTTATTGAGAAAAAGGACAGACGGCCGGGCCTCGCTTGGCTATTAACAGAGAAAAGACATGTAGACTAAATAATACAAGAAGACGAAGAAGAAGAAGAAGAAGAAGAGCGTGGCCGGGTCGCTGAGTTGGTGATGGTCGTGGTTGGCAGTTTTTGATTCTCGTAGTTTTTTTAGGTGCAGAGTTGAAACGCTCAGAAAGTTGGATTTCTTTGCTTTGGCTTTACTTTCTTTCGCCTTTTCCTCTGCACCGAAAAAGAAACACCACCAACGGCGCACGCAGCGCAGGTTTCAACGGCGCGAAGAAGAAGCAGAGGGAGAAGAGAAGCAGAAGAAAAAAGAGAGACTCTGGCTGATCCATGGTACAGGCCTGCGGGTAGACCTGGTTGGTAGCTTTCTAACCTCCGGCCTTACTGCTGCTTTCCCGCCGGTTTTCCCTTCCGTGATCCATGGCTCAGCTCAGGCATAACAAGTCAGGATGAAGAAGAAGAACCAAGTCGCAGTGCAAGTTTGCTATCTGAGCGTGTAGATACGAAGAAAAGCTGACTCGCAGGCCGGAACTTCGCCGATAGAAAAGATGATATATCTGAACCTGAGGACTGTCGGACTACTGTGACGTTGAAGATACCTGCTATACCATACCACCCGCCGGATACTTGCATACACCCACCCACATCACATATACATACATATATATACGTATACGTGCATACACCAAGCAATGGCCGTCCAGCTTCCTCCTCTTCCGCTGCCGGAAGGCGTAACCTCTAGACAGATCGACACGGCACCGCGGGGCATATCATTCCATATACTCGAGGCAGGATACTCGGCTGCGCTTGACCGGCCGCTGATACTGTTGCTGCACGGGTTTCCGGAGCTGGCGTACTCATGGCGCAAGGTGATGCCGCTGTTGGCTGCAGGAGGGTACTATGTGGTTGCGCCGGACCAGCGAGGATTCGGACGGACGACAGGCTGGGACACGAGAGACTACGATAACGTCGACCTAAGGGACTTTGCCGTGACGAATCTCGTACGGGATATGGTTGTGCTGGTGCATGCATTGGGCTATAAGAGCGTCGAGTGTATCGTGGGACACGACTTTGGCGCCGTGGTAGCAGGATACAGTGCCCTTGCGAGACCAGACTTCTTCAAACGAGTTGCCTTTATGAACCATCCGTTTGTGGGGGCGCGAGAGCTGTCCGGGAAAGCCGAGGGCGGTGGTGCAGCCGATGACGACGATATACATCGGGATCTGGCTGCGTTGAACAGAAAACATTACAAGTGGTACTACTCTACACGGCAGGCGAACGGTGACATGACGAGGCCTGCTCAGGGACTGCACGAGTTTCTGCGAGGATACTTCTACCTCAAGAGCGCTACGTGGTTGCTGAACAAGCCGGTTGAGCTTCAGGCCTGGACGGCGGCTGAGCTGGCCAAAATGCCGGATTACTACGTCATGCCGCTGTATGCCTCCATGCCAGAAGCCGTAGCCTTCAGCGTGGCTCTAGAAACACCGCTGCCCGTGCAGGAGTCACGCTGCTGGCTACCGGATGACGAACTGGCGGTATACGTGGGCGAGTTCGCTCGTACGGGTTTCCAGGGCGGGCTGAACTGGTACCGTGTGGCCACGAACTCGAGTCCCGATTTCAAACGGGATCTGGACATCTTTGCAGGGCGGAAGATCGACTGTCCTTGTCTGTATATTGGAGGTGCAAGGGACTGGGGCACGTACCAGGTTCCCGGAGCCATTGAGAAGCTGGCCAACAGCGTGTGTGAGGATTTCTGTGAAGTGATAGTTGATGATGCTGGACATTGGTTGGCGCAGGAGAAGCCGCAGGAAGTAGTTGATGCTCTTGCGGCGTTTATACACTGGCAGTAGTAACGGGACTAATTCTGATGCAGTGAGGCGGATGTACCAGAGAGGATATATACATACCTACATACATACATATACTACCATCTAATAATCATCAATAGACCAATCAATCCATAATCAAATAGATATATAATATGATAGTTTTTAGAAACCATCCAATGCATTATTTAGCTTCATGATGTCGGCGTTAATCAACCCCGGAAAACAGATATGGATATCCAGACATCCAGACATTTGAACGATGCCAAACCAGACGACAGCAGAGCATATATCGAGTAAGAGAAAGAGAGCTAGAAACAGATCGAGCACGGGGGGTATAAAATACAACAAACGACAAACATTAGACAAAAACAAAAAAGACGAAATCAATTAACTCCGTCGCATAAGGGACTTTCTTTTTCATCCGTCAGTGCTCGACTGCATTACAGCATGATGCTAAAGTAGTATCCAGCGAGGAGGAGAGGCATGACTCCCAACGCGGTAAATACAGCAGTGACATGAGCTGCATTGGTAGGCTTGTCGGGGATAGCGTAGATGGTGCTGGAGGTGATGTTGGTCGAGTTGAAGCAGTTTTCGGGTGTGACTGGCTCGACGTCCTCTGGTTCCGCGAAGGTGATGTCGACGCACTAGCAAACAAAACGAACAATTAGCTAAAAGAAAGAACAACACTGGCCCAGTTTTAAAAGAGTAGAACGTACGTTGTATAGCACAGCGCCGTGACGGGCAGCCTCGACGACCTGGATGGTAGCGTTGTCGCCTACGTTGACGCTGATGTTGGCAGGGAGTGGGACCTGGGGCAGACAGAAGGTGCCTGGGTACGGGGCGACGGTTGGGCCGGTGATCTGGAAGGGCGGAACCATGGGCAGACTCATGTTAAGGGGAGTCGTGCCCAGGCCCAGGTTGAGGTAGATGAGCGCCGTCTTGTGGCCTGGGAACCAGCCGGGCTGGAAGGAGATCGCACCGCCCTTGAGCGGCCATTTCGTCCTGTTCGTGCTGGTTACTGTGCCGCCGCCTAGATAGAGAACGACGTTAGTTTAGATCATAATAATAAGAAGAAGAAGGAGAAGGAGAAGGAGAAGTAGAAGAGCGTACATGGGTAGATCCATTGCATGCCGTATGGATATAGGAGTTCAGAGGAGTTTGATCTGATGGCTACGCCGGCGCCGTTGGTCTCGTCGACGGTCCCGTTGCTGTGCAGGTTGTTCTCTCTCCATCCTGGGTAGACGATGACCGTGTGTCCCTTTGCAGCGATGGTCGCAAAGGCGAGAGTCAAGAGGACTCCGACAAAGGGGCCTAGCGAGAAGTGCATCCTCATGGTGTCTTGTGGAAGTGGGTGGATGTCTTTTGATCTTTTGATAGAGGCGGATTAGATGGTGAAGGCTGAAGTCAACTGCAACGACGACGACGACTGAGACGAAGAGGAGAGCGAGATAGGTTTGTATAACTTTGTCTAGCCGCCGGCCTCAGTCGAGATGAAGACACAAGTGGTTAAATAAAGAAGCAGGACGAGGGCCTCAGGGTCATGCAGGCGGTCGCAGCGGCACGGTCGAGGGTCAACCACTGCTCTCTTTCTTTCTCTGGGGGCGGCGGGCACGAAGAAAGTGACCTGCGACAGGGATGGAAGAGACAAAATCTACCATCTACCATATAAACCAGCTGCAGACTGGGAGAAGTGATATTCTGCTCCTGTCCTTGTCACAGCCAATCGCACCGGCCTAACCGTCTCGCTGGGACTGTTGGGCGGTTAAACGATGTGATGAACTCGCCCCTTGTCCAGCATCTCACTCTTGCTGCATATTCTCCCTCTGCCCTCTCCCTCTCTCTCTGCTTTCTCTCTAGCATTTCCGCTTCTCTTCCTTCACTTCTGGCTCCTGCGCACATCCCTGTCTCCCGTCAAAGACCATCCTGAGCCTCTGATTCGCCCGCTGCAAGGATCCGGGTGTGACTGGCACAGGCGAAGCTGCAGCATCTCAACTCAGCATCACAGCCCTCCGCAGCGTCAACCTCGCTTCCTATTCGCCAGGGCAGATCATCGTCGAAGCGCCCCCAATTAAGTCAATCAGTCAGTCATGTTCTTACTTCAGAGCAGAGTAAGAGGCTAACTTTGCTTCTTCTGCCTCGGTCTGGTCTCGTCCTTTTGCTGAAGCTGCTGATGAGCTGCTCTCCGCGGCCCGGACGTACGGAGAGACCGACAGACAGACAGAGAAGCGAGAGGCAGACACCGAGAAATAAGAGAGAGCCCTCGAATATCCGTCGTTACTCAACCAGCCTCAGGAGCCAAGTCGTGGAGTTACTATCTTGGAGCTCGACGGCTGTGGAGAGAGAGAGAGAAAACTGCCTATGCTCAGAGTTAGCGCCGTGGTGGAGCATTCGAGAGGAAGCAAGAATAGACACTGGCTGACTGGCTGGCTGGCTGGCTTGATGGCTGTGCGATGCCGGCAAGGGGACAAGCAGGCAAGGGGTAAAGGCAGGGCGGATGCAGGGACTCGATAGTAATAGTAAAATAAGCAGGCTCTTACTCGGTCGCAGGTCTCGTCGTTAATAATCATCGCCATCATTCAATCATGAAGTCTGGATGCCTGTTTGGGGTCGGAAGTCGTCGATATTTATATCAACCAACCAACTACCATGACAGTCGCAGAAGTCGAGAAGAATAAAAGGCGGCTCCAGTCTTGCAGTCCGTCTTATATAACTATATATATGTACAAGAGAGAGACTGAAGATGAGGCATTTTGCTGTCAACAAAGAGAGTCGCTAGTTGGTCTTTCTCCTTAGCACGAGATAGTCGATAGTACGAAGTGTACTTGACTTACGAAGCAGAGAGGAGGCTCGAGTCTGCCGCTTCTCTGTGACCGACATCAAGAGCATCCTCTCTCTACTCCATATCTCTCTACCTCCTCCCGTATCCATCTTAACGTCTCCATCTTAGCATCTCCATGTCTTGTCTTTCATCTTCCATCGTCATCCTTAGCCAAGCGCTTCACCGTCCTCGTCGGCATCTCGAGGCCTCCGCAGGATCCGTCGCCGTCTCTCACCGACAGCAGCCCGTATGCGGATGAAGTATGGAGCAAAAGTACTCCATAACTCAGTTGACCACTCCATTATACTTACTTCAACCGCTCCATAGCGGCCTGTAGGCAAGTAACAAGTACTTAACGTCCATCTGACACAAGCGAGATCAGCCACCGTCTCGTCTCGTCTCGTCTCGTCCTGTCTTCTTGTCTCGTACACTTCAAACCAGCGTCTCCGTAAACCCACCCCCCGTCATCGTCATCGCTCATCATCCCATCGTCATCCCATCTTCATCGGGCCATCGTCATCCCTCGCGGGTATTTCGGGTATCTGCCTATCACTTCTCCTTCCTTTAGCTGCATCCAGTTTAACCGCAGCAGATCCCGACACCTCGAACGCTTGACTCTTTCTCGCTTTGGCTTAGTGTGGCCCATGTCAACTCAACTTAACTAACCCAACTTAACTTCAGTCAGTTGTATTAACTAGCGGCTTTTTTGGTACATATGTACCTCCAGAGCAAGTCTTAACGGGCGCCCGCGGGGAGAAACTTCGAAAACTTCCTCTCATCCATAACCAGAGCCATGTCCCATGTTCCCTGTCCCTTGTCGATGATGAGCCATGGGGCATAAAAATATTCCTTGTATATATCCCCTGTCCAGTATCGCATATCGCATATCCCATATCCCATGCCCATGCCCATGTCCATGTCCCATCTCCATCTCCCATCCCGTCCGCCCATCCACTACAGCATTAATCAGACTGAAGTATCTGCATGGAATGTTCGTTGGCATCTAGCGTGGGAGTTCCCCCTCCCCCCTCGAGGGAAGTTTAGCTTGTCCGTGGATAGCTTGTCGAGTTACCAGAGTTCAACTTGCCTCCCTTGGCAGCGTTCATGCTCGTGTTATCCTGTGCGTGTTCCTGGAGTCTGATAGCCTGTAGCCTGTTGCCTGCTTCTCGCGTGGTGGACATGCTTCATGGCTTGTTCGAGAGGGTTAAGCAAGAAAGCGTCCAGGTTGAAGGGATCTTCCCTGGCGTCGGGATGATGCCATCAAGTACGAAGCCGTTTAGATGTATAGATGTATGTAGATGTATGTAGATATCAACCTTGGAGGTGATGGCGATGGCAAAGGGAGAGGAGGCTTTGACTAGGCCGGAAGAGGAACTCCACACAACATCGTTATTTTGACCTCAGCGATAGAAACATGCACAGGCGATAAATTATCTTAGGTAACGACGACGACGAGATGCCTCGGTCAAGGAGCAAGAAGAAGACGGCTCTTCCGCGCAGACGAGTGGCCGTCCAAGACGAGGATGGCTGGACTCACATCACCAACACCAGACAAGTCACTTCTACCGCAACTGCGACTGCTACTTCTACTACTACAGACCAGCTGCTACCAGCAGAGATACCAGACGGGCTGACGCTGAGCCAGCTCCGCGCGCAGTTCGAGTCGCACCGACAAAAGTGGCTGGCCTCGCAGACCTGGAAGACCATCACATCTACCAACATCGACAAAGCTATCAACAAAGATATCACGATAGACAAGTTCGTCTGCATCGCCCTCGGAAGCCCCAGCGGTTTTCTCCGCGGCGGGCTTATCGACCGTCGAGCCGTCTCGCTCTTCCAGCTGGCAGCTTTCACGTCTCTGATCGAGTACCTCAGTCGCAACAGCAACAGCAACAACACCCGTAAGTCACAAGTCAAGCTCAAGCTCAAGCCCGGCTTTTTCTTCTTTTCTTGTCTGTCTCGCTTTCTCTCTCGCTTTCGCATCGCATCGCAAATCTCTTTTTTTCTCCAATTTCCCAATTGCCAATTTCCAATTTCCCATGTCTACCCGGGCTAGGCTAGGCAGGTAGTTAGTTGGCTCAGTCTGTTATTAAAGATTAAAGATTAAAAAAGAGCGCGCGTGTGAATGTGCATGTGTGTGCGTGTATCTCTCCGTACGGATATACTGGTGTGGCGATACGTAAGATTAACGGATTACTTATCCCCCACTCTCCCGTACAGGTCATCACGATGAAGACGAGCACGAGGACGACGCCGCGGATGATGATGATACCAAGAGAAGCAGAAGGGCGTATCGGTGTTATGCTCAGGATCCGGTTTTCAACAGGCTGGATGTAGAGCTGCTCGCCTCGTTGGGAGTGGAAGTGGTGCAGCGCGAGGCCTTTGGCATGGTGGATGAGCAGACGGTCCTCTTTGGGCCGGGCATGGAGAGACGGCATCTTGTCGAGCTGCTGGCCAGACGGCCGGTGGTTTTCTTCGGTGGGCCGTTAGAGGGGCCTTCTACTTCTTCTTCTACTACTACTTCGTGAGTGTTTCTATCATTTCTACTCGAAGTGATGTACTGATGGTGTTGGTAGAGATGTGATTGAGGACTTCAAGGAGAAGCACCAGTCAGTGCGTCTGCCGGATTTTGAACCGAACACGGCGCCGTTTTGGGGGACGAGTATCTTCTGGCGAGACAGTCATCCTGCGATATGAAGTGAAGGTACATAACTTGCTCTTACGGGCGAAATCCTCCGTACAGAGAGGCGTACATACATACATGCATACCCACCTGCTGGTCTGGTCAGGTCATTTTACATTCATACAGTCATATATACATACACACGTATATGTATAATGCCGTTTTGATGCGCACTGGGACCCTTTTTTCGACATTATCTGCTATCTGCCAATCAAGCCTGCGGACCGAGGACAGGCATGGAACGGACTCCGAAAGCAAAAAAAAGAAAGGAAAAAAAGAAGGAAGACAGTTTGAGTCAAGGGCCCTATATCGCCCCTTATTATTGCATATTTTATATTATCTGCCTCTTTTTTTTCATTTCACACTTTACAATTTTATGTGCTCCATACTCGATGGAAAAGAAAGTGGATGGAGCCGTTCGGTCGCGGGATTTGAGAATCATTTGAGCCCGCTTTCGATCCTCCTCCCCCTCCTCACTTCATCTCATCTACCAGTCAGGTTGCAGGGGTGAGCTTTTTGCTTGGTCTGGCCTGACCTTGACTTGCCTTGACTTGAGTTGGACCTTGACGTGGATCTTGGGCCAGTGGCCAGTCCGTGTCCAGTCAATCAATCTCCAGTCTCTAGTCTCCATTGTTCGCCACGTTTAAACTGCCGTGCATCATCCAACAGAAGAGAACAGAACAAGAATATGAAAATGAACATGAACGGCATGAACGTCATGAGCAGCATGAACAGCTGAATGGAACAAACAAAAAGGAACGAATGCAGCCAACAGTTCAGATCGAGCTGAGGCACTGGCGAATCACCATGCTCGACTGCATGCTGTCTCGACGTTGGTTTGATACATCTACTTCGCATCGCCAACCATCCAACAAGTAAGAAGTTGACTTCTCCAACTTCTGGCTCCAACTTCTGGATAGCGCGACGGCGACTGTGCTTCCACTTCGTCGGTTCTTATGTACCTGATATACTTGCTTTGCGCTGCTTACTTCCCTGTCCTGCCTTGTCGATGGCGAGGGCGAGGGCGAGGGCGAGATCCCTTCACTAGCCATCCTTACCTCTGTCAAGCTTCCCTCCTGAGGCTCTCCCCATCCCAGCCAGTGGATCTTGAGAAGGGTTCCTCCATCACCAAACATACTTCAGTTATCCAACCTCAAGGCCACCACCAACCTTTGTAGTAGTAGTGGTGGTGGTGGTAGTCGTCTTCCTTATCAACCAGTAACCGTCCAGCATCCAACATTTCTCCTTATCCCTTAACTGCCATCTCGCTACTCCGTACTTCCTATCAGCTCTCCTGAGACTAGTTAGCTAGGCAGTTATGTGTTATCTGTTCATTTCCGAACTCCTATCCCTCCCTCCATCCATCCATCCAACCCTGTACCCCCTAATATCCATGGCCATGGCCTGTCACGCCAGGCCAGGCTCCTCCCGCCCGCCTCGCATCCATCCCCCATCCCATCCCCATCCCAATCCCCATCTCTATCTCCATCGCATCGCATCGCATCCCAACCCATCCCATCAGCCACAGGGGAAAGAGAAACAAAAAGGAAAAAAAAATTAAAGGGCTGGTCGATTCCTTGCGAGTCTGGAGAAAGCTCAGGGATGCTTCAACCACATCAACAACCAAACCAACCTCTTACCATCGACCACTTACCTCCCAACTAATCTGCAGATTATGTATGTTTATTGCGTATTATTGTATGCAGTGCATCCGTCCTGCTGCCGTTTCTTCCTGACTCGACCTGCACCTTTCCTCACTTTCGTCCAACGTCCACTTCTTCCCCACCGTTTTCGTACCACAGCCGCTACTACTAATGACCAGCCGGCAAAAAGCCATAGTGGAAAAAAAGGACGAAACTTCCGGAAGTATTATTATTCTCCCCCCTAAGAATCACACTAAGCATGAACCACCACTAGCTAGTTTAACGTAAGTACTTATTCTCGTTACATCGGAGAGCGAAGAAGAAAAGAAGCAAAAAGAGACGAAGGGGGAAGAAAAAGGAAGAAGAAATCAAGAAGAAGCAAAGAGGAGCGAGTCGGGTCGGTCAAGGGGGATAAACAAGTTAAGCATAAGCATAAGTAAGTGTAAGTATCCGTACAGGCAAGTACGTACCTAACTAACTCACCTAACCAGACTATCCGAAAGCGGCTTCGCTTAGAGGACTAGCAGCAGCGAGATGAAGTAACTAACTACGTAATGGATGAGAGAGAATGAAGAAGAGAAAGTTGCAAAGAAAAGAAAAGAAGAGCGAAATAAAGGGGGGGCTCGTACAGGACAGCCAGGCAGTGCGACGCAGGCTGAGATCGATACGAGGGACAGCATGGACGTACATGTGTTAGTTGCTCTTCCTAGGTAAGTCGGGAGAGGGAGGATAGCATAACTGACTGGGCATAAAAGTAAGAGTAAGTAAACACAACACAACATGCACTAGTAAGCTGCGGGTGGACGGGAGTGGCCTGCGGAAGAAGGAAGGAAAAACGAGAGAGAGATGCATGAAGACGAAGAGGATGGACAGGTCGGTTACAGAGCAGTTGAAGGTGAATGTGAAGGTGATGATACATACATACATTGAGTATATGCGGGCTGTTAACTCTATCAGGCGATTTGAGGCGAAGCATGAAGAAGAAAAGAAAGGAAAAAAGCAGGACGTACATACACCTACATACATACGTACATACATACAGAGAGGCAGATGTCGACGGAGAGAAATTACATTATTATTATTATTATTATTACATATTACATATTACATATTATGTATGTATGTTGTATGTATGTATGTATATGCAGGCTAGGAGGGTGTGGTGAGGTGTGGTTGGTGGGCTGCTAGCTGTGTGTGAGTGTGTGTGTTGCTCGGGAGAGTGAATAGCCGATGGGCTGAAGGGTGTCACGAAGAGGGAGGAAAAAAAACCGCCTATCGAATGGGAGGTTTGGCAGGTTAGTTGGTTAGTTACACAGTGGACGACGCATGAAGCATAGACACAGAGAGAGACAAGAACAAGAGGTGAGCGGAATGCAGAGCCGGTTTGAAGTGTGTCTGAAGTGTCTGAAGTGTCAAAAGTCAAGTGTCAAGTGAGTGTCAAGTGTCAACTCATGTAAGTGACAGTGGAAGTGGACGAAAGAGGAAAAAGAAAAAAGAGCAAATCTTACCGACGGGCACATCTCATCAGCAGCATGAGCATCAACCACTAACTACCATCAGAAATCATCATCTCAACCAGCGAAATTATCCTGATCCTGATCCTGATCCCATCCCCACTCGAAGGACCGGGTATTTTTAAGTAAAGTCGAAAGGTAGAAAGGCAGAGAGTAATGCGGGGACTCGCCCGAGTATCTCTTACTAAGTCAGTAATATAACTCTCCAGTTAAGTAAGTCCTTAAGTAAGTATGTAAGAGAAGGAGAAGAAGGTGAAACATCCTGGAGAGAGGCAGCGCTTATCAGACGGTGGTATAGAGCGAGCAGGGCCTAGCAGGGATAGAGCGGGAAGACAAGGAGCTGAGCGGGTTCGAAGGTGATGTTCGACGCTAGCCGGTGAGTGCTTCTTGCTGTTACTTTTGCTGCTGCTGCGTCTTTGCTTCTTCCATGATACGAGCAAGGGGAGGGATACGAAACAAGCATCGTGCCTGTCTGGGAGCTCGGGCAAGGGAAGTCAGAAGTCAGAAGTCAGAAGTTACTTAGGCGTAGGTATATGATAAGTGTGAGAGGGTAAGAGTAGGGGACAAGGGAGCTCGCTTAGGGATGGGCGGCGGGCGGATGGAGGTGGAGAGTGGGAGAGTGGAGAGTGGAGAGAGGGAGGGAGAGTTAGTTTTAGTCAGGTTAGTTAAAAAGCAGTTAAAGAGTGGTAAAGTAGGAGTAAAGGTGGGTGTGGTGGACCGAAAAGACGAGCGAGAGGAGACAGAAGTGGTTCCTCTTGGTGAGGGAAGAGAAGGTTGACTGGGTTGGCATTACATAAGGAACTCTTTGCATGATCGGCGCTGGGTTGAGATGCTATAGCAGATGAAGTAAGAGACGAAGTAGTAGTAGTAGTAGTAGAAGTAGAAGTAGCAAGAGAAGAGAGAGGGAGGAAAGTGGGAGATGAGGGAGATGGGGGAGATGGGGAGATGGCTCTTCTTTCCCTTTTCTCTCTTACCCCTCACTTCATCTTTCCTCTTTTGCTATTTCCCTTTTTTTCTCTCTCAACTGCTGACTCTTCGTCTTTCTCTCCTTCCTTTACTGTCTTCTTTCCATCGTGACTTCCTCGACTTCGACTTCGACTCTCTTTTTTTTGACTTTTGACTTTTCTGGCCTGACGGTTTTAAACTTTCACTGTCTGCTTCTGGAAGAGTGGGACCCTCGGGAGCTCTAACCTGAAGAGGAAGCATCTCCTTGTTTGCCAAGACATGTCGCCAAGCGTGGGGGAAGTCGGATTAGGAAGGAGGGTTAGAGCAGTAGAAGCAGGAGAAGACGAAAAGAGACGAGAAGACGAGGAGAGGAGAAGACGAAGAGATGCCTAAAGGGGAAGATATGAGCAGATAAGAGCATTATAGAAGATGCCATTCAGAAGAAGAAGTAGTAGAAAACATAGAAGTAGAAGATAGTAAAGAGTAGAACAAGTAAGGTAAAGAGAAAGAGTAAAGAAGAGTAAAGCGTCGTTTTCGTATGTAAGTAAAATAAGCCAGAAAGTGAAAAAATAGAGGAAACGTAAAAAAAGCGAAAAAGCAACAACAACACGCAAAAAGCAAAGTGGCCCCTCTCCCTCTTCCCTACTCTCTCTCTCTCTCTCTTTACTTTTACGCTCTTCTCTTTTACTAACTTCTGCCTGTCTCACCCTTGCTTGCCTGCTCTAAACCATGACAACGCCTTTCTTCTAGATCTTCGGGGCGCGCGTTGATCCCCTTTTGACTTCCGAACCTTCTTCTTCCCTACTTACGCTCGTCTCTTACTTACTTCTCCTACTTCCATCTCTGCTTCTGCGACTTCGACCCCGTCTTGCTTTTTCCTGTCCTTATAAGCTCTCCCTCGTCTCTCCCCTCGTCACCCAGATACCCATCTCTCTATCTCTATACCTCGATACCATCTCTTTACCACACTCTTTACTCCATCTCTGTCGACCGCACTCTCTACTGTCGACTCCCTCTCCTCGACTCTATCCTCCACTCTACTCTATCATCATCAACTCAGCTGCAATGGCGACGGCGCACATGCAGCGGCCCTACCCGCCCATCTACCACCCAACCTCCTCCGTCGCCCAGCAGGACCAGCATGGCCGCTCGCTCTACGCCCAACCGCCCGCCCTCGGCATGTACGCCGCCGCTGCCTACCCGCAGTACTCGCCCATGAGCTCGCTGCCGCCCTACCAGCACCACCAGCAGCAACCACACCAGCAGCACCAGCCACCGCCGCCGCACCAGCAGCCACCACCACACCAGCAGCACCACCAGCAGCATCAGCAGCACCAGCAACACCAGCAGCACCAGCAGGCGCCGCCGCAGACACAGGGCATGATGATGAGCCCCGTCTCGGCGCCCATGCCCCAGCTGCAGCAGCAACACGCCCAGCACCCGCAGCAGCAGCAGCAGCAGTCCCAGGTCAGCCCGCGCATGAAGCTCGAGAGCAGGCCGCAGACATCTTCTTCTCCCACTACCAACTCCGGCGCTGCCCCCGGCCCCATCCCAGCCACTACTCCCCTGGTTGTGCGGCAAGACACCAACGGCGTGCAGTGGATAGCGTTCGAGTACTCGCGCGACCGCGTCAAGATGGAATACACCATCCGCTGCGACGTCGAGAACATCAACATCGAGACGCTGCCGCAGGACTTCAAGACCGAGAACTGCGTCTACCCGCGCGCCTGCTGCACCAAGGACCAGTACCGCGGCAACAGACTCGTCTACGAAACAGAGTGTAACGCAGTCGGATGGGCGCTGGCAGAGCTCAACCCGTGTCTGCGGGGGAAGCGAGGCCTCATCCAGCGGGCAGTCGACAGCTGGCGCAACTCGCACCAGGACCCCCGGCTGAGAAGTCGGCGAGTCAAGCGCATGGCGAAGGCCAACAACAGAAAGGCCGTGGCTCAGCATGCCTCGCATCTCAGCCAGCACCACCCGCAACAGCAGCAGCAGGCTCAACCACAGCAACCGCTGCCTGGGCTACCGCCGCATCAGCCGCATGGAGCGCACCAGGACGGCCATGCAGAGGACGTTAACGTTAGCGGTATGTTTCAGCAGATGTAACCTTCACTTTTCTTCACTTTCTTCATAACTTCATCTACTTCATCTTCTCTTGTGATTATTTTATGCTGTTGGTTTTTATGTGCCATGTATGCTGGAGCGGGCCGGACAGGAGTGCTTGGACTTGGGAGCTGGCTAGGGAAAAGGTCTTCTTGTTTCTTTTATTCGTCTTCTTCTACATCTTCTACCTGTCTATGATTGACTATCGATTGAGTGATTGTATTGAGCTGTGTACTTATCAGCCGAATTCCCATTCATCTATATACCCATACATCCATCAACTCATCCATCATCATCATTCCATTCCATCTCAACTCCATCATCCTTGTCTTTGTCTCTCCCCTGTCCGCGCCACCCCTGTCCCTGCCCCTGTCCATGTCCATGCCCTTGCCCATCCCCAACCATACCATGTCTACCGAAGCACGCATGCCAGTAACCCATGCTAACTCACCCCCCTAGCCCAGTACCGCCAACAACAGCAACAACAACAGCAACAACCAACATACACCGATAGACCATCTCACGTCTTCAGCGGCACAGGCACCGGCAACGGCAACGGCACATACCCATACCCCGCCGCCTCGACAGCAACATCATCCGACAAACGCCATCCAGACGATGACGTCGTGCAGGCCCAGCACCCTCAGCAGCAATTCAAAGAGCTACCGGAGGGCAAGAGACGGAAGTTCATTCTCGTCGAAGACCCGCAGCGCTCATGTCGAGTCCGTGTCAAAGTCATGCTGGACCAGGTCGATATGAAAGAGATACCTGATTCGTACCGTAAGGCTAACTCGGTGTTCCCGCGCACTTACGTACCGGTTCACTCCCCCTTTGCCCACCAGCGTCGAAAGGGGGATCGGTTCATGGACGAGGACGATGAGGCTGCGCCTGCTGGACGGGTGGTGGCGGGCAGTAAAGACGATGCTGCCAGCGAAGATGTGACGGCTGGTAGGACGGGGGTGCCGTTGTCTATGCTGGAGGGCGAAGAGGTGATGGTTCCGAGGCTTACGGGGGTGAAGAAGGCGAGAGAGGAGCTGCTTAATGATATGGGCTATCGGATGAGTTGGGGACAGAGCAGAGTCTTTGCGGGACGGATGCTCTTCCTGCAGCGATCAAGTGAGTTTTCTTCTGCTTCTTTTACTTCTACTTTACATGTATGCTGACTTCTTCTAGTGGACGCGTATCGGAATAAGATGAGGAACAGCATGTTGACTGCTGGCCACGAGACGAGCGAGATAGCGCCTTACTTCGAGACGCGCGTGGGTAAAAGGAGATGGCTTGAGAGAGGCCGCAAGCCCGCAGACGTCAAGGACAAGGACGTCGCTGCTGCTGCTGCTTCTCCCCCTGCGGTGCTCACTTCTGCCTCGTCACGGAGCGCAGAGGAAGTCGAGTAGTTGCACTTCTTACTTCTTGCTTGATGAGATGATAATGTCTTTCCTATGTGTCTATGTCTATGTCCCTTTTCTTCTCTGTCTATCTTCTATGGCCGTTTGTATCCTTGTGTATGTATGTATGCTAAAAGCCGGGTTTTTTGGGCGGTTTACTCCTTCTCGTCTACTCATGAATCCATGTTGATGACTTCATCTCTTCTTCATCTCTTCTTCATCTTATCTTCTTCATACTCATCTTATTATCTCTTCTTATTCACCTTATACATCTCATGTTATCTCTTGTCTCTGTTTCATCTCTTCCCCGGAGTCTCACATCTCATCTCATCTTACTCTCTGTCTCATCGCGGTGATCACGATCTTCGCCCCCTCGGCGTTTGACCCTTCACGACTCCTCCTCGACCCATCCATCCACTTTATATCGTATGTTGTATATAGGTGTAGAGTCCTTGGTATAGTCTTAGCTGTATAGCCCCGTCATCCTGCGCTGTTGTCAGGCCGACCTCTGCCCATCCCCAAGTAAACACTAACGTCAACCCGCGATCTTCTACTGGTCAAGCTGCGCAGCTCGCGCTAGTTCAAGACATCTCGCTTCTCGCTTGCTTCAGCCTCCTTTTTCTGTCTCTCTCTCCGTCCTCCGCTCGAGTTATATCTTTCAGCCTCTGTCTCTCCTTTTCATCGTCTTCTCCATCTGCTTCTTCTCATCTCATCTCGGATCGCCGTGGTCGTGTTTCAGCGCTGCTCCTGGCTTCAACGCCCCAATTTCAGGTTTCCTCTCGCCCCCCCTGGCTGGTCTCGTCCTCTTCTCCTTAGGTAAGAGACGGACTGGGACTTGACAGCGCAGCGCACGGCGATCGCTCCCTCGATACGAGCGAAAAAAACACACCACACGGCGAAAAGGCTGACCGCAATTGCTGACACCAGTGGTCGCCGTCTCATCGTCAAACATCTGGATAAGGGCCGGGCCGCGTCGACCGTCCGAACCGTGAGAAGCTGCTTGATATGTGACGAACAGGAACAGGAACAGGAACAGGAACAGACAGGAACAGGACGATATCAGACGGAACGGATCAGGACAGGAACAGGAAGAGGAACAGGAACCAAACAGACAGGAACACAGACAGATATAAACAAACAAATGCAGCCCTATCGACCGGCTTATCGAAACCCTTCGCCCGATCCTGATCAGGACCTCGCCATGTTACCTCCCCAGAACAACTACTACTCGCCCGTCAACCCCAGCCACCACCAGCTCCCACCGCAGCACCAGCAGCAGCGACAGCCTCATCCCCATGACGACCCTTACTACTCCGACCGAGACTACGTACCGCACCACCCGGGCCAGTCGGACGTCACGACCGGCGCAGACAACTACGGCCATGGGGCTGCGGGAGGAGGCATGACGGGCCTTGCTTCCGGCGTCGCCGCTTACCCGGGACAGTCTCGTCGACACCTCCATGACTCGCGTGCCTACGAGGAGATGGGATACCAGGAGACCATGGGCGGGAACTATGAGCCGGCTGGATATGACCATGGCTATCAGTATCAGCAGCAGCAGCAGCAGCAGCAGCCTCCTCATCACGCCAACAGCATGAACAACGGCAACTATGGCAACAACAACTATGGCAATAACAACTATGGTAACGACAGGTATAATGCGTACCAGGAGAATGCTAATGCTGGCCCCGCGAGATACCACTATGAAGACCCGTACAGGAGAGACGAGTCCAGCCTGGGCGCCGTACACCCGGAATCCATCAACCCACATGATATAGTCGACGATGGAGACGACGGCTTCATGCCTGAACCCAAGAGACGCTCCATCCTCAGCATCGGCCATAACTCAAGCCACAACAACCTCTATGCCGGCGCCGTCCCTGTAGCCGGTGCGTCGGGTTCCCTGCCCGGATCGGGCTCTCGCAGTCCCGCCGGTGGTGCCAGTTCCAGTGGTAATATCGGCGGCAACAGCAGCAGGGCAGATGCACCGCTATACAACCTCGCGACAGGCGAGAAGAAGGTCTTTGCAGACGAAGAGCGCTCGCGGAAGAAGCGGCTCTGGATCATCGGCATTATAGTTGCCCTGGTCATAGCTGGTGCTATAGCCGGTGGTGTCACAGCAGGCATCCTCGCCAATAAGGCTGCCAGCTCCGACCCAAACAGACCCGGCCACTCGGGCTCAGACGACGACAGCAATGGCGACCTTGGCAAGGACTCGAAAGAGATCAAGGCCCTGCAGAGCAACGACCTGCACAAGGTCTTCCCGGGCATGGACTACACTCCCTGGGGAACACAGTACCCTCTCTGTCTCAAGTACCCGCCCAGCCAGAACAACGTCACCCGCGACATCGCCGTGCTCTCCCAGCTCACCAACACCGTCCGTCTGTACGGCACAGACTGCAACCAGACCGAGATGGTCCTGCATGCCTTTAAGCGTCTCGAGCTTCCGCAGATGAAGCTCTGGCTAGGTGTCTGGATAGATACCAACACCACCACCAACGACCGCCAGATCGAGCAGCTCTACAAGATCCTCGAAAACACTCCCGACAAATCAGTCTTCAAGGGCGTCATCGTCGGAAACGAAGTGCTGTACCGTGGCAAAAACGACCCCTCAACAATCACCCAGCTGATGGGCTATATCAAGGGCGTCAAGGACGAGCTCTCAAAGCTTAACCTTAAGCTCCCCATCGCCACGTCCGATCTAGGAGACGCATGGACTCAGCCGCTCACCAAGATAGTCGATGTAGTTATGTCCAACGTCCATCCGTTTTTCGCGGGCGTTACTTCCGCCCAGGGAACGGGCTGGGCATGGTCGTTCTGGACGGAACACGACGTCGTGCTGACGAAGGGAACAGACAAGAAACAGATCATTTCTGAAATCGGATGGCCTAGTGGTGGAGGCAATAACTGTGGCATGGATAAGTGTCCTGATTCCACCTCGGGTTCGGTAGCTAGCGTTAAGGATTTGAATATCTTCATGGACCATTGGGTCTGTGAGGCCTTGAGTAATGGCACAGACTACTTCTGGTATGGCACACTTTCTTCTTTCCTTTCCAATGCTTTTACTAACAGTGCACAGGTTCGAGGCCTTCGATGAGCCGTGGAAAGTCAGGTATAATGAACCCGGCAAGGAATGGGAAGATAAATGGGGTCTCATGGATCCCGGCCGGGTTCTTAAGCCTGGTATCAAGATTCCCGACTGCGGCGGCAAGACGATCAACTAACCTCACCTCCATTCGCTTCTTTTATCTTTTCGATATATACGCGCCTTTTTACTCTTCGATATACCTTTTCTTTCAGCCATATATACCGCCATATATACCGTTCAGCCAACCAGCTAGGCTAGCTAGCTCACGTCCCCCCGCGTTCGAGCACCAGCGCACTTCTTCCTTCCTGTTCATTCTACCTTTCTACCATTTACATCTTTACACCTTTTATTGATTTGATGTTGACACACGCATTATGTAAATACCTTCTCTCTCCCTCTTCTCTTTCCACTTACCCGCAGATCCAGATCCAGCTCTTTTCTTTTTTGCTCGCCCGATCGACCCCGTGGCAGACGACGGATAAGCTACTCAACCAGCACGAGTAAGCGACTGACACCCGCATAAGCATGCACGTACATATATATACACATACACATACATACAGTTCCCGCCGCGCGACGCCCCGCTCGCTGCCTTGGTCTTATCTTTTCTTTGCCCTGCCTTGTTTTTCTTTTTCACCCACATGTTCGATCAGTTATACTTTCTTTTCCGCTTTGACGTCGTTGCAGGCTTAGGCTTTTGCTTTTGCTGCTTGCTTTTTCGAGTGGCTTTTTTGCCCGCTTTTGCGTTGCTTTGTTTTTTGGACGCCTGTCAGCGTTTTCTTTTGAGAGGGAAGCTTTGCTTTGCTTTACTTTGTTTTGCTTTGCTTTGCTCCGTTTTGCTTTTGTTGGATTGTGTTTGTAGCATGGATGTTTTGTATATAGTTGTGTTTTTGGAGTAGCTAGCTTATGGCTTGATCGATCGGCCGGATAACCTAGATATATATACTTGACTTACTTCATTTCTGCCTATGATGTGATTGGTTTGTAGCGATACCGTGCTAGCCTCCACGGCTATGCATTTGTATCTAGAGCGTTAAACGAAGAAGTAGATAGTGCTCGTTGTGCTTTCGGGATTTAGCTCGGAGAATGACTAGGTTTGGTGCAAAGGTATGGGACAATAATAAAGCTCAGCGAAATAGCTGTTATTCCCCCGATACATTGATATATCGAATCTCTTGCATCCCCGCTAAGAGACAGTATCTAGTTATATAGATATGAGCGTTTGTTGTTGTTGACGTCGGTGGTCAAATTTAACTTGCAGCGTGCTTAGTAACAACTAGAAGCAAAGTACATCCGCCCCACATCCCGCTTATTGCAGTATCAAATGCCGACGTCAATGTTGATTCTCAAACAAAAAGATACGCTACACTTTTTGAAAGGGCCGTCAGCTACCTAGTCAGCATCTCATAGTAAAGATAAACCTATCAAATTAAAAAGGTACCAAGAGAGTTTTTCTTGAATTCAACAATCTAGCAACCTCAAGCAAACGCAAACATACGTCCATCATCCGCTTTTGTCAGTAGCGTACCATAGATTACTCGATAGACACAAAAAGAGTCCAGTCCGTACCAAGTAAGCTATAGCAGCAAGGGTGTCCGTATCAATCAAAATTCTCACCTCTCAATGAAATGAACTGTTAGTAGTCGTCATAAAAAAAATGTAGGAAGCTATTTTTTTCTTCTTTTCTTTGCCTTTTTTCATTTAGTAGGTTATTCATAAGTCAATAAACAAATCAATCATTAGATGCGAGGAAATTAAGCAAACGCATGGCTCTGCGTGTTACAGAGCAGAGAGAGGATATAGATTAGATCAAAGGTGTAAATGACGGACATGTGGAGTGAAGATTCACACTCTTTATCGTCGAGGGTCCCGTGGTGGTGGTTCGAGTCTCAGCTGGGACGAGCTGCGGTCATCATCTTCATCGCTGTCGGTATCACGAACGCGAGTCCGATTATCATCATCGTCTCTAGATTTACGATCCGTGATTCGTCGAGTACGAGATGCTATTCGATAAAAAAACCCACCATCAGCTTCCGTAGTATCGAGCTAGCGTATCTATTGGGTTACTGTTCTCAAGACTCACCTCGGATCTTAGCAGACGAAAGTGCGTATTCCTCAATCTCTTCCCTGGACAGAACACGCAGCACAATAACGTAGTCCGGCCGTTCTTCAAACCTTTCACGCCCTTCAAGAGCAGACGGGCTAACTAGCCTTCTGTCAATTTTGGTCCAGCGGGCGCCAGCGGGTACACCCTTCTTTTGGGTATCTTTCAAAGGCGCCACGCCTTCTCGGACAGCATGGGGCTCTTCAGGGAATTTCTCAGTGGGCTGTTTTAGAATTCCCCGTGGTGCTTGGGTGTCTGGGCTTGTTCCAAAAGCTGGAGGAGGTGACCTCTTTGCAGGAGGGTTCGATTCTCTTGTAGCTACTCCAGCAAAATTTTCATTACGTTGGGAGTTGACCGACCGCTTAGAGTCCGAGTCAACAGGCGATGGAGCCCTGGGATGCCTTTCCGCCTCCCGAGAAGGTGATGGCTTGTACATGTGATTTCCCCGAGCTCCATCCGAGTAGTAGCCATCATTTGATTCCTGTGGCCAGTTTCGGGAGGATGACTTATACTTATCCTCGGGACGGCTAGGGTAGTCGGGGCGATCTCGTCCAGGCCGTGGAGAGAGCTCCATGGGTTCCTTAGAATATCCACTGGCAAGGCCAGCAGTTGCAAGGCCACCACTCATCATTCTATCTGGAGCTCGACTGCTAGAATATCCACGATCTCGGTTCGGAGTTTGGCCAGAAACACTTAGACGTCGGTCGCGCCGAGGAGTTTCAGGTTTATCATCAACAATTACGTTATTGTTCGCATCTCTCCGTATCTGATAACCTTTCTCCATGGAGTCATCATAGCCAGAACGGCGTGAAGCAGGAGCAGGAGATGGTGATGAAGTTCTGTCCTGGTGTAGTGAGACTGGGTTACGAAGGGAACTCTTCCGCCGAGTGCTGTCAGGAGTTCGAGGACCACTTGGGTTGATACTGGAACTGTCAGTATCCACGTCCCGCGGCTTTATCTCTCTATAGTTGCGCGGCGCATCGTCTCTCTCAGACCCTGGGAATCGCCTAGACGACGTTGGGGGCCCACTAGGCTTTGGGTCTCGAGTGATCTGTGGAAGGTATGCTTCCAGGCCGGTCAAACTCAAGGGCCTTGCCTTTCGGACAGCAGCAGGAGCCTGCCGACGGAATTCTCTGATAGCATCTGAGTCCCTGTAAAATTGTTCCCGAGCATTGGTATAGCTGAATGAGTCATGCACATCGATATCTTTATTATTTGCGTCCCGACCAGGACTTGGAAACCCAGAGTTTCCGGCAGGAGTAAGATACCCATTTCTGTACTTCGCTTCACGCTCTCCCCCCAGTGGCCCAGTAGATTGTCTATTCCGAGAATGAGACGATGAAGGGGTTATATACCGCTCACCGCCGTCTCGAGATGAAGAGGGATAGATTGTCTGAGATCGTGGCTTTATAGTGGTCACAACAGGTTGCCGGCCCGGAGAGCTAGGTGAATTCAGTGAGATTCTGCTCCCTTCCGCTGATATCGTATGGCTGCGAGGGCGCATCTCGGGGCCTGCCGTGTAGGTTCTCCCGTCAACGGTGTAGGTGGGAGGTAGCTTGATTTCGCGGCCACCAGACACCCTCGAGCTTCTTCTGGCTCCGCTCCGACTGTCCTGGCTGGCCATATCGTCCACCTGATGGCCCTCAGAAGGCCCGTAACACCGTTAGCCGGGTCGAGATGGCTCGCGATATTCACTCGATGTGCGTAGCTTTGCGAACGAGGAGGGGGTGTAAGGCACTCCTTCAGTGCCCAAGGGAAGAGCCAATCCCCGTATTGCGTGAGTCTGACGAATTTTATAGGCGGTAAGGCCTCTCCCTCCCCTCTTGATGCACGTTGAGGCTCTCTGGTTCGATACGTAGGTAGAACTGCTGCTGGTTTGGCGTTTTCCGCGCACTAATAGCCAAATAACTAAGACGAAAAAAGACGAGAGGTGGTAGATCGCGAGACGCTGATTCGTATCTATCCTCTTATATCTGTAGAACAAGCGAACCATTAGCCAGACGTCTTTCTCGAGCAGTTGAGCTTGCAGCAACTTGCAGGCAGCATGGCGGGCTGGGGTTGGTCCAGGTATACCGGCGTCACTGCGAGGTGCAGGGTGCAGGCATTGGCATGGGATGACATTTGATATACCACTGCACACACTCACGGCCAGGGAACGAGACAACTTACATATTTTCGTCTCATAGGCTGTCTCTTCGCAGAGAATCGAAATCTGGCAACGGAGTGGAATGAATAAAAATCGGGGTGTATGGTGGGTTTTTAGTTGTTGACGTGGGTGGGCAGTGGCGCGGGAAATTGATAACTAGCCAGCTAAGAATCACCCAAACTTGCTAAGAAGCTTCAGTGACCATCTTTCTTCCATGGGTTGACCAATTTAAGAAATTATTACTAATACCAGGCAGCAGAGCTCATGGCCTGGTTGATAACTCAGTGGTTAGTTACGTTGAGAATATGCCAGCGACGTCCAGTTCATTCTATCCGGGAGTCCGCCTCAGGCTAGTTACAGCAACTGGCGGCGGCGCTCCGTAACTAGCTATGTTGTGCCGCCGACGTGCATGGAGTGTGTATGCAGGTCTCTCCTCCTCTCTCCCCTTAAGCTGGTTAAGCTAACCTGGCTTCTCAGTAGAGGCAAATGGAAAGCAAAGGCAACAAGCGTCTCTGTCTCTCCATCATCTGCAAGGCAAGGCACCTCCCAGGCTGCGGCAAACCAAACCTCCTTCAAGATATTGTTCCGCCATCAACACAGGGCCAAACTCAGCAAGCACCGAACCGTGGCACAGGCCTAGTTAACCCAATATCCGCTACTTATCCACTATCCACTCTGCGACTCAGCCTGCATCTTTTGATCCGAGGGCGGGCTAAGCCTTAAAGTGAACCATGGGTGTGACTGTGGGTTGGTCATCCAAGGCACATTTTATGTTGCTTGCCTGGATAACTTTTGAACAGGAACAATCAGTCTCTTTAGCCCCATATTCGCTTCCGGTTCGAAGTTACCTTGAAATCTGAGGTTGAGCCTGTTGTGGGAGAAACAGCACAGCCACTGGACATCCGTTCTCGTATTGCCCCAGCCTTGCTGTAAGGAACCGCTTCACTATTCCTCCAACAATAACGGGCAAACTTGTGACACTGCAACTTCCTGGTAAGCAGAGCATGAGAATACGTCCTGATCCAACGGCTAGTATCGACAACATCCCGTTTTCAACACGCCATTCTCATCTCGGAGCATACGGAGCACGAAGTAGTTAGACAGCTTTTGATCACGTCACGTGATATATTTTCTGAGCAAGCAAAATTCGACATCCATGAGGAAGACGAAAGCCAAAGCATCAGCTAGAGGTGTCCTATTCCATATTTCCGGTCTAAGAAGACATTTGGGGTATGGCTTTGGACCTGACGGCCGGGGATCCACAAGGCTTGTCTTGAAGAAAGACAATGTTTATGGGCGTGGTTTTCCTGTCGGTTGGTGCCTGACGTCTAGAATTTTCGCTTCGAAGGCGTTGCAGAAGACAAAGGCCATCTGTATCAACGAGGCTATAGCTGTGGGGCTTGTATCTGGGAGAAATTTGCGTGTTAGTCTCACTGTAAATCTCAAGGATTTGCATTTTCAGATACCCGTCACTTGTCAACAGATATGACAAAGTACTCCGAGAGGGTTACTTTGGTAGATAAAGCCAATAACCACCGGAATCGACATTGACAGCTGTTCGAGGCCATAACGCAAGCTAACTGTCATAATCCATGCAGCAAGCCCTGTCTAGTAAAGGCACCCATGCACATCATATGCACCTTTTATGCAGTGGAAGCTCTATACTAGCTGCCTAGGCCGCTAAAACAGGAACCATGGTTGTCTAGCCATTTTATTGCTGATCAAGGGCTTTTATTGGTTTCTCTTTGCTATCTTGCTGGGATCTAGACACCTCAATAAATCAGTATACGGCCTGTCTTCCAGATATATTCCCCCTGACCGACTTTTGCGGGCTAGAAGGCTTGACCTACCACCGCCGGGGCCAGAGAGTCCCCTTCTAAACAATGAGCATTGTTCGGATTCTGATGTGCCCTTTCTCTGGCTCAGATCTGTGTCTGGTTTGTCTATTCTCTTCTGCTTGGACAGCATGTTTGCTCATGTGAGGGCGGTGCAGCCTGCTGCATGGCCCAGGTATTGACTTGCCATAACAATTATTATTTCAAGCGCTGGGGAAGGCAGACGTGCCGCCGCCTTCTAGGCTCCTGATCTTTGCTCTCCTGCTACTTCTTTTGCTGTCTGTTTAGAAGGCAGTCAGTGAGGATGGGATGATGTTGTTTTGGTTATTTAAACTGCACGTCTTCCCCCTCTTCGTCGACTTCTTCCTCTATCTAACAACAACCTACACCTCACTCATACTCACTTCAGACAAGACAACCCTGCTTTGAAAAGCCTGAGAACAAGCCTGAAACACCCCCTTAAGTGCTTAAGAGTAATACTTTACTTCTATCAATCAAGCCAGAACCATTTCAAGATGTGCTTTGCAAAGGCAATCCAAGTCCACCGCGCCCCCGGTAGAGCTTCTGTGGCATCCAAAACCACGGTCAAGACCCCCGACCCGAAGAACTACATGTTTGGCTCTGATCGATGGACATGCTGCGAGTGCTCTGAGAGCAACGATTACGATACAAATCCATCGAGGTGCGCGAGTTGCGGCCACCTACGATGTAACACTTGCAGGGACTCCATCCATATGGTTGTCTAGACTTTAGAGTGCCGGGCTACACCTATCGACCGCTCAATACTACAACAGACGTCTTCACCCTTTCACTCTAGACACCCACAAGCCCTTGTTTGAGCATTGAAGCACGTTCCCTAAAGGGCGGGCTCCTCGACCTACACCTTCGATATCGTACCTTTTACCTCAAACTGCGGATGATAATATATGTTAAGCCCTCGTTTTATGGCCTGTCGACACGCGCTTGCCAATCGACATCTGATCCATAACCGACTCTACGAACTGTTACAATGACCTGATGCATCCACTGCTTGACAAAATTACATTGTGGATGGTTTACTTCCTACCTCATACTTTCTTACTCTCCTAGTTTCCTGTTTATGCCTTTTAGCCTTATGCCTGATACCCATCCAGTATTTCTTATCCTATAGGTCTTATTCCTCCTTTTCTTTTTCTATGTTGTTTATCTCTTGTATTCCTTCTCCTGCAGGATTCTACTGTATGAACCTGCCCTCTACGGTCTTTACCGACCACATGTTTATGTCCATCACCAGCATGTATTAGGGAGCTAACGACAAATAACAATCTTAGTTCTCCGTCTTTATTCCCCGATAAAATGAGTATACCCTGTTATGAGAGCTCGTAGCCGCCAAGTAATAATCATTCGATAAAAGGCATTTATAGTATTAGTTAAAGGAATAATAGGGTATTACAAGATCTAACGATGGTAAGGAGAACTGTCTCCAGGTTAATATAACAGTGGAAATACAAGAAAACGGGGAGACGGTGGTAAGGTATCCAAAAAGGGGTATCAATGCAAAACATTAGTCTATAGCGTGAGTGTTGTCGCTCTAGTACAGTACCCGAACCAGTATCATATATATATAGAAATATAATCAAACACCCTCAACAGCCAGCCTATTGTTCCGGATCGATCTATCTCCATCGCGGGAACGACGATGGGACTTAGGAGAGCCCTTTGTTTGTTTTCGGTTAGTTTTGATTCTCTCGTCGCGTGACCGACTGCTAGTGGACCGTGAGGACGATGGGTCGGAGTCGCTGGATCTTCCATCCCTACGCCTTCTTTTGGTCCTGTAAGAGTGATGGCCGGACTTACGAGCGGGAGTTTCCAATAAGCCTGCTTCCCTCTTCATCCGTTGGACGACAGGACCGAGGGCGTACATACTGTCCTGCCGATTATGAGACGCACATGGGCTATGTTTTATGGGTAAAATCCAGTCAAACACACTATAGCCCATGACTTCCCTAAGGTTCGCAAAGGGGTCCCCAAGGTCAAACGGGTTTTCGCCGGGACGTGTATGTAATATGGCAAATTGACGACGAGGTGAGTTGTCCCCCCCATTTGTAACCCCAGGTTGGGCAGCGGATGTAGGATAGCAGACAACGGGAAATGGTGGCCGGCTGTTTGGAGGGAGGTTGTCGAGGTCTAGGGGCCTAGGAATTAAGATAGCCAACGTCCAAACTTTACTACTCCAATCAAGACTTTCGATCGTGGAGGAGTTACGGAATGCTATCTGGAGGGAGCTTATAAGCATTCCTGCCAAGAACAGCCCAAAGAAACCAGAGCTATCAATGGTTAGCCGTGTGGCAAAAAGTTGCAGGATACCAATCTTGTATTACTTACGATGCCAGAACAACCATCCAGTGTATATTCAATGTTCCGAACTGCATCACGCCGAGCCAGGTTAGTCTTCGCCAAAAAAGGCGCACTATATTTAGGTCAATAGGGGTGTATGTACCATCTTTTTATGTTCAGCAACAAAAACGGCCATTACAACTCCGTTAAAGGTAACAAACAGCATCGCGTAGAACAGAAACTGAATGAAGAACTTGAATGAAGTCTCGCTGACCACACCGCCTACCCTACATGTCGCGTTAGTATTAGCGCTTCTGGCAGAACTCAAGCTTCAAATCTATATGGGGGTTGGTCGTACCAGGGACAGAAGTGATCCATTTTCCTTACACACCTGTTGACTTCGCTGCAATGGTGTGACCGATCCGTTTTAAATTGGTAGCAAGTAGAGCACCATGGCGGTTTTCCGTCTTGCTGGCAGACGAAGACATCTTTCATGTAAAATGCTTCTAAGCCGGCAGTATCGAAAGGATGTGCGTTCTTTTCGTCATTTACATTAGACTCGCCCAGTGTAGCATATGGTATAACTTCAGTCTTCTCTCGATCACTGCTATCGGGGCGTTTATGTCCTTTCTCTCCTTTGCGCTTCCCATGCTTATCTGAGCTCGACCATTGTGGTCCTCTTGGAAGGTAACCGGGGGAAAAGATAACGGTGCTGAGTAGTCGAAGGTATGTCGTAACTAAGAAGAAGAACAAGATGTAAAATGTAACCAATAATCCGATAGCAACGCTGATGCGTGGGCGTAGCCCGGTCACCGCAGCCGGCTTAATCAAGTAATCAACTTTGGACAGGTTAGTAAAGTCCGAGCTACCCCTTGGGAAAGACAGGGTATATATCGACTTACTGCATAAGGCCTTTGTAATAGAATAGCAGCTATAGATAAGAAGCCCACCTAGAAAAGCCGGAATGATTCTCGCGACAGCTCGACTGGCAGCTTTCTGATCGCATGCCATCAGCCCGGACTAGTGGTAGCTTGTCGAGCAGCTAACATCAGGCTGCCTGCCAGACCTGCTATGAACTCTGCACGCGGAGTTGATATAAGATATACTCTGGCTAAGTGATGGGCATAGGGTAACGGGTACGAGTCGATATTGGCCGTGTATGAACTCCGGATGAATGGTGAAGAAGATGGTGATGATGAATGCCCGAGAATCAAGATTCCCAAGTCACCAAGAAAGAAAAAGCAAAGAAAGCTTCATCTTGCTTAGTCATCCAGTTTTTGTCATGTGACACCCCGCACTGAAAGGGAAAGGTGGAGATCTTCAAGTTGGTTGTGAATGATCAACGTCAATGAAGCGCCAACTGAGATACGAGCAGATGCAGGGTGGACTCATCGCTCGCTATGGAAGCAGATTAAGCTAGAGGCAAGCAAAAAGGTGTAGGTTTTGGCCGATGCGATGGGTTGATCAAGCTGAACCACTCTTTTTTGCTTTTCTCCCGGGCAATTTAGTGCAATAAGGCTGACAGGCAGAATCAGGGAACAAGCCCTCCATGAAACAGCGCCAGCCGACGGTTAGTTAACGGCGAGGTATCATCCATCCATCATTATCATCATCATCATCATCAATGGAGTCGAAGAGGAAGCAAAAGTTGGTTACGAACGGCCGCGGAAGATGGCTTAGCTAGCTGACAGGCAGCAGTTGCCAGCTCTAAAGAGTTGTTCGTGAAGACACTATATCCAGCCTGATTAGAGGCGCTGGTTCTATGCCTGGAGGCACCTAGGCCTGCACTGGTGGGATGCTGAGCGATAATGCTATCATGATGTCGCGCTGCAGCTGAAACCAAACAAGCTTATCCGTTAGAGTATCGAGTTTCATCTTGAAGGAGGGGCGGAGCTAGGCCCGAGGAGCCTTGGTCATCTTGTGCGAGCAGGCGAGCCATCTATCCTTCGACACAAGCGAGGAATATCTAACACAGAAAGCAACCATCCTTAGAAGGCAAAAAGAAAATGTCCGAAGATCTTTGTCCCTAAAAAAAGCCTTCCGTGGTAGGTCAAAATGTTTACATAGTTCTCGCTTCATGCCGAAATCTACCCACTTACGGACCCAGGCGAAAGGAAAGACCTGATTGACACGAGGGTTCTGATCCCAGGCACAAGGATAGTTGCTCCTGAGGCTGATGATATGAAAATGAAAAATAAAAATGAGAAAAAAAAAAAGCCCCTTGCGAGAACTGCTGATGGCATAGTTACTCCTGCGAGTGTTGGTCATGGATCATGATCACTCTTGCATTCCACGTTTTTCTCCATCCTACGACCGAGCCCCTAACTAGTTGTACGTGATTAGTTCAGCCTACTGAAACATCACTGCCTTGCGTCCAGGCTACAAAGTATTAATCCCAAGGGTTTCAGGCTGCTGCTTTCGACTTTTACAGAGGCAGATTTCTCATAGGCTGTCCAGGATCATTCAGGATTCGATGTCCGATTATTCAACAAGTTGTTGGAAATCAAACCCTTTATTACGTGATCCACATTTTCTTTAAATCACGTGATGGCTCAGAAGAAAAGGTTCGATTGCAAGTCGACAACTCCGCAACTACTGACCAGGAAGCGAGTACTCCGTACGCGGTAACCACACAGCCTACTCATGTCGTTTAAGCGAATTGCAGCACGGTGCTTGGGTGTCTATGGTAATTTTACCCATATCCTATCATATTTTCCCATCGTCATTATCGATCTGTCGCAGTGTTTGTTGCTGTCTGATCCTCCCGTTCGTGCCGTGATTGTTTTTCCTCCAGCAAGCTAACTAGTCAAGTCCCTTCCTCCAGGCAACCAAGCACTTCAGGCCAAGCGAGGCTCCCATTGGACAAGCCCCATCTTCCTGCCGTTGGAGCCTTGGGCTTAGCGTGGTGGGCAGGGAAACGATCCCAAGGGCAGCGAAGGCTCCAAGCAACTTTATCGCCGGCCTTTCTTGACACAGCTGAAGGGTCTCAGCAACAGAAACGGCCTCTGACTCAACCTGCACTCCGTACGTCTGACATCAACCTTCGACGTCAGGGGGGATGCGGTTGGCGGTCGAGTCATCACTAGCGTCCTTACTCGATCTACATAGGCACGTTGGTGCCTATTTCTCTGCCCCCACTACTAATCGCTAATTTGAGGCGGAGCTGCCACCGGGCAACCACAGCAATGTCCAGGCCTCCCTTTTTACGATTCCGCCTGGGACAACCCTGGGTGCCTATCTCGTGATTTATCGGCCTGGAGGCCGCAAGATACCTCAATAGGAGCAAAATACACCTGACCCGAGTTTTATGCACTGCCAGGAAACTTACGGTTTTTGCGGTTCTGTCGTCAAAGGCACAGAGACCCGCAAAGCCAGGCATTCATGATGCCCCGTTCTACACTCTTCCTCCTTCCTTCGGTCTCATTACATATATAGATGAATCATTATTTATATATCACCAACTTTCCCGTTCTTGCCTCCTATTCTTCATTCACAAATACACACTTCCATACAGCCTACCATAAATCAAGAATAAAAAGCTCATACCATCCGTTGCTTGTCTTGTTATATATATCCTACTTTATATATCTTGCTAGACGTATATAAAGCTCACTGTCCTCTTTACGTTGCGCTATCTCATCAGGCAACCAACTGCTACTTCCTCACAACTCGACTGCCGCCCTCATCTATACACAGGGCCATGCCGCAGGCTACTCACTGGGTCTGCTGTCGGTGTGGTTTTGGCCCAATGATTATCGACAGCTGCTCTTCTTGCCTAAGCTGCCAGCATCCAGGAGCAAAATCTCCTTGCTGCGTCCAGACATCCCTTGCACTCAACAAGCCTACTTCAATCATGGCATCGACAAATTCATACCGAAGGCTATCAATAAACGACACCATGGAGCACCACACATTACCTTCAGTGGTTGCGCCAACACTTGACTACAACCCTCCATTGCGCCAGCGGGGAACATCTCTATACCTCTGCTGTGGCTGCGGCGATGGACCAAAGGTTTACGAGCACCATTGCCGATGCATAGTTTGCCAGCATGATGCCTGCAGTTCCTGCACCTATTTTAAGTGAAAACCTACCTTGAAATGAGCTCTGAGACGACAGACGGTATGTACATCGATGCGAGCCCCTTCATCAGTTGAAGATATGGGTTTGCTAACTTGATATTAGATGTACTTTAACGCTATTATGCTGCATACTCACGCTGGATGACTTGACGTTGCACTCCCCTACTCAGTTTCCTATTCATGTTTTGATTTTGCGACCCATCTTCAGCACTGAAGCGACTATTGCTGGGAAATGGTCCCATACGCTGCTGTCTACTTTTTTTTGGTTGTTACTTTCTCTATTCTTTTTGAGTGTTATGATTAACAGGCAGATATTTCTGCCTGTACGGAGGGCAGCTGCTTGCCTGTACCGACTAGTTTCTTTCCTCTTTCTTTTTTCCTTTCTAAATGTTTCATATATCATAGCGACGGATTGCTGGGCTATTTAGATGCGGGTTTCCTTTTTTACTCTTTCCTACAGTTATAGACAAAGTCATTTTGATAATTACAGAACAAATCATCTATTCTCTTGAATCACTTCTTGCTCCAGCTTCATCGTTCCCTTCGTATAGATAGAGTCGACGCCTCAGGTGTTTCAAGCGATCATTGTGGAACTGGCATGGCTTAGTCCTTTAGTGCTCCCGCGAAGTCCGAGGAGCAAAAATGTTCCTCAAGGCTATTTTCAGCCTCGCGGTTGCCTTGGGGCAGCAGACGCCAATGAATTAGTCACTCCGCTAGTGGGCCTGCGGTTTATCCCTCTCTCCAACCCCACGCCCGGCGGAAAGAGCTGACTCAAAGACAAGCAGGGATGCCACACGCTAGGCAGCAAGGGAGAAATAGCAAACAACCCCCATCAATAATTGAGCAGAAACTGAATGGATACTGGTGCAACTCTTCTGCCCTGAAGGATGAGGTCATGCAGGACGTGTCAATTCTTCCTTTATTATTCGCTGATGATACTCAATTCTCTGCAAACCTCATCCTGTTAACCTTCTCCGCCGTGGAACCTTGGTGGCTCTGAAGCTTGTGGGCGCTAAACCATTGCAAAGGGGACAATACACCAAAGTCAATTTGTATGGGCAAACAGCTAAATAACTACTCAGAGGCACCAGGCAATCCATTATTGGAGAGCTACCAGCCTGCAGGTTTAGAGGTGTGAGAATTGACTTCTTCTTTGCTGGATAACGGGAGTCCCTTGACCCTGCGGCGCTTCAAAAAACCCTTCTCCTGGTCGTTAAGGGTTCGTCGATGTCGACGCCGCAGATGGAGTCATAACGGCAGCCTTGAAGAACCATCCCGCAATGCCTAACCGGAAGACTCCGTGCTCCGCCCGGAGCTGGTTCTGATGATTCATATTATTATCGTTTTGTTGGAGACGGGTCGTCTCATGCAGGTGCATACGGGGTACTCCGTGCAGGCAGGATGGGCGTTCTTGTGCTCTCGGGCGATTTCCATCATTGAATTGCGCACGATACCCATGTTCCGCCCGCTCCGGCCAGGTCGAGAAAAGATGTCGACTTGGAGCCCCTGTTTCCTCGCTGCAGGAGAAAGGGCACAAGACCAACATCTGTGATGCATGATTTCACTAGTGTGCTGCGAGAATTAATTGACTGTTGAGCAGGGGGATGCTCTTGACCGCAGCAGAATCTAGGCAACTGGCTTTTGATCCCAGGAAATTTGAGGCTGCTGTTAGGCCGCTGCCTCACCCCTTCCATAGACATTCTGGAAAGTTTCTCTTTCTGGGAACTGCCGTCCAGCATCTGAGTTGTCCAATTCAATATCAAGCATGCCTTGTATCGCGCTGGTACGGAGTACAGGGATGACGACTGCTCAGTAACCCGTAGTCATGGCCGATTTTCCGCCCAGGTCGCCCAATATGCCTCATATATATCATACAGCCGCATTGATCACCTGCACAATTACTCTGTACTCCGCCGCCTTACCCGTCGCTCCTCGTCGTTATCATCGTCGTTGTCTTTGCCGTTGTTGTTGTTGTTGTTGTTGATTTACTCACTGTTCGTTTAGTCTCGTTTATCGCAGATTATTGCTTACCTAAGCATATATTACGGCCCTTTATTTATCCGAAGCAGTGGTGAAGACGCTGACTAATCAACACCTTCTATCTCAAACTTATCAACGTCAAGAGGCATTGACGATCTGACGTTTCTTGGTTTCTTGCAGACCGGCAGCGACAGCGGGGAGACAAATATCATTCCTGACCGCCCGTCGCCATGGTGTTGGCGTCCAATCGGTAGTACCAGCAGCTAAAGTCGCTGAATCCCTGATTTCCGTGCCTAGGACTACTGCATTGAACCCACACTCAGCCCTCTAAACGCCCTGGAGGAACGCTTGTCAGCATGGCATCGACAACGCCCGTCTCCAATCTTCCTCAGTCTGAAATTGACGCCATAATCCGTACGAAGCGAAAAGTGCGCGAGCCGAAAGCATGTTACCCGTGTCACACCCGAAAGGTCAAATGCGATCGCAATTTACCGTGTGACGGGTGTGTAAAGCGAGACCATGCGGATCTATGCTCTTATGAACGTCCCTCCAAAAAGCGCCATGTAAATACTCCTCCTCCGCAGGACTCGGAGGAAATGGTGAAAAATCTTGAAGGCTCCGGAAATATATCGGTTGGGGATGTTGAATTGCAGAATATGGCTGTTGAGCAGGATAGAGTATCTATATCCCGGGTTGAGTGGGAGAGCGTTTGCTCGAAACTAAGGGATATGGAGCGGGCCATGTCTTCCCTTCGAACGGAAATGGAGAAAGTCGACACCACTGCATTGGTATCCCCCGAGCCTCTTACCGAGCAAAGTCGCCTCCCTCGTGACGAACCCTTGTCGGATCGTGAAGGAATTCATGCTAAAAATGTGTATGGAGGCGGGACTGTACACCTGGGATCTAGATCAGTCCTTGCTTATCTACTTGGAGGGTCGCCCAAGGAAGCTACTCAAGCATTACTTGAGGGAGGCATACTTCCAAAGCTAGGCCTGGACAATGAGAGTGCTACATACCCGTTTATCGATCTATGGTCCTCAGACTCCACCACATACGACATCAGATCCGTTTGTGCTGCTCTTCCAGATGATAAACAATGCCGCAGGTGAGCAAGTATCATATTTACTATGTGACAAAGGCGCATTTTAACAGGGGTAAACTAGGTTGTTCAAGTACTACCGTAATATTGCAGCCATTATATACCCCGTACTTTCGGACCTCGATCGGTTTGAAGAGAGCCTGGAGTTAGGCCTTCGGAATAGGGCTGCTTTTGGAATTAGTGAGAATGACGATGATGAGCTGAGTAAGCCCTTCGGTATGCCCATAGCGTTCGTGGGCCTGCTATTCGCTGTGCTCGCTGCTGGCTGCCAATCGTCTGATATGTCCGGAAAGGAACGTGAACTGACTTCCCGGGTATATGGTAAGTACGGTATTGTATCTGTTGGTCAAGATGAGTTGCTAATTTCTTTTTCTCCAGTCTGCTGTGCTTATCAATTTTTACGTGCCACAAATTTCGTATCTCGACCGACTTTAGAGGCAATACAAACTCTCCTAATTATTGGGAATGTCCTTTCATATAACATGAACCCTGGTGTGTCATATATACTTCTGGGTATGTATCTGTTCGTTCAGTTACCTTAGTCTGTAATGGCATTACTAACTGTCAGTAAGGAATGAGCCACCGCATGGGCATGGTCCTCGGCCTCCAGGTTGAGTCGCATAAATTCTCACCGGCTCAGCAGTATGCTAGACGAGTTGTATGGTAAGCTATATAGCATAACCGCTAAATTTAACGCTACTGCATATATACTTTGTTTTTGCTAATTAGAGCTCTATAGGTGGGCAACCGCGTGGCAGGATAGCCATTTCTCGCTATCATACGATAGGCCATCTGCAATGGCATTTAGCCACCCAGACATTCCCTATCATCCAGATTCACAGCCTGGAGGGAGATTTTTCTTTGAAACCATTTGCCAAATCATAGCCTTAACCTTAAATATAGTCAGAAGTCGCATGCTCTCAACAGGCTCACAGGTTCCGTTTTCCACCATACAGACATACAGGTCTGAACTCAAACGAATATTGGCTGATACAGCACCCTATCTTCGTGATCCTTCATTCTGTGTCTCGTCCAACCAGAATATCGAGAGACTCGGTCTAAAACTCCACTCCTCATACCTTACATCAGAGATCTGCCGCCCTTCCCTAAGGCCAAATGCCGATCTCCACGATTCTATAACCATCGCATTACGAAAAGATTGCATCGCTGCTCTATCACGAACAGTAGAAGCATACGTTGAGATGTATGCCGTGAACCGCCAAGCGGCTCGGTCGTGGATTGGCCTTCAACGGGCTATCAGTAGTGCGTTTTTACTGGCCGTTGTTGGCGAATCCAAAACAGACCCGAATATTTGGACTTTACTCCGGCGATTAGAGGGTGTTCTTACAGAACGTGCGAAGGAAGATGATATCTCACAGACAAGTCCAAAGGCTGGAGTTGAGAGCTCGCCTCCTTTTGCTGGCTCGTCAACCAGGGGATCTCTAGAGAATACTTATGATCCTAGTGCTGCGGCGGCCCCAGGAAACGCAGACACAGAAACACAATGGGCCAAGCCACTAATAAAATCACTACGTGCGCTTCAAAAACTAAATGCAGCATTGTTAGTACACCTCAGGCAACACGGCGTTATCACTGGATCTGTCAGCGGTTTCAACCCTGCTCTAATATACACTCAACCAATTACGGGAGGTGTACCTGCCTCGGTAGCTGCCTCTACGAGATCTGGCTCGATTCCGCCCCCAACCCCGGAGAGCTCTGCCAGCGGAGAGTGGAGTTTCCCAACCCTGCTTGACCGCGCAGCAGAGTACATAGATCCGCCCTTATGGTCGTGAGCTATTAGCCTTTTTTTACCATGGTTATCTCGGTGCAATATTAACTCGCAACATCTGCACTGGACGTTAACTTTCTATTCTGATGAGGCTTGGATATATATATATATATATATATACCCCAACTTTCGTTTATTCGGCAACGGAGCCTGGAGTTCTTTGGCGTTGATACTTGTTCTATCTTCCTTACTCAGCCATGAAGTCACAGATGTGTTTAACGTGTCTATTTTGAGGGTTTCCTATATTAGCGGGATTTGGAGCCTGGCAATGGTAGGCAGACCAATATATTGCATCCTCTCTATTCATAAGTTCTTATAATGACACCCCATAATCAGTGGTGATCAGGGAACGCAGCCATTAACTGCGCTGTTTACGGTAAAAAGATCGATATTGAAGTATTGAGACAGGGCAAACAGCTTTGCATTAACAGTAAGTTCATATTCATAAGTCTACCAATTGTTAAAAAATGCGTCTTTAGTACTGCGCCTACAGTATCAGTTTCAGGCTAAGAATATGGTTGGCTATCATGTATCATCATCCACCCGGCCCTCTCTGAGAAGGACTTCGCCTTCGAGTTGTCCGTGTTGACCGGGGGCGACTTGGTTCTGGTATATCGGAACGCGGCCGTATATCATAAGCAGCGCTAGGCTCGGGGTTTCTAGCCTTAACACGAGGCAAGCGATATCCAGCCTTATCAAGCGCATGCTCAAGCAAGCTATCGGCCTCTCCGTCAAGCTCCATGCCGATATTTTGTGCGTCCATTCCGCTAGATGATGGCCGATCAGGGACATCATCTGTCCATTTATCTACGGTCGTTGATTTCTTTGTCCCTTTGGCTGTAGATCTATGCCTCGGTTTTTCGCTATTAGAACTGGCTGTAGAATATTTCCCTTTTCGTGGCTTGCTTGTGTCTTGGAAGGATACTCCTCTGCTCTCTTCCTCGACAGCCCAAACCTCGAGCGCTTTCGAAAGCAAAGTACCCGCAACTCCAGCACCAGCTGCTGCATCTCCACCAGTAGTGCCAAGTACACGTACGGCCTCATGCAATGCAGTAACAGCATCGGTTGTCCGACCCAGTTCTAATAGTATTATACCACGGGCTGTGTGGAAGGATCCTATTAGGCCTCTGTCTTCGTAGCCTCCCACGGCGGAAGCACCAGCAGACCTAACTGCACCAGCTCCTGCCCGGCCCGTGTATCCAGTGTATATTGTTGTTGAGCCACCCGCACCTATACGAAGGCACTCGTCAAACTCAGACAAAGCTTCTTCCAATTTTCCCAGTCGACGAAGTGCATGACCCAAATTTGCTCGAGTGGCCAACCAAGCACTGGGATCACATTCTAGGGAAACAGATAATGCTAAAGCTTGCTGGAAGAGATGGACGGCGTCTTCTAGATTAGCTTCGTGATACAATACTACTCCAAGCTCGTTAAGGACCAAGGGGTCCCCTCCCGTGGGGCTGGGAGTAGGTGGTTCTCCGGTGGAATTAACGCTCAGGGAGAGAGTGTTGCTAGTAGAGTGAGCGCCCGAGGACATTGAATACGCAGCAGACAGATACTCATGCGCTAGAGCCATATTGTTCAAGGCTAGATGTTGCATTCCTAGAAAGAGCTGGGGTAAGTGGCTCCCTTGAAATAGTCTAGCAGCGGTACTATATGCAGCAATGGCCTGATCATGTTCACCCTCGGCGGCAAATGTGTGCGCAAATCCAATCCAGGCTGGCGCGGAGTGGGGGTCGAGAAGAGAAGACTTGGAGAAGAACCGTCGTGCTTCGGCAATCTTGGATACTGAAAGATAATAAACACCAATAGCAAGGTAAGTATAGGGCTCATCCGGAACATTATCTGATAGGGTATGGGCGAGGAGGAAAAGTGCATTTGTAGCGCCAGTTTCGTAAAGGCAGGCAAGATGAAGGGGATACACGGATGGAGAATGCCCAAGGTTTTGGCTTTGACTCCCTTGAGACACCAATGCGGACATTGAATCCGAAGCGGAGAGAATAGATGAGGTTAAAGAAAGCGCTTCCGGAAACCGGCACTGAGTGTAGAGCGTTTCTGCGCGAGAGAGTAGGAGATCAGAGTTATCTGCGAGGTTATAGTGAGTAGAGAGAGTCTCTATAGCATGAGACAGTGCAGAGCAGGACGAGTATTTTGACAGTCTAGTTGTATATAGCAATTTCGTAAACTCCGACGCTTCTTGAGATAGTGAGACATCTGAGGACGGAGTGATTGAGTCGAAGTCTAGTGATTCTAGGAATTCAAGCTCTTCGGCTGGAGACATAAGTGAGTTTTTCATAAGTCGATCAAATGCCTCGAAGCATTGTACGTCAATCCTGACGGCGTCCTTATAACAGTCCCTCGCACGATCAAAGGCATTTTGGTTTGCATAGCAGCATCCTCGTAGATAACACATGGCCGCCTCATATTTAATATGATTGGCATCCTGATACGTATCGGTGTCACCTTTATCTGTGCGAGATGGTATAGAGCGTCCATTCCTAAGAGTGACATGGGAGCCTCCATTCAAGTGCGGCTTTTTTCGTCGGCTGGCACTCTGGATCAGATGGGTTGGGTTGTGTTCCCCAAGAATGGAGAGCGCAAGATCGAATTTGTTTTGTTTGATGTAGCAATGAGCAGCAAGGTATCGACAGGATGAATTCCGAGTAATGAGATCCTTCGTGGAAAGAAGTGCTAAGGCTCGAGTGTAATTGTTATTCGAAAAGTGCACTTGCGCAAGCCAATATGCGTCGTTATCGCTGTCTATATTCGAGTCAGCCCAACAGCTCTCTATTTGTATTTGAAATTGTTGTGCTTACTTGTCAACGCAAGTACTTTATCACCGATATATACCGCCGAGTCATACTGCCCTTTATTCAAGGCATCTTGTCTCCAGTTACGTAGAAACTCCTCCATGGCTGCTTGTGGTTCACCAGCGAGAGCTCATTACCATTGCACTTATGCTCAGTGTTTTCAGAAGGGAGGGAAGAAAAGGTCTTCAACTGGCAGCTCTTCAGTATAAGATAGCGAACATCCGCTTAAAGTCACACATTTGCTTGGGACACGATACAAAACCTCCTTCCATCCCTCGCAGTCTATTGATATCTCCTTGCTTGTGTGTTGTTGACGTTCGCGACTGGCAAAAACATTTGATGCTTATATAATAAACAATGCTCAAAATAATTAGCCAATAGGAAGCTTCTGATAAGAAATTCACATGACTTATCTTATATTATGTCATCAGATGGCTCTTTTGCCTTTTTGCTGCTACTTATTTTTAAATCAACGTCGAGATATCAAAGTCGCAAGCTCATAATCTCATCACGCCAGAAAAGAAGCTCAAGAAAGCTATAATCTTCGAATACCGGATCATATAATACATCTATCGCCGCCAACATGTCTGAACGAAAGGTCCTTACCAAGTACTACCCACCGGACTTTGATCCGTCGCTCATCACCCGAACTCCCAAGCATCTCCGAGCTTCAGGCTCCAAGCTTCTGACTGTCCGTCTCATGGCGCCGTTCAGTTTAAAATGCACTAATTGTGGTGAATACATATACAAGGGCCGCAAGTTCAATGCTCGCAAAGAAACTACTGATGAGAAATACCTCAACATCACAATATACCGATTCTATATCAGATGCACACGATGCTCGAGCGAGATCACATTTAAGACGGACCCAAAAAATATGGATTATGTGTGTGAGCGAGGGGCTAAGAGAAACTTTGAACCATGGCGTCAAGCAAAAAGTGAAGAAGTGAGCGAGACACATGATGAAACCCTAGATCGCCTTGAACGGGAAGAAAATGAAGAACTCGAGCGAGAGGAGAGAGATAAAATGCTGGAGTTAGAGGAGAAGATGCAGGATTCAAAGCGGGAAATGGCAGTGGCCGACGCACTAGATGAAATACGATCCAGGAATGCAAGGATAGAGAGGGGAGAGCGTGGAAGCGGGGAAGAGCTGGCCTTGCTAAGGGCAAAGGCCGAGGCCGAGGAGGCGAGAGCTAGGGAGGAAAAAGACATCGAAGAGGCAGCCAAAAGAGCATTTATGACTGATGATGGTGATCGAGTTAAACGGATTGTTAATGATGATGATCAAGACACCGCAACTCCAGCTGAAATGCCTCCCCCCTCGTTCAAGCGAGTGAAAAAGGCCAAAAAGCCATTTTCGGCAGGATTAGGTATTAAGAAGAAAAGTCCCCTTGTCTGATCATTACGTGCATCATCTCCGGCGTTGGTAATAAAGGTAATCTGGGGAAGTGTTTATTTTGAAGCGAAGCGTTTATTAACTTGATTAGCTACATATTTTTGGGCGAAGAAACTAGGCCTAATACCAGTTGGAATAAATCATACAAGTGAGAACATCAATATAAAAACTCAAACACAACGTAATAACATGAATATCCTCCTTTCTTCCAAAAGAACGCCATGCTTAACCCTTCTTTCTTTGTAGTGTCGATGAGCGAGACTTGTTGGCAGCCCGCAAAATGCAAGAAATTTAGAAAGACGAAAGAAACAACAATGGGAAATCACACATCACCAATAATACAACATGAGAAGAGAAGATGTTTCACAGAAGGAAAGAGGTCAAAAAGGATCAGACGTAGGCCATCCATAAAGCATCACACTGAGCAAGGTTGTGAGGATTGACGGATCGAGAAATAAGGTCAATTACTGACTGGTTCGCAGGAAGGTTGCCATCAGGAGAACTTGTCAAGCTGGCTGCTCGGTTGACGATATAGTCAATATTGCTTTGCACCATATCTTTAAGTTGCTGGAGGACTCGCTGTTGCGCGCTGGCCCACATCACAAGTTCATCCCGTACGAAAATGCTGAGCTGCTGTTCCAATTCGAGTCTTGGTTCAGTGAGGCAGCGAGCAATGGCCATAATAGCACAGGCAAATATGCCTTCAGTTGTCAATGGGCCCATCAACGTTTGAATGTTAGGGGTTAACCGGAAGGGAACCTGTTCTGGATTGTAGAATATTGCCCTAGCAGAGTTCATCGCTGGAATCAACTCGGAGCTCCAGATATCCCCTGTCCGTCTAGAGATGTGTATTTTGCTTGGGTATCGGTTGCCCATATGCATCACGTATGTCATGAAGGCTATTGCAGCATACTGATACGAAAATTGTCGTCGGAAGAGCCAGAAGTCCGCAAAATTTGGATATGTTTGCTGGACATACTGCAAGAGAATAGTGTTGGGCACCCATTTCTTCTGAATCGCATCGAAAATCTCGGTACGAAGGACTCCAGCTTGCTCGGGCGCACGCTGAAAACAGTCAGTTAGATCCAAATTTGAGTTGCCCATATATGGCACACTTACATTTGCTTTTGCTTCTGCGAGTGCCCGCATTTTTTCCATTGTGAACAGGACTGGTTCGTCTTTGGCCATTCCAGTCTGGCGGCAGTGATCTTCGTATATACCCTGCAAAGAGATGTAGGACGGGTCGTCCTTGACCAGGCGGATATGTGGTGCAAAAGGGACCATGAGTGGAAGATGGAAGTAAATGTTACGTCGACGGCTTTCCTTACGCTTCCTTAACACACAATTGAAAATTCGGAAGAGCTGAAGCATCCTCTCCTCACGACGACAGTGGCGGGCTGCAGGGTGTTGAACGGCAAATGTGTGCAGACTGCCATCATGACCACGAATCCTCAAACGACGATGACAGACACCGATTCCACGCACTAAATCAACATGAGGAAGGAACCGATCAATGCGAACAAAGTTTTGGTTCTTGTCATTGTGTTCGAGATATTGCCCAGGGACCTCCACTTCATCAAATTTCATGAACTTGAACTCACTAAGATGGGAGGAAAATGATTCCAGGTGAGCATATTGTGGTCGGCGGTCCAGCTTTTCTTCGAATTTGTCCCTCCATCGACGCAGTTTATGGATGTACTCGTACATGGTTGGCTTCTTGGTGACAAAATCGGCTTCGAACGACTTTCGTATGTGTGCAGGGAGAATGGTTTCTGCGAAGCGTGTGATGTTTGCTTCCGTAGAATGTGGGAGCTTGCAATCTTGTGCATACGACGTAGGCATCCGGCCCACATATGCAAGGCCATCATTGAGTAAAGCAACAATAAGTCTATAAGCATCTTCATCTGGCGGGCATTTGAAGTTCTTATGTATCTGGTCCACCATAGTCTCCATGGTCAAGGCGAGTAGAGGGAAGGCTGTTTTAAGACCAGCCATTGTCTCATCTGCATATTCCCAAGGTTGTTTATCCTTTTGAGTTGCATCGCCTTCATTAGGAGTTTGTCCATTTGCTACAGGGGGTGTCGGCTTAGGAGACGCTACAGCCCTCGGAGAACTCGACGTCGCTGTGGCATCTGGGATAATAGAAGGCTTGGTCTCTGGGGAGCCACTCTTCACAGTTGGAGAACCGGATGCTTTTGCGCGATTAAGTTTTTCCTGCTTTTGCTCCTGCGACTTCTTGAGGCCCAGATAATCCTCACGGCTGGTCCTGAGCAAGAAGAAGAGTGACTGGGGATACAGCTTTGCGATTTTCCCAAGGACTGCCTTGCAAAGCCTAGCTTCCCGGTGTGCAAGACTTGCAAGAAGCTGAGGAATGAAGGTAATCCAGTACCAGACAGGAGTGTCCCCCTTGAAGCTCTCGAAAGCACTTGCAATTTTCCCTTCATCATTGTCTTGACTTAACAACCAGAGGATACGGCTAAGGAGCTTCCTAGACTTGTGATTTTTGTACAGGCCAGCTGCTTCCAGGTAGCAGCTTATTGCATTGCAAGCCTGGTCCATATCTGAGTGATCAGCTTTGAATCGTTGATCACTGTACTGGCCCCACTCAGCCCATGCCTTAGCCAGGCGTAAGTCATAGAATAAAGCGACACCAAATGCCTCATTTGCCTCCATGTTATGGTCCAATTTCGCCAAAAACATGCCCTTCAGGGTATAGAATTCAGCCTTTTGTTGGGCATTGAAGTAGTTGAGATTAGTGTTGTTGATAACCTCTAGTCCACTATTGAGCTCCTTTGGGTTCTGATAATGGCACTTTGCTTGCTCTCTCAGCTTTAAAAAGGCTTCTTGAATCTCAATGTTGGGTAAAGTGTAGATTCGGCTGAGTTGATTAATGCAAACTTCTGGCATCTGGTGTTTCCGTGCGACATGGGCAAATCTATTGATTATCCATGCAGTTTCGTGGTATCCCCGGAAGGCATACGAATTGCTTGCCACATTGTTAGTCTGCGGAGGGAGAAGACTAAGGTACGTGGAATTGATAAGCTGGAAGATATGTTGTCGCCATGTAACAAGGTCCTGCCAGGCATTGATATCATCCCAGACATTGGGTAACCTATCTCGCCATGTGGTAAGAAGGAGTTTCAATTCGGCCGATTTCGTATCCATGTTCCGCTCATTCGTTTGCGAAAGGCTTGTGCAGATAACGCTGGCATCATGAAGCTCAACAAGTTGTTGGAAGTTCTGTAAGATGGGAATATGCGCGTTGGTAATCCGCTTCGGAAGCTGGTGCCATTTTCGAATCGAGAGTTGGATAGATTCGTCACAAACGTTATTAAACTCCTGTAAACTCTCTTGCTTGGTGTGGAATTTTAACAATGACATAAACGCCTGGAAAAAGGTGCGGCGGGGGGTTGGCGCATCCGAAACCGACTTCAACAGAGAGTCAATTTGTTCACGATTGGTATCGCCTTGCCAATTCTCCAGGTTTCTCCAAGTGGCCTCCAAAAGCATATCGTTAAAGTTCTCATGTTTCGCGAAATCAGTTAGAATATCCCACTGTTGGAGTTTTTGAGCACATATCATCCAATGATCTTCCCAAAGGAAATACTCGGCTTGGGCAAATGGAATGGAACCAGTGCGTGCCTTTATCTGAGCTGATTCGTACAATTGCTGTGATTTATCCCACATCCCTTGTTGTTCATAAGAAAGAGCAGCATTGGTTTCGACGAATTTACAGCGCCTTCTCCATGTACCGTAAAACATATCATCTTCCTGTAGCCCAGCATATATTTCAACAAGAGCATCCAGGTTACTCTCCCGAACTACTGGTGTATCGATAACTGGATCAATCGCGTACCGTTCCAGAGCGATGGCAGCCATATACCAAGCATCAAACGTACGGCTAAGGAATTTCATAACATGAGGAGGGATCTTGAAACGGGGACTAGCCCTAATTACACCCTCGAGAAGCGCCTGTACAACATTGGGCCGTTCATCGATTTGTCTATGGTGGTATTCACGCGTGAGAAGCGATACCATGCCTTTTTCCAGGTCGATTCGCTCGTCTCGTGTCAAAGAGGCCCAGCAGATGGTAAACAAGCTAACCCAGACTTTGTACGCGACTTCGGGATCAGCATGCTGGAGCTCTGTGAGTGGCTCAAGGATATCTCGAGCTTTGACGTCCCCAAGGTCTGCGGAGAATTTCTTTTGTTCTGCCACTAGAGCCTCCAGGTGGTTATCAACGATAATATTCTCTTTAGCAGGGTCTTTCTCAGAGTGCCCAAATATGAAGGATGTAGGAGGAATTGTGAAATCGTCTGGATGTAGCTTAACTGATGCAGACATATCGACCGACCCCATCACCAGCTGCGAGGCTTGCGTGAGCCAGAATGATTCTGCGAGGGTGTCCCAGTTCTGTGAGGTCAGAACGTAGCTCAGGCGAGTATTGGCAGAGCGTGTTAAACTCTTGTCAAATATCGACATGAAACGGGTTCGCATGTCAACATCCTGGGCTCTGGTACCAATAAGGAAAGCATGTTCCAGTCTAACCGTGAGCTCAGTTCGTGTGATCTTGGGATCTTCATAGACTCGGATAACAAGTTCCAAGAACTTTCCAAGCATTGTCGAATCAGTCCTAGATTCAAACAGCAGCATCTTATGCAGGACAGCAGTCTTTTCCTTCAAAGTAGGCCAGGATTCCGTGGGCTGGAAGATCCAGTTCTCTACCATTCCTAGAATCTTGGTGCAAAGGGGAATATTCTGAGATCTCTCAACCAATTGCGCCAACACACTTAGGAAGGGCCGTCTTTGGTCACCCAGGTTTGACATTCGAACGGCAATCAAATCGATAGTTTTCGAGATCAAGTCGATGCCAATCTCTACTTCGTGGGGATCGGGCACTGGTGCTTGTTGTTCTGCATTGCGATTAGCTACAGGTGGCGCATTGGTAAAAGCAGCAACATGATCCTTCGCAAGCTTTTGTGAGAAGATCTTCATGACGTGGGGAATATGCTGGTCCATCTCCGCAGGTTGACATTTCGAAAGTGTCCAGAGGATATTGATTCCAGCGATATAATTGCCACTCGAGATCGACTCAGTAGCGATTGTTGAGAGGAAGGTCACAAACTCAGCCGACGGCTTATCGACGTCCATGCCACCTTCTTCTTCCACCGGCTCTTCTTGTGGTAGAGCATCCAGAACTCTCTTAATTGGTGGTGGTAACTTTGGGGATATGTCCATGTCATCCTCACCCCCATGTAAACAGTCTTGGATCTCAGGGTTATCAGACCGTAAGGCCTTTTCCACAAGATGCTGGATGGTAGACATGCGGTCGAGAATCCAGCTGTTCGGTTTTCCGGCCAAGAGAATTCGTAGAACCTGGAGTGAGTTGATCATGCTCGTTGTATGCTTTTCATCAGGCTTCTCGGCCTTTTCGCTGCACAAAACAGGTTCGAGGGTTTTCTGGTAAAGATCAATATCCACATCAGGCCAGTAGTCAGGTGAAAGAAAATTTCGGAGTAGAACCACTGATTTCTTGCAAATTTCTCCATAGTTATTTAAAACTTGGTGAGCCTTAGATGGCAATTCACGGAACTTCGCGGCAGGGACAGAGAAGCGATCAACAAGACTGCAGACAAAAGTAACCAGATATTTGATAAGGGGCGTTCTTAAGTCGAGTGGGATGGTGTATTCTGGGCGCTCTTTGTGTGGCAGCGGTGTGGTACTCATTGACGGCGATGCTTGGAACTCAGCTAATTTCCGTTTTGCCGAGTTTGGAGAAGTCGGGTCTCGTCGTCCAGTCACTCTCTTCTCTTCCCAAATCCAAATAAGGTTAACCAAGTGTAAGACGAGCTTCCTGCTGTCGAAGGAAACATTGGATGGGCCTGCAATCTTAACGAGGGAGGGGATTATGAGAGGGATAAAGTATTCACGAGATTCATAGAAAAGATCCGGCTGTCGAACAAGGAATTGAAGTATGCTCATGACCTGCTGTAAGTTCGCAGTCTCTTCCGTTAGAATGCGGCGCGGACATCTCGCCCATACTGGGAAACGTGGATCAGGGCCAGAGAGAATCCTCTTTGGAAGAGAGGGCGCCAGGATTTCCAATGCCTGAGTAACCAAAGATTTTCCCTCGTTCTGATGGGCTCTCAACAAAGCAACATAGATTTGCACGACAATCTTTGAGGGCGTCTCATAATGAGCAATGAAATAACTGATTAGCACATATGCGCCATATTTGTTGATGGTGTCTTCAAGACGAATGTAGCTCCATGCAAATTTGATGATATCCTTCCTGGTCTCCTGAACAATGCCATGATGATATTTTATAAGCAATGCGGAAAGCTGAAGTAGCTCCATGCGGGAATGATCTATCCCTGCCTGAGCAGACTCTTCGCTAAGGTCCCCTAGCTGTGGTTTCCATAGTCGATTATGAATAAGATCGGTCAGATTTCGATCAAGAACTCCCGTACCAGGGATCGGACTGTCCCAGGTGTTTTTCACATCCATGGCGAGTATGGGATTAACCAGATAGTGGAAGGCATAGGTCTTCAATCTCTGAGAAGAGGTACGTTGGTTGTACAGATCCAAACACCGAGCAATGACAGACCTCCGGTAAGCAATAGATGGATTTGTGATAATGTACTGATAGAAAAATTTCGGCAACGTAAGAGTTGTCTTCAGGTCACAAGCAGATATCTTGTCAATGACGTCGAATAGGAAATCGAGATCATCGAGGGACTGTGAAAGGTGGATGGTAAATATTTCCAACAACTGGTCTTGAGCTTGTTCGACTCTCAGCCTCTCATCTGGAGGAAGTTTGTCATTGCGTAACTTAGAATTCAAATCTCGACCACTGTTCAAGAGGTGTCGTTTCAAGTCAGGCTGGGCATTCAAAAAGCCTTTGGTAGCTTCGTGAGAGCAAAGCGAATGAACAAAATATATCCCATTGATGGCTGCCGTGTTTTTGCGGGGAGACTCTTCCTGTAAGAAAGCAAGTTTTATCAATGTTTCGGAATCCGCAAATATGGTTGAACGCAAGGCCGAACTCTCAGGGCTTGCTAATAGCTGACCGAAGAATCTTCCGTATTTCTCTTCCTGGAACTTAGCCTGCATAAAAATCCAGCTCTCTCTAGGATATCGGTTGAGGTATTTGAGCAACGGCTTCCTAAAAGGGCTGCTAGAAGTCCGCCTCAATCGATCTTCCAAGTACAAAACTTTGTTGACAAGGTTCTCCATGAATGAAGTGGCAGCTGCAGGAAGAAGATGGAAAATATTGAAGATAGCAGCAACAATTTTCATGGAAGGATTTTGTTCGACAAGCCCGAAGGATGCTCTCTGCAAGATATTCTCATCAGCAATGACTCTCATGTGGTCCAAGAGTCGCGATCCTATTTCGACTTTGAAATAATTTGTCAATAGGGTGAGAAGGCGAGCTAATCCGTCCAAACCAGCAACACTCAAGCGCTTAGGGTCCTGAAGGTTCATCAAGATTGGTCGAAGGCCGTTTTGAAGTAGGTCCTTAGGCAACTTGTTGGTTTGTGTGAGAACATCACGGAGGCCAGAATTAGCTGCTTCAATAATCTCGGGAGATCTCGAATACAACGACTTGAAGAAACAAGCAATGATTCTGGCGCGGCTATGACTCTGTGGCCCACTTGCAAAGTCGGGGAAACCCATGGCCATTGAGAGAAGGCGAAGACAGGAGACACGGAGGTTAACGATCTGCTCAGCAGTCTTAAACTCGTTTGGTTTAGCTGCCAATGCATCGTCGTCCACATCAGCAAGGGCCAGGGATTCCATTAGCAAACGGTTGAGCTGATCATTGAACGTGACGATGTTCTGACGAAGACCGAGGCAGTATGCTATCGCTTCGATACAGCCAATCTGAGTAGGGAATGGCAAGGCGCGCAGCGGTTTGTTGAATATTGGCATCAAAAGTCGGTCTTTGACGGGAGTAATTAGCTCATGAACTTCCGCATTTAACGTTGCAGCTAGAGTTGCTATTCCACTCTGGGCAGCTTGACGAACGTATTTGTTCATATGGGATAATTCATAGCTTAAGACGCCACACAAAGCCAACACCCGGCCGCGTTCATTTTTCAGCTCATCTTTCGAAACCCCCTCGTTGCATTTCTGGAGAATTAAGTCCATTGTCTTTTGTGCTTGGATTCGAGTCGCTCCTGGGAAATCCGATGGTGTATCTTTAATGACATACATGAGGGCACGAATAAATTCAACTTGCCGGTCTATCAACCAAGCGTTTCCCAAGTCTAGTTCGGTAACGAAAAGATGTATACCAAGGCTTCCGGCAGCCTTTGTAAACCACTCCTCATCATGGCAAGCATGGCAAAGTGTCCTGCCAAGGTGGGGGAAGAATGGGAGCTTTCCTGCCTTCTCAGCAGAGCCGAATATGATAACGGCAGCATTTCGGACATTGAAAATCACCTCCTTAGCGGCGTCACGAACCGCTGGATTTTCAGATGCTAAACATTCGACCACAGCATCAGCAAGAGTCCTTGTATCCAGATACAAGGGGCCTTCGCCGAGTGACACGCTGAAGGGTCGACGTATATGCCGTGACTGTGCCAGGGACCGTCCAATTTCAATTATGGTGAAATGACGGCAGACGTCAGCTAGGAAAGTGGTTGCAGCCTGTTTCAAATGCGGGATTGTAGATGCAACTATGCAAGCCTTCAATAACTTCTTGAGGGTAGTTTCCTGTGCTAGCCTCTTTGCAGAAGAGCATTGACGATCGGACTTCTCTAAGATATCCACGGTTCCAGAGAATTTCCCGTCCGCTAGATCGTTGGCCTGGAGGCGTAGGAGTGTTGCCAAGTCCTCGGGTGGATGTTCAAATCCAATGTAAAGCTTCAGTTGAGAGCTCAGCATACGGTATGCTTGTTTTTTATAGAACAAATCTGCCTTCTGTACAGTCTCAGATGCATTGGCTGGGACACTGTCAAGTAATTTGCCCAAGGCAAGGTCAATTCCAATATCCAGAGGAAAGGCTCTGTCCTTATTAGACCCAATTAGTTTGATATCCATACTCGGGGTATCATCAGAGTAGTGTTGGAATGAGAGCTCGGGGGGGTGGTTAAGGAATTTTCGGTTTCGTCCACCAAGTTTTCCGAGAATTCTCATTGTTGTATGAGCATGGAAGTGGCTGTAAGGGTTTGGCCGGAGATGGTCCCAAAGAGCAGTCATAAGTTCATCCATTATCGGGGCCATGATTGGGTCCAAGTAGTCGGCAGTAAGGTTATCAACGCAGAGTTCAAGGGTCCTAAGGCCCTGGCTGACGAGATCAGATCCCGCACGGAGAGCAACAACTAACGGTCTCATAAGATGGCTAAGATGCGGAAGTAAATGGCTAAGTCGTGCCGGGACAGTGAGTGTCAGTTCAACGTATAAATCGCGTTCCTGCGTCTTCCTAGCTCCAAGTAGGAGATTATTGAATGTTTCCAGCAGCATCTCCAGCAAGGGCAGTAGCTCTTTGTAGAGCAACTCAAAGCGCCCACCTCCAATACTTCGGAAAAGCGACCTAAGAAGTAAGAAATAGTTCATCCGTTCTTCTGCGGTTACAGAATATTCAATACACTTGGCCACAATCTTGGTGACATGAGGATGAAGCACCTGTTCGTTCTGCGTCGAAAAGAGCGTGACGGCCATGAACGAAAGCTTGAACATTCTCAAGAGAATCCGCGAGTTGGCCACATCCGCAGAACCAACTTCATGGATGTGTTCCATTAGGTACTGTAGAGTCATACCAGCAACGGCTGGAGATGTGGCTTCGCTCGCGAGGAAGAACTGTGGGAGATGAAGTAGAGCACTATGCTCCAGCATGAGGCTGTGCAGATAGGGAATCTCGCTCTTGAATACTTCATGGAATGCAGCAGTGTCGACACAGTGGAAAATAGTCCCGAAACTTTCAAGAAGCTCCTTTTCCTCCGAACTCATGTGTCGCATGTACTGACTAGAGAGGAATTCAAGAGGACTTGCATACTGAACCTCAGGCTCCTTGCTATCAGCACCATAATATCTGAAAAGCCCAGCGCCTTCGTGGAAGAGTTTCTTGATGATGCGGACTTCTTCAGCATTATAGCCAAACGAGACTTCTGCCCAGTTGACTGGTGTGTACGATGGATCCAGTTTTAGGTCCTCTGGGTTGCAGCTCTTTAGCTGATAGAACAGGCCCTTCAAACCAGTGATGAGAGTCTTAAATAAGAACTTATTATCATTGACAGGGTCGGCATTCCTATCTCTGGGGTTAGTGGCTTTAATTGGTGCTGCAGTGAATATGTCAATCTCGTCCCAGTCTGGAGGATGGTTTTTATCAGCAAGGTATCCTTCTGACAAATTGTCGGCATTCTGCTTGACTAGTTTCGATGCCTTGACCGCATTGTTATATTGGTAGTTCATAGAAGCGAACTTGTCCCCAATAGCATCGAGAATCATGATAAGGAAGTACCGCGCCTCCTTCTTATTCTCCATGCTAGCTATTTTCTCTGCCATGTTCAATAGAAGCTTCGCGCTCATCGCCTGGAAGCTTGTTCCTGGAAGGTCATCATGGAGGTTCCTGGTGTAGACTTCGAGAGTACGGCGGATTTGGTCACGAGTGAGAGACTCTCGCACATGGTGTATCAGGTCAGCTAACATGCTATATGCTAACGGTCTGAGCGCTTCATAGACTGTAAGGCCATCGCCGATCAACGTCCGCTCGTCCAAAAGGTCGTCGAGTTTTTCGAGGAAGATCTTTCGGTAGTTGAAATTAATTATGTGTCGGATTGCGACCAGGAGCTCCTTCCTTGCACTAGACTTCTCCCGGGGACAGTCCTGTAGCAAGCGAACAACAACTCCAGGCAGGGAAGGAAGGAAATCCTGGAGATGACTTGCATACACTCTTAGTAAGTAGGCAAGGAAACTCATCGTCTTTACCTGAAGAGTGATGAATTCTCCAAAAGCGGCCCTGTTCTTGATATCTTTGCTAACCCCGGTGAAAATCTTCCCCTGCGCTTTGGCTTCGCTGTGAGCTTTCTCTTGCGGCCGCGCTTGGAGGAGCAGTATTCCTTTTATAAGAGGAACAAACACCTTCACATTAGTGGTTACAGGGTGGCGGTGTATCTGGAAGATTGAGACAACAATAATAGGACACTCCGCCAGTACCTTAAACGAGTGCATGCCCTTCGCCAGCATTTGATTTGGTTGCTGCTGCTCCGGCCCTAGATCAGATACTGAAGTAGCTGGGGAACTGGGTCGTGGAGACTGGAAGTTCTGAGCTGCAGTATTGGGTGTTGAAGGCATCCCGGGGGTGGATGTTTGAGCCTGTGGAGTATCGAAAGTGTCTCTCACAACCTGCGGCATCCCCTCAAACATGTTCTGGATGAGCTCTAGAAATGATTGGACTCGTGACTGTGTCGCCCGGACTTGTCGTCGTTGGAGGTCCATGATAGTCTTCATGCATATTACAGCATTGTCTTCGTTTTCGATTCGGACAAGCTCTATGAGCAGATCAACAATGTCACCGGCATATGGCTCAACTTCCGGAAGCTCTAGAGGTAGGCGGTGGAGGATCTCCAGGATACAGTTCCGCAGTTTCTAGGTTCGAAGCATGCGCTGTTAGTTCCTGTACCTGTAGAAGGATAACCGTAGTCCCTCACTCCCATTGGCAATTTTCCTTGACTAACCTGCTCAAATGACAAACTGATAAACACTGGCTCTCCCTTTAGCACTTTCTTGAACGCCGGCCATAGCTTCGCCAGGAAAATGGGGTACGTAACGCCAGAGCATAGGTGCTCCAGGGAGTCACGGATTTCAACCGCAGCAGCGCATTTTAATTTAGTTTCTACAGCACGATAACGCGCGTCTTCCGTCAGCAAATAGCACCGAAGTTGCAAGGGACCTCCTCTGGTATATATCACTAACCAATGTTTGGGTCGCCTAGTTTCGTCACGTAGGCGTCGAAATTTCGCTCAATCGATTCGCGTTCCATGATTGCGCGCAGCCAGAATTGGCATTCCCGGGGCAATCGACCTTAAATCAACCCGGTGCCAGGCCCTCAGGCCGGCTAAAATCCTTTCAGCGCCCACAGGACGGCAGCTCTCTGGTCCTCCAGCCCGATAAGCTTGAGGAGGGTCTATAGGGCAATTCGGGAGCCTGTGACGACGGTTATAGGAGGTTTTGCGGCCGTGGGAAAACGGGACGTATGAGGAATTAGAGGATGAGAGAGGTCGTCGGTGTAAAATATGCCCGAAATCAAGAGGTAGCGAGGGTCGGGCGGCCTGTAGAGTGGAGGGACAAGGGCCTGGATACTGAGATGGAAGAATGTTGATAAGTGAATTTAAGTGAATTAAATGAATTTCTTTAGGGACCATCTGGACCTGGGGGATCGCGCCCGCAACTTCACATTCGCGCTAGTGCCAAAAGAGGACTAGTGATGGCGTTGCTTTAGCCTATTATGGCTTAGTACCTAGCTGATGTAATATTCCTGAAAAATGTTTGCTAAAAGTGTAAACTTGCTATATAAAGTAATTTCCCCTAAACTTAAAGATATCAAAAACAATCTCACAATCAAAAAGCGAAGTTGAAAGCAAAAGAAATTGAATAAAGAGCGTAAGAGACGCCGGAACAAGGCAGATGCAAGACAGGTTTTGATTTCATTTCCAGCTGATATCAGAAAGCTGGGATGTCTCACTAGGCACAAGTAACCATACAAAAATGCCTCCTCTTCCTTCCATACCTGGTTTCACCCGTTCCTCCCCAGCAGCCCAGCAAAGTCAAATTCTAACTATTAGATAGAGAAGTAAGTAGGAATATGGGACCGGGAAAATAAAGATACTCAAAATTTAGGAGAATATATAATGGAAAGGAAAGGGACCTTGCATCAATCCATATTCACCCAGACAAGAAATCCAAGTACGCATGTATGACTCCGTACCAGGCAAAACATCAACCAACCAGTTTCAAACAACCGTTTTAAGGGAGTAACGAGAAAAACGGGGCATCATCATTAGTCTAAATTCGCTGGATAATTTAGTACCGAACCTGCTGTAAAAGAGCTTTTCCATGCCGCCTGTTGTTGGGTGGCGAGAAGGAAAGAAGAAGGAAAAAAAGTAAACCCCATTGCTTCAGACAGACCGCATGCTCTTGCTAATTGAGTTGCTACGAGTAACGGAGGCATGAGAAGGTCCAGTACTGTCTCTGCTACCGAGCGAGCTTCGCCGTTCTCCTCGCCTTCGTGCTTCTCCCACCACGATCCGCCGACCTGTCCCAGCCGTGCCGCCGCCACCACTACCACGAGAATCATCGATAGATCCACGGCGACGCCTCTGAATTCAAAACGTATGTCTAACGTTAGGACCACGCCGGCTCAGAGAAAAAAAAAAGGTCAAAAAAAGAAAAGTAAAAAAGTATCTCTAAAAGAAGGATAAAAAGGCGAAAGGGCAACAGGGAAATTTTTACAATACAACCAGTGCACAAGAAAAAGAAGCGAAGAGATCAATGCAGGAGAGCGAGGCAAGGTACGTGAGTTCCGTTCCATGCTTAATCAACGCGTGAGGCACTAACCGAATTTTGACCCTCTCTCCGCCGTTCCTTACTGGCAGGGGTGTCGTCTTGCAGTTTAAGCGCGTTTAGTCGCTGCTGGCTGTCTTGGGTTAATGGATCTAAGCCGTCATTTGCGCCGGCTGCATCAGAAGGCTTGGAGCCTTCGGCTGCCGAGTGTTCAGCTTTCTCACGTCTGGCCTTTGCCATTTCTGCCAGTCGATCCCATTTCTCCTGACGACTCTTTTCTCGTGCCTCGGCAGAATTTTGATATTCTCGGTAGTCGTGAGAGCAGTCATCGAATAGCTGTGGATTGATTTCCATAAACATTTTCATAGCGGTATACACCATACTATGGATTGTTCTGTAGAAGAGGAATATGTCAGTACAAATAATGTTAGAATCGTACTTTTTGAGACATACCTGTTCCAGTGGCCCTGGGAATTCTCGTAAAGAGGCGCAAACATGATCGGGAGAATGACCTCCACATTGTCGCCAACCAAATTACAAAAGTACTCGTTATTCCAAAAGTACAGTGCTCGTTCCGCAACCTGAAACTCTATTAGTATGGCCCTGACTTATATTTAGCTGCAGCGATGTTAACATACTTGAAAGTGAGGGCTGGCAACCGATTTTGCAAGCTGGTGGAACAGAGGCTCTTGAACCTTCACAAACTCGGCAGGTTCCATAACCTCGAAGATATCTTCGACCTCGTTTAGGTACATGACTTCTTTCGTGCTGTTCACTTTGGGCCAGTAGCGAAGTAGGCCGAGGACAACCTAGAGACCAACTTATATTAGGATCGGAAACCCAGTTAGATAGGGGAAAGAATATGTAGCATACCTCTTCTGTCAAGGCGGCATCCTTCTCTAGGAACTGAACAATACAGTATGCCAGCTGTGGATGGTACATACTCAAACTCTTAACTTTATGCATTGGCAATAAAACGCGCGTCAAGAATAGCTTGTGCTCCTCCTTGAGTGGCAAGGCAAAGCCGTTGATAATTGAGCCAAGAATCTCCAATAACTCAGCAATACCGTTAAAGCGCTCAGTTTCGTAGATGAATTGGAAGAAGACGTTATTGATTGAGCGCCTGATATATGAGCGTAGATTTAAGAATTTTCCGTATATGCGATGCAGTGTCGTTTTCAAAAAGTCACGCTCTCGGGGATCTTCGGAATCAAATAGTTCAAGTAGCTAAAGTAGGTATTAGCTTTGTTACGACTGTATGCCGCAGTGAGATAAGGGACATTCTTACCTGTAGGACAAATTGATGGTCGATATATGCTTTTGCGATGTTGGTGCTGAAATCTTGGCTCTCAATGAACCTAAGGAAGAATTCATAGACAACTTGAATATGAGGCCATGCAACCTCTAGCACAGGCTCATCCTCTTCCGGGTCAAACGCATCTCCTTGCGGGTTGACAGGAGGGGGGATTGGTCGGAACAGGTTTTTACTGAACATGTCCACCACTTTGGGGTACATGGGTTCTGTGATGACCGACCGATTGTTGGCAACATAGTCAAGCAACTCATGGAGAGCGAGTCGTTTGATTTCTTTAGATTTCATATCTCCAGCTGCATCGTTGAAATCAAATATGATGTTGCATTGGTCGATTTTCTGCATAAAGAGGTCTTGTCGTCGGTTTGGGGGCACTTCATGAAATCCGGGAAGCTTCTCCAGTTCCCTCTGACGTTGGTCCGAGATATCGAAGCGTGACGAGTGCTGCCTCCGAGGAGGCCTAGGTCCGGTGATATCTTTGGGGGTCTGTAATCTGTCAACAAGGTGCGGCTTTTGCCCTATCTTTGGTGGCTGCAGGTCGCCCGGCATTGTTTCTGGTGCTCCGGGTGGAGGAATGTGCTATGAAGCATCGATAGTTAGCTACAGGAACAAGTAGATGATGAAACCGGGCTCCATGGACGCAAATATTAAACGTAAAGGAATCTAGAAGGATCCGTCCATCGGAAAAGAGTCAACATACCGGTGCACTGGGGCTGATAACCACACTCGGGGCCATGGGAAGACCCTGCCGAGTTGGCGTACCCGGACCATTGCTGGACATCTGCCCTCCTAAATGCTGTTGCTGTTGGACATAATGCTGCTGGCTGGGTGCGCCACTAGGTAGAACGGGAGCGTTATGGTGCAAGGTGATTCCGGCAGCCGCTCCATTGTCGGGAGAGCTGGTGGGTTTCGACTTTGTTTCGTTGACGGCGGTCGTAGACGAAGTAGGAGTACCGTGGTTCGAGCCTGCCGGCGATAACGTTTGCCCTGGTTGACCAAGATTCGCGGAGGCCCCCGGAGACAACGTACCAGAAGAAGACGAGTCTTTCTTTTTCGACGACTTATTCGAGTCCTTCGCGCGGGACAGCTGCTCGTGCTAACATCATCAGCTTCTATCCCTTGAATTGTACGAAAATTCAGAGCCCCCCTGAGAAGAAGAGCAGGCGGACGTGCGTAGTCTCCTCAGAGGAGGTATGCCATTGACACGCAACTTACAACTCTCTGCCTGAAGCCCTTCATTTTGCCCACAAACAAGTGTTATTCCGCCGCATCAACAGAATATCAGGTTGGCCCCGTGCCCGACCACCACGACCTTACCCCTGTTTAGGAAAGGTATGGGGGAAATCGATGGGTAGCCGAGGACGGTGGATAGGTAGAAGGGAACGGCGGTGGTCAACTATTGTTTTTTATATGTTGATTAGCGGTCTGACTGGCTTCAGGAGGATGGGACTAGTATTTTTTATTTTATTTTTGTTCTTCCAGAGAGTGCATGCAGGAAGCGTCTGGCAAAGTAGATAGATCGAGGTTGCAGGGCACGGGGCTGGATGGGAGAGCGCAGGGCCAAAACAAGGGAGAGCGAGGTGCAGGAGAGCAGCGAGAAGAGCAGCGTTGCACAACTTACCCGGAGTCTTTCAGAGCCAGCAGTAGTTAACAGACTGGATAGCCGTATTCACACGCTTCTATTGAAGCCCGTTTCCCCCTGTTCTGGTGCCTCCTTGCTGTGTTTTTTGGCAGCGCGAGCGTTGTCCAAACTTCCAGGAGGGCGGGGGGCGTTTGGTCGGGGCCCAGCGAAGTAGCTAGCTGGCGATTGGGCGAGGAAGCGTGGATGCCGTTGGCGGAGGGAGCAAGAGCAGTGCTTGAGCAGCAGGCGATGGAAGCACGACGGGCGCGAGTTCAGCGTAGTTTTGGTCTTGGAGCAGCCATTCAGTCTTGTCTTTCTCGTTTGCACGGCCAGAAAGTCGACGCTCTTCGCATCTCGAAACGGCGCCGGGGGAGTTTTGAAGGTGTCACGTGAGGGTTGAGGCAAGAAGAAAAGGAAGACGACAGCAAAGATGAGAAGATGAAGAAGATGAAGAAGAGAAGAGGCAGGATTTATAGACAGAAAAACCTGTTTGTACAGTGAATAGTGGATGCTGAGACACTGGCCATGGGCAAACTGCATCAAACGAGAGACTACATTGACGAAAAAGGACCCAATATCAAAGAACTATACCCAGTACTAGGACCTCCCTGCAGCGCTAACACGGCAGCCAACAAGGGGCTATACGATCAATAAAGATCTTGTCTCTTGTTTTATACGGCTGAAAAACGTTAAACAGGCGCGGAATTGATACCCAATGTCTCATGAAAACGCTGGTGGCGAGCGCAGCGCTCCATGGTATACAGTACCCTCCCAGGATATTGTCAGCGTAGAGCACCCATGTGTAGTGAAAAATATTGACAAGGCCATTGATACCCTCCAGGGCCATGCGGCAATATCAGAAGTAAGGCAATCAGCCATTTACTCGTGGCCTTTTAACGCCTGCTAACTTGCCTGCTAGATGCTTGATTCATCAAACCGAGACTCGCCGTTGAGTCTCATGTTGAATCCGGAAGATGTCATGAGCAGACCGATAAGGTCAACAAGCAAACAGACAAACAATATTCTTCTCAAGGTCACTGTACCTAAGAGGACGGGACGAAGGCGGAAACGAGGCTCTCAGGACCCGTTTGTCGATAGCCATAGAAGTATAGCCACCTCGCCTCCCGACCAGTTAGACGCTCAAGGCCTTCTTCAGCGTTTGCGAGAGGATGCCGGGCGATATCAAGTAGATGTCGTTGGACAGGTCAATCGAACACACGTTTTTAAAGGTATGTGATGTGCATAACTTTACTACTTTAGCTTAATCCTAATGGTTTGGATATAGGACTGCCGGACTTCGCATACTCAACGACGGCGAGCCCATTCGTACAAAAGTTCCGAGAGACTATACTACCATTCGAGTGTAAGTGATAAATATGCTCATCTTCATCAGTTGTGGTGCCTACTGACTCTGTATTGGAGATGAAAAACTGAAAAAATTTGAACTTGACCTCTCAAAGGGGGCTACGTCTAACGTCGATATCATTCCACCTCCAGCATTAAGTAACAACGACGTTGCCTTCCAATACCTGTAAGTAGACTCCATTACGTCATAATCAGACTCTAAACATGTTCTAACAAGCCCACAGCTATCGACAAAACCCAACAGTGAAGCGTTCAATTGACCCATCCGGCCAAGTTACAACCTCCAACACCCAACGAATAGTAAAGATACCTACCCACCTTATATCTTACGACATATCGGCGGTACCAACGGAGCCACGACCGAACTGTCCGCCACTTTCAGAGCAGGATCCGACTGTCCACGACACCGTGGCTGCCCTCCGCGCACTCTTTGATGAGAGACCAGCCTGGACACGTCGTGCCCTTCGTAACAAGCTGCCCACACCCGAGAGAAAGTACGCCCTTCGTCTCGCAATTCCCTATGTTGGGTACCTCTTCCGCTCCGGCCCCTGGCGAGATGCCATATTCAAATTCGGCTTTGATCCCCGGACCTCACCTGATTACCGAATCTATCAAACGCTGATGTTCCGCTTATTCCCTGTCTCAGCGGATGCAGAGGGACGGGAGCAGGAAAATGACCCAAACGCTCAATTTTCGACTACAACCACCCCACTGTCGGGAAGACGACTTACCATTCCTCGCCTATCATACGAAAACAACACCGATCCTACGCTCGCTAGGTCGCATGTTTGGACTGGCGAACCACCACTATCCAAAGACGGAAAAACATGGATGATAGTTGACATTGAAGACCCTATAATTGCCCGGCTACTTGATCCTTCGTCCCCTGACGCCCATCCTTCCCGGGAGAAGTGCGATATCTATTCATGCGGCTGGTACGGTAACGTTACGCTCTCAATAGCGCGCACAATAATGCGTATGAAAATGACTATGATGATGGAAGGCCGAACAGACTGGCCTTCGGAGCAGGAGCTGCTGCCTCTACTGAGTCTGCCGAGTCATGTGGATTCAGAAGAGGATTTGAATAAGTTAACTCTGGTTAGGGGTGGGATGGGGCCTGTTGCATCGCAATTACTCACAGAGATCCGAGCAGTGACTCGCAATGTGCCGTGGAAAATGGACAAGTTGAGGGAGAGGTTCAAGGGAGCGGCCGGGTCTTTACGGAAAGGTGAAAAGAGAGTCAAATGGGATGATCAACAGGATGAGGAGGAGGATGATGAGGAGGAGGAGGAGGGAGAGGAGCACGAGCAAGATCAGGAGGATGAAGATGAAGAGATGGAAGATTACGATGAAGGGGAGGTAGATATTGGTGTTGAAACCACGAAGGGATCGTAAATGTCTCCGTTTATCAGGCACTGTCGAGTAAGAGTAATAGCTCATTTTTTTATTGAACGATACAAACACTAAAGCAGAGACAGGTATTAATTACAAGGGGAGTTCAAACATTACGCTGTGGCAACAAATCGTTGCAAAGTCAAATGGGAAAAAGCAGCAAAATAAAAAGTTTCAACGGCAGCTTTCATCATCAATCAACATTTCACACACATTCCGTCGTTCACGCTTTCAGCTCTTGTCCTCGTAAATCATGGCCATCGTGTTGCTACGGGTTAACTTTGACTCAAAACGCTGCGTAAACAAACATGGACATTCAACATCACGGTCATTGCGGTAACTTAGACAACGGGCAGCAGGTAGGCAAGCAGGCAGGCAAGCAAAACTAAAGTAGTCGATGGTAGATCAAGCAAACAAGCGCAGAACTGAGGCGAGCAATGGATTAGGGGATGGGAATATAGTAGGAGCTAAGCTTGGGGTAGAGAGATACAGTTAAAAACAACAAAGGACTGACGTGAAAGGAAAGAAGAAAGGCAGGCCATGAACTCCTTAGAAAAAAAGAGATACCCACAACACCGAAGGAGAAGATACCCATTTTGAAAGGCAAGAAAAGAAAAGGCAACGCCGGTCCAAAACGCCCGGAAAGAAAAAGGAAAGAGAAAAAGGAAACAGGAGAAGAAACTAGTCATCACGGGTCAATCATCCTAAGATATCGGGGCGATTAGGATGACAAGGGATCAGTTGGTTCAACGGGCTGCTCAGATTCCGCGGTGGCAAATGCCTCCTCAGGTTCACTTGAGCTCTCCCAGATCTTTATCTCGGTGGCGGATGTGTCCTTCTTGGCCGGCTCCTTAACTTGGCTCTTTGGAGCAGTGCAGTCAAGCGGAGCGGAGATCTTGGTCTTGGAGAGGGATTCTGACTGAACAACAGGCTTAGACTCTTGCTTTGTGGTGGTATCCAGGCACTTCTCGGTAGGGCCGACGGTAGGGTTCTGTTCAGCAGACGTGTCATCCTCGTCCTCGGGGATGATAACGATACCGTTAATATCTTCGCCTTCAGGGACGAAGGCCTTCACATCAAGTTCACCCAAAGGCGAACGAGGCTCATCTCCCATTTCTACATTCCTAGGGGCAGTGGCTGATGTCCGCTGGGTAGTAGAAGGTTCGTTGTTCCCACTAGCAGGGGGAGGAATGTTCTCCTTGCCTCTGTTTTCGCGTGCCTGCTTCTCTTCGTCGTCGCTGATGTCAAGAACGCAAGTCGAGTGCTCCATCAGGTTTGCCATCTCATCCTGTTCGGTGTCAGCATGAATTTCAAAGTCCCATGCCTTTGGGCGTCTTGTCTTTGCCGTGGTGGATGAGGCTGACTCGACAACTGGACGAGAGACGGTGAAGGTGCCATTGAGCGCATCGGCAATGGAAAAGGGCACCCGAGCCCATGCTACGCTTGTTCGTGGTGGGAGGGTCAACGCGGTAGAAGCCAAGGCTACCGCCGCCCAAAGGCCTTCACGCTCTTTGCCTTTGACTTTGGAGAACGGCCAGCTGGTGCTCTGAGAGGAGCAGAGAGAGGCGTCTGACCGCGAATTGGACGCGCAGGAGGGATGAATTCCGAGTTGCTGTTTCGCGCCTTTGCTGGTATCTTTATAGGCAAGGCTGGCTTGGTGAAGATGTGAATACTATTAGTGGTGATGGTGGTATCTTGGTGCACCTGGATGCCACCCTTGTTGCGCTTGGACGGAGAGCCCATGAGAAGAGGGTCGATATTCTCAGCGTCTGCTGTGTCTGACATGTCTAGTCGACGCTTCAATGACTTTGCCGTCGCGCCTGTTTAAAGGTAAGTCCCGCTTATCTTGATATGAATGAGGTAGTCAAGAGTTTCTCTTACCATTCTGTTGGTTTTTGATGCTGTTGGCTGTCCGCAGTCTTGCCTCACCAAGGACTGCAAAGGGCTGCCTCGCGGGAGACATTGGGTAGGATACTGCCGCCATATCTGCTATAGATGTTGGGATATCCTTCTCCGCACGTATATATGGAAATGTGTGACTATATATCGAAAGAGATGGTCGAGAGTTCTCAGGATGTCTTCACCGCAGGGCTTGGGAAGATGAAGATGTCTGGCGAGATGGGGAGAGAAGAGGCGCCTCAAGCAATATAGAGGGCGCCCGATCACTAATAGGCAGCCGGCCGACCGCGACCTATGACCTAAGTGACGCGGAACCCTGGCGATGGCACGTTTCAATAGGAGGGACAAGACTAAGACCCCCTCGTCGCGACCAGGGCGGTTCAGCAGGAGGTTGAGATGGCGCAGCGAGGGCGGACGAAAGGGGGAGAACCAGGACCCAGCACTGCTATCGTCATACGGGAGCACCCAGCAGTGAATCTCAGCCACTCGATACGTGCCGCTTCGTGAATTTCGTGACGATAAGGGCGGCAAAGCAGGAGATGCGAGATGCGATGCTGGTCGACGGAGATGCTTGATGGTGATACGACCAGAACGAAGTCGGAGGATTTTGTGGCGTTTATGCAGGTCAAAGCCACGAAGTCCCAAAATGGTTATAGTGGTTTTTCGCGACGCGACGCGACGTGACGATGGCGGTTAGACAGAGGCGACGATGAGGATTGAAGATGAAGATTAAACAATAATAATAATAAGACATGATGATAGATATTGCGACTCTTCTACTATATCAGTCGCTTTGCTTTCTCCGAACTGACCTATAACTAGTTGACTCCGGTGGTTTTGATACTATAGCTAGATGGACGACGCGTGGGAGCCACCAGGTGCCAGCTTGTCGCGACGTGAATCATTAATTGCTTGTTCGTGCGACAGTCAAAGGAGACAGGGGCTAGGAGAGATCTTGGTCCTGCTGCTGTCACTGTCGTACATTTAGCAAAGCTCATGCATAATCAAGAACTATTCAGCTAGGTACACAACCGACTCGTTGGTTGACAGATGCAGGTTCCAAGCTACCCCCTAACCTGCCGGCTCAGCATTAGTATCGCAAAGACGCTGCGTATACAGACACCGAAAGGCCATCTCCTTCAGTACCTAGGGCTTGTTGGACAATCAGGGCTCTTCGAAACAGCCATCCAGCCTCCATCGACAGCGTCGGGCCGATTATTTACTGTTCAAGCCACGGCAGGTAAACCTGACACAGTCGGATCGGAAATGAGCCAACTACGGCAGATTCATAACCGGGCTTCAGAGAGGCCGATACCGTACCAGCTCCAAATGTTCAATCCAATCTTGGTGCCAGACTCTATCTCCAGGCCTGCGTGTAGTGTTTCCAGATATCTCTCCCCGTTAGGCCGGATGTTTTCCCAGAAAACCGCATTACCGCTAATTGGCTTGAATGTAATACCGGTTCTCCCCGCTCTAGAGCCATCCAAGCCGCACTCGATGAATTCGCACCACCTTGGGTCGTCTGGCATTCGTAAGTTAGGAAAGTGAGTACCGCCGCCTGTGCAGTTTGCGTGAAGGAATATATTGAACGTCGATACCCTGTCTCCGCTCATCCCTTCGCCGAATGAGTCATAGTGATATTTGAAAAATCCATTGGTCTTATAGCGTTGCACCTGGAGTCTTTCAATGTTGATGTACGGAGACCAGCCCTGGAAGGCGAGCGCGCGCCTGCCGATGCACTGGACAGCGCTCACATCCCCAGGATACGCGACTTCGGACAAACGCTCTTTCTCGTTTACACCAGATCCTCCCGCATTGTACACACCGGAGGGTTCATAGTTGTGTTCACTGCCCACCGCGATTTGCGAGTCAGCATTTCCCTATCAATTTCTTTTTGGCAGATTTACGTTGTATAAGCTTACCTTGCTTTCAAAAGGGCATCTGTCTCCTCTTTGGAAACGAAGGAAGAGATGTAGGCAACAAATGGCTCCCGGCTTATTATATAGGCATTGTAAGAATGAGCTTCGCAGCTCGCTGATTCATCTGGTCGAAAAAATGGAATGTTTACGGTAGCTACTTCACGTGGGCCTCGTTAGACATTTGCATAGTAAGTCTTGAGATAAGAGGAAATACTTGCCTGACGCCTGTGAAAAACCGATTAGTAGTAGCAGCGGACCCGCGAGTATCTTAGTCCAAAACATCATGAATATAATAACACCGTGACTTACACCTTACCTTGGTCAGAGGGTTTTGCGTTCAAGTTATATATACGTCTAGCCCATAACTAAGCCAAAGGCTCGTTAACAAGCCGGCATTCCTTGCCGGGCTTAGCCATTGGTTGAAGCTCGCTATCTATTTCAAGATTTCGGCCTGGGGAAAACCCACACGCAAGCTCCATGTTGCTTGCTACACAGCGATCATAGATCTGCTGAAGATAACTGTTCGCTTGTTTAAGAGCAACCTGAAAATTGGGTGACAAGGAAAGGTCAAGCCACATAAAGCAAGTCCTAGTCCGGTAGCAGTTGCCCATAGGACCGATCTCTTACCGACTTCAAAAACAGTAATGAAGCAGGCGATTATCTTTTTAATGCCAGGCAAGATTCGAATCGATGCAAGCCATTATTATGCATCGATCCACGAGCAAGACATCATATGTACTACTATCCATGGACGCCAAGGACCAATATATGAGAGCCTGGTTTTTGCAACATCAGGGTGGATATCAAAAAACGAGCCCCTGTACACATTCGACAGATGTTGCCTCCCTCTATTCTTCTCAGCTAGAGACATCAGGCGAGAATATGTCATGTATGATGAACACGGTGTCAGCGACCTTGATCCTTCGTCCAAGTCATGCACTCGAAGTCAGTCGGTTTTTTACATCGAACAGAGTGATCTTCACTATTTCCAAGACTGGACGTCAAAACAAACTTCGCGCTAGTCCTAAAAAAGCATGGCTCCTAAGTATTTTCTTAGGAGGTTATCACGTGATATAGAACTTAGTGAGACCAGACGTCTAGCCTGGTTTTCACTTTTGATAGACCACGCACAAGTTTACGGTCTAATGAACAAGACGATGAGGTTCTACAAAATTCGAGAATTTAACTATCAACTACATGGCACAGCAGGCGAAGTTGCAGTTTGCTTGGGCTCGGATATTCATTGACTAGCCTGTCTAATGACATGAAACGGAAGGCATATTGAATACGGCGTCCCCCGCATATACTATTGGGTTATTGGCTCATTTGAAAGTCCACCGATACCATCCGAGCAAATTCCACAAGATGTGATCTACCATCTGATAATCTAGCACTGGAGCTGCTTCGTGCAGAATCCACCGGGTGGCGCACATCCCTTGGGGCTTCCATCAACTTTGAACACTGGCTCGGAGCCTGGGAAGACTTTGCTGCAGGCTGCTTGGCCTTTTGCAACATTGGCTGCTGAGACAGGGCATGGCGGTGGTGGTGGGCAGGCTGGCGCCGCTGGACAGGGTGGGCAATTGGCTGCCGGAGCAGGGGCGGGGGCTCGAGCTGGAGCTGGTCTTGGGATCGGGATGTTCAAAGGAATCCACATTTGAGCACTGCTAGAGCCCATAAGGGCAAAGGCAACAGTGAGGAGTGCGGTGAACTGCATTTTTCTTGGTAAGATATCTGTGCTAGGGAATAGATGGTTAGCCTGTCAAGCCCGGAATTGAGGGGGTTTGGTGGGATGGAAACACACCTTCACAAGTGGAAATCGATGGCTAATGATAATAGCTTTTGGCTGAGTGTTCTTTTGATGCGATGGGGAGATAAACAAGAACGAAACGTATCGATGGACAATGGCAGTTTTTATATCTTGCCATGGGCTAATCCATATTGCAGGATCGCCTTCTTCACACAACCCGAAAACGGGGAATCATCTACTGCTTGTTGAGATTTGCCCCATGATCTCATGGCAAACAAAGCGATCTGCATCTATCATCTCGAGATGCAAGATCCAAATAATAGATTGTGACAGCCCAGATCGTGGTCGTCATTGATCTTCAGCAGAGCCGGTCTTCGATCACCTTCCTCAGCCGAGAAGGAGGAGTAGGATATCAGGTTTTGGCAAAGTGCTCGATAATTGTTGCGAGCACAATTTCAAGCAACCAATAATGTGTCTCTACAAAGTAACGCAACACTTCCTGCTCAATGACTGAAGCTCAATCTGGAGACACAATATCCGCTACGGGATCGGCCAGTCCGATCTACGTTCCCGGCCACTCAGGATGTTACTCCTTCAGTTGGACCATATCTTTCCCATTATTCGGCTTGATATGCATAGATATGAATGGCATTGAGTTTCATGTTCTTGTTAGAGAATATCCTCTGCCAAACCGAACTTCGGATAACCGGCTTATCGAGGGCAGTAATTCCAATCGTCGCTTAGGTGGCGTAAACCTGAAAATTGGCACCCAACCCTGCTTCACGGTTATTATGCAAGCCTACACCTGCCGAAATATCTTCATGATGGCTATAAAAAGGCCCATGAGCAGGCAAGATTGGGCTGAAGAAGCGCACACCTGCACCTATTGATTATAACCATATATTACACTTTTTAAGCCCATTATCCTAAGCACCATGGTTCAATTGAAACTGAACGCAGGGGTCATCAATGGCGTTTGCGTCCTTTCGGCTCTCTTGAGCTATCATGGGATGGTCTATGCCCAGGGTGACGATTGGGATCTCCTCATGAAGGACCAAGGGTCTCAACCTGCCCCCGCTGTTCCTCCGCCATCAGGCTCTTCCGATCCATGGGATACGCTTGGTGGAGGAAGCGGAGGCAGCGGAGGCAGCGGAGGCACTTCAGGCAGTGGAAGTAGCGGCGGATCTGGCCCTCATTCAGGAACCGATCCCTGGGATACACTTAGCGGGGGAAGCGGAGGCAGCGGAGGCACTTCAGGCGGTGGAAGTAGCGGCGGATCTGGCCCTCATTCAGGAACTGATCCCTGGGATACACTCAGTGGGGGAAGCGGAGGCACTGGCGGTAGTGGCTCCAGCCCCGGGACCGGAACCGGAGGCTCTTCTACTGGAGGACCTTCTCTTGGACACACTACCTTCGAAACGACAACCGCGCCAAACTGCGATGCTGATAACGGAAAGGTCTACGAGGCCGCAGACGGCAGCTGGTTCAAGATCGAATGTGTGACTCACAACTGGTTCACCTCCACAAAAAACAGGGTGTCCTCGACCAGCTACCAGAACTGTGTTGATCAGTGCAGCTCCACCCCTGGCTGTGATGCTGTTAACTTCGAGAAAGCCAACGGCAACTGTGACCTTATGCAGGGCCCATATGACCCAAATGACCCAGCCACCAAAAACGTTCCTTGCCAAAACCATCACTTTGCCTATACCATTGATCCACCAACTTATCCCGCGCCCGTTCAGAAGAAGACCCTTTGCTCTGTGGAATGTCCCGACGCGGATGGTATGATCTATACCACCGACCATGGAGAGGTCTTCAAGATGACTTGTGGAATGAGACACGGTACCTCCCCCATTGGCGGAGCGATTGTGAACAGCTTGAAGGAGTGCATGGACGAGTGCTCCGCGGTTCTCCAGTGCCACAGCGTCGATTACCATCCCCGAACCAGAAAGTGTTACCAATCCAACCACCAGAGTGACCCAAGCATCCAAGCATCTGGTTTCGCAAGTGCCCACTCCCTCGGCTGTGCCAATGCCTGCAATGGTGGCTGTGGCGGTGGATGCTCTGGAACTTGCCAGAAGAAAGTCGTCACTTCCTCCGCATAAATAAATAGCGAGCAAGCAGTTGTACCCCATGTTCATAATGTATTCTCAAAGACGTTCTCCTTGCTGTCACCCCTAATGAAGCTTGGTTACCCATATATTATGACCTAGTTGGATCAAGGACATAGTCATTATAATGAGTCTGATAGCTAAACAATGCTATACTTACTTTGAAACTGTCTACTTCTCCATGTACTAGCAACTCGAGCATCTCTAAGCGATCACGTGCCACTATCAATCCTGCTATATCTAGACTTTGATTTCATCACTATCCCGCGGAGCCTATTTCTTAGTTTAGTATAGTAAATGGTCTACATAATGCTAAATTTCGTCCCTGAATGGGATGCTATCCATCGCCCCAGATTGCTGGACACATTTTGCAGAAGCCCTTGTCCCCCATCTAACAGCCTCCTCAGTCACCTTTCCGTGTCTATCCTTCCATTCATCTACTTCCAGACCCAAACAAGTCTTTCCCGTTGCCCTCCTCTGTTCTCTCCACTGTGCAATCTGAACAGAGTAACCACCAACGAACGTATCACCTGCGGCCGTGGTATCAACAACCTTTTCCACCTTCGAGGCCGGGACCTCATTGACAGATCTGAGCCACTTGCCCATGTCCTGCTGAGCAGCCTTACCAGGCTCAGCGGCACTGTACCAGACCCCCTTGGCTCCGAGTGTGACGATAACATACCGTACACCAAGAGCATGGAAGTGAATAGCAATTTTGTTTCTTCGGTCTTCTTGAGTGAGGCTATTATCCCGTAACTCCTTGGGCGCCATCAACTCACACTCCGTCTCGTTCATGATCAAATGGTCAACAGATGCGTACACGTCATCTGGTAGCCCGCCTTCGGGTGCTGGAGCAGGGTTGAATACGACCTCAACATCTCCCTTTTGAAGTTTTCTCTTAGCTGCCACCCCTCTCAGGATACCGATAACCGTATCAATTGGAATTTCCGCCTGTAGGACAATAATGTCTGGTAAGGGAGTTGATAGTGACTGCTGAATCACTTCATCCGTAGGTTTCATGCCAGTGTAGTTTGCATTTGGTGAAAACAGTATCCTATTCTCCCCAGCAGCAGAGGTATCAACAATAATCACAGCTACACCCGTATGTTCATCGTCTATCGTCCGTACTCGTTCTGTGCTAACGCCGGAGCTGGAGAGCGTCGGTTGTAGCAAAGTGCTGAAATGTGCGTCTAACCTGCCGACTGCGCCAACCATCTCGACGTTAGCCAGCACATCCGAGGGAGAGGATGAAGAAGGTCGGGATCGAGATAGGCGGCCACAGGCAACGGCTTGATTAGCTCCTTTGCCTCCTGGGCTGGTCGTGAAGGATGTTGCCGTCAGCGTCTCTCCAGGGCCGGGGAACCGAGGGGTCACGGAGACCATGTCCACGTTCAGCGAACCGATAACACGAATCGACGGAGCCATAGTGTATGTCGTTATAGTAGCCGCATCCAACTGATCTGTCTGTTTCTGCCTGTCGATGGAAATATTCGACTCGGTGTAGCAAGGTGGGGTTATCTATTATTTAACTAGTTAGTTTTAAATATTAGTTAACTATCCACGCGGTCAGACGTTGAAGTCGGTATCGGATTACCGAAGCAACGACAAACGCCGACGCTGACGGGTATAGATTGGCGCACAAGATGTATACACGGGTAGAAAGCTGCTCCTGGAGGTCGCTGTACATGTTTAACTGCCGTCTGCCGCCAGAGACGCGCGCTTGGCGCACGTCAGGCCACCTGCAAGAGCCTCAGAGTAAAGTAATAGCATCTAGATCCATGTTCTATAGTTATAGTTAGTTACCGACCAGCGGGGAAAGTTAGAGATGTTTATCTTAACCTGCCAGGGGCTGATATCGAGATGCCAGGTACCTGTTCCATTAAAATAAAAGCTGCCCGATGAGCAGTACTAACTAGAAGATGATACAATACGAATTAAAAAGGTGCTTTGTACAAGTCAGACCCGTCCGCCAGTGGCCGTTCCATAGGAGATGCTCACAAACCACGCCCCCGAGTACCAAAACCACAGGCAATCATAAACCGTCGTCAGTCATCAAGAGAGAAAGATAGAAAGAAATATTAGCCCTCATAGCCTTGCTTTCTCCCGTTTATTAAAATTCATGGCCTTCTTGATAGCCAAGTCGCTGACCTTGACAGCCTCCTCGAACTCATACGACAGCGCGTCTTCAAATGAGGGAGAGTTATACGCTGCGTGGTAGCATGCCTTCCGGTCCGCGTTCAAACATTCCTGTGGTACCGCTGCCAATGCGCGAGCCATTTTCATAGCTTCCTGGAAGGCGTCTCCCTTCGGGACCACTTTGGCTGCCAGTCCTATATGCAGGGCCTCAGTCGCGCCCACTGGCCGGCCCGTGAGAAGGATATCCAGTGCTCTGCCTAGGCCAATGATTTCCTGGAGCCGGACCGTACCGCCATCGAGCAAGGGCACACCAAAGCGTCGACTGAATATCCCGAAGATAGCGTCCTCTTCGACCACCCGGATGTCGGCTAGCAAACTTAGTTCCATTCCTCCAGCAACAGCATGGCCTGAGATAGCGCAAATGACGGGCTTCTCGATCTGCATTCGTCCCGGCCCTAGCGGTGCTTCGTTTCTGCCCTTTACTGGCTTAAAGTGTGTGCGAGTGATGCTGCTCTTGCCACCGTTATTGTGGCTGCTGCTGTTGGTGCCGTCGCTGCTCTCGGGTTTAGAGGCTGCATCCCTGCTCTCTGTCGGTTTATCCCATTTCCTGAGCTCACTGAGGTCAAAGCCAGAGCAAAAAGTGCCGCCAATGCCGTGGAAGACGCATATTTTCTGACTCGAGTCCCTTTCAAAGTCAAGAAAGGCTGCTCGTAATTTCGTGGCGGTTGGCGGATTGATGGCGTTTCTTCTGCCGGGTCTATTGATTCCGATGGTAGTGACGCCATCTGCTGTCTTCTCAACAACTATCGAGTTGGGCTCCGGGTCTGAGGAAGGCATTTCGGGCATATCTGATAATTAGTTATATTAATATGATTATTATTATGACAGTGTGTCAGATGTGTGGTAGAAGTCTGGTCAAGAGAGAAGTATTAGGCCAGGGAGGACGCCCGCATCACTTTAAGCAAAACAGGTCCTTTGTTATATACAAAAAAAATACAAGCCGAAATGTGCCACCTGGGGCTAACTAAACTGTCTGGGCCAACTCTTGCTCCTCTTTGCTTCCTTCACTTGTTCCCTCCCCCCTTGACCATGGACCTGGAAAGGCGCCAACCGAGTGATTTATCGATGAACAATGGGACTTCTTGCGCCGGTTTGAACCCTTGCATGGCGCGACCAGGCTAACCTTCACAGCCTACCCAACAGAGCTGCAGTGAGCCTTTTCTTTTTCCTTTTCTCCTTCATCCTAACTGCCTCTGCTCTGGCCTTTTCATGTTTTATTTTTTTCTGGACCTTTAAGTCCGAGGTTGGTGTCGACATTGAGCTTTAGCTTGCTAGGCGACAGAGTACATCGTAAATCCTCTCAGCCTTTGGTCATAAGAACAAAATCTCCTCGCCCAGCGGCCTCGTTTCATTTGACGTACCCCATTTTTTAGGTGCATATCATGGCCATCTTGGATGGGGTCGACCCAGCTTCGCTGCACACCCCCGGAGAGACAGACGGTCGAGAGCTACGACGGTCCCCATCCATCGACCGATAGGGAGAGACACCCAGAGCAAAAGCGCAAAACGCAGTCCCGAGTACCCCGTATAGCGAACTCCTCCGTCCTGGTCCGCACACATTTGGTCGATAACATGGCCAAGTTATTAATAGCTATCCGGTTTCCAACAAAGGGATCCTTGTTCCACCACGCTTGTCACAGCGAATAGTTTGCTACTTTCTGGCAGAGTACCGCGGCGCCTCTGCGGACCTGTAGTTAACTATGGACGGAGTAACTTGGCCCACCCGCCATCGTCCTCTGGGCTGATGATATCATTTCGGAATGCCTCGAATTTGCGTCTCTGTCCGCCTTCCCTTTGTATATGTCTGGGTATATACGACGCACAGTAGTTATACATATACGCGGTACATCCGTCGTGTTATCTGCCGCTGCGGGCTGTCTGATTCAGGCCATCCCGCGAATTTTGGGGATGTCACCAGGGATGCTGCTCTCATGCAAAGCGAACCACGTAGCTGATGCCTGCATGACCAGAGAACAGGCAGCCAACAGAGAGACAGACAGGCAGCGGGCGGGGGAAAATCTGGCTGATGCACCTCCAGCATTGGTTCTTTTTTTCATTCTCTTCGCATAAAGTCGACTTCTCACGCGGCGAGTCTTGCTGTTCCCCAGCTCGATGATTCGCGGACCAGACATGGAGCTCGGTGACTCGCTGTCTTTCTTTCTTTATTTGCTTCTTTCTCTTCCTGTCTTTTCTTTTCCATGGTTATATTAGCAAGCTAGTTAACGGCTCCGGTCGTTTTCCTGGGTCAGGCAAACAAAGCAGTCGGTTCCCGGTTTGCGCCTTGGGCGTGGTCGATGGGACATTTGAAACCCGACGCGCAGGACGGAGTAGGGACGGGGTAGTTAAGCAACTAGCAGGGCCAAGTCTAGGTGAGTACGTCAGACTTGGGCCTTCGGTCTTCCTTGCTATTATTTATTCGCTGTACGGAGTAACCCATGTTTGAATCGCCGCCGGGAGATTTTCCCGTCGCTGTAGTTGTTATAATTGCCTAGCTATAGTTCGTGTTGGAAGAAGCTGGCATCACAGGGATTCACGATAGAACCAGTCAATTAATAGAGATGTATTATTGCCATAGATATCGACGCCATCTTGTCCACATTCCAATTATCTGAACGCCTATCGTAAACACGTAAATCTAGATACAGAGTTTTCTTACATAGCCTATCGATGCAGCGTCAAAGCTTGCCGGTAAGGGCTCCGTCCTGCGGAATGCAAGAGAAAAACCAAGGCTCGGGCGCAGACGCCATCCGGGAGGCAAGCGGCACATATTCATCAGAGCCCTCGCTCTGGGAACAGTGGCGAAGGCGTACGGCTTGGGCACAAAGAACCGGGGTATGCTAGGGGTGAGGGGGTTTAATATTAATTAAACAGCAGTTTCATGCAATAAAAAGTCGTTAAGGCAAGGGTTGTATGTAGGCCCGGGGGTTCCCCCTAAGGCCCGCTTCTATAGATCTGACCCCCTCCTGCTCTGAACTGTATACTATCCCTTCGTTGCAGGACCAATAAGGCTCGATTTAATGCCTGCTCGTTATAGTTACGACCATCCACAAATTCGCGCCGCAGGGTGGCTAGGCTTGTAGTCCATCCAATAGGCAGTCGTCGTTTGAGTTCGTCTTCGATCTTGCTGACTTCTGCGGATAGTTCCTTGCTTGCCTGGCCATCCCCATGCACGGCAGCGTCCATGGTCGAGGCCAGGAACAGTCGTACAGCCTCATCGACATGCTCTTCCGTCGCTACGGGAGAAAGTGATAATTTGGCCAGGGATTCGGTGATACGTATCACGGCCTCAAGCTGACGTACTGTGATTGGTATAGACGACCTCGCATTAGCGTCAAGCTCAGCTTGATGCACCCTCTTACGAATGGAGACGAAGTGTGACGACAGTTTCTCCGAGGCTTCTGGAGAGAGTCTTGGAGCGCAACGGCTGTCGTTTGTGACCAGGATTAGCTGCTGAGCCGATCATGAGGGGCGCTGTGAAACCCCAGGATGGACCAGATGGTGGTAGGACCAGGTGGTGGTAGGAGAAGGGGGAAGGTACTTACGATTTACAGTAACTAATATACCTCTTCATCTTTTCAAGCGGTATTTCTGCCTCGGCTTGCTCCTCAATCCCTCGCCCTCCTTGGTGGATGCTTATGATATGTTTAGCCATGGTCTGGTCTCGCCCTCTCTCGTGTGCATCACGCACAATGAAAATCATATCGAATCGAGACAGGATGGTCGTCTGAAAGTCAATGTTCTCCCCGGCTGTTTTCATGTCGTCATATCGCCCAAACACGGGGTTGGCTGCAGCTAGGACTGATGTCCTAGCGTTCAAGATAGTCGTGATTCCTGCCTTGGCAATGGATATTGTCTGCTGCTCCATCGCTTCGTGGATCGCAACTCGATCCTCGTCCCTCATCTTGTCGAACTCGTCAATGCAGACAACGCCTCCATCAGCGAGCACCATCGCACCACCTTCCAGATAGAATTCGCGGGTGGTCGCATCACGCTGGACCGAGGCAGTAAGACCAGCGGCAGAGGATCCCTTACCGGATGTGTAGATGGCAATTGGCGATACTCTCTCCACAAACTTCAACAGCTGTGATTTGGCAGTACCCGGATCACCAAGAAGGAGAACATTGATATCACCACGTAGTTTCATGCCATCGGGCAGTATCTTCTTTGAACCGCCCATGAGCAGACATGCAATCGCCTTTTTAATATCTCGGTTACCGTAAATTGACGGTGCGATACAGTCAGTAAACACTTCATATAAATCAGGTCGTCTGCTCATCTCCAAGAACTCCTGCTCTTCCTCTTCGGTAAATACACCAGCCCCCTTGGCAGTCTGATCAACGTCACTCATGATACCAACTGCTCGGAGGTATGGATTCCTTATAGCGGGCGCTGAATCATTGGACTTTTTACCACCTTTCGCTTGGTAAATCGAGAACACGCCCATGATCGTACATCGTGTACCCGGAACCACCCGGTTGGCAAGGTATCTATCTGCGGAAATTAATATATGTCGTGGCAGCTCTCCCACTGGAACCTGGTCAGGGGCTTCCTGAAGCTTAATAATTTGTTGATCCACGAATTGGCACTTCTCGTGTACGATAAAGTAGGGATCAATGGGGCACTTGTCCTCGTTCGGTTGTCTCATTCTTTTGCATGTTCGTGGTAAAGTAAGGCCAGAGAACCCTCCCTCTACAACAATGTTATCGGGTTCCTGGCAGTGCCGGCATTGAATGTGGACAACTGTCGCTTTTGATGAAATGGTCGATGCACCAATAACTATCCCAGGTATGCGGACCAGGCTGGATACGTTCGAGGCATTGAGATCTCTTATAGAAATGAGAGATACACTCGAATGGAGAAGGAGCTGGTGCTCTGGCAGTTCGATGTCCCTCTGAGACGGATAGACGATCTTCTGTGTGCATTGCTTCAGGGCAGCTTCAAACTATAGAAACAAGTCGTGTAAGCACTGTCTAGTAATAATAAATCAGACTCGAAAACGTACTAAGGGAATCGTGTCTTGTGGATTAGTCGTAAGCCTGTGGGCAAGCTCTTCGTTATATGCGATCAAATGTGCGACATCGACATCGCACAAGTATCTGTTGACAAGGACATTTTGTCTGATTTGATCTCTATTTTTGAGTAGAGCAATTAGCATAAGTCCCTTATACCAGAGAACAAACAAGACTTACCGGTAGACGAAGGTATTATCGATCTGGAAAGCAAGGATAAATTCTCGTAGCTGGGCCTGGATGTTGCTTCTGGCTTCATCTGGCCCGTCGGTTTGCGGTTGCAGCACGCTCAGGGAATAAGGCGTCCTTCGATCCATTATCACGGCAATGTGTCAGAATATCAATTTTATAGACTGTCAACCTGTGCCAAATACGAGGATTGTGATGCTGCGAAGATATCACTTCGAAGCTGGTGAAATTGCTGTTCAGTGGGGCGTTTTGGAAGGCAAAAAAAATACTTGGGACGCGTCGCGCTTCTTCAACCGCGTAAAGTGGGTTTTAAACTTGCGCGGCTTGGCGGCGGCTAAACTAACTATAACTATTTGTACGGCATACTGTAAGGGGCGAGAGAAATGCATAGGAACAAGTTACAAAAGAGAGAAATGGACAAAAGTGGAGAGGCCACTAGGGACGAAATTTATTCTTAGTATATTATACAAAACGTTCTTCCAAGGTTGTTATTTCAGTTGGAGGAATGGATGTTCAGCGAGTTCACGCGCGGTTGCCCTTTCTTCTGGGAGCCAGGTGACCATCCTTTTTACAAAAGATAGGAATTTTTCCCTTTGCTCACTGTCTAGAGAAGGGGCCGTGTCATCAAACCTCCGATCTGGTATCAAATCTTCATGCAAAAAATTACCTAGAAGTTTGTCAGTTAATGTTTCGAATCTTATACAGGGTATTCAAGTACCATTATCATCAAAAAACGGGCCCCCAAAGTATTCTCTTGAGTTTCCACAAAGTTGCCCGTCTTCTCTCACTATGGGCTCTGGCCACTGGTATTCTGACGTTGACCGCGATCTCGCGACTAAGTCTGGGGGTGGTGGCCCAAGCAAAGCTATCATTTCTGCGAGATGCCCTTTAGCATTGTACTGCCCATTTGCATCATACACCAAGCGGAACAGCTCCTTGTTCTCAAAAATGTCCCAGAGCTAATACGTTGTCAGTGAATTTTCAAGAGATATGTGTGAAGGGAGATTTTATGGACACACAAGCACGCCGAGATTCCAGATGTCGGTACTCATTCCCCATCCGCAGCCTAGAATAACCTCAGGTGCGCGGTAGTGATCCGGTTGAATAGGTTGAATCATCAAATCGTCCTCGGAGTCAAACTTCACTGAGTGGCCAAAATCGACGATCTTAGGTATATTTCTCAGCTTTCGAAGTGGCCCAAAATCGTTGTGGCAGCGATAGACTGGTCGGCCCGTAGAATCAATCTTGTATTGCATTGGTGTATCATACAAGGAACCCATGAAGTCACCAAGCACTGCTGGATCTTCAAACGAGACCATGATGTTCTCGAGTTTTAAATCTATAAAAATGTGGTTAGGTATTAGCCAATAAATACTCTAACGACAATCAAGTTTGATATATCCTTACCAGTATGCACGACTTTACACTCTGTATGAAGGTAGTCCAATCCCACGAGGAGAAGCCGGACATATGTCTTGACGAGTGGGAGGGGAATAGCTTCATCTTTAAAGCGCCTCTTGAATAACCATAATGGCTCCCTCATGGGTTCATATGCCAAACACATATGTTTCCCCGCTGAGCTTGTGATTTCAAAACATTCGGAAGATGTCCTGAAAAGTGCGCGACCACGGTGTGACGGATTTGCCCTGAAGATGTGGTTCTCGATCCCGCATTCGTCGTCGATTGGCTGGTTCGCGTTTGTTATTTTCAGTGCCACAACACCCTCTGGTTCATACTGGTATCTGCATAATATGTTAACGAGGAATGATTTTCATAACTCCGATAAAAGATAAACGCTAATACCCTCGCATGTCACGGGCAAACCACACAGTTGATGAAACTCCCCAGCCAACTTTCACGAGGATTTGATAGCGATTGTCGAGTACATCTCCGGGCCTAGCTGGATAGAACTTATTAGGGTTATAGCCAGGGCAGATTTCCTCGTCAACAAGCTCGTTAGCGGCTAAAAGAGGATTTGTAGGGGGAATAGGTAGAGGTTTCCTGCGAAGACATGAGAACGAGCGTGTTATTGCACGCTTTAGGGACTTCATAGTAAAACGGGCTAAGCATGAAGACTGGGGTCTTGCGAATCTCCCGTAGAATCAGATGTCTCCGTTTTGTTAAGTAAGATGAATATGAACACAGCGGAAAAGTAGCAGCACCTTCATAAACAATTCTGGGGCGGTCTTTTCACGTGATATGAGCTACGCGCCTGGCTCATGGTCCGAAGAATGAACGACCCACCCGCCAACCAGCGTCTTAGTTAAATATCTGTCAGAAGTACCTACTGTACCTCATTCTGCTGTTGCTAACTAAGCAGCGTTGCTTTTAGTTTAACAATATCCAAACTCCTTTAGCGCCAGCACACTTCTAACATTTTTCTTCCTCCCCTTCTGCGTGTACTAGAACAATCATATAACCCTCTGACTTATTAGTGGTCGGTATCGGCTAATAGAAGGATACGACTCCAAGCAAAATCGCGGAGCTAACTAACTAACTAATAAAAAAACAGCGCTCTATCTTCGTTGGCTTTTTTCCAAACTCCGCATTTGCATGCCATTTTCTTCAAAAGTTAATTTCAACTTTAGCGCTGACATTCTAGGCTCATAACGCTACAAAGGGGCCTGATAGTTCCTTCTTAATGCTTTTTATATTCATATTCCTTACTGCAAACTGCACAAAATACCCATAGCATACAACACTGATTTGACCATGTTATCCACCTCGGTCGTTCCAACCTCATTTCGAACAGGATTATGGTTTAACCCTCAAAGGTGCCTGATCAAGGGCTCCAGGCCGTTATACTCAAGCGCACCAGCCCCCATGCATACCTCTATATCTCATCACTTCTTGGTTGGCTTCGAGCTGGATTGTTTCGTATTGGCATTCGTAGTCATAGGACTTTCTGGGGCAATCACGGGAGCTCTGGGGTGTGGAGAGAGCTTTACGCCTTGGTATTTCTTCTTGGAGAATTTAATATACCCGTTAGGATAAACATGTGCCGACGTGACCCGGGTTCCCGTGCTGTTATATAGTTCAACACTTCCGTGCCAGACGTCACCAGTTTTGGGAGTACAATGAGGATTCCCACTGCAAAACGTTAGTTAGCTTGGAAGTTATGTAGGAGCTTGCATGCAGATAACATTACTTTACACGGGCACTAACGACACCCTCAAGACCCGGAACATGGTCGACACTCTCTTCGGTTTGCTCGGTTACCCAGGTGACATCCGTTGTCGTTCCGTTTAACGTCCATGTGAGTTTCCTCATCAACTTGGCAGTGGTTGAGAAAGGCCTGGACGCTAGCTTCGATGCCATTTTTGGGTAGGAGGTCAGAAGAGAAAGGCAATATTTGAATGGGGTGCAAACTTCTTGTGATAGATGGCAAGTAGATTGGATTGGAATATGGTTAATAAGAACTGGAAATGGTGACCTGACTGAGTCCTTATATACCCCAACCCCCCCCTGATTTTAATACTATGGTTTAATGGCCATGGCGACTACTATATCACCTAACCGCTGGCCCCCATCCATAGTGTCGTCTCTAACAGGAGTTTGCATATGCATGATATACTTATATACACCAATGATAACAATGCTTCTTCATAAGCGCTAAATCGCATCAATAATTAACAATAGCATGCAGCGGACGTATAAAATGGGAACGCATTTGGGCCAACCAATGTATGCTTTACATGTTATAATGACACGAGATACGTTTTAAACCAATAGCTTTGAAGATTTGCAAATATCATATATCCCAAGAAACTTATGCAGCTGCATCCTTTTGGTTTTGGGTTGTGGTTGTTATTGTTGGGGAGTGGGATTGTGCTATATATGAATACAAGCATTACATTTTTCATAGCCAAAGTGCATATTCAATCAGCACAGCTGTCTCCGTAACAAGCTGCGATGGATAGATATAAATAAGTTATCAAACTGTTTTATCCTTTCCAAGGACGGCGCTTAGAATGCCAAGTAGTTAAGTAACTAACTGCCAAACGGTTGAGCCAAGAAGGCGGGCCCGCGCTGATTGGCGCAGGAGGCTTGTTGTTATTAATACTAACTTGGTAGTTAGTTGACAATCTACGCTTTTCGGCGCCAACTAAGAGTACTTGGTGCGAAGTAAGCTACTTACCTAGATATTCACCTTGGTGGGCAACCATTGATAGGTGTTGCAGTGCTGCTGCTATTAATATTGTTGGCGGGGTATTGGAAGACGACCTAGAGAATAACGTGTGGAAAGGGATTATACATACTATGAATTGTCTATTAACCGCTCAGAAACATATTTATACATATACCACTTCAAAAGTAACTCTGGATCCACTTATCCTGTTCAAGCTCTTTGGCAGATCTGCGGTCCTCTGGCTGCCACTGGAGCATTCTTCGTACCATACGTAAAAAGGCCAGTTTTTCCTCTCCTTCGAAAGTAGATTCTCTTTCCTCAAGCTGAACACGGTTGAGAAGAGGTATTCCGGCGCAGAATTCACCTAGAACGCAAGTTGGTTATGACTGTCTAGCCAGCGAACACGAGAGAAAACAGAAAAAACAGAACATACCTTCGGCAGAAAAGAATTTACTTCTTAGGTTCCCTCGCGTAAGCAAAGGAGGCGGCGGGGGACCTAGAAGCCTAATCATCTCAGAAAGATGAGCTCGACTCCGATAGGTTTGGAACTCTGGGTCGTGGCCGGTAAATAAAGACTCGCCCTCAAAAATGTCCCAAATCTAGATGACGAGGTTAGTTTGCGGACTGTTTTAGATGGGCTTTCTGTCCTACCATGCATCCTGTATTCCATATGTCCACACTATAGGTCCATGGAGCTTCTAAGATCACCTCTGGGGCCCGGTAGATATTAGGTTGAATATATTCGGAGTGTTCTATGTCACCGGGTATGGCCGAACCAAAGTCACATAGGACAGGGGGTCCCAATGCTTTGGGTATTCCTAGTTCCCTCGATAGATAGATAATCCTTCCATCTAACTCCTTCCTTGGAGATGGAGTTTGAAGCTCCGCTTCTTCAAAATCTCTGAAAATTGAATCATCAGCGGTACCAAACATGATATTGTCGGCCTTGATATCTAAGTCATTCAAAATATGAGCGTTATGGTCGGGGGTATTATATGGGTGAATGAATCCCCACCAGCATGTATAATATGACATTCAGTATGCAAATAGTCCAACGCCGAAAACAACCGCTGAAGCACCAATGCTAAAAGTAGCGGAGGTAGTCTTCGTACTGGATTGCGATGAAGAAAGGTCAACAAATTTTCCTATAATGGTGGGTGTACCAAGCATCTGTGCTTTTCTTCAGGTCCGTTGATATCAAATGAATCAATCAGTGACCTGACTGCTTGATGGCCGGGATGGGATCGTGAGCCTTTTTCTATCCGCTTGTACATCCGGAGCTCGTCATCTAATCGCTGACCCATTGAGGTAGATGTTATGAAGATTTTAAGGGTAACATAACGCCGGCGACTGCAGGTATAGCATGTTGTCTGCAGCTCGTCGTCATTACAGACTTTCAATAGTGCCGTGTCTAGCTTCCTCCACCCAAAAAGACCTGGACGTTGCTCCGTACCCTAGCTTTCCCACGACCTGATATCTCCTTTCAATATCTTCTCCTATTCGGGTTGGATAATACCGAGAAGTAATGTAGTCTGGGATAGTCTCTTCTTCAATTTTCTGGCTTGCAGGTATCCGCGTGAAACTTGAATTCGAGAACTCCAGAGGTTTCCATGATAAGCTAAAGCGTGACAAACGTCGGAGAAACGAAGGTACCATGAGATCAAGTAAAAAGATCGAGCTAATTTTGGAGTCTTTTAAGTGGAAAGATTATTGTAAAAAGCAGATAAACATAAACCTATGTCCGTGCTATAGGAATAACTGCTGTCAATTCATTGTAGGCGCCAGATCATTAGTTAAATATTCCGATTAGCCTTACGTTCTTCACGCGTAGACTTCAGGCCTTAAAGGTTTTTAAAACCTCCATTCCCCGTATGGTACTCAGGTACGGAGTCCAGATGCCAAATTGATGGACTTTGGCTGGGAAAGCGCTTAAATATTCCCATATGCCAAGAGAATAGTCAAAAGGAGACTAGATGCCAAGAAGGTCCCGTTCCCCAGACCAGAAGCGGGTTGGTCTAAGCTTCCAGGCCAAAAGAAAACGCCTGACGGAGTGACAACCTTGGAATCATCACACTGCTACAGGTTACAGTACTCCCTCTACATACAACATAAATATCTCGTCCTTTTCTTCCGGCTCTCTGCCCCTGCCGGCTGTATAGCAAAGTGATCTTTTAGACCTGGCCTCCCCGAATGCTCCAAACTCCTGTCCGCCGGTTTCGAGGACATGCCGTCATGATAGCAAGGCCCTAATTGCTGCCACTGAACTACGGAGCCTCACATGGTCCCCGGGTCCGACATGACCTCACCAGACTCCAGGAGGTCTGTGGACAGCTTGCCCTTATCGTCTCCAAAATCCGCCGTGTCTCAGCAGATTCCCTTCCCACAAGCGGATAACGGCAGCAAACCCATATCACGGCACCGGTTCGGCTCCCGCAGGAGCTCTAATGCCAGCTCTATCACAAGTTTGGGATCGGCATTCCACCCACCGTTACTACAACAGCATCAGCAGCATGGGCCAATAGCAGAGTCCGGCCAAAATGGTAGGATTTCTTGTATCTACTATTTCGCTAGGCTATGTTCTGGTGATGGCTAACGGTTTTCTTCATTGACAGCCATTTCAACCCTCCTTCAGCCTCCGATTGTCCGCACTGGACTTCTCCCTCACACTTCTGCTCCGCCCAGTGGCTATAAACCACCCTCGGCCCGCGACATACCTCCAGTTACTTTGACGAATATCCCACATGTTGATTCTGCGTCCTTCCAACCCTATCTGCTTCAGGTTGGCTCGCTGTACGATGCCTTACATCACGCAAAGGAGAATGGGGACCAGGACCTGAGTATCATTAGGAGAAATACACCGTCCTTAGCGTCACCGGAACTCGACCAGATGCTTAACAAGGCATTTGATGGGCGGCAATCGGGGTCTCTTTCATCTTCTCCTCTAGATCCGTCTACGCAGCGCTCTCGACCCTCATCGAGCCACAGGTCGGCACTCTCACCAACACCATTGTCTACAATACCAAATATTTACTTCGACGAGAATTTCCAACTTGAAAACCCGAGGACATTTGATATAGTGTCAGAGAGATCGGAGGTTATTAGTTCTCCAAAAAGCCCCGGACGAACTGGTTCAGATGAGTTAGCCTCTGAAAGACGGCCTAGCAGAAAAGCACTTGCTACAAATGCAATACTACAGGAGAAACTCTCTTGGTATCTGGATACAGTGGAAATACATCTTCTTTCGTCAATATCCACGGCCTCAAAGTCCTTTTTCTCTGCACTAGGCTCCCTTAGGGATCTCCATACCGAAGCTGCTACCTCCGTGAATAACATTAGGGTGCTACGTGAAGACTTGGCAAAGTTGGATGTTGATATGGCCCAGGGAGGATTGAAGGTGGTCAAGCTTCAACGCCGACGTGAAAATGTGAGGAAGCTAGCGGACGCTGTTTGCCAATTACAGGAAGTCATTTCATCAGTTTCAAAATGTGAGAAGCTTATTGATAGTGGTGACCTTGAAGATGCTATCGACGAGCTGGACGATGCCGAGAGGCTCCTGGTTGGAGAACGGCCGACAAAGCCGCGCCAATACCTTACAGACACAGACATGATTATAGATCTCCGGGGCGTCGATGCGCTTGATCGAGCATCGGATGATTTTGCCCAGCTCCGATCCTACATAGGAGCTGGGTATGAAAACAGGTTCCTAACCATTCTTTTGGACGACCTCCGCCGGCATGTTGAAAGCTCTTCTCCCGAAGCGACATTACTTCGACTCGGCATAGCTTTCCAGAGATCTCGTCGTGGCCAACGGAACACTATGTCCAGTATGCCAGCATTTTTGACCGTTGATAATGAGATGCGGTCAAGGCTTCAGAGAGAGCTTTCCGGCTTAGGTCGAGCTCGCTATACAATGACGGGTGCCACGTCTTTCAAAAATGCGGTTCTTCGGGAAATGAAAAACATAATTCGCCGGCATCTTCCTAGTTCAACGGACGAGGATAATGAATCTATCATGTCTGCTTCAACACACGGGGGGCGACAACTGAACCAGCAGGAGAAATCATCTATCCTTGCGCGTAACCTCCGTTCATTGGGTGCAGATGACGCCTTTTCAATGCTCACCACCATATACACTGGCATCAGCGAGGCACTTAGAAGGCTCAGTGTCCAAGTGAAAGTCTTACTTGATATCACAAGCAACCTGGGGAATTCGTCAACATCTGTACAATCACCTTCTAGAAGTCAAAGCTCGCAAAGTTTGGATACCATGGCCAATGTTCCATCACCAAACACCCTGGCCAGAGATGAGATCCTCCAAGTTCTAGATATGTCAAGCTTACTTGGCCAAGCCGTGGATATAGTCCAGTCGCAAATTGTGAAGGTATTAAAGGTTCGAGGTGGACAGATCGAATTTTTCTCCCTCGAACAGTTTCTCCAATACTTTACTCTAAATAGGCTCTTTGCTGAAGAATGCGAGGCCATCTCGGGCAGAAGTGGCACTACCCTTAAAACCGTGGTCGACACTCAGATAAAGAACTATATGTCTAGTTTCGGGGATGCCTGGAAACACCGTATTGTCCAGGTCCTGGATCAGGATAAATGGGATGCCAAAGATTTCGGCGATCGTGAAGACACCCTCCTATCCCGTGTGCTTGATGCAAGTACACACGATGCAGAGGTGTGGAATGCATCGTCCAGAATCTGGGATACAGGTGAAAATGACTTGGAGCAAGCGACAGAAACCAAGGAAGCACCATTGAACGGTTCAGGGGCTAAAAAAGAGCGTGTCAGGAATGCAACTATTGACGAACAGAAATTTATTCTCCCAGAGTCTGCATTTTTAATATTACAAGCCACCGAAGAGTTTCAGCACTTTATGGCCGGTATACCAAATGTGGTTCCTGATATTGCCCCTAGTCTACTTGAGTGTCTCAAGTTATTTAATTCAAGGACCTCACAATTGATCCTCGGTGCTGGAGCAACAAAAAGTGCAGGTTTGAAAAATATTACCACTAAACACCTCGCTCTTGCGTCTCAATCTCTGAGCTTCATAATTGCTCTTATCCCTTACATTAGGGAGTTTATTCGCCGGCATTGTCCGTCCACTCCTGTCATGGGTGAATTCGATAAAGTCAAAAGGCTTTATCAAGAACACCAGTCTGGAATCCATGAGAAACTCGTTGATATCATGAATTCCCGCTCGTCTATTCGTGTTACTTCTATGAAAAAGATGGACTGGGAAGGAGAATCGAATACTATTAGCCCTTACATGGAAATTTTGGCAAAAGAGACCGGAACTTTACACCGAGTTTTATCGAAACACCTACCGGACACTACTGTAGCGATGATCATGGGACCCGTTTTTGCAAGTTATAAGGATCAATGGACTGATGCCTTCCAACAGGCACCGTTAAAGTCGGAAAGAGCTAGGCAAAGGTATGGTAGCTTAATATTGTAGCTCAAGACGATAATCCGCTAACCAATCACACAGGATGCTGTCTGATGTCCAGTTTCTCCGATCTACACTAGAGAAACTTGATGGTGGAAATGAGCTTATAAGCCACCTTACTTCAGTTATTGAAGCAAAGCACGTTGCTGCTAGTCCATCATCCCCGGTTCCTAACTCCGGATCACCCGCCGTCCCCAGCCGTGATACATCAACCTCACCGAGTACCGGCGAGAGAAACGATTCAAATGACTCCTAAAACATGCCTGTTACTACTATTTCTATCTTTGTTACGGATTATTAACATTTTACTGGCTCTCTTTTACCTAACTGAGCGACGGATTTAGATGACTTATACACCTGGAGGACTTCAATGCTTATACACTTCTTCCCCTGCCATTTATCTTTACCGGCGCAACCACCTTAGTGGCTCTTCTGTCCTCTTTTGGCGCTGTCTTTTCACTTACTCCAGCTTTATCTTCCATCTTTGATATTTTAACGCTGTGATCATGTATAATATTGAATGGTTCAATGTTTATTCCGTCTTTGCTGGGTTATAATTTGCCACTGTTTACTTGCCAGATCTGCCTTCCTCCTCTTGACCTCCTTCCCTGCCATGAGAAAGCAGAAGCTGCATGGAAACGATTCATGCCTTTATTTATTTTATACTGCGAGAGCATGTAGGTAGACTCCTACATGGTCAGAAATGACTATCAGACGCTCGTTATATTTCAACCTATACATTACTCTCGTTAATGTCTGCTCCCAGTCGGGCCAACGTTCGCTACCTACTGTTCGTTTTATCTATCTGGAATACCCCTGGTCAACGAAAAGAAGCTCCTCATGTCTTCGCTATCGGATTTCGACTCGGCTTATATGATGGCCTCTCTGGGCTTCCGCAGGTGCATCCTCAGACGTCCTGTCAACCAAAAGACCGTTCTCTGGGCTATCCGCGCATCCGAATCTATCCTTAAGCATGACATTTCCCCTTCCATGCGACAAGCCATAAGTGAGGTTGCCTCCCATGCTCAAAAATGGATGGAGACCGGTGATGCCTCGCCGGCGGAACACAGCACCATATCCAACTTCATAACCCAGGTTGACACCTATTTCACGATATGCCATCCGGAAATCCACATGATTGAAAAGGTCTCGCGCATTGCACGGAAGGCTGCGCAGCTTACGGACAAAAACCCCAGCCTCTCCCATCTTTATTCTATGTTGTTTGAATATATGGATGTGATGGTGCCTATTTCAAGAATCCTAAAATGCACAGAATGCTTCGGTCCAGACGCATATAGCGCTAGCCTGCCAATAAAGGATGATAGTATGTTTTGGATAAGAGTCAAGCAGGGACTGTTATTCAACGAGAGCACCAGACAATGGCTTCCCTTAAACTACATTCCGCTGGGCAACCATCAGATATCCGATGAACCAACAATCAAGGATTGTCGTCGCATCAGGGCATGGCTTCTCCGAGCATGCTATATTGTGGGCTGGGACATTAAGGATATAGAGTGGCAGATAATCAACTACTCTACTTTCCTTGAAACCCCTTGCGGCCCCAGGATGCTCTTTCGCACCGGTAGATGGTCTCATCTTGCAATGCACACTGTGCGAACACGGAAACACCTTTCGTTGCTCAATTATACCTCTGGGTCGTTCCAAGGATTTGTAGAGATTGGCCCCTACGCAAGTCGGATCATTGACTTGGTAGAGAAGAAGTGGTTCAGTTCATTGAGTGATACGGGGGAATGCGAGTTCAGCGATGCTGTACTGTCTATGGATACAGCCTGGCAGAAGGAAGATAAATCCACCACCGCTATGTGCAAGAATTTTCGACAGATGCAACTGTTTGACCATTCCCAACTGATCATTACCGAACCGCTCATGCGCTCATGCCCTTTTGGATATGGCACCAAGAACGAGTCTCTCAGAAAGCTAATAAAAGATGACGAGTCTGATGAAGACGAAGCCATGCTTAATTAAGTAGCAGCCATGAGGATTCTGGCCAGTGGGCGAATTTTGCTATCAGTTTTGCCCCCCATTCACCATGTCTCTCTCTCTGTCTGTCTGTTGGTTTACAATTTTTTAAAAAAGAAGATTATCATCAGAAATTGAACACGGTTATATTTCTGTTACTGAATTCTTGCCGATACCCTTTCCACAATACTTCGTGTTGTGAATTTGTAAGACTTGATCCTAGTAATATCTTAAATTTCAGTAGTAATCAAGCAGTATGGTAGATTACCGTGGGATAAATGGCACAAGATGGGCTATGAACTTGGCCCTTCAGAAACTTCATAGGCAGAATGCAGGTCGTCCATGCTAGACTTCCGCTTCAGGTCACACTCGACGCTCTTTTCTGATAAATTTTTCTCAGACAAGGAGACAGACAGCTCACTCTCATCAGTGGCAGGAATCCGTTTCATCCACGTAAATATACCGTTGATGAAACCTTTCTTCTCGCCGACACCTGGCCTAGGTCTGTCTTTGATTATATCGTATTCCAGAGACGAAGGAGAGCTAGAATCCTCATCTTCATCTTCATCTTCATCCTCATCCTCATCCTCATCCTCATCTTCGTACTCATCCTCGTACTCATCCTCGTCGTCATCATCGTCATCGTCATCGATACTTTCCAGAGAGATATCCAGACTAATTGTGCCGTCTGCGATGCCGTTTTCAAGTTCATCTGGGAAGAGCATGTCATATGATTCAACCAGTAGGGGCATTAGCCTGCCTTCATCGAGGTCATTGACTATATCATCGCTGGTTACCGAGACAAAGGAGAGATAGGGTAATTTGGTGCGGCTATCTCTGCTTTCGAAGAAGATTTCTATAGCATCTGAGTCTGAGCCTATATAAGATGGGTTTCGGAAATCGTCTAGTTCTTCGGGCGGGTGACTGTTCAGCAAACTGGAGGGTGGGTCATTGGTAGAGATATCACTTCGTTCCGGCCGCTCTGATAGTGGAGATTCTGTACCTGCTTCCACATCTGAATCTGGAGGAGATGACAGCATGGGTTTGCCGAGGATACCTAATCTTCTGCGAGGGGGCGGGCGGCCGTATTCCTCGTGTGAGGATGTGGACTCCATCGTAGGCCTGTGTTCTGGCTGTAATGTTTCTGCAGTCGGTGTAATATGCTTCTTCCAAAACGAACGAGTAAACAGATGGATTTTTGTTTTGGTATGTAAGGTAGACCACAGTTTCTATATCGATGCTGTGTACTGCTTGATCAGCGTTTGTGCTCTTCACTTCCGGAAACAGGGCTGTAGGAGAAGAAATGACACCTCACTAGAGCAGCAACCTTAGGATGTAGCCTGTATATAAAGCAGGGGACGAACTAGAGGAAGCAGATACAGCCAGAAGTCTCAACAGAAGGTGGCGATGTTCCAATAATTCCAGTAAAGAAATGGTGATGCATACCTTTGTCAATGTATAGCATAGTGAACAATCTCTTTTATTTGGCCCCATTGTTCCCCTATCTCATTGTTTGAACTGTTCCCCTTCAACAGAGATTGTTAGGGCGTAATATGGGGACCTCTCCAGCCCTGAATAGATATTACCGGTATAATTTGTTGCGAGGTGTTGGTAAAGGGTATCAAACCGGGCCTTTTTGTCAACAAAACGGGCCTTAGCCTGCCACTTGGAGCCAGATAAAGGGGCTGGAGGGCCTGGATATTCATTTGGGAGTACCTGGAAGATACACTTCAATCAATAAAGGCTAGTGAAGTGTCAAAGGGTTCAAGAGGTCTACTTCACGGCTCTCTCCTCTATCCCAACACTCGCTGGGCGACCGCGGGGTTTGTTTGCAAGGCTGACTGGATTTCAAGAGTTTTCTGGGAGTGTAAAGCAACACCGGGAGAGGAAGATAGGTGATGTGGTGGTGAGATATTCGGGATAATATAGTGGTGGGCGCACACGGTCGCATACTGTCGAAGAGGGATGAAGGGTAGCTACCAAAGGGATATTGCAGGAGCAAAGGAGCAAACAAACTGGCAAACTCCTGCAAAAATAGGAGCAAGCCGGAGTTCTCAGTCTCCTGGTCTCTGGGAGTGTCAAAAATGTTCTTTATTTGCAGGGTATAGTAAGCCGTTTGTGTAGTATATAAGTAATAGTGGGTTGGGTGTATGCAACCAAAATGATCTGATGCAGTGAATAAAACAACATATGGCCAAAACACCTCTTTTTTCACAACTCAACATCCAGAGATGGTAATTAGATGCCAAAAAAGGCGAAAAATCCGTTGATTTTTGCGGATCTCGTATCTATCAAAAAAGGGGCAAAAAGGGGCGGAGATGGATATTCAAACGGGCTCTCTTGTGGGAGGTGCTGGCCGTGACGGCGATTCGAACCTACGGCGTCGGACCTGTTTTGGAGGGTGCATGGCTGCCTATGGCCGCCGAAAACTGTTCAGACGTACCATCCCCAACTTCGACAGTCGGCAGGACGGCATGAAGAAGGCTCCAAACGATAATTTGAAGACGAAGAAACGGAGATATGATATGGGGCATATAAAAAAAGTGCAAAAAAGCTCGGGAACCTGCAGGCTTCCCTACGAAAACGCGGTCGCAATGACTTGGTTGTTCTCCTACGCCCGCTTTTCTTAGACATCGGGTGGCAAGTTGCTGGGGGATACTACCAGGCTTAGGTTTATAGCACCTACCTCTCGGCATGTGCCTCCAAGGCTGGGTTTACGCCATAACCGCAGCAACTTACCGCTCGACCAGGCCGGCGGGTTTCAGTGCAAGACACAAAGCTAGGGGACCTCATAAGGGCTCTCAGCCATAACAAGATCTCCTACTCCACACAGTAGAGAGGAATATGGGGAGAAATAGGAAGCAGTTTGATAGTCTCCTTTACCTGTATACACTAATTTCATCATCCTGACGGCCTTGGGTTGTCTCCATGGAGGTATATATGGCTTCGTCCACCTATTCTGGAGGCCTGTCAGCAGCACACTGGGAGGCCGTTTGTCCAGCACCAGTTAGGGGCCAGGGAGCCCGTGACCATCCATGTTAGTCGAATGGTATGTTCATTTCTCCTGCTGGGTGGATGTCTTATTAAACAAAGAGGATGCGAGTTCGAATCCGACCAGGAATATTTGGAATATATCCTCCACGGCACGATGGTCCTTCCAGCTCCAGTGGGTTACTAGGCGTACCTGCCATATTTAAGAGAGACAATGCCACAGAAGGAACTAAGGAACAGGAGGCAGGAGGGATGGACAGAGGCATCAAGGCGGCTCTGCAAGATGGTTTAGTTATGGAGGTTCCTCGGAAGAGCATGGGAAACTACCTAGGTATCAGTAAGGGTAACGTGAAGACAACCAAGAATGAGCCGTACGATATCAAGGACAGATATTAAGGGTATATATATGGGGATATCAGAGATATATGACACAAAAATAAAGGGTATATAATCCAGTCAAGAGAAAGCACGGGCACAGGATATGCAGACCGTCCTATATACCGTCCATCGACGGAGTTTCCAGAGATACCCATGGCCACGGTTCTTTTACGGAAGAGAAAGGTGACGGCCGAGACCAAAAATCCAAAAATTTACAGAGAAATAGAGAGCCTCCAGAGACCTTACGGGCAGAAGGAGCCAGAGATCAGGGCTATATCCCAGGAGACCGGCGTGTCCAGAGTGAAAGAGTGGCAGGCTGAGGATCGAGGGAGGTCAAAGGGAGGTCAAAAGGCAGTCGTCATCGACTCTTAATACGGCTGGAAGTCCGGCTCGACCATCACCCGCACGGAGGTGACTACTGGAGGTGAATACTCGGGGCAACACACGATGATCCAACACAAATCGACGACGAAGATGGAGATGAAGATGAAGATGAGACGAAAAGAAGAAGAAGACGAAGAAGCCGAAGAGATGAAGTCGAAGAGATGAGGTTGAAAAAGAGTCTTTCGAGGTGGAGAGCCGGGATCGTGCGTCAGCCGCTGGTTGGTCCGCCAGGAACCCAGAAGAAAAAATCTTCACAAGTACGCAGTCGATGATGATACATGATACAAGTTGGTCCAGCGAGCTAGCTACGGCTGCATGCGTGCCACAAAAGATGTTTGTGCCGGATACTGAGGTTGCACTGCTTTCCGGCGCCTCTATGCATGCTGCCGTGGCCGCTCTCACAGCGCATGCAGGCATCAAACAGCGAAGACATCTAGGCATCTAGGCAGCCAGGCGAAGGCCTCGCCCTCTTTGTCGAGCAGGAAGAAGACGAGGGCGAGAAAAAGAAACGTTAATTGGTTGCTCTGGCCGCTGCTGACAAGTGGGAATCCATGGTTCGCATATGTATGCGACTGGCTCTCTTGGTGGCTGAAGATTTATTTACTGGGTAACAATGATGGATGGCACTAAATTCCAAGTCGATATAGATGATAGAAGAAAGCTGTCGATTTTGTCTACTGAAGTAATCGGTAATTAATGGATACTAAGAAGGAATAGCTAGATTCGCAATATGTAGTAACTATCAAACATCTACTAGTTGATTGATTCGAACACCTGCAGGCATCCTGGTTTCACCTTTTGGCGACATCAGTAAATGAATGACTGTTCCAGCTTGCTCCCTTTGCCTTTACTCTCGTCCCTGGATAGTTACTGAATACTTCATGCCCTTCTCGCCGCCCAGCAGGCATCGGTTAACACTAGGTACCTGCTAGTTAACTATCGCTAACCGCAGTCTAGTTAACAGGCGTCGTTCATAACTACCAAGTAGCTAACAACACCGTGGCATCTTCACCGTAACATCTAACCGGCAACCTAGACGGCTAACGGGGGAAAATTACCCCATGACCATCGAGCGGAATAGCATGTCCAAGTTACTTACTTGTCTGGCGTGCTGACAGCTTATAGTCAATTAAGTAGCAACGACTGCGGAGCCCTTCACTAATCAGAGTGTCAAGCCTCTAAGACGCCATCACCAAACTCCCAGTCAAACACCACGCAGTAGCTGTCAACACATCTCAACTTCGACAACACCTCTCTGCGTCGCCCCGGCCATGGGTGCCTCAGAGTCAAAATTGGTCTTTAAACAAGGCATCTTCCGGCTCTCGGAGCAGGCAAACATCCCTCCAGACGATCAGTACTGGACGGGGGTACGTAACCCTCATTCCGCTGCGATACAGATAGAAAGAATACAGACATGCTAACGCAGGATGCTGCTATTAGTTCTGGGAGTTGCCCGAGTCGGTCGAAGATGTCTTCAGTCTATTCTCTCCCGCCGACATACGGCGGACACGCGATAATTCCTTGTCGAATTTAGAAACACTGCTACTCGCCATCTGCTCCCGCCTGGTTGCACTACGACATCATCCATCGTTCCCTGATCTCGAACTCGCGCCTGCAAGAGATGCGCTGAATTGTATCCGTATCCTCACAAGACTGCTGCCATATGTGTACGAAGCCGATAACCTGGAGGAGTGGGAAGATGAGTTCTTCTGGAGGCGCAGGCGCAAGATGTCTCGCAAGGCACAGCTTTCGTCTCGGGTGCTCTTTGACGAATCCCGCGGCCAGGAAGACGACGATGAAGAAGGAGGAGGACAGATCGGTCGGCGAGGATTGTCAGAGGAGGACTTTGAAGATGTGAAGCCACTTGCTGAGGAATTGTTGGATACGCTTTTGGACCTGCTTTTCTTCAGCGGATTCACGATACCGCAGGTTCCTGCGTCAAAGGGGAAAGTGGTTTATTCCATATGGCAGAGTGGTGTAGGGTGCAACACCGCAATGGGTTCGAATAAGGAGCTTGAGAGCAATAGGACGGAGGTGTTGAGGTTGTTGCTTACCATGACTGGCCAGTCTATGTACATGCAACCAAGTACGTACCCATCTCCTACCCCTTCTTTTCTAACCGTTGCACCATAACTAACGCCAGTTAAGGCCTATTACCAGTGAAGGGAGTGAAATCCCTCACATACCTGGTTACCTGTGGTAATAAGAAACTGGTCATGTCACTGCTTTGCTCCCTGCTAAACACGACAATTAAATATAACCCTACACCATGGCGGTTACCATACGACCATGTGGTTTGGAAAGACCCCAAGCAGATCCTCGTCATATACTGTCTACAATTCCTCCTAGCTCTCCTTCTTTACCCTATCCCGGAAGATGGCCGGGGTAGTCTACCTAAGAATTACTACCGACATTTCCTTGGACGCCTGCATCAGCCTCAGGATTTCCAATTCCTAGTCGAAGGAATGACTAGGATATTGAATCAGCCGGTACGTCTATCTCTTTAGACTGGTCAATTCCCTTTAGTATATCCTTTAACTAATCATAATATCCCTAGATGCAAGCAACGTCTTCCTACCTACCAGGAAGCCAGAAATCCGTAAAATGGGCACCAGAAATGCTCATGCTATTCTGGGAAATGGTCCAGTGTAACAAGCGGTTCAGGTCGTTTATCGTGGACTCTAACCGTGCCCATGATTTTATTATCATCTGCATCTTCTACGCTATAGAGTACAAGACTGACCCGTCCAAGAATGGCCTGGTCAAGATGTGCATCTTCCTGCTTCAGACGCTGAGCGTGGAGCCGAACTTTGGCAAGAATCTGTTCCGGAAGTTCGAAGCTCAGGATACCCTTCCACCCAGCATTCGACTAGAGAATTTTGGGGGCACTTATGGTGACTTCTTGATCATTGTAAGCATTTCTTTATCCCGGGACTTCTGGGTTTGCTACGTAGCTTGTGTCTCGCTAACCGACGCATAGTCTATTCATACACTCATTACCACCAGCAAAGGGAAACTAGACGCCGTATACCCAGCGCTACTTGCCATCATCAACAATGTGGCAGCATATGCCCAGCGACTCTCTCCCGCATGTGCTTCCAAGGTTCTTCAGTTGTTTGTTTCAATGTCTGCTCCAAGCTTCCTATTAGCCAACGAAACGAACCATCTCCTCCTGTCCTCCCTCCTTGAATTCATAAATACTGTCATAGAACACCAATTCAGCAGTAAGTACAGCCATTTATCCAGTCGTGTTGCTTACGGCGTGTATGGCTACTAACATGGACTAGAAAACGCCTATCTCGTTTATGTCATACTCAAGTCCAGACGTCGGTTCGAGTCTTTACGTGCGTTCACCTTAGAAAGCGGCCAGCAGGAAATAGAGCAGCAGAATCAACTACGGAAAGCCACGTCTAGCTCTAGCGGTGATCGCACTCATTCCAGAGACGATGACTCTCATGAAGCAGGAAGCGGAAGGCGACCTCTAAGTCATGTCCCTGAAGAAGAGGATGAGACCTTCGCAATCGGGGACGACGATTCTGACGAAGAGGGAGACGGTGACCAGTCGGCCTCTCAGCTCACTTCTCCCGCAGCCGAAAGCTTCCGCTCACCTCCTATATCACCACTAGACGAGTCAGTACCTCTTCAGCTTCGAGGGTTATCTGAAAAGGCACGAGGCAAGATGCCTGCAGGCCAGCCGACGTTTTCGCGTCAGAATAGCATGACGAGTCTGAGCAGCTATGCACCCACTGGCACTGCAAATGCTCGTGGCTTTACCCCAACATCTTCATGGGTACGTATGGTCTTACACAAGTAATTGATGTTGCGCATAACTGATGAAACCCGTTGAACAGATTGAATCTTGGGTCCCCGAGCTTCCCCTTCACACCATTTTAACCATCATATCCTCAATATCACATCGCATCCCAGCAGCCGCACTGGAATCGTCAGTAAGTCCAGAAGCTCGCACATTAATAACAGAGCTCCCATCCTTTGCCGCAGCTCCACAGATCAGAGCGATACTAGCAGAACCATCCCCCATCCGCGTACATATGTTTGAATGGTCACCTCTCTCCCTCGGCTGGTACGAGTCGCTTCTCTGGGGTTTCGTCTTTGCCAGTGAAATGGTCGTCGGATCTGCCGCCAGCTCAACGCCAGGTACCGTTGGCGTCTGGAACGGGACAGCCATCAAATTATTCAGAGTACAGGAGACGGCGGCGCAGGGGCCAACGCTACTTGCTCCCAAGGGCGCAGTTGATGCCGTGGGTAGCAGCCTGGTACAGCGCATTGGGAGTCTAAATATTACAGGTCGGAATAGCAGCGCCAGCCAGGAGGGCCGAGAAGAGTCAACGAACGTCCGAGTGAGAGAGGTCTAGCACGTCTTCGTCTTCCTTCAATAGTTTTACATTCTCTTTATCCCAGCGTCTGCTTTTCGTTCAAGTTAGCACTGTCGCTTCTCCTGTTTTATCTACCTAAGTTATCGTAGGCGTCTCTCGCTCGCCCCATTGCCTCGTCGGCTACCTAACTATGCCGTCCCTTCATCTTCAACTTCAACTGTTCTTCGTAGTTACATAATTTTATATCAACATCCACTTTCTATCGTATTTTGCTCTCCTCGAGTCCGCGTATTCGAGCTAGCAAGCCAAACAAGCCTCACACGTGGAAAGCGACCAACCAATTGGCAAGCAAGTATCTCCATCCCGGCCGTGTTGAAATTAACAAGCTGCGTCTCGGAGGATCCATCAGTGCGGATATAAAAAGACCGTCTGCTCCGGTCATCAAAGCGACGAGAGCTCATCAATCATTCTTTTTACGGTCGAGATATAGGAAGATGAAGACCTTCATTCCGGCCTCTGTGGCCATCCTCGCGGCCTGCCTTGAGCCCGCCAGCGCCATCTCCGAGCCGCTACAAAACATCCTCGTAAACACAGACCGAAGCCCGCTTTATAGATATCCAACCGATGTGACTCGCGGTATCATTCCTATCCCGGTTCACTCTCACAAGTAAGTGATGGACCTTGCCGTAATAGCAATGGCTGCAGCTGACTCTTTTATAGCGATTACTGGAGAGATGTTCCTTTCTACACTGGTATGCTTTGCAGCTACTACTCTAGCCATCACCATCAGCCTGGATAGCACTGACTAGTAAACTAGCGCTGTCTGCTGGATGCATCTCCATTGAAGCCGATGTCTTCCTCTTCAACGACACTCTCTTCGTATGTAATCCGGTATTACATTAACATAAAGCATCATCGCTGACGGCGTATCATCAAACCAGGTTGGACATGAGGAATCTGCCTTGACCAAGCAGCGAACCCTCCAGTCTCTCTACATCGAGCCTCTCATGGGCGTCCTTAAGAAGACCAACCCCAAGAGTCCATTTGTAAATGGACCTACAAGACAGTAAGTTAAGTCATTTTTAACATATGTTGAAACGGCAACCGACTAATAACGACGCCAGCGGTGTTTTTGATGCCTCCTCAGGACAAACACTCTATCTCTGGATTGACGTGAAGAATGATGGCGAGAAGGCCTGGCCTCACATCGTCAAGGCTCTTCAGCCACTCCGAGATGCCAACTACCTGACCAAGGTCCAGAACAATCAGACGTTTGTTCCGGGACCAGTCACTGTTATTGGAACCGGCGGTACTCCCCTTGACCAGGTCGTTTCAGCCGCAAACCGTGACTACTTCTACGATGGACCACTCAAGGACTTGACTGGTTTCACTTCTCTGATCTCCCCTATTGCTTCCACCAGTCTCATGGAGGTCGTTGGAGATATTACCAGTGACAGTGAAAATCCACTAAACGCTACTCAGCTTGAGGCTGTTCGCAAGCAGATCAAAACCGCAAAGGAAAAGGGTATTGGTGTTCGTTACTGGGAGACTCCTGGATGGCCTATTCGTTTGAGAAATGAATTATGGAGGACTCTTTGGAAGGAAGGCGTCGCCTTGTTAAACGCCGACGATGTGAACGCTGCTAAGGAGTATTTCTAATGAGTGATATTGCCTTGATGTTAATGCTCCGTACTTGATAGATATGCAACTGTATCTCGGATTTTTGATATAATATATAATATTGAAGAGGTCTAGATAGGGTTTTATCACCACCTTATAAATAGCATGCTGAAATGATACCCTACTCCCCAGACCATCAACATTATACCATGGGACCGAGGCCAGAAGAACAGCTTAATTCTTGCTAGTGTCCTTAGGAAAATTGCTAGGCAGAGGAGTATCAAGCAATTCCTTATCTCCCACCTTAACCGGGTTTGCTGGGAGAAGGACGAACAACATTCGCACGTTTTCCGAGCCCTTGTTATTCCACGAATGGATGGTACCTCTCTGCACCACGACATCATGCTGCTTCATAACCTTGGTAACGCCATTGTCAAGCTCCAGCTCTATCTCACCATTCAGCACAATACCAAAGTCCACGCTAATGGTTCGATGCATCAAGCCGGGATGTCCGGGCGCAAAGTCGACAATTCGTATCGTCGCGCTGTCCTTCTCAACCAGATTGACAATCTTGTTATGCATATCAGCCCATGGGCTGGTGTTGTCGTCAGGGATACCAGTGGTGCGAAAGATGGTAGTGAAGCCCATCTCTCCCTCTTTGGCTGGTTCGGGGCCAGGCGTGGTGGGGTTGTACGGAGCGAGTTGGGTATCTGAGTCAAAGATAGCTTCGCCTTGAGCATTGTGGCCGGTGACAAGTCGGCGAACGGTAGGTAGGAGAGACATCTTTCCGGTGGCTTGTAGCTTTGTGTCTGGTCGATGGAGACTTGACTCTGTTGTAGGTGTATGAAAGGTGGTATTAGATCAGTTTGAGTGATTGAGGGGAGGGGTATGGGATATCTGCGGGGAAGAGCTGATCTCTTATACTTGGGCGTACAAGTCAATTGGCAGACCCTGACATGACCATACGTTCACCCAAGGCTGTTCCGGAGTGCCCAGCTGGTTCCAATTGGGTAACGCTCCGCATGAGAGAGCTGGCTTGGCTGGTGTTCGCCGAACGTTGGCTGACGTGCATTTCCCTGCAGTTTGACAAATCTGATCTCAATGGGCTTGTGAAGGATGCCAGGACCGCTGCGATTGGCCCATAACATGCGCGCCGTGAAGCAAACAGCAAGACAACGTGCATCTAACCCATGTAGTACCTGAATTGGACTGGTAAGGGTAGCCGTCTGTCCTAGCTGGTCCCCCATAAGAGGGCATCGCCTCCGCAGGCCCGGAAGGAGTCGTCTTTGCCTCTGTTTATCTCGCAGCGTCTCCTTTCTTAGTGATAAACAGTAAACACAGAGTTCAGCCAATAGAAAGGGCTTATAGCTTAAAAAGTGGGTTCATGCGAGATTTGTCGGATTAATGATTATCCGCTTGATGACTTATATCTGACTAATCTCGCATACGATTTCGAACTTTAAACGAACCCAGCTTCTCTGCTTTGTTATATCAAGCATTCTATAACTATTGACGAACTAGTGGATATCTTGTTTCCTGAAGCTGCAGCTGAGCCTGTTCTACACACTGTTTCCATGGGCCTAGTGACATTGGAAGAAGCTCTTAGCCAGGCCATCCGGAAGGATGTAAATCTGGTGGTTCGGCATGTTGCTGGTGCTCCAACTCCTTGTCCACCAATCTTCTCGCCCCCGATAGGTGAACCTGATGAGCCAACTATACGCAAGCAGCATTTCCTAGCCGTCTCTATTAACCCAGGCACTGAGAAGGCAACAGAACAGCAAGCGGGAAGTGAGGGTTCCGCAGACGACAACGAATTACTTGTCTTCGCAATTGAGGTCTTGGTATACACAACAGACAAGTTGTCTACTCTCTTTGTGTCCAAAGCTGATTCTACTGGCTACCTTTCTCTCTTAAACCGTGACCAAAACTCACCAGCAGCGTACTCACTGACCAGAAATGTCTTGAGCACTTTCTTTTACCACCTTGCTCGCATTTACCAGAAGCCGGATATTACCCTTGTCCTCTCGCTTTTTGCAAGGGCCCAGGATCAATACCTCTTTCCGGGGAGCTCAGAAAACAAGGGGAAACATATATTGGATGACCGTGGTCTGATAAAATGGTGGTGTCGAGTTATTGACCCCATCATGAAATCCATAGAGCAGGGAAACAGTGATGACCCACCTGCTAACCCCCCCAATACCACCGCCCCCAATACAAAACAATCAGTTGCAACTCATCTTATTGTCCCCGGCTGTGATACGTTTGAAACTAAGAATTTTATTCCAAAGAGCGAGGGCGCCGTCAACACACCCGGTAGCCACTGGAGGCTTGATTATCCTCTCCACCAAATCTGCTCTTATCCCAATGCTGCTCCACGGTGCCTAGTCCCTCGATTCCCTGATGATCCTAAAGCCCGGTTTCTTATCGATCTAGACGACGAGATAACAGACGAAAACCCCCCTCATGAGCTGAAGAACTCGGGGCGGTGGCATAGTGTAAAAACGCTGGATCAGTTTTGGGAAATGATGTCCTATCGTCAGGAGTGCTCGGCTGGCAGGCTAGTTGGGTTCCTTTGGATGGTTGTTAAGCCTTCACCTTCTACCACTACCGACAAGGTCCCTGATCCAACTCCCGTTGAGGATAACCTCGCAGACCAGAACCAAACCGCAAATACCGATCCAGTCGCGAAGAAGGAAGCCCCAGTCGAAAAGTCTTTGGAGAATCATAAACACGCCATTGATGACTCGATAATCGAAATAAGCAACAGCGACTACAAAGCACTTGCAGACTTCCTTCTTGATCTTGATTTCTCCAATGAGTCGGATGCGACAGCCAACACGAAGCTATGGATCGAAGAGCTTTCTTCCTTGAGCCGTTGTAATAAGAACGGCCTAAGGATCACAGGAAAGGCGGCTGCAGTCGGGCCGTCGCTTCCAACGTTAATGTCAAAACCTCCTGTGTCCACAAACGTACTCGGTGATGGATTAATTCGGAAAAGGAAACGGCAGCCCAGTACTACCACGGCAGCCCTCAGTGAAAACGCAAACACCCCTTCTTGTGAACCTTCGACAACCCAAGAGGCAGAAAATGGCTCAAAACCTACCGATTCACAACCGACTGCTGGAAGTCAAGAACAATCAACATCAAGTGCACCGTCTGTGAATGTTTTGGGCGGTAACTTAGTCCGAAAGAAGAAGAAATGAAGTAATGGCTCTTTATGAAAATAAGCCTGACTTTAATTATCGACGCATAATGTGACGTTTACGAGAACTCGGAGTATCAGGCGAAATAGAGAAGGTTCCTAATGAGATGTGGCTGACTATGAGCAGTCGATGCTGTAAATTAATGCTATTTGAAGGAGAGTGAGGACATAATATATTGATGAAAATATAATGTATACGCTTAGTTGTTTTATATCGCAAAGAACCCAGCCAATTTAGCCTCCAAAATTTCATAAACTCACCCCCTTACCAGGTAATTCTACTTCTCATTTTTCCGCCTGCCTCAATAGTGTCGGTAGCTTAAATTTAACTCAGGACCTTTAATGGTAGTTCCTCTGTCGACTACCATGAGAGTTTCGCCAATAGACCTTTCGGATATTGGCGAACGAAGTACTTCCTTGTCTCATCGAGCAGCAGAAGACCAAGTCCGAATGCCAGAGGAAGGAAGAAGTGTTCCACTGGAACAGTCGTCGTAGCCACTGTGTTTTGAATTCCGGGTATATAGCAGACTATCCAAGCTCGTCAGTTACGCTTCAAACGAACCTCCACATGGTAAATTTTACTCACAAATAAAAATAATCATGAGCGAAAACAGCATAGCCACGAAAAGGAGTGGATTCTGTGTTTGTTTGTTAAATATTGGGGGTTGCTGGAAGATGCTTAGCCGTCTAGTTCGAGTGGCCAGCAAATTGAAGAACTGTAAGATGACGAGGTTGACGAAGTAGATTGAAGATGCTTTGTTGGATATTTCAGCGACGTATGCTGGGTCATATTGAGGATCCAGTTTGCCGAATTTGAGAAGCATGGCGTTGAATGGAATACCGCGCTTCTGTTGAGGTAAAGTACCGTATCAGTCATAGTCTGTCTCATGTCAACTCCAGGATTTGGAATAACTTACCGACATATACCAGAAAGCCATGACGAATGAAAGAAGACACTCGTACACACCGATGAAACCATAGGCATGGAGAATAAAACGCCCATTGACCAGTCGGTCCGTTTTCTGATTGCGCGGAGGCCGAAGGAGGACATCCATCTCTGGCTGTTCATAAGATAGGGTAATCGCGCCAGCAGCATCTGTAAACAAGCTTTATAGGGGTTAGTAAAAGGCCGTCTCTGTTCCAGGGTCTTGGGAGGCCTTTACCATATAATGACCTGTTGCATCCCAGTTAGCATCCGCTAATATAGGCTATAAGACAGGAGAACATACCATGAGGAACGATGATAAGGCCTGAGGAATACCAAGGAAAGTGTTCGCCAGAACAGGCCCTTTGCCGAAGGTTAGCACTCAAACAATATTCGTACGATCACACAGCAGCTGAACTTACAAAGCTCACTGAAGCTTCCTGCCGGTAAAAGATAGCAGATAGTTTTCTTCAAGTTGTCTATGAAGAAATTAGCAAATATGAGATGCGTGTATGATTGGGCTGGGAGGGGTATCGTACCAAAAGTGACACGGCCATATTTGACGGCCTCAACAATAGCAGCAAATGAGTCCAAAAGAACCATATCTGCAGCTTCGATTGCTATGTCAGATCCACTACCCAATGCTACTCCGACGTCCGCGGCTTTTAGGGCTGGTGCATCATTCACACCATCGCCTGTCATTGCCACTATTTTTTCCCGGGATTGAAATTCCTTCACAATTCGAAGCTTCTGATCAGGGGTAGTGCGGGCAAAGACAATTTCCTCATAGGTGCAGAGTTGGTCCCACTGGTTGTCATTGAGGGTGATAAGCTCAGGGCCGCTGATAACGAGAGGAGATACTTCTCCATGCAGGTTATGCCGCTCGATTTCGAAGTCACGGCGTAAATTTCCAATGGAATGAACCGCCGCATTTGGGGACTTAATTATTCCACAGTTCACTGCAATGGCTTGCGCTGTGAGTTTGAAATCACCCGTTACCTACAAGACCTGTTAGTAGATGTGGAGAAAAGACACTCGAAGGTGAGGAGTGATCCAACCATAAAGATCCTTATGCCGGCACCGCGTAAAGTTTTAATCACACCCGGTATTTCATCCCTCTATATCACCTGTTAGAAATATCTATAAACCTATAGAGTTTGTAAATTTGACGAACCAGAGGATCAATCAGTGCCCACATTCCAACAAAGGTAAGATCTGACTTTGCGTAATCTGTGATAGACTTTTCAGGTTGTGCCATTTTCAGGCTATCTTCAACAGATTGGGTGACTTCTTTTCTAGCAAGAAGTATCACTCTTTTTCCTTCGCTAGACCATTTGTTCTTTGCTCTTTCGATACAACCTCTATCTAGATCGGATAACGCAGCAATGGAGCCATCGCTTTGAAGAGCCGTACGACAGCGTGGTAATAGGATATCCGGGGCCCCTTTTATCGAAAGTTCCCTATATATGGTAAGTATGGGGCTATATGTCAGGGTTGTTTAGATAGTAGACTCACATCTCTGGGTTCTTCTCCGCCTTTTCCGTATTCACTGACGGCATGAACTTCATAATCCGGATCATGAACTTATTCTTACTGCTGAAAGCGATCTCAAAGATCTTTTTCCATTTCGTTTTGAGTTCCTTGGTAGGTTCCAGGGACTCAGAAAATCGTAGAATGGCTTGGTCAGTAGGGTCTCCATGTATTTTCATTGACTGTGCTGGAAATTTGAGAGTGGATGCATCTATTTCAGCTGCGTTGCACAGAGCACCTAGTATCTGGGTGCGCTCAAGGGCATTGTTATAAGAGTCAGAGCTATCGCACTTGGTACCAAGGAACTTTTTGACGTCGTCTGCCCTATATTCATGCCCGCCTGCAAAGCAGTCGGTCACAAACATTTCATTCTATAAAGAAACCCGAGTCAACCATAGCCAATCTAGATGGAGGGCGTAAGTCCTTACCTTGGTTAACGTGCCCGTCTTATCAGAACATATGACAGAGACAGATCCAAGGGTTTCTACCGTTGCGAGAGACTTGCAAAGAATGTTATTCTTCCTCATGATTTTCGCTCCAATAGTAAGACTCAGCGCAACAGCAACGGGAAGCCCCTCCGGCACAAAAGCTATCCCGATACTCACGCAATTGACTATGAGTAGCGGCACATTGATCCAGTCAGGATGAGCTTTCCTCAGCCATGCAGCCCTATATTGTGTCAATAAAGTGAAGTAGCAACGTTGTAGGAAGGTATAACTATACCAGACAACCACAACCAGTATGACAACAGAGGCAATGAAGCTAACGATAATCAAGACAAATCGTAATATCTCCTTCTGGATCGGGGTGAGTCCATGGTTTGGTTTGCTTGTCAGATTGGCAATGCGACCAAAGACTGTCTTGTCACCGGTTGCAATACATATGCCAGTAGCAGTACCAGAGACACAATGTGTTCCTTGGAGGCCGATACAGCGAGTCTCTAGGAAATTCTTATCCGTAGATTCAACTGTCCCATCCACGGGCTCCGATTCACCTAGGAATGTTAGCAGATAGTATAGCCCGGGTCAGCTGTCTGGCGAAGAACTTACCAGTGAGTATAGACCTGTCGAACTTAGCATCGGATGATACTTCCACAAATCGAATATCGCAAGGCAGCTTATTCCCCTGTTTAATTGTGATCACGTCTCCAGGTACAAGCTCAACGGCAGACATTACAACAGTAGCAGAGTCCCTAACTGCTGTACAGTCATCAGGAAGCATTGTGGTAATAGAGGCCATGACTCTCGAGGATGACCAATCCTGCCAGGCATTAAAACCAGCTTGGATAAAGAAGACAGCCAATAGGACAATAGCCAGTGCCAGGTTTGCGAGGGCTGGAGGGTCTCCCAGGGGTTTCCAGGCGATGAAGACAAGGATACATCCGGTCAAGAGTAATATGCCAAACCCACCAAAGAAATATCCCATAATTTTGCGAAACCATTCAGTGCGAGGACGGGTGGGTGCATTTTTGCCATGTTCCAGTATACGTTTCCGGGCTTGGTCTGCAGAAAGGCCCTGGGAGACTGAGGTATCCAAGCGTGACACTATGTGATCAACTGGGATCAAATGCCAGTCTAGCTCCGATATACCTGTTGTAGGAATCAGAGGTCAGCTAAATAACGCTTTGCGTACAGTTAGCTAAGAGAGCAAGAAACGACTTGATCTCACCATCAACAGCTTGTGTGGCACCTTTGAGAGGAGCCTCTTCCGCCTTTTGGATGGACTCTTCGACATTATAAGAACTATTGATAGATATAAGCAACTGTCCCAGGGGCTGCCTGGTGTGTATGCTATTACATACAGAGTACGGTATGTAATTGGAAGGAGGGTCTCAGGCGGAACAATCCTACGCGCACTTCGAATGGACATGGAGCCAACCGATGATTTTCTGTGCAGAGAGCGACGCCTGCTCTCTTGGGGCCGTTCCTCGTCAGCGTAGCGAATACGCATGTCCGAGTCCACGTCAGCCTTTTCGGCATCAACTTCAATCGTCATTTTTGGACAAAAATAGACCACGGAATGGGAATAGAACGTAAGCCGACCGGGTAAGTAATAGAATAGAAATTTTGACAAAACTGATGCTCCCATATGCCTTTAAATAATGGCATTCCAACACTAGGGCGGCTACAGCCGCACAAACAACACCGCAATTCCCATGCTAGATAGGGAAAAATGATAGCAAGATTGGCAACTCTCCAGCTTATAGTTGCCTGAATCAGTTAATAGCAATGCATAGCAATGCCCGGGCTATTAAGACCACAACAAAGCATCCCATGCCACGCACCAACGCACGTTACGACCATGGATGCCACAGCTGAACCTCTCCCTGGGAACAGACGCGCCGGGACATTGTTCCAGCGAAGCTTTGGGACAGGGTAAAAGTCCCTCATAGTAAATTGACTTTCCCTTGCGCTCTCTAATCTATAGCTAGCTTAAAGCTCGATCTGGACGTGGCGCAGCAAGCGGTCAAGTGGGCTCGATGGATATCAAAACGCATTAAAGCACATGCTTTAATTTACGAAAACCCAGGGAAGTCCGAGTGCAAGACCAGGCTGCAGAGCATCTTATAATAGGTAATCCAACAGCCGGAATGGCCATCCGTGGCTCCGTCAGGAGGGGGGAAATTGACTAGCGGAATCAAAGGTTCGACAGCCTGAGTATCTAATAGCACGCGACTGCAATGCAAGGCAGGATACTGTCGGGTTGGCCATGCCGCCCGTGCAATCAAATATTCCTACAGGCTAGTCGGCCTCCAAAGCCAACTCGGACGATGTAAAGACGGTTGTTTGACCATTTACTCACTGCCTGGTGCGACGCTGCGGTCCTGCATCCTCCGCAGCTGACGACGTTGAGCCGGGTAAACCTGCACAGGGCGTGGTTGTACAGGAGTCGTCGGTGCCGCACGTAAACACTCAGACACCCAATCCAGACAGATCTTCGTCTGCCTCTAAGCGCTCTAGCTGCTAAAATGTGCCGCAGGAAGGAAGACGGGAGAGCGAGTCGTTGATGTCCAAGGTTGAAGTTGGGTTTCCCAGGAGAAAACAAGCTTTGGGAGGCCGAGAAGCTCGTGCCACATCAGAGACATTTCAAATTTCGGATCACTAAGTTAACTTACTAGTTACAACGGGCGAGCAAGGCAAGACGATAGACGCCTGCTTTTCTCGCGAACTTGCTTGCAGCCTGGTGCCATATTGAGGACTCCGCTGCTATTTCTCTGCTAGCCACGTACCACGCGATCCAGAACACTCAAAGTACTTCACAGACACAGCGCTGCACCGTCGCAAAAGGAAGAGCGACCAACCAGTAGTAGTTGAGCACAGCCACAGCGACATACATGAAGAACCCCAGCCAACCAGCTAACTCGTTAACTATTTAACTAACAGAAAGCCAGTGAAGACGCACAGGGGTAGAGAAACATACAATCGGATAATTCACCCTAGCAGTCCTGTTTCTTGCAGCGTTTCAGCCGACTCCATGGAGTCTCCAGTCTCAACCGCGGGTGATTCCCCGAGGACGAGCTCCAGCCTGCTGGCGCATCCCGTTCTCCATATAAACTACTTTACTCCGTGCAAACTATTCGGTTGCTGGAGGCCGTTTCTTCGAATAACTGAAGGCATTAAGCGAATCCTCCGACATGGCAAAGAATCAGGGAAGAGAATACTCCATAAAGGATACTTCTCTCCCTCAGAGTTTCAATCCAAACCATGAATGAAGAATTTTTCCAGGATCACCGCATCATATTAATAACCAACGGAAAGAGCCGTTTGGGTACAAATAATAAACCCTGGTTGAGCGACCTGACACACCTGCTTATTTCCCGCAAGTGGCAAAAGGATACTAGGAAACGCAATAACAGCATGACTAGTCGACGATGGTCGTGAAAGAAGATTCCATCTGGACGGAAGAAGCTAAGGGTTTAATAGTCGAACACTTATGGAATAGGGGAGAGAAGCAAAGGAAAAGAAAGGAAAGGGAGGAAAAAAGGAGAAAAGGAGAAGGTTTACACCATTCATCGCTCGCGCTTTCGGGTGCCACGAAATGTGGAAGATACTTCCGATTGACGGCTGGGCTTCAAGAGGTTTAGTTCTCCTAGGATAGTCCTCCCTAGGGCTAATTAGGTTGTTACGAAAGGGGAGCTTCGAGCCACAAAAGGCGAAGCTGACGTCGGCGTCGGCAAGTCGAGAAGCAGAAAGGCGTCTGCTTGTTCTTGGGCGATGGTGATGATGATGAGGATATCAGGGTAAGCACAAGAGTATTAAGATCGTGTATCCTCCATGTCCTCGTCCCCCTTCACCTGATCTATATAACTACAGGGGGTGCATCGGATTCATCCATTCCCAAGCTTCGCATGCAGTCATCGTCCCCTACTGATTGGCGTCTTTCGAGAACGGGGGATCCACGGGCTTTAAAATTAATTGGACCAGTGGGCCGTCTTCTTCTCTCGAGCTTTTTTTTTTCTTCTCCTCAGGCCGTTTACTCCTTAATATTGGGCCTTATTCGTGAAGAAGGGGAGAAGAGGGAGGAGTAACAGATTTCTATTATTGCAAGCCACAAAATTGGTCATCTTCTTTCTTCCTTTCCTCTCCTCTCACCACCGTCTTCACTCCTCTCCCTTCTTCTCGTCTCGAGTCTCCCGCATCCATCACTTATCACCACCTTCACTCTTTTATACGGAGGAGCTAAGAGGGGTCAAGCTTCGTACGCTCTTTTTTATTTCCATTTTTCACCTTCGGGTTGAAAAAGTATGAGCTTGTCCTGAAAGCCTGCTTAAATTTGCCTCCAAAACAACAACTTCCTCCCAGCATAAGGAGACTCCTGTTTCTCTCTTCTCTCTGCCTGAAGGAGAGAGGACTATCATTTATACTCCTTGTTTTAGAGACAATCCTTGTTGTTGCGATCCATGGTGGCCGAAAGCGCGCTGGCCAACTCGGTCACCACCTGCAGTCAACATGGCCAGAGTCTCTGGCTGGTTGCCGCTGGCTTGTTGGCCATCGGCTGGTATGTCTTTGTTGTTACCGTCAGCACAATAGGGACTATACAAGTGTGAGCTTCTTGTTCTTTCATCCTCGGGGCTACTGTGCTGTTGGATTGTTTGGTTGGCGCTCGTATGAGTCCCGGCCAGGGATTCTCAGCTCTACTAGTAGTCAAGTACCGAAGCTAACAAACCGTTCCTGAATAGATTCAGAAGATACTCCAAACCTCTTCCTAAAGCTACGAGAGCTCCTTCAGATCCTAATCTTCCTCATGTCACCATCATCAGACCTATCAAGGGCCTCGAACCCTACCTCTACGAAAACCTCTCCTCCAGCTTCCTACAGGACTACCCCAAGGACAAGCTCAGCATCTCCCTCTGCCTCTCATCAAGGGATGATCCCGCCTACCCAGTAATAGAAAAGGTCCTCGCACGTTTCCCAGACATAGATGCGCGTCTCTATCTCGAACCAAAGTATGAAGACTATGAGCTAGGGCCGAACCCGAAGATCCGCAACATGAGCCAAGCCTACCGTGAAGTAAAGGGCGACGTCGTCTGGGTAATAGATTGCAACGTCTGGCTAGGAAAAGGTGTTTGCGGAAGGATGGCAGAGCGTTTGTGTGGACTAGACTCCAAGGGCCAGAAGTACAAGTTTGTGCACCACCTGCCAGTCGTTGTCGACGTTGATAGCGAAGAGGCCGCAAAGGACTTTGAGAAAAATGCCATATTCCCTCCCACGAAAGCCATGAACGGCAACGGCAACGGCAACGGCACACTGAAATCAGCTCCTGGAGGTATGATGGCTACAAAATCTGCTCCAGCTTCACCTATCGAATCTATTTGTTCAATTGGTGGTGGTCGGCTAGAGGAAATATTTCTCGCCTCCTCCCACGCGAAAATGTACTGCGCCATCAACACAATTCTCGTTGCTCCCTGCGTCGTTGGAAAGTCAACCATGTTCAGACGCTCGCACCTCGAGCAGGTAACCAGGAACCATGTCATACCTTCTCGACCATATCCCCGGAAACCAGGCCTTGACTCCCTCTCTGATAACATCTGCGAAGACCATCTCCTTGGAGAACGCATGTGGAACGGCAAACTCGAGGAAGAAGAGGAAGGCCAGTCATCAGAATGGGGTAAACATGACCTTGTCTTCGGAGATCTCGCAATCCAACCAGTCACAAAGATGCGCACTTGCTCCTACATCGACCGCCGAGTTCGCTGGATCCGTGTTCGGAAATTCATCGTTATTCTAGCTACGATTGTCGAGCCAGGCATTGAGTGTTTCGTTTGCTCCGCGTACCTCGCTTTCGGAATTACCACAGGCATCCCTCCCCTCCTATCCGGCAGCCAGTACTGCTCAACTTACCTTTCGACATGGTCAGCCTTTGGATTAGTCTGGGGTCTAAGCGCATTTGTCTGGATGATGATCGACTTCTTCCTATACCGAACCCTTCTTTCCTTCGTCACTATCGAAGTAGATGAAAATACACCACGCTTCGCCCGCCCTCCAGCTCCGGGCTCGCTTGCTAGACGGCCATTCTTAGAATGGTTCCTTGCCTGGCTCGGTCGAGAGACCCTTGCTCTGCCTATATGGGTATGGAGTGTCTTTGGGGGTGCTACCATCGTCTGGAGGGACCGTGAGTTCAGAGTCGGCATGGACAATGTTGCCCACGCTGTTGGTCCAGTCTCCAAGCAACGGTCATGCAATGGTTCGCTTAACGGCAACCCCAACGGCCAATCCCAACGTTCTTACGGCTCAGATGACAGCTGCGAGGTTCGACGGAGGACGCCAATAGAGAACCTCACTAAAATGGGTATGAAAACTACCGCTGCCGCTATGGACCTCGACGAAACATCCCGCTTGATTTAACCTCTAATGTCTGCGCTATTCCCACTTACGCTTTACCCTTCTCCGTTTTCCTCTTCATATTTTTTTACAACAAATACAGCAAGCTGATACACTTCCTCCTTCTACTTCTTGTTCCTCTTCTCGTATCACCCTTTTTCTTGCCTTTAGCCCTTCATGCATACACTTACACGAAATCCTATTCAGCCTTTTCTTTCACTGTTACACATCATATTAATTATCCCCTACCTAATAACTTCCCTTTCTCTGCCTTTCTGGGTTGGTGTTGTTTCTCGATTGTTGACGGTTATGCATTTGTCCTGTGTTTTGGAGACGTCTATGGCCTTCTGAATGCTATGTAAATATAGAAGGTTTTGTTTCGAGTGCCCGGCCAAGTTGAGGCTCATATCGAGTGTTCATGGCAGACTAATGTGATGCGGTGAAATCTTATGTCCTCTTGCCGCCACTATCAGCTAGATAGTGAAGATAATAAATGGAATTATATAGATGAATACCTTTCGAGGATTACATCCTCTAAACATTTGATTCATGGATACATCACACTATCAGGAACCAACCAAAAAATTCTAACAAAGCAACAATGATACTTTTTGTAAATAATCTATTGAGGGGAAACAGGCTGTCACTGCTTGCTTGAACCAGCATCGTCTTCAGCCATTGGAACATCAGCATCATCAACCGCACTCTTCTCCATATCCGACCCTTTTTCACAGGTCAACAACCACTCCACCACCTGCTGGCCCTTGGTAGTCTCCCGTGGCGTAGAAGACTCAGCTTCTTCCACATTCGCTTCACCCTCCGCAACATCCTCTTCTTTGCCTTCTTCTTGCGTAGTCGCAGTAGCATTCCAATCGGACTGCTCAGCAACAAAAACAGCATCATGGCCTGCGTTGTTCTTCAAAATAATATCCGCTCCAGCTTCAACAAGAGCCTTGACGCATTCTAAATGGGTATTGAGAGCGGCCCAATGCAACGGTGTATTCCCAGAATGGTTCTTATGATTTATAATCTGGAGGCTCGAAGGGTCCTGTGTCCCATTTTCGGATTTGAGCAGGCTAAGCAGATAACTTAGTATTTCTAGTTGGTTGAAGTTAGCGGTCTAGTAAAAAGGTATTGAAGTTGGCGAGCGAGTATCACATACCAGCATTTCCATTGGCCGCTGGCCAGTGTAAAAGGCATGAGCCAGTCCCTCCTTCACTCTCTTCCTCTGTATCAATAGCTGCTTTGATTATATCCGCTGGAGTGCAGTTATATTCTTGGCTGAATTTTGTGATGTCTGCTTTCAATGATTCGAGATCACCTGCACGAGCGTCATAAATGAGATCGTCCACGGCCTCGAAGGGCAGAGAAACTGCAGCTGCGGTATCCATATCTCTCTTGGGTAGTTTTATAGCAGCTAGAGGTTTACTTGACGGAAAATGTTCGTTTTGAAATTTGGCTGTACCCAGAAGTGTATCCAGAAGTTTAAAGGTACTGTAAAATATACCTTATATAGCCTAGTCAAGCAGAGCACATTTAACTTGGTTTCTTCCCTAGATATCAGTCAGCATACAGATGCTCCCAATGCAAATCGTAGGCTTATTTGAGTAAGATCGCGTTGTGGCAAGGAAAATGGTTCAAATAATGTTGATATAAAAATTATCTCCGGATTTTTTTTTTGGAGGGGTATAAAGGCGTCAGTTGCGAGAAGACTCCAGCACATTCGGGTGCAAATGGGTATTTTGTAAGTAAGAGGACGAATAACACTCACAGTAAGATCTTGAATTATTTGTAAATGCGATTGTATTTATCCTTGTCTCCAAATCTCTAAAGTATCAAATGCCCCCAGATATCAACTCCCCTCGAAAAACTGTGTCACGTGAATCCACTCGGAGATATGTTTTATGCAGCCTTTTCAGTTTATGATGGGCAACTAAGAATGTATTTCATAAAATACTAAGTGCATTTCTAGGATTTATCAAAGCTAGATAGTAGAAGCTACGCAATGTACAAAGGTACCAGAGAGCCCAACGCCAGAAACGTGTCCCAAGATGCTGGCCAAAAACCGTGTCAACCGTCTCGCCCACCCCGTCGATGCAAAAAGACAATACAGATCTAAACGATTGGGACCTCTCGGGTATAGAAAAGAACATAATCCAGAGAGTCCGTCGGTATACAAAAAAAAGAAAATGGCTCAACCCAACCAGAGAAGCGGAAAGGGAGTTCAGTCTCGCAGCCAGGCTCTGCGTTTCTCTTCCTTTCTCTCCCGCCTTTTCTCCCTAAACGCCTTCAACTCCTTCTTTGTCAACTTCTTTCCGCTCCGCTCGGCTTTGAGGCTCTTCCCCTCATGGCTGTTGGCTGCGGCATCGACGTCAAAGAACGCGTTCAGCTGTCGATAACTTTTGTTCTCGTCATTAAAGTTCTCTGGTCTTATGCCAACAGATTGCCACTGGCCTGTGAACCGGTTGAACGAGCCTGTAGCTGTGTACAGGATGTTTGGGTCTTCGGTGCCAGCTGCGGTTGATGCAGAGGGCTCCTTTTCGGTTTGTTGGGCATACCAGGCCGTCGGGTCGTAGTCACCGTGTATGGACGGGTCATACCCACCTGCAGCTCGTGGCTGTTTGGGTGCCTCTTGCATCTTATCCTCGTTTGCCCCTGGAGGACCTGGCTGTGTTGCTGTTGCGTCTGGAACTCGGGGATTCTCCCACTGTGATACCCCAGTGACGCGGTTATAAAAGTAATAAGCCTGTGAATTATCATCCCACATTGCATCCCAGCCGTCATCTTCGACGGCCCCTGGCACCGGCTCATCAGGAAGGGGAGGAACTTCTTCATCGGGCAGTGGGGGTTGTGAACCATCCTTGCCCTCTCCAGTATTCACCTCACCCTCTTCTTCTCCATCCTCCTCCTTCTCGGATTCTTCTTCCTTATCTTCAGGCACTTCGTTATCCTCGAGCTTCTTCAGCGTTGGCTCTTTCTTTGGGGAATCGGGCTGGTCCCCAGATCGTGACTGTTCGTCAGCAGGACGGGTAGGCTCCGCAGGTGCATCCTCGGCCATTATTGAGTATAAATGAAGCTATGGTATAGAAACATAGGAAACCATTTGTACCCGTCCTGTGTGTGTGTCATTGCAAAACTTGCGTCGCCGAACAGGAGTTGGGATTCTGGCCAAGGACGGCAGGAACTGGAATAAGAAGAATATATTACTCTAGCCTCTTTTGGAATAGTGTATGTTAGTAATATGTTAGTAATATTCACTATCACGTGTCTGGGTGCTTCGAGTGCATTTTTGGTTGAATACAGGAATATATAGGATATTCTCGAAGGATAGAGGAGTTACGATGGGATATACACATTTAGCTGTGTTTATTGAAGGGTTAGAATATAGAAATCTATATTTTAAGGGCTTATCCTGGCAGTGTGGGTAGAAACCACAGGAAACTGCATTTTCACCCCCATTTTATTTACAATTTCCAAATAAAACCAAAATAACTAACTAATAGGTACCTACCCAGATTATCAACTCTTAGCATCAACATCACATCACAATATCACCAGATAGATCCGGCTTATGCTGTCTACCTGACCCAGGCTCTCTCCTCTTGTATTGTATACCCAGAGGAGAGCTCGAGGCCTCCTGGTGTTCTCCAAGAAAATGGTATCCCAAAGATATACCCCTCATACTACGTTTCTCCATGCCAAACAAATGCCATGACACATAACCTTTTTACAACACTCGTCCACTACCTGTCTACACCAATGAAGACTGTTGTACATCCTGATACCTACCATCCGTCCATAGGATGTGGACATTTGTCTGGTGATGGAATACCCCGCTGCAGCCCCTCTTTGTGGCACCCAACACGTACCAGACATCTATTGATGAAAACATGTTCAAACCTGAATATCAATATACGGGAGTAACAAGGACATAGACTTTGATCCGAACCTGTGTCATCTCTTCTGGCAGGCTGCATCTACATCCAACATTCCTGTCTATCAGAATGACTACGTATAGCTCTACAAGCTACGCTCGGTAGTGGTTCCGACCACCAAAACAGAGGAAAGGGAGTGAAGCACAACAGCATCCTTCTACATAGGGAAGAAAAAAGAACGAGGAAAGGGACAGTCTAGAACCTACGAGGGTTGACCAGAGAATCAAGATTTAACATGATGCAGAAAAAGGAACTCTCTTTCAAGACTATGTACTTCTACGTGAACACCAGCCGCGGGGTCAGGCAATGGGAAACATTGGAAGATCTAGCCGAAGCTTCTAAATCGCAAACAAACCTGTTGCAGTCTACCGAGTTGGTTAGAATTTCAATGTCAAACTTCTCGCTTTAAGGCCATGGTACAGGTGGTTAACATGGGCGCATGTCTGACAGGGGGGGCTTCTTTTTTCTTCCATTTTAGGTTGCTTATCGAGCAGCCCGACTGAGGTACCGATAAAACGGATGACAAGGCGCCCTGTGTGAGGGTAGGAGATATCTAGAGTCACTCCAAAAGCGGAGGGTTGTGTGATTTCCTTTTTCACTGACAGCCGGGTGCAATTAAACTGCTCCTCATGCTCCCGTACTCCGTCTCAACGACTCACTCTACCCCACCGGCGGTTGAGTCGCACACTTCACAAACTGCAATCAAATATGTGGTGACAAGTTGCTGGCGAGGAGTTGGGGATGAAACACGCAGAAAGGCTGGTTAGGTATCTTGTCTTGCTGTACTGTAATGACCGTCTTTTTCTCAGCTTGAGATGTAGTGAGGAAAGCGGACATGGGATCGATTCACTGGAGCGATCGTTGGGTTGACGGTAGCGGGTCGAGACTGTACGGAAGATATGAACGACAGCCGGGCTGAGTGTTGACAGAAATCTAAGGAGAAGAAAGAAATGGAAGAGTAAAAAATGCGAAGAAAGGTGAGAGAGAGCACTGAGCTTGGGGATCCGTGAAAATATTACTGCAGTCAGGGTCAACGCCCCCATCGTCACCCGGATACTTGCCGATTTCTTCTCAACCAGCCGGGTTGAGGGGAAAAGGGAGCGAATCGTGAGTACAATGCCTTCCACGTCGTGGTGACAGCGACTGCTGCTGGCCGAAGAGGAGATTGTTCCCCGTCTGATTGTGGCAGGTCAACTGAGCAGCAAAAAAGTCATCGCCTGAAGAAAATAGTAGGTAGTTTGCTGTCAAGGCGATGGATAATTGGCAAGCCGTTTGCCCTCTGTGCGACAACGACAAAGTAACTGCATGGTATGCACATATTATTGCAATGCCACCATCTTGCCTGCCACCGACACGCATCATTCACGAGACGGTCAGGAAGTTGATCTCGATGCATGCCACTCTCGATCTCCGATCCTTCTGCCACCTTGAGCAAGATGAGAGAGCAAATCAAGGAAATGCGTCTCATAGCTGATGGGCAAGGATGGCTTCTGGGCACGGGGGACGAGCTTACCCCCAATAATCTGGGCGATCCGAGTGGAGAAGGCCGATGCACTTAATCTATATTCCCTAAAAAGAATATTCGACGTCCTTTTGACTTCCAGGTACCAAGTTTCCTTATTTCAAACCACTCTCAAGCCTTTCCCTGACCGCTTGAAGCCATAAGCTTGTTGGAAAAATTCTGATAAGAAAATTCTGATCGTACACCGACATTCACCCAGCTAAGCGTAAGGAATGAGAGAGAGTATAGAAAACTCAACAAGTCTGATATCAAAGTGGATCAGAAAGATAAAAATATCTTCTCGCACTGACGATGGCGACCATAGTCATGATCTAGGACCATCCATGGATTTGGGCGGGGATAGATGGCGTTAGGCTGGGGGCCCCTCAGACCGCCCAGAGAAGAGAGATGGAGATAGTGAAGTAGAACAGGGAGCTTACGGCAGCAAGAGCCCGTAAGCGGAGAATAGCAGTCTAGCCAGTCATTTAACGTGACCCGGAATCCCAAGGCTCAACAGTTGCACGGAGTGCAGCAGTTGAAGTAAAAAAAAAGGCTAAGGCAAGATGTTGATATCGAATGGACAGCCACAGAGGCATCAGGGCTCTGGCATGGAAGTTGCACCAGCGTCGTCCACAGATAGCCCCTGATGGAATTGATCCGGCCATCCATGTGCACGAATTGACAGCCAGGAAAAACGAGGGCTGGGAGCAATTTTGGCTCATCTCGACCTGTCTACGGAGTACCCGTATGCCATGTTGCCATTTGGTTGTCTGCTAGCGGGCCGGCCTGCCAAACATTGCATTGACGACTGCTTTCCCTGTTCAGAAATCGATAATCCGATGGAGAAGATCGGATGCATCAAGTGACAACGGAGCGGTGGAAGCGGCTTTTGCTCAGACGCATTATGCACGGTTTGCATATACCGAATAATTTGCCTTCCGCGGGAGCGAGTATTTGCATCTCGCTGGATAGCCTGCACCAGTCTCCGGCGACCCACAATGTGAATCTGGGCTGTCAAGTGTCTCCTGGCACAATTTGAGATACCCGACACCCCCTAGTCGAGGCTGAGACTGCGATGTGTAGCGAGCGAAGGCGCGACACAAGCAACAGCAGAAGCAGCGAGAAAGCGAGATGGAGCAGCAAAAAAAAGGGGGCTAAAACGACGCCGATCACTTGCGCTTTGGGGACAGCGGACGCTAGACTGCATCTGGAAGAAGATCAACAGGGCAAGGTGATTATATCAGCATGCCGTTACCGACTTTTCCGTCAAGGGCGAAAAGGGGAAGAAGCAAAGACGCAGCGAAAAACAACATCTCCAAAAGGTAAATAGAAGAAGCTTTGTCAGATAATATTATTTACGGAGTACAGGGGAAGCAGCAGCTTTGACGTCGCCTCCCCTGATCGTCTTTCCCCTTTCTGCCCGCTCGCTCGGGGATTATCCAGCACAGATACATACAGGACTTTGGGATGGAGAACGGAGTATCACTTGCAGTGGCCTTCTCCATGTTGCCTCCCATGGGCTAAGAATAACACGGGAAGGGACTCCAGTGATAGTCGCCCATAATCCGGGGTAGAAGTTCGTGCTGAAGCCCAACGACACTAAATGGAAACAGCACAGAGTGCCATCACAATAGGGCAGCGCCAGCAAAAGAATTCTCGAGACTTCATACGCGGCCGGTGATTGCTAAGAGTCTTAGGGCAAATCGGGACGCAGCGAAAGGAAAAGCAACAGGAGTGGCAGAGAGATTGGCAAGTAAAGCTGGCAATGCATGATGGCTTGGACGTTACACTTGTGCAACCGTCCAGGCAAAATACGTACCGTCCGGATGCCCCGTAGCTTGACTTCGAGCTTGCCGTACTCCAACGCAGGAACCACGGCGACAGAGTGAAAGAAGCCCACTAACTCCAAAGCAAAAAAGAATCCAGTGGGGGGAAGCGTCTCTAGCAGATAACTAACTAACCTGTCTACTGATGATTTAGTGAGCTGAAGCGAGAAAATAATTTTATGCGATGCTCTGGGCCAGTTAGTGTTATGGAACTATTAGATCCTTGGTCCAGAAGTCCAGCCGCCGACCCAACCAAGCTGGTGGAGAAACACCAGGCCATTCCTTTGTTACTGCTCAGCCCAAGGGAAAAGTTCTTACGCGCCTAGGTCTCTGCTGCCTGTCCCAGGCCGCCTCAGCCCTGGCCCTCTGCGCGCTATTGATTCAACTCGAAAAGCTTACTGGGGTTGCCCTGACAAGAAAATCAGCAAAAAAATAAAATTAAATTATTCCCTGGTCGGTTTAATTGCATGAGTTAATATTGCTGGTTCCATCGAATGATAGCTTCACCTCACATATAGCTCTTTTGTGAAAGTCGTATTGTACGAAAATCAGCTACTCTGTACAAACAACTGAGTGAGGAGGGGATCCACAGATATTCAGCAGGGCAGTTGGGTTGGAGATTTGTAACCCCCATGCGGTCACTTGCTTCCCGGTCCAATCGAGAGCTTCCCTTTTCAGGCAAAAGGAATTACTCAATATTGTGGCTTTCCAGCATTGAGGGAAGGACTTGGAATTTAGCATCCAGGATGCAGATATCGTTTGGAGGTATTACAGCTATTGTCAAGAGGAAAAGAGTGAATGTATCTTCTTTACACACTGTGTGACGCTCCGTGGGAGGGCTACATGACTGGCTGGGCATACAGTGCTGAAGCACCCAGTCGTCTTGCTTGACTAATATGATCGGTTCTATCGAGAATGCTATGGCTTCGCTTGCAATCTCATAGTTGTACTTTTGTCGGATCAAAGCGAGATATGGTTTTTTTTTTTTTTTTACTTCGGTTTATGCTCGAGACGGAGGCGGCGGAGAGCGAACGGGTGGGCGGGCGCTCGCTCTCTGTTCTAGGCCAAAGTGCAGAGCCAAGGTGTAAAAGCCAACTCGAACTGAATCCGTGCATGTACAGCTTCGACCCGCCGATCATCATACAGGCCATACCACATTCCCGTGTAAACGAGATGGGCGGCGGGATTTGCAACCCAACCCCAATGTGGCAAAGACGATATCTCTCTCTGCGTTTGAGTTCAATTGTTGCACAGTATTGTCTGCCAGTAACCCCTTTTTCAGTCCGAAAGTGACTGTCAAACCTCTCCAGATTGTCTATATAAGGAGCTTCAAGTCTGCCCATCAATCGACTTTTTTTTCTCCATCAGCATCACTCTCAAGCATCTCACAACAACTTCCAAAACAGCCTCAATCTCCATCAATCGACTTCTTCTTTTTTAAGAGAAATCCTCTTCCAACCCAATCAGTCAAAATGAAGTTCTCCATTGCCGCCGCTGTTTTGGCCCTTGCCTCCGCTGTTGTTGCCCACCCCGGTGCTGGCTACGTCTCTACCCCCGAGAAGGAGGCCAACTTCCAGCAGAACTTCCAGAAGTTCGTCACTGCTTGTGGCAACGGCAACCAGGTCTCTTGCTGCAACACTGAGACCAACAAGGTCGGCGCTCCTTTGACCGCCGGTGGTCTCATTCCAATCCTCAACAACCTCGACCTCTCCGACCTCTCCCTCCTCAAGGGATGCTCCAAGGTTGACGTTGCTGGTAAGTAACTCACAGCTACTCCGCTCAGGGATATCAAACACAAGCATCTCGCTAACATAATCTTCACAGCCGTCATCGGAGTCCAGGACCTCCTCAACTCCAACTGCAAGACCCAGGTCTCCTGCTGCAAGACCGGCGACACCAACCAGGTAAGCCACCATCTCTTGTACAGTCTTCACTGCTTCAGCATCACTAACAAAATTTCCAGGTTGGTCTCATCAACGCCAACGTCGACCTCAAGTGTGCTGCCCACAACATCCTCTAAATGGCTTAACACCCTTCTCGATATTGATGGTCTTGAATCAGAACTTGATTCAGCCTACATCGCCCGACATTCATCTGGGCGGTTTCTTCTAGAGGCCAATGCCACCCTGTCTCTGCTTTCCTTACTGTTCCTTTTGTTATTCAAGGGGTTGAGATTCGGGATAGAACATCCACCTCCACTGTCTGTTGGCTTTCCTGTTATTAGATAATAATATGCCTAGTAATTAATATTCCGTTTGCGTCTGCACACTTCAACTTCTTCCTTCTGTCTCTCACTTTCTTATCCAGTAGTTCATTTTTCATCTCAGTATATCAAACTTTCGATCTATGCTGGTACAAATCTTCTTTCGACTTGGGTATCTGGGTATAAGTATCTCGTATGAATCGTGCACTGTAAATCTCTAGTCTGTCATGAATTCGGAGATCAAAGAGCGTTAAGATTGAGGTTGAGGTTTGTATGTGAAGTGGGTCACTGAGCGCTCAGGCCCAATTTTTATCGGAATTTCATACACCCGAAATCCGTAACACCCATCTCCGGATTATATAATCAATGGTCCCTTCCATCCCTGTCGCCTTCCGCTGCGCAACTTGGCTTCGTCTTTGCCATCCTGCTTTGTTTGTGCATCAACATATTATGCTACCCAGGTATCCTTGGTACTTCTTGCTGCTTCACTACGTCACTTTAACCAGCGTATTATTCTCTTCGACATGTGTGTTGTACCAGATAATCCTCATCCAAGGCTAAGATACCTAGTCGTATCTAATGTATGTATAGTTGGAAGCCACTAGATGATTATCAGCTGTAGTTTGTGATACCAGTAGCAAGGGAGAGGGGATAGCGGCTGTCTCCCAGAATGCCTTGGCCTATTTGCTCCAGATATCCCGCTCGTGACAGATGCTTGACTAGTTACTGGGTAGCTGTGACAGGTGATCCTTCGGGCTTAGCAACAGAAGGCAATAGTTGTTGATTACGGTAAAGTTGCAATAAGCACGTGTAATTTATGCATTGCTTCATTAGATTAGGTGAGGGATATCTCCCGCATACCTTATCGAAGGGAGTCGTACCTGCATGTCTTTTAGTATGGTTCCCCTGCATAGCCAATAACTCTGCTCTCTCTGCGTATGGCAGACTTATAAATAGGTAGTATTCTTTTCTGGTAACATCTCCAAGGAAGAAAAACAAGGTGTATCAATTTATTGTGCTCTGGATCTTGCTAATACCCAAGAACGCCTAAAAGAAATCAAAATAACCATTCCCTGATACCATCTCTTTATCTTTATCCAATGCTACTATGCGGTCACACCGTTTGGAGCAGTATGGTTGGTTTCAGCAGCAAGAGTCCTACTCTGCTGTGAGTCTGAGGATAGTTTCTTGCTAAGCAGCCTCTTTAGAGAGGTCCGGCTAGCAGATTTGGGTGAACCTGGTTCTGGTGAAGCAGGTAATGGGGGTAGTGTAGCAGGGGATGGCAGACTCTCCGAGGAGCTCTTCTCTGTCTTCTCAGAGTTGCCATTGGGAGTGCTCTGGCTAGCTGTTCCATTGTCTGTAGAACAACTGGGCTGGTTTGATGTAGCATTTGCATTATTTGTGTTCAGGGTATCTCCATCCATAACTGATTTTAAATCTGGTAATAACCATCCTCGTGAAACATTATTTCCTGGATCTAGGGTGGTGGTTGTGGTAGCGGTGGCGGCGGTGTCACTTTTCTGCTGACTTGACAATCCAGAGGTATTATTGTTATCACCACCACTACCAAACATCTCCTCAACAAAAGGAAGGCTGGATCCGGTGAAGGCCTTGCCAAAGGCGTCTGGTTTTAGGTCAAGTTGGAACCTCGGGTCTGGGGGGAAGTAAGGTCTGTTAACGTTCGACGTGACGGGCGACATCTGGAGCTCTGGAGCTGGCTCTGTCGCGGTTGACATTGCGGTCGACGGTCTAGATCTGAGAGACGAGAAGACTGACATCCGGCGAGTCCGTCTCTTCCCTTCCTTGAAAAACTGCGGCTGAGGTTGCTGTCCATCACTCCTTACTGACATCAATGACTGCTTCTTTACCACTACCCCAGGGGATCCTGGCTGCTCGTTCTGTGGCGAGGAAGGTAGCTCGACCGAAGCTGGGTCCACGGGCTTGTCGTCATCGCCTGGAGCTGGCGTACAGGGTTCATTCTCGACTGGGGGCTGAGTCTGTTCGGAAGATGGTTTGATGTGCGGAAAATCGAGCTCGACCCGGGGAGCTTTATGGTTGGTCCCGTTTTTCTGCCCTGCAGACGCCTCAGCAGCATTCTTACTTGTTGAAGCTGACGCGGATTCCTTCTCCTCTCGTGTCTGGCGAGAACGCCGACGAGAGAACAGGGAGGCAAACAGAGTCATGGCTCTGGGCGGTGTGAGAGGACGGTGGGTTTGCAGGAGAAGAAGGTTGGACTGTCGCTCGCTTGGATAGCTGCAACGGCGGGAGAAGAGCTTGCGATTCTGCTAGACCCGGGGTCGATAACGAACAAAAAAAGCTATATCGACGAATCCAGCCGATGCAGCTGATGCAGCAGGGGGGAGGAAGGGGGAAAAAGAGGAATTAGTGAAGCAAAGAAAGAAGGAGAGATAAAGCCAAACGCTGACGGTCAACCAAGCGCAAATAATAGTATGGGTTCTGCGCTCCCCCAAGAGACGAAGCGAAGATCTTCAGGCCGTGGCGTGAAAGGGGGTCAAATAACACTCTTTCCCGGCGTCTACTATGCACGGCACGAGAGATCTGATCTGTCTGCAGAGTTCTTCACACAGTCAATCGCCCAAGACGCACTCAGCTTCGTGATGCTTGAAAACGAAAAAATTGTCTGTCGTTGGATCAAGTGAACCAGCAGCACTTGGGCATCACTCTGGGAGCAGCAGGGCAGACCCTGGACAGAGAGATCTCTGTGGAGACGGGGCTGAAAGAACCAGTCGTTTTCGTCCATGGCAAGTTGCATGCTCTCGAGAGGGCTCGCCTTTCTCAGGAGAAGCAAAAGTCCTAGGGAAAAAGGGGCACAAGTCGCAACTAATTTTCTTCCCTTTTTTTCTTCCCTTTTTTCTTCCTGCAGGTCTCTGTGCCCAATATGTTTTGTGTTTGTTGTTTTATTTTTTGCGAGCCCTACGGGACGTTTATTCGCTGCCGTTGGTGTACCGGGATTGCGATGTCTCCTTACTCGCGTTGAGATCTAAATAGCAGGGTGTGACGGGCGCCGGCAAGATCGCTACGGTAACTAACTTCTTGGGTGTGTCGAGCCTAGCAAGAGCTTGCTCCTTTGCATTTCCGATGGCTTCTGCTCACTGGATGTTTACTCACGCACGCAGCTGACGATAAAGATGGGATCGCTCCCAGGATTGCTGCAGAGCTCTCTGGCCTTTGTTTGGGTCCCGCAAGGTTCCACACTTCGGCTCAGGGGTCTGCGGAAGGGAAGTGAGTTTATTTTTACCCTTGCGGCCGGAGATTTGAACCTGGGGCGAAAACGGCGTCAACCGGCAGCCAGACTTGGATGCAGTGTTTCTTTCTACGGAGTGTCTGATGGGAGGTGACATGCTGGGAAACGGATGCACTTTGATGCATTCGTCACTTATCATGTGCGAAGGAAGACGGCCTTCTGAGGACTAATTCTATCAAATAGGAAACACGGTAAGCTCTAGCTGACGCAAAGATGCCGGTCTTAAAAAAGGTCTTAAACATATATCAGTCAGGTCTATGATGGTCTGATTTCCAATCACATTGCATGCATCTACAGCTTGCTCTGGGCGGAGGGTGTATAGAGCTTGTTGGTCGTTGCCATGACTTCAGCAGCCTCCTTCTCGATCCGGGTGAGAAGCTCGGCACAGGTTGGGATGTCATGGATAAGACCAATGACTTGTCCTGCAGTCCAGACCTATTCCACAACGGAAGAAGAAGAGTACAAGTCAGCACAACTATAGCCGAAAAAAAAGAAGAAGAAAACGAAGAGTGGAAACGGATCTGTACTCCCGGCATGAGAAAGACGGGGGGTAAACGGGGTAAACGGGGAGAAATGGACTTACTCCATAATCAACGTCACCGTTAATAAAGACTTCACGCCCGCGTTTCCCACTGACAAGATGCGCAAGCTCGGTGAATTCACCTGTCTGGCTCTCCTGTTCAATCTTATATGCCTCCGCGGCAACCTTGTTGTTGAATAGACGGGATGTATTTCTCCACCGACGAAGAAGCAGTTGCGTATCCGTCTCGTCTGCCTTCACAATGGCCTCCTTAACATTAATATGGATAGGTGCTTCAACAGTGCACATGAATCGTGTTCCCATGTTAATCCCGCAGGCGCCCAGAGCCAGAGCAGCAGCTAAACCGTTCCCGTCCGCAAATCCGCCCGACGCAATGAATGGCACGCCTAGATCCTGTCTAGCACGGCTTAAAAGGATAAAATTTGTGATATCGGTCTCTCCAACGTGTCCGGCGCATTCAAAACCATCGATAGAGAGGAAATCAACGCCTAGCTTGACAGCCGACTTGGCGTGTCTGATTGTAGTACACTTATGGAGTACGGTGCACCCGGCCTTCTTGAGCTGTGTGATGATAGGGCCAGGGTTGTTTCCTGCGGTTTCAACGATGCGCACGCCTTCTTCAATAATGACTTTGGCGTAGGCGGGATAGTCGGGCGGTGTAAGGGCGGGCAGGAAAGTGAGGTTGACACCAAACGGGTTCTTGGTCATGGTCCTGGTCTTTCGGATTTCCTTCCGCAGATCTTCGGGAGTAGGTTGTGTCAGGGCAGTAAGCTGTGGTTGTTATTGTTATCCGTTAGCAATCGACCCCGTTTACAAATGGCTCCATGGAGGGTAAAAGACATACGATTCCAAGTCCACCAGCATTACTGACGGCAGATGCTAGCTCAGCGTATCCAACCCATTGCATACCACCCTGGACGACGGGAACTAGATATCTTTTAGTATAACTTGCAAAAGGAGTCTCCGGGGCATCGTAGACGTGAACTGACTTCTGATCCCTAGTTTCCGGGTGAGTTCGGTGGTGAAAGGCATCGTCAACGAATAAAGCCAAGGGTATTCGGCGGTATATAGTCTATATTTCTTGTCTAGAGAAGCGAATGTAAATTTTTAGGGATGGATGGAAGACGCAGGACGGGACGAGTGAAGGAAAAAGGTCGATATATCAGGGGACTTATCCCCCAAAAGAAAGACGCCATGAAGGAAGCGTCGCTTCCTGGCTTTCGCGGCTCTGGGAGAGAGATCACAGGCCGAGGACCGAGGCACCTTGTTCGCGTGACGCATCACGTGATTAGGAGATGGTGCTTACTCAGCGCATCATATCTGGAGAGAAGAACAAGTTTGATACGGAGATATTTTATGAAACAGCCTAGAGACTGCTGTGTAGGTGTATTGGATATGTGTATTGGATATGTAAGATATGATAGAAAATTTGGATAGTCGCTGTTCGCATAGCAATTGGATTGTTGGGGGCTATTACTCCGAAACTCGAACAGCACTCCGTAGTGAAAACCTGATATTGCTGCTTCGTCAAGAATAAGACATTGCTAATAACATTTAAATCTCGTTAAACAATTTGTGACCCTGATATGAAACCCAGCTCGCTCATTGAAAGAGTGGACTGGGCGATTAACGACGGGTTGAAATATCCTTTCTCACTCTCAGAACCTCATAACCATCTCGATGAACCACGACAGAATGCCGCAGTTAAGAGTGAGATGTCGCTAGAAAAGCATCCCCTTCATTCCGAGCACATCATCTACAGGAACTGTAGCAACAAGCTGGTCTGAGATGAAAGCTGAGGTCCTTGATGTGAAGAAAAGAAGAAGAAAGGAAGAGGACGAAAGTTTTTTTGTGCCTGTTTGCTGAAGATTTCCCGAAATGGTACGGAGCGGGACATCTTTCTTCCAGTCATGTGTTTGTAATTAGCGCGCCTGTGATTGGCTCCGATATCTGCCGATTTAGCCTTACATAAGCCGAGGGCAACTTCATCATTTGTTCGGGACGCTCCTTGTTTGGGGTTTTGTCTATGATGAGTCGTTGAAGAGCAGAGAGATAACCGGGCAATTCACCTAGACGCGAAGATGTTTTCCAACAGGCTAGCGCAGCAGTCGCTGAGACGACGTACGTATCTATATTATCGCCAATTGACGGGCTGTTAGGTGCTGATAGACCTCTTAGTTGCGACAGAACATCCATCTGCCTTCAGAACTCGGTATCCAGCTCGCGAGACCGGCTGCCATTGCACTGGAAACTATGCTCAGTCAGGCAGTACTTGCATTGATATGCTGGTCGTCCCCTCTCGGGTGCTGGGAGCTGTCTTGGTGTGGAATTCTAGCAGCGAGCAGCTCCGACATTTAATCAACAGTTTGGTCGAGAAATGGGAATATATATACGCAAACACAGTGAACACAAGGGCTAATAAGATATTCTAACAGACCAGCCACGTCCTCCGCAGCCTCCTCAGAAACTACTGAGCCAACCAGCTTACTCGCCAAACAGCGTCTTAACCGCCCCGTCTCTCCACATCTCACCATATACCAACCCCAGATAACCTGGTACCTGTCCAGTCTCAACCGTATCACTGGTGCCATGCTCTCCGGCAGTCTCTACCTCTTCGCCAGCGCCTATCTCATCTCTCCGCTACTCGGATGGCACCTTGAGTCCGCCTCTCTGGCCGCTGCCTTTGCCGCCCTGCCTATTGCTGCCAAGATTGGCATGAAGTTCACCATGGCCCTGCCCTTCACTTTCCATTGCTTCAATGGTGTGAGACATCTTGTTTGGGATTTGGGAAAGCAGTTGACTAACAAGCAAGTTATTACCACCGGATGGACTGTTGTTGGCTTGACTCTTAGCAGTGCTCTTGCCTTGGCTATGTGGTAAGGTCTTTATTGAATCTGGATCACCAGGTTTTCAACTATTCTTTCATCTTTGTACTATTGTCCGTTGCTAAATGTATATGCCCTTGTTTGAAACCCATCGTCTATTCCTAGTTCCTTTATCTATATAAGATGAAAGCCTTTTAAACATTTATTATAGATCCTTTACAAGTGTTCTAAGTAATATTTAAACTGAACTGGTGTTTCATTCTTATTTATGTAGCTAGGGGCATTAAAAATTATGCTATAGGTAGCATGGTATGTCTAAGGATCTTTATTAGTGTATTCTACATACAAGCCGGGCACAACAATTTAGACCATAAAGCCACATGATATTCCCACTCATTTTCCACCGCACTTTTTCTTTTTTTTGGAGCTTTTTATTGTTTTTTTTGTGTAGAAACTGCCGAGTCCAGAGAAAATTCCATTGGTTGTTGATTGTTTTGAGATGTGTTAATGTCTTTATAAAATCCGGATTGTTGAGGCTGAGAGAAGTCGTGATAAAATATACATTCAGCAGGAGATAGGGTAACTTTTTTTATTGGTCTGTTGGGTTTCCATAGATATGATGTCGCTTCGTTTGTGGTAGATTGGTGTGGTGGTGTGGTATTGGCAGGACTGATCCATGATGATGTTCAACAGGTGCTTTTTTTTTTTTTGGTATCTCCTTTTTTTCAACGTTCATAGCCGTAGAGGCCTCGGATTTCGATACCACAGCATTTTCAAGTTATGATTGGTTTGACAATGCCGGTTGACCGAGGAGTGGTATTCAAGCTGGGCTTGGTGGTGGGTTTGGAGGAGTTGGGCGAGGAGACAGGGGCCCAGTGACAGAGAAGCTGCCGGCTTCTGGCTCAGTGATGATGGTTTTGTTGGTGGCAGCAGGCTTTCCCTGAGAAGTGAAGCGTCCTGGAGTCTGGCGCTGAAAGCCACGGGCCTCAGAAGAGGAGTTCATGGTGGAAGGCATTGCAGTGACTTTTGCAATTTGCAAGTAAGAGATAGAATAGAGCTTGTTATTGCTTAGAAGCTGTATTAGAGAGTGAAAGCGTGCAAATGCGAGATAGTAGTGTGTGTGGTTGTGAAGGAAAAATAAGGAAGAAAGAGAGAAAGAGAGAGAGGTTGTATGCAAATTTAAACGAGAGAAAACCTGGGCTCCAGGTAACGTAAGAGCAGGACAGCAAGATATCTGTTTTCTATCGAAGGTTCTAGCCAGCCTAGCTTGGATATCAGAAGCTCTAGACAGTGCACGTGGAGGACAAGGAGGAAAAAGCAGAGGAAGGGTCTGTTTTCAGGGTCTTTCTGCCTGCCCGTCTGCCAATCTGTCCTGGGCTGTTGGCCGTTTAAGTGCAACATGCAAGCTGCCGCTTCACCCTCGTGGCAGCGTTCCCGGCTTCTCGTTTGACTGGCCGCCCTATTCCCTTCCCGTGGGGAGGTTTGCAGCAGTTATTGCTTGAGTTCTAGTGGTATACGATACTATTATAAGGATACCCGCGCGGGTCCCGTTTCACTAATTCAACGCTGCGAATGCGAGACTCAACAATAATCAAACGGAGAATATAACAAACACTCAACGGGGTTTTTCAATTCTCGTGCAATGTTCTGAAGGCAGAGTCGAGGCCAGTCCCACGAGGCGGTAGCGGGATGATGGTTCAAACGGAATTACGGTATAAGCATATATATATATATATCTCAATATATTGCACCTCGGCTGACCTATAAAGGGAAAACGGAGCTGCGCGAAGGCATGGCGTTTGGTTCAGATGAAAATAATAGCAAACAAAAAGACTAACGTCTTTTCTAAGAACAGGAAGCATTAAATCTTCTCTACATTGCCGCAGGATGGCCTGCAGACTAGGAGCTTCATGGCGTTTGTCTGACGGGGTATACCAGTGGAAGCTCTGCGCATCATCTGCAGTATAGGTTCTCTATACGAGTTGGTTATACGCATATCAATTTATTGGCGGATACAATGTTTACATATGTGAAGGGAAGAGGCTTTCTCTTCGTTATTGGAATACTCCCAGCAGGGAGCCCAGTCTATCCTCTTAGAAAAATAGCTTTGGCCACCAAGTGGCAACTGGTAAAGACAGTCAATCTGAAGAAGAATATACAAACAATTTTTCATCTTCAGTCTATAAGTCAGAATGGTATCATCTATGTAACGGCTGTCGTTGTGTTTGGCGTGAGGGAAGTTGTTAGGAGCTCGACACTTGTCCTAATTGGGGCTAGCGTGATCGTGTGAGAAATCTCGTAGCTTTCGAACATCTTCAACTTTGCTGTAGCAAAGCGAAGTTTCACCGGCCGCTTGATACCTCCGAATGAATAACTGACAAGCCGTTAACTGCTTCCAATGGCTTCAAAATTGTCTCCTCTCCAGACCATTGCTGCTGGATTTGCCCAGCCTGCGTGCAGGCGCGCACCACGCTTCGTTCTACCATTTTGCTCACAGTCTCAGCCAAGTTCTCGACGAAGAATATCATCCTCCCGCGCTCCCCAAGAACAGCAGGCTGTGTCAAATTTGATTCCACGATGGCAGCAAACGCCTCCTGCTATGAAAGCTCCGGTCCGACTGCGTGAATCCCCGAATAAAACGGAATTCAAGGTCAACTCTGACCCTGTGGTTCTGGACAACTTCTACGTGCGAATGCTAGGACAAGACGGGGAGAAGTTATTGTCGGAGGAAGTTAAATGGCAAGCAGTTACGCATAAAAGTTTTGATCAAGGGCGGAGGGGCTTCAATGACCGATTGGCTTATTTCGGTATGTTTATACATATCATTGAGATGCTGCACCTCAAAATGAAAAAAGGAAATTACTAGAAAAATGAATTGCTGACAGTGATTGCGCCGCAGGGAAACAAATAATTCTCCTTCAATCATCTCTTGCCCTCGTTCAAAATCCCGCAGCATATGCCCGACCGCAAAAGCCAGATCCGTTTGGAAGACAGCCGTATGAGTCCGCTGCGCTCAAGGGTCTTGAAGTCTTGTCTCAGAACACGAGGTCTCAATTGACGCGGAGGAAGGAGATGTCTGCTCTAGCTAGACATTACGGCATTAATGAGGTTATGAGATGGGTACCGAGAATGGTATGTGCTGGGAAGATATATACATATAGTAAAGAGTGTGTCCGCTGACCAGGCTATCTAGCAACACGACCTGACCGAATCTGGAGTTGACACGATATACACCCATGCTATGTACGCAATTGTTGGAGCCATTGCACTCGAACACGGAAGCAAGGTCGCAAACGAGATCGTCCGCGATAGAATCTTGAAACCCCTGGGATTCCAAATCGGCGGAAACGCTTGACCAACGGTGCGGTAAATAGATTTACACTTGGCTTTATGGCATCGGTATGGCGTTGAAGATATTCTGTTTGGAAACTCCTGAGCCTTAGATTTTGCTCTTAATTGTTTGTATTTTTTATATTTTGTGTGTGAACAGGCTTGTACTATATTAACAAAACCAAACAGACCGATGAATGTAAACATGGCTCCCTCAGCTCCCCCTCTATCCTACCACTGATGTATACTACACACCTCTGTATGATTAGATAACTGACTGTCCGACTTCTCTGACACCGCCCGCGCAACAAGGAAAAAATGCCCGGCCAGTTCTTATGAAGTCCATGAAATTTGGTCTACGCATCACAATATCGCTAAGCGCAGCAATTGAATACCCTGAGATGACCTGACAGAATGCCAGAAGCCAAAATTAGAGACCAGCCCTTAAAAAGGGACTGGATGTGTTGGTTAGCACTGTCTGAAGGATGCGCGTTTGTGAAGAAAAGAAGAAAGAAAGGACGGGGAAATTTTTTGGAGCGTAGTTTTTATAGAGCGGCGCTAGTCCCGATGTGGCCACGTCTGCGGGCTGTCTAGAGATAGCGACGCCAAACCTCCGTGGATAACGAGACGGACGACGACGACGGCGACGGCGACGACAAGGTGCTGCCTTCGATGCGAAACCACTGCTTGAACCGACTGTTGACGACGATACAGATAACGGGATGAATTGACGGCCTTTTTATTTACCTTGATTTCCTTTCCGTTTTGAACTACTTCGAGCAAAACTATGACGAGCTAGATAAATAAGCTGTTATTGCCTTCGTGACCTTTAACGAATAAGCTATTTGAAGAGGCTCCCCTTGTTTATATCTCGCGCAGCAATGGCTTCGGCAGTGTTTTTCTTAGATCTGAAGGGCAAGGTAAAGCGCTCCCTGATACTGTTCTCATATCTGGCATTGTAGCTAACCGAAGCATCCACCAGACCCTTCTTGCCCGCAACTATCGAGGTGACATCCCCATGTCTGCCGTCGAAAAATTCCCTATCCTTCTCAGTGAAGCCGAAGAAGAGAGCTCGGCGGTTCCACCCTGCTTTTCCTCCGAAGGAGTTAATGTATGTGGCCATCGCTCTCATACACAATGTCCATATATTTCCGAGCTTTAGTTGGCGCATCTAACTAACGGCAATGAACAGTACCTTTATATCCGACATAGTAATCTGTACCTCCTTGCTCTTACGAAACGAAACACAAATGCCGCCGAAATACTTCTCTTCCTACACAAGATTGTTGAGGTATTCACTGAATATTTCAAGGAATTGGAGGAGGAGAGTATTCGGGATAACTTCGTCATTATATATGAGCTGTTGGACGAGATGATGGATTTTGGCCATCCACAAACAACAGAAAGCAAGATATTACAAGAGTATGGTTACCTGTTACCACTTTCGGCTGTATGGCATACGAAATGGGATATCCATGAGGGGTAGGCATGGCTAACCACTTTTTCTACTATCTAGGTACATTACCCAGGAATCGCACAAGCTTGAAGTACAAGCAAGACCACCAATAGCTGTCACAAATGCAGTTTCGTGGAGAAGCGAAGGAATTCGATACCGCAAAAATGAAGTATTCCTGGACGTTGTTGAATCGCTGAACCTCCTTGTTTCTGCTACCGGAAACGTGCTTCGATCGGAGATATTGGGTGCTGTGAAGATGAAATGCTATCTTAGCGGCATGCCAGAACTTCGACTGGGTTTAAATGACAAAGTGATGTTCGAAACAACTGGTCGAGCAACTAGGGGTAAAGCTGTCGAAATGGAAGATGTCAAGTTCCACCAATGCGTACGACTGTCTAGATTCGAAAACGACAGAACAATTAGCTTTATTCCACCAGACGGTGAATTCGAGCTAATGAGTTACCGACTCAACACTCAAGTGAAGCCGCTGATATGGGTAGAGTGTCTCGTGGAATCGCACTCCGGCTCGCGCATCGAATATATGCTTAAGGTGTGTTGCCCCATACCCCAAATACTTTGCACCACATTTGCAAAGATAAAAAAAAAACATGCCATAAAAACTGACTCATCTACTTTCTTTCAATTAGGCAAAAGCACAGTTTAAGCGACGTAGCACAGCAAACAACGTGGAAATTCTCGTTCCCGTACCGGAAGATGCAGACTCACCGAGATTCCGGACAAACGTGGGCACAGTTCACTATGCACCCGAGAAATCCGCCATCATATGGAAAATCAAACAGTTTGGCGGTGGAAAAGAATTTCTAATGCGCGCTGAGCTAGGATTACCATCCGTTAAGGGAGATGACGAGCATGGCGGCGGAATGACAGGCGGGTTTGGTGGAAGCATGGGTGGTGCAGGACAAGGGGGGAAAGGGAAGAGGCCCATCAACGTCAAGTTTGAGATTCCCTACTTTACAACAAGTGGCATCCAAGTCCGCTACTTGAAGATCACAGAGCCAAAGGTATGTTTTTTTTTCTCCATCTCAACTCCTACTTTCTTACCGTCCCGTCTGCCTCTCCTGCACGTATATGCTACTGTGTTACTCTATGGCATTCGTCTATTGGCTTTGTTCAAACATTCCGTGCCAAGAGACGAGTGTCAAGCTCCCTGGCCACGTTTGACATGCTGTACATTTCTCACACCCCGCGTTCCGTGTGTTCCCTTCGTCACATTTACATCCAGCCATAGAATGCGGCTTCGTATTAAAGCGTGTTGCTTTTTCTTTTTAAACCAATACTGACTTGAAATTGCCTGTTAGCTACAATATCCTTCATTACCATGGGTTCGCTACATCACTCAGTCTGGAGACATCGCAGTTCGCTTGCCAGATGCCCAATAGTTTTGAGTGTCACTTTAATTCGATCATTTGAACAAAAAGAAAAAGGGCTTCTTGGACGTTTAGAACTGCATGTCAACTATCAACCAAAGATAGCGCAATGATAACTTTGAAGAGAGAATAAAGCAGTCCATGCTTCATGGATACATATCATCCAAAATCCACCTTCTCAAAACTATTCGATTTGGCTAGGATGGGTATATGAATGACTGTCCCATGCAACCAGCGGTGAACGTTAACAGGGTGGCCGGGTAGAAAGATGACAGCATCAGTTTACGAGCTGCGTGTAACCGAAAATCCTACAAACGAGATATGCGCTTCTTATAACTGCCAAGATGCAAAAGTTGCGGACAACAATAGAGGGCAATGTACATTCTTGGAAGCAAGGGTGGTAGGGGTCGAAGTGATGCGGGAGAGCGAGAAAAGAGAAAAGAGAAAAGTGAAGACTTGCTGGGGTCCGCCACCACCTGGTGTGATTAGATTCATGGTTAAGTAACACTGGAGCATCAAGGGATACTGATAAGAAAAAAAAGGCCGGGCTATCTTCAACTTGGCTAGTGTATGGGACGTATATCAGGTAGATGTGGCAGAACAGTAAATCAAAATCTGGAGGACGTATGTTGACAAAAGAAAGCAGAAAGCATCCATATCTTCTCTCCATTACCTCCTTTCAGAGAGGGGATCTGAAAAGGGCGCCGTAGCTACCGTCTTGGAAGTTCCGTAATTCTCTCTTTGCCTCACGCAGATCTCCATATTCTGGATCGGGTCTGATAGTTACAACCACGCCATGTCTGTCGATTCCTGCCCAGATGTGTTAGAAAAGAACAAATGGTATGCTAGTTAAATGGACTTACTTTGAGGGATTGATCGGTGAGGGACCCAGCGAGGTGGCCTGAAGCATCGTTGCATCACATCAGAGAGGCAATATATGTCTCGTTCCCTCGGGCAGGAGAAAGCAATAAGGCCCACGATCAGAGCAAGATCGCCTGTAAGATGGGTAAAGGGGACTTGACTGCAATAACTATCGTTGTACGAGTCCGGTAGAAGCTCCGGTACCCAGTCGCGAGACCCTCGCCCAGCAAGCGTGTAGCTGGTAGCCGAGAAGGTAGCTATTGATAGATCCTGCCTCTCATCGTTCTTGAAACGCAGCCTCCTCCAGGATTGTTCTGTCCGCTCAATATGGTCTTGCATACGTTCGTTGATTCGACAGTCCACTGGGACCGTGAGGAAGTATGATGTTGATGATCTATAGAGAAGGCTGCACACAGCGAAATCACCCTCTCCAACATTTTTTGCAGGAATCACCCGCTCCGGAGTTCGTTGCAACCATCCGGTGGAATATTGTGTGTTGTAAATGCACTCGTGTGGAGGCGACCACAACCCATCACCATCATACTCCAGCCTTTCGTATTCTGGTTCGATGTAATCCACCTTGAATAGGAACCTTAGTGCCTTATATCTCTCGTCATCCATTTTCTGCACAGAAGGAGAACAGGGCAGATTCTGGTCGGGGAGTTCGGTTCGCCAGCGCGGAAAAGTATAGGTTGATCGCAGGATGATGGGGATATCCAAAAAATACCGGGGCTGCGTTGCCTCTCTTTTCAACTTTTAAGGTAGGATAGAATGGTTGCCGGCTTCTTTCAGTATGCGGCACGATCGCAGCTAGACGTCAATCCCATTGAGTTTGTTCTGGGGCCAGTTTTAAACTTCTTATAGCGCTTTAGATACTTATCAAAGAGCCGCAAAAGATGTTGACCAATATCGGCGGTTTGTAGTGCTCCCCAGGAACTTATCGAGCCCTCGCATCAACATCTGATTGCAGTAATAGATCCTCCTTGCGTTCCATCCTAGTGTGGTAATGGTTATCATGTGCGCACGAGGAGCCTGCGTGGATACCCAATCGGCAGCCAAGTCATGACCTGGATGTACCATTTCTTTCTCTGTCCTCTAGCAGCGAGAAGGCTTGATATGGTGAGGAAGCCAGCCACCGAGTGTGAGTTATGGCATGGAGAGCCGAAGCCGAGATTTCCATCACGGAGTGAGGGGTATGACAGGCTTTGGATTGTCATGGAAATGTGGGCGACTGTGGTTGGATTGTCGAGAGCACGCGGGGCCACATCTTATCGACTCCAAGCAGATTGACTTCCAGGCAGGCCTAGAAATTGTAGTTCGGTACTTGTCAGCCGCGGAAATACTGAGCGATTGTACCCCTGTCAGGGGTCGACTCGTCCGCTGTGCAAATTGCCACGACGAGCGCCTTGAAATTGACATTCAGGGCAAGAGAGAACATTGTTGAAATCAATCTATATCAATCTTGACGGGGTATCATCCTAATACACAAATTGATCTCATGCTGCTGAATAGAAAGCCCCCAGGGTGACATGACTAATTGATGTTTGGATGATGATGTCTTGATGCATGACGGCCAATGACATGGCCAGATTGACCGAACCCTAGCAGATGAAGTTTCAAGGCTGTCACCATGTTGTCTTCAAGTAACAAGCTAGGCAACCCTCGCATAAAACACATGAGCGTGAAGAATTCGACATAAGATGGTCTTTCGAATGTGGGATTCGGACGATGGTCGTGCTGGTCTTATATGGCCCGACGAGATGGCAATGAGTGCTGCTGCAGCTGATGAAGTTGGACCACTTGGCGCAGGAAGCACATCAGCCCCGGTTTTCCATCTGCTGGACGCCTGGACGCCTTGATGTCTATGTAGCAGGATGGGCCACTGAGCGTTGCGAATGCTTGGTCCTAACGCAAAAAATACTGCAATAAGTGCTTGATGGAATATGACAGGGTCATCATTGGACCGTCAGACGGTCTAGATTACTGATAGAACCAGGATGGGCATTGATCCCGCTCGTACCCGTACCAGGCACAGTTCCTCAATGCCCAAATCGCTGATATGTTGACCCTGACTGAAAACGACGTTGTCCTGGGTGGGAGTTCGAGTGGGCCACGTGATTGGTTAACTAGGTAGTTAGGGGCACCAAACTAGCAACTAGTTACCTAGTTAGGTGTTAATACTTGGTAGTTGCAGACATTTTCACTCCTCAACAGGACCTTCACTATCATGAAAGGCTGAGCATCATCATCCTCGGCCTGGATGCTCCTAAAGATGGTACCTCGGGCTGTGAGATATAACAAAGATCACCTCGCTGTCGGATATTCGGTTCATGTTCATTCAAGCCGCAAATACCGTGGTACGAGAACTGCTCCGTACTCCCGTCCATTTAGGCTGCGGTGCTCCTTGCCTAGACAATTTTTCAGTACCAACTAATTAGCCTATACAACTAGAGGGTATCCGGGACTAATCAGCAACAAAAGGGCTCGGGCTGCGCTTAGTCGAAGATATCGGCCAGCGATCTACTTCGGCGCCGTCGTCAATTTCCAATCTTAATCTCGAAAATGTCATGTCCTGCCTCATCATAGTGGCAGCGATAACCTTGGGGCTTTAAAGCTTCTGCAGTGATTCCTCAACTAGTGTTTCCACCTGAGAGATCCTTGATGGCATTTGTGTAAACCTGCTTAAGTTCGTATAACGGGCTGCTATACACAATAGGGTCGTGAAATGCGTTAACTAGGCACCAATTCCTAGTAGCTATGTATTTCTATGCCCGCAGGCTAAGGGAACTCACTTATTCTACCGTCTGTATATCTTGAATGATACTGGAAAAAATTACAAATAATGGTCTTCTCCATCTGGTTTAAGGCTGAGAATACTGCTGACTAGGCCCTTGTCTCAGGCTTGGTTGAAGTGCTGCAATTACGGAAGATTGGCCGGCCTTTTTGTACGAAGGATCACGCAAGGTACCGGTAAGAGAGCAGGATGTTATTATTGCCGATGGAGGGTGAAGATCATCTTTAAATCCGAGCGAGGGAGCGAGATACAGGTTTTTTCTATTTTGAGAAGCTTGGATTTAGTAGGTTTAAAATGAGAGAATAGTTAACAGCATACCCAAAATTCCAATAAGGGGCCATAAAAACGCTGTATATAGTGCCTAGCAGCAATTAAGAACATAAGGGTAGGCAGGTAGTAGGTATACACAAGTGTAATTTAGCTCAATTGGAAGGATTAAGGATTTCCTGTTATAGGCAATTTTTATCAGATGCCCCACACCATCAACATCCATTCATCAGATAACAAAGATCAGATAAAAAAAAAAAACTTTAATACGAGAGTGGATTACGTAATCTGAAAAACCTTCCTGACTCAGTAGTTTCGGGTTTGAGCAAACGACAAGCCTTGGAAGCTTTCAACGTCCCAGGGAGCGGAAAACGAGAAGCCAAACAGCTCCAGCGGAATCAACGGAGTTAGTGGGAAAGCTATGGAGCAAGTATGTTCTGGACCGGGATAAACAGAAATAACAACAAATAAGCGTTAACAAAGTCACCAGGTCCCCAGCGCTGCGACAGAGCTCAAATACCGGTGAACACTGATCTTGGGCCTCTCCCCGTGCCCTGCGCTTTTCGTCTGACAAAAACGAGGCCAGTTCTTTTTCGTTTGTGTAACACGCCTCTCCGTATTTTCGTGGCCGCCATGCGACGGCTTGGCCCCTGGTTTTAATTCCACTCAACGCGTCTTCCCTGTCGTATTCGTCCCATGCCACGCCCTCTGCTTGGTTGTTTTGCATCAATTTCATCCAACCGCCAAGCTGACTAAGGAGGAGCTCTATACTCCTTTCGGCCTCCGCCCCACTCCATTACGCTGATTCAGCAGCCCCTTGGCGTGTGTGGACTTTGTTTCTGATGCCGGGGACGGCGGACGAAAAGGACGAAAAGCAACATTGATACATATATCCGCCCCTGGAGATAAAGCATGAGTCACAATGAATCACATCGCACATCATATCGTACATATGCAGCGACAGGGGCAGCGGTCTGCCATGGCCTGGGAGATATCTGTTGGGCAGAGTCAAGCTTCGCAGACTGACATGGCTGCCAGAAGCTGTCTGGTAACTCAGCACATGGTTACCGGCTATTTCACCCGCCCGCTAGAAAGGTAACAAGTTGGATCAGACCTTTACCAAACCAAGCCTGGCCCAACAAGCTATAAAAAGGAATACGATGTCAGAGCACCAGCCAACTGCTTTGTTCTCGGACAACTGTGGAACTGTGCAAGATATATCACCCCCTTCGGCCTTTTCAAGTCCGAGATTGAGTCTTTTCCGGCCCCACAGTAGGTTAAGTAAGAAACTGAAATCTCTCAATAATGTTTGATCAATTTTACTTCGTCTCTTTCTTCTCTCCTTCAATCTATATAAGCAAAAGGCGGCTGCTCTGTCCTTGTTGTGACATCTAGGACAAATTATTCCTGGTTGCTCGTTCCGTTTTTATACAAAGGAGATTCCTCTTCCTTGTTGCATTGTTATAGTTCTCCCTTCGGTTATATATAGTTGGTTTGGCCACCTCCAGGCTACAGACCACCCATCTCAAAGCAACAGGGCTAAGCGCGTTTCAACTTATGCCTCGAAAAATTCGACTGTGATATCCAACTGAGGACTGAGAAGTCATGGCTTCTAACCCTGTGGGAGCTAATCCTCCCAAACTTGAAATTCCTGGCGAAAGTTCGGACTCGGATACCATCTTTACTAACAGTGATTATGAGCGTGAGCGAGAGAACCTGAGGAATAGTAACCGCCAGGGGTTGACCCAACCAACCGGGGGTGTTGATGTACAGAAAGCCGAGGAAGACTTTGCTGTTTTGAGCAAAGAGTTATCTAGAATCTCAGAGAAATCAAAACGGCCGTTCACCCAAGAGCAAAATGGCCTAGATGAGAAGGGCTCGTACGATGTCGAGAGTGGCGCTGAGGGCAATTCAACCTTTGACCTGGAAGCTGCCCTTCATGGTTCTCGAGATGCAGAGGCGGCTGCCGGAATAAGGCCAAAGAGAATCGGTGAGTGATTTGGCATACCTCGTCAACTATTTCTTACTAACTCTATGGAGGTGTTATTTGGGATGGACTTACTGTTCGTGGTATTGGCGGAGTAAAGTACACAGTACCCACATTTCCTGACGCCGTCATTGGATTTTTCAATCTACCTGCCACAATCTACAACATGTTGGGTTTTGGGAAGAAAGGAGAGGAAATTGAGATTCTCAAAAAGTTCAAAGGTGTGGCTAAGCCTGGTGAAATGGTACTGGTTCTGGGAAAGCCGTCCTCAGGCTGCACAACCTTTTTAAAGGTTATAGCAAATCAGCGATTTGGATACACCGGTATTGATGGCGAGGTCCTCTATGGCCCATTTGATTCCGAGAAGTTCGCGAAACGTTATCGTGGAGAGGCTGTTTACAACCAAGAAGATGACATCCATCATCCCTCTCTCACGGTGGAACAGACCCTTGGCTTTGCATTAGATACCAAAACCCCCGGCAAGCGTCCAGCTGGCCTTTCGAAGTCTGCATTCAAGAAGAAGGTAAACTCTTAGGACGTCTAAAAACCTTTTATGTAGATACCTAACATGGTTACATAGGTCATTGATCTTCTCCTCAAGATGTTCAACATCGAACATACCGCAAACACCGTGGTTGGCAATCAATTCATTCGAGGAGTTTCTGGAGGAGAGAGAAAACGTGTTAGTATTGCTGAAATGATGATCACAGCAGCCACTGTTCTGGCTTGGGATAACACTACTCGTGGCCTTGATGCTTCCACCGCCCTCGATTTCGCCAAATCTCTTCGGATAATGACGAACATATATAAAACTACCACCTTTGTTTCGCTATACCAGGCGTCCGAAAACATATACAACCAGTTCGACAAAGTTATGGTCCTGGACCAGGGCCATCAAGTATTCTTTGGACCCATCAGTGGAGCCCGTGCCTATTTTGAGGGCCTTGGTTTTAAGGAGAAACCACGCCAAACCACGCCCGATTACCTCACTGGTTGTACCGATCCTTTCGAAAGAGAATATAAAGATGGAAGAAATGAAACAAATGCTCCATCTACCCCAGCTGACCTGGTCAAAGCCTTTGATGAATCTCAGTTTAGCAAAGACTTGGACAATGAGATGGCCATATACCGTTCTAAACTTGAGGAGGAGAAGCATATCCAGGAAGACTTTGAAGTAGCCCATCATGAAGCAAAACGGAAGTTCACATCGAAATCCTCCGTCTATTCGGTTCCATTCCACCTTCAGATCTTCGCTTTGATGAAACGACAGTTCTTGATCAAGTGGCAGGACAAATTCTCCCTTACTGTCTCATGGGTCACCTCAATTTCAATTGCCATAATTATCGGAACAGTTTGGCTAAAGCTCCCAGCCACCAGCAGTGGTGCCTTTACACGAGGCGGCCTTTTGTTTGTGTCTCTATTGTTTAACGCCTTCAACGCATTCGGCGAACTTGCATCGACTATGGTAGGGCGCCCTATCATAAACAAACAACGAGCTTTTACATTCTACCGTCCAAGTGCTCTATGGATTGCTCAGGTGGTGGTTGATATGGCATTCTCGTCTGCTCAGATCTTTGTCTTCAGTGTCATTGTCTATTTCATGTGTGGACTTGTCCTGGAAGCAGGAGCTTTCTTTACTTTCGTCCTCATCATCATAACCGGATACCTTGCCATGACCTTATTCTTCCGTACTGTTGGCTGTCTTTGTCCCGACTTTAATTATGCCTTAAAGGGTATTTCAGTGTTGTTATCGTTCTACGTGCTCACGTCGGGCTATTTGATTCAATGGAATAGTCAAAAAGTCTGGCTTCGATGGATCTTCTACATCAATCCCTTGGGCCTTGGTTTTTCGTCTATGATGATCAATGAGTTTCGCCGCCTTACCATGAAGTGTGAGTCTGATTCTCTTATCCCTGCCGGGCCAGGATATTCGGATATTGCCCATCAAGTTTGTACCCTGCCTGGCAGTAGCCCAGGATCGGCCACCATACCAGGTTCCAGTTATATCAGCCTAGCATTCAATTACCAAACTGCTGACCAGTGGAGAAACTGGGGAATAATTGTTGTTCTGATTGCTACATTTTTATTCACCAACGCTTTTCTTGGAGAGGTCATTACCTATGGAGCTGGTGGAAAGACTGTCACTTTCTTTGCCAAGGAGTCCAAAGACCTCAAGGAACTCAATGAAAACCTGATGAAACAAAAGGAGGACCGACAACAGAAGCGAGGCAACAACTCTGGGTCAGATTTGCAAGTTGCATCGAAGTCTGTATTAACATGGGAGGATCTTTGCTATGAAGTCCCAGTGCCTGGAGGTACACGACGCCTTCTGAATAGTATTTACGGGTACGTCGAGCCAGGAAAGCTTACTGCTTTGATGGGTGCAAGTGGTGCTGGTAAAACAACACTCCTTGACGTTCTTGCTTCCCGGAAAAATATTGGAGTCATTACTGGCGATGTTCTTGTTGATGGCCGCCTACGAGGCACTGCATTCCAGCGTGGCACATCGTATGCCGAGCAGCTGGACGTACACGAATCTACCCAGACTGTTCGTGAGGCACTCCGTTTCTCTGCAACACTTCGCCAGCCGTATGCGACTCCTGAGTCTGAAAAATTCGCCTATGTTGAAGAAATTATCTCACTCCTTGAGTTAGAAAACCTTGCAGATGCCATCATTGGCACCCCTGAGACTGGCCTGTCAGTTGAAGAACGAAAGCGGGTGACTATTGGTGTAGAGCTAGCAGCTAAACCACAGCTTTTGCTGTTCCTTGATGAGCCTACTTCCGGTCTTGACAGCCAGTCCGCATTCAATATTGTTCGGTTCCTTCGCAAACTCGCTGCTGCTGGGCAAGCCATCCTCTGCACCATTCACCAACCTAACTCCGCTTTGTTTGAAAACTTCGATCGTCTCCTATTGCTCCAGCGCGGGGGTGAGTGTGTTTATTTCGGTGATATTGGTAGAGATGCTAGTGATTTGATTGACTACTTTCACCGAAATGGCGCAGACTGCCCTCCTAAAGCAAATCCTGCTGAATGGATGTTGGATGCAATTGGTGCTGGTCAAGCTCCTCGCATCGGTAACCGAGACTGGGGTGATATCTGGCGCACGTCCCCTGAGCTCGCAAACGTTAAAGCCGAAATTGTTAATATGAAGTCGGATCGAATCCGGATAACTGATGGCCAAGCAGTTGATCCAGAATCGGAAAAAGAGTACGCAACCCCGTTATGGCATCAAATAAAGGTTGTGTGTCACCGCACGAACCTGTCCTTCTGGAGATCTCCCAACTACGGTTTCACCCGTCTTTACAGCCACGTTGCCGTTGCTTTGATTACTGGGTTAATGTTTTTGAATTTAAATAATTCGCGAACGTCCCTCCAGTATCGTGTCTTCGTTATCTTCCAGGTCACCGTGCTGCCAGCCTTAATTCTAGCTCAGGTAGAGCCCAAATACGATATGTCTCGACTGATTTTCTACCGAGAGTCAGCGGCAAAGGCCTATCGCCAGTTCCCATTTGCTTTGGCGATGGTGCTCGCTGAACTCCCATACAGCATCATCTGTGCGGCCTGCTTCTATCTACCACTCTATTTTATGCCTGGGCTTTCCAACGAACCAAGCCGAGCTGGATATCAGTTCCTCATGGTTCTAATTACTGAGATATTCTCTGTAACTTTAGGGCAGGTGATTTCGGCTTTAACGCCCAGCACATTTACAGCTGTTCTTCTGAATCCACCGGTTATGGTCATCTTCGTATTACTTTGCGGCGTTGCTATACCAAAGCCCCAAATTCCTAAGTTCTGGCGTGTCTGGCTTCATGAGCTGGATCCTTTTACTCGACTGGTCAGCGGCATGGTTGTGACCGAACTTCATGGACAAGAGGTCAAATGCGCAGGACTAGAGTTGAATCGCTTTACAGCGCCAGCTGGTGAAACCTGTGGCTCATATATGGAGAAATTCTTTGCCAACAACGGACCAGGTTATCTGGTCAACAATGCCACCGACATGTGCGAATACTGTGCTTATAAGGTCGGAGATGAATTCTACAGGGTGTTTGGGATGTCTTTTGACAACAGATGGAGAGATTTGGGTATTTTTGCCGCATTTATCGGATCAAATTTACTGCTTCTATTTATCGGGGTGAGCATCATATCTTCTGTTAACTATATAGAACGTTTACTAACGAAAAGTCTCCTTAGTCTCGATATCTCAATTTCAACCGCCGATAGACGGCGCCATCAATTCGTGTCCCATTTTCAAAAAGTTTTCATACATTATATGTATATACACCTTAAAAAGGCTAACGGACGGTTTAATACTTTGACCCTTTTTAACTCAAGTCCGGGTACATTAAATAATACTACTAAATAGCATCTAGAACATATGAATATTCTTTCCAGGTTTTTTCTATGACTTAAAATTAACTATTACATATACTCCATCTCCCCGATGTCAATGGCTTATATTGCAGAACAAGGACGAATAACTGAATCTACATTCTACGTTATAATTCGATGACAAAATTATAAGTACAGAGCAAGTAAATAACGAGTATATACGCCTGTAGACAGGCAGTCAATAAATATATCGAAAGCTATTATTTATACAACAAGTCAGTACTGTAAGCAACAAAAGGAAACAAGGGAATGGGGTGCAGATGGTTGTACTGGTGAAGCATACTTGAGGTTTTCTCTGTCTGTCATATCAGAGAATGCAGTAGAGTCAAGGTCCCGACCATTCAATCCACCTTCTTGTTGGGATTGTATGTGGTCACGTCGTTTATTTTCTCTCCATAAAAGGAACCCGAGAAGCGAGATGGCCGCTGCTTCAATGACGTGCGATACTATCATCGACCAGATACCAAGCGGGTATGAGGGCCTGAATGAACGTTTTAAGAATTAGTATAATATCTAGATATTATTTTAAAAGCGTAGACAGGTGGAACAGGGGTCTATACGATTGTTCTGAAATATAGAAGAATGGACCGGCGATGTTACCAGTGCAGTAGCCTAAGAATAGCACGGCGTTTGTAACCACCTTCTTTGTGTGTCCTTTGTGGATTATCTGAAGTTAGTAAAGGAAATACTGGAGAGGAAATGTAGATGCCTCACCAGCTATATTAGCAATTTGCATGCTGAGTATTAGGACGAAAGCAGCATTGTACGGTCCAGTCAAATAGTAACAAATAAGCCGTCCAGCCTTTTGGTCATGGGTAAGAAACCGGAGTCCGAATGCGCCTGTTATATTTGGTAAAAGAAATAAAATAATAAAGAGACATCGCCGGTTCTCAAACTTATTATTGAGGTATACACAGAGTAAGATAGACACTGCAATGATAATTCCGTATGGTATCTAGGTAGGATTGATTTGCTAAGTTCGAATATAACCAGTACCCTTGCATCGAGTAGAGGGATCTCACCTGCATTAAGGTAGTGACAAGTGTGGAAAACCCGAACCCCTGAATGATTATAGTTCCAAAATTTGAAATACCTCCATTAGGAATATTGCACCTGCAAAGCAGTTATTGAATGTTAGAGTAAGTTACTACAAGAAGGGGCTAAAAGAAATCCACTTACGCCACTCCAAGCAAGAAAAACAGATAAAGCTTGTAGTCCAGGAATGCCTCCTTAATTTGATATGGCTTAAGCTTTTTGTTTTCAATCCCCGTTTGGTTTGATCGAATGCGCTCGACAGCCCTGCGGCGGTCCCTTTCGCTGAAAAATGGGGCTGTCACTGGGGAATCAGGAAGAAAGAGGAAGATAACAATACCCCAAACGCAACACAATGCACCACTGAAGTAGGGGTTTTAGTAACATATTGCAAATAATAAGGCTAGAAACAAATGGCAGATTTGACTTACATGATGATAAACTCATATTTCCAAGATGGCAAGGCTCCTTTAATACTTCCGATTCCGTATCCAAGGAGGCCACCTATGGCTATACCAAATCCATTCGCGGTATACCACAAGCCTATCCGTACAGGTTGTTCCTTTCGAGTATACCACATACTTGTGACGAGGAGAAACCCGGGGTCGGAACACGCCTCCGCTGCACCGGCGAGAGTACGGAGAACTGCAAGTGTAGTGAAATTCTTGCAGGCTGCTTGGAGCATTAGGAAGAAGCCCCTATATATGACACAGGTTAGTATTCCATTATAATGCAAATATTAATGGAGATAAAGGTAGAACTGACCACAGAAAGATGTTCACTCCCAGATATTTGCCTATTGGCATTGAAATACGTCAATTCTAGTCAAAATAGGGAATAGAGAACTAAAAGTTAAACGCATACCAACTGGATATCTCTGCAGCATGAAATTGGTTGGAAGCGCCCATATCAAAAATCCAAAATAAAAGAGGCTGCTGAGCCAACTGTATTGGGTCCCTTTGAGATTCAAATCTTCTCGAATTCCAAAGATTGCTGCATAGCTCAAAGTCGTCTAAGAGTCGCCGAAATAAGATCAGTTCAATATAGCCCGATAAATGGAAGACATATTGTGTCCTTATCTGTCCCCGAATCTACTCACCTTGTCAATATAGAAGAACGCGTAGCAAACAGCGAGATAAGGGAGAATCATCAAGTCAATTTTCCATAGTAGCTTTCGTGCCTCTTTCGGGTCAACGTATTCGTAAATTTCGTCTGGATTTGTGAATAGAGACATGGCAGTATCGCCGCCCCCAGACTTGGAGATTTTCCATTTCGACTGAGGCACCTCTACTGGTCTGGCACTCTCTATCTCCGAGGTCCACGCCACATTCCCATCTCCTCGTTCGGCCTTCATGATGAGGTTATCTGCTTTTGCTGGCTGTCAATTGAGGCTCAGCTTTAGGAAAAGAATTAGGTATATTTACAATGTAACGGTCACGGTCGAGCTGAAAGTTTTGGTCAATCTCAGATTGTGTAACAATTGTGATCGGTGCAGCCTTTATTCAAAAAAAATAATTCCATTGGTGTCTTTGACTGTCGCCCACGGAAGCACTCGGAGCAGAGTGGTTATTGAGTGATATCAGATATTTGATTAACTGCATGCCGACGCTCCCGGACCCTCACAGGTAGTAGCTGTCCACCTCACCAACAGGGTTCTCCAGCAAGCCTAGGGTAACTGTTTAGTTGGGCTCCGGTAAAATGGCCGAGGTGGATGTGCTTCTCGGGGTAACTAGAACAAAGGGCTAGCAGTGACCTGCGGTTGATGGCATCGGCGAAGTCTCGCCAATATGCTGGCCACAGACTTTGGGCCTCATCCCAGGCAAGGTGGGAGCGGAGATGACGCCGGCCTGAAGCTGTTATATCAAGCTAAGGTTGCAGTTTAGCTGGTGCTCATCACTAATCTTAGGCATCGGTGATAAAATATAATGTCCCTTTCTGGGGTTGGAGAATGAAATGGGCGAGGGTGATGATGATGCCATTGGAGATGAAGTGGCTGGCATCTTCTGAAACTATCACCAGCTGAGAGTCTGAAGCAATGTATGGAGCGTCCTTAGAAGATATGAAGTATTTGAATATGTACGAATTGGTAACAGTTCATAGACTAAAGATTGTTGGTCGTTAGTTCTTCGTTTCGGCTGGAGTTGGAGTTTCTTGTTTCAAAGTTTGGCGTCTGGCGGTTGCGGCTGACGGAGCATTTCCGTGTGGTAACCAGACGAGGAATCAACTATACAAGCAAGTGATGGTCTTGACATCGTCATGGATCACGGGTAGAGACTAACGAGGAATGCTGCCAGACGATCATGAGCATAGACAAGAGAAGGTTGATTGGCGAACAAAAAAGATATATATATTTCTACCGTAAATGACAAAGGCCTTATCTGGAACGGGCAGGCATCTAAAGGAGAATGTACAAGTCCAAATAACAGGATTAAATTTCGTAAAACATAAAGAAAAAGCAATGAGAGAATGTAGTTATAGCTGTGCTACCAGGAAAGAACACGGGTATCGAAACATTGGAAAACATTACTCTCCTTCCTCCTTGATATCATGTTGCCCAACTATGGTCAAGAACACCTGGTCAAGAGTAGTTTGGCTGACAGAATAATAAGCGAACCCTAGTCTCTCCTTGTTCTGCTCGAGAAGCGAGAATAGCTTGCTGGTGCTGACCTTGCCACTATCATGGTATTCATTGCTTCGTCCGGATACTGGAGAGTCCGCGTAGATATAGTCGTCCTCGCCCGGTTGGTGCGTTGGTGAATCGGATGTACCGTTGCTCGAAAGGGATGATGAGTTACTAAGGCTGAATCGCAGCTGTCCATGATACGTCTTTCGCTCGACGGAAGCACCGGGAAGTGTGTTGACAACCCAAGAACGGATTTCTTCCATGTCTGCTATGGTGGTATGTGGTGCGTTCTTATGGACGATATGGACGTGATAGGCGTTACCATGGCGGCGGCGTAGGTCGTCGGTAGTGCCGATGGCAAGCATTCGTTTAGCCATGATACCGGCACGGGAAGCGAGTGCATCGGCTTCTTCCATTGAATGTGTCGTTAGGACTAACGATCGGCCTGGGACAACAGACTCTAGGGTGCGCCACATAACTCGCTTCGAAGCAGCGTCCATTCCAGATGACGGTTCATCTAACAGTAGAACTGTCGGGTTTCCCATCAAGGCGATTCCAAGAGACAGCTTCCTCTTGTTTCCACCAGAAAGTTGCATGGCCATTCTGTTTCCATACGGCGTCAGGCCAACGGCTCGAATGACTTCACGTACATTGTGCTCGACATCTGGTATTCCTCGAATGCGTGCGTAGAATCGCAGATGTTCCAATACGGTCAGTTGATCTATGGCATCGAACTGTGGGCAAACTCCCATATGGGACCGAGCAGCTGCTCGCTGTGTAGTGACGGGTATATTTTCTATAAATATCTCACCATTGCTGTTGGAGGGCTGAATGTCTCCTCGAATCAGGCTGATGGTAGTGGATTTTCCAGCTCCATTGGGGCCTAGGAGTGCGAATACTTCACCACGGGGTACTCCAAAAGTAACATCTTCGACTGCCGTGAATTTTCCAAATGACTTGGTCAAATTGACGGCACGAAGGCCATCATTGGAACTCGACACACGCTGAAGTTCATGTCCAAGGTTCGGGTCGCCGTTAACCTCTTTCTCTCCATCGGATTGCTTCTTCTTGGTGAAGCGTCGGAAGGATAGGCCCGAATCCCAAAACAAAAGCAAGCCGAATAATACTAGGGCCTGCAAGATGAGGTAGAGAATAGGACCGCCGTATGCGGTAATATCTCCGGGGTAACTGACTATCTCCTTATCTCGACAGATTGTTGAGAAGACGTTTAGGGCAACGAAGAGGGCACGGATTACGTTGCCAATGGGAGAGATGACGGCAATGGCGAAGTGAACAACCAGTAGGAGGTTTTGTACCTGGTCTGTTGGGGCATAGGTGACGACAGACATGTATGCAATCAGATAAACAAGGAATAGAACCCTAAACGGCTGTTAGTAATGCATTGCACTTAAACATAAGAGTAGAATTACTCACGCTTGACCTCCAGCAGCAAAGGCAAAAGCAGCAAGCTGAGATGCAGCAAACACCGAAATGATATAAGCGAACAATGTCGAGGTGATGGCGTAAAGGAAGAAGACGACAAAGAGATACTCTAGATGGTACCAGCTAGATGAAACGGCTCTGAAGATTATCACCATTATAACAGTCGATGTGAGGGCGATACCGAAATCAAACGAAAGATAGGACAGCCATAACGGAAGACTTCTGACTCCGTTGCTGTAGTGTAGATCTCTGACATGTCGAAGTTTCTCGATAGTAAGGTAAAGAGAGAAGAAGGCTGGGTAAGCGGATAAAGCCAGACCCAAATAGATAACTAGTTGGAGTGTGCTCGACGCTGATGATATCCATGGAACCTCAAGGATCTGGTACTGGGTAGAGATGGAAACATTGTTCAAAAGATTGTTCATCTGATTCTGCAGAATCGAGGCCAGGGCAGGGCCGGTATTGCCTTTCCATGCGAATGTTGGCGGCGAAGTGTCATCTCCAAGATAAAACCCACCGGGAGTAACATTCCGGAAGTTTGTGGCAATGTAATCATTGAACTCCTGAAGGGAGTTCACGATGTGAGTGCCATCTCGCAAAGCATCCGTAACATTCGCTGGTAGCGAACCGCCTGCAGCTCCTCCCAGTCCTCCACCAAGAGATAGTAGACTGCCTGCCGAAAGTTTGCTGCTTGGCCCAAGCACCAATTTCAGCTTAACTTGGTTCAAGATGGAGTTGACGTTTGATTGAGAGAATGCAGCGGGTCCTGTACAGGCTGGAAGTTCATAATCCTTCATTAGGAGAGATACCAACCCAGCTGCGATAATTGGGAGCAAGAACGCAGCGATGGTAGGGAGGTAATTCCGACGAAGGATGGTAGTTCGCTTGCATAGGAGGACCCAGGCTTGTTGGGCCATCCCGATGCGGCGACCGGTAAGAAGATGTGGCGTCTGGTCAGAGGCCTTGCCAGTCTTTCCGTCATCTTCCCAGTTTTCGGCTTCCTTATAGATTTCCTCGGCGACCTTTAGGAAGACGTCCTCGATAGTTGGGCCACTGACACGGTACTCGGTGATTCCATTTTCTTCCAGGAGGCTAACGAACCTAGCCGCCTGCGAGGAATCGGCGACGGTATAGATAACCTGGTCATGTAGAATTTCAGTCCGCAATGTCTCTGGCAAGTGTAGCTTTTCAGATATATGTCCCTGGTATACATAAATCCTATAGCCGGATCCAAGCTTATGCTTAAGCTCAACACTAGAACCTTCAGCCTTGAGGACACCCTTTGACAAGATGGCAATGCTGTCCGCAATCACGTCAGCTTCGTCAAGGAAGTGCGTCGTCAACAAGATAGTTCGTTTTCCTCGTTCCGCTAGGAGAATATCCCAGATCTTTCGTCGGGAGATAGGGTCTAGGCCAGACGAAACCTCATCAACGCAGCATACGGAAGATCCACCAGTAAACATCATAGCCAACTGTAACTTTCTCTTCTGTCCACCAGACAGAGTTCCGGCGCGAGAATTCAGTTTCTTGTCAAGGTCACATGCTGCTACAAGTTCCGCAATGTCCGCCTTGCTATCTGGCTTGCCGAGAGTCTTCAGACCATTAAAGATTGAAATGTGCTCTTGAACGGTAAGCTTATCCCAGATCACATTCTTCTGCGGACACATGCCAAAACCGCCGGCATTTTCAGGGTATGCCACGGACACCTCGCCGGATGTGGTCTTCGAAACTCCTGATATGGCGTCGAGGGTGGTTGACTTTCCACTGCCGTTCGCTCCGAGAAGGACCATGATTTCACCCTTGTTAACATGAAGATTGAGGTTATCAACGGCCAAAACGGTTTCACGTCGGCTTCCAAATATCGGAGCGATGGTTCTATGGAACCAGCTTGGTTTGTACTCTTTTGTAAAGCCGCTAAGAGAGACGGCATATGGTGCTAAATCCGACCTTATGCTCTTCCTGCATCTAGAGCCGGTTCCATGGAGCAAACGTTCGACAACAGCAGCAAGGATGGGGAAGATTATGATATGGATGATAGCGAATATCCAAAATACAATACCAGGGATACTCCAAGGGCTTTCGGGGGCGCTTTTCACGAGATTGGTCGCTTGATCCTGTCTTTCCCATCTCGCCATGAAGACGACGAAGTGAATAAAGTTCATGGGTGGGAAAAGGAGGGACAAAATAGCAACAGCAGCAGAACTGGAGGGGTGGACGACTTGAGCAACAATACCAAGGCCCAAGGAGGTGATGACGACTGTAATTCCGCTCAACTGTGCCTTTTTAAAGAAAGATGCTCCGAACAATGCAAACGAGGCCAAGGACAGGCCAGCCAGGAGTTGGAAAATGATCTGGATGCCAACGGAGGATTTCGTAAATACAACAGCTTTTAGTATTATAGCCATTGCTATCCAGCCCGGAAGGTAGATAAGGTCAAGCGCGAGGTGAACAGAAAGGAAGCGTGCAGCTTGAGATTTCCAGGGGCTCGTAGTTGGGATCATGCAGTCAATAAGCTGGGAGAGACCCAACTCTCGCTCAGTTGCAACGAGACCGGTTAACTGATAGGTAATACCGATGCTGCCCACGAGGAATGCGATGGCTAGAATACTGATGATGGTGCCAGTATATCTAATACGGTTGTCCTTGATACGTTCCTCTTCGGACTTTGATGTATATGGATATTGAAAGACCTGTAGGGATATTGTATTGATGTTAGATATGATAAAGCGTTCAGCCCTAGACCATCCATGAAACTGACCTGTTTGTTAACTGGCCCATGTGTCCCATTGACAGAAGCAATAGCCCAATCAATTTCATGTTGGAAAGGGAGAATATATGTCTGGGCATCGTTGGTAGTCGATTTGACATCGATGTTCTTTCCGAGAGCCCCGTCTGCCTTGATAGTGTAGTTCCATCTGCCGCCATTTCCCTCCTTCGGGGAAGAAGCAAAGACAGCTACAGCTACACAGGAACTCGTCCCCAAAATGGAGCTTTTGCATATATCCTGGACTTCATTGACCGATGACAAGACAGTGACAGTTTTTCCGCTCGCACGCACGGGTGTAGACACCCGGTCGATGACCCGCGCAATATCACCATGTTCGAAGCCATTATTGACAAAGACAACATTTGTCCGTGAAGAGGACACTGCCTTCAGGGCCTCACCAAAGGGTAAAATGGGAGTAGATGGTGCAATTCCATATTTCGACGGGACGACGAATAAGTTACGAGCGAACGATCTGGGCAGACGAGTAAGTTGATATGTTGAGATTTCTAGACAGAAGTACTCACAAGAAAGCAATAAGAATAACCGGAAGCACGAAGGCTCGCAGTGGCGTTGTAATATATGGTCGAACCAGCGCAAGCAGGAAGTTCTTTTTGACCAGCGACCAGACCTGCCTGGTGAACGCCATCGTTATGGCAGGCCCTCTTTTTTTTTTTTTTTCACTCCAGTCTTCGGGATATCAAGAAGGTAAATGATATTAACATTCGACACAGCGTATCATCGTAGATGCACGAAAAGTATGTGTAGCGATGCTATGGATGATAACGGGTATAAAGTAGCATATATACAGCGGCTATGGCTGTCTTGCTTGAGATATCAGGTTGAAAAAGAAAAAGCGCCGATGACGCGCGGAGAGCGTGGCGGATGTTCCAGGGCAAAGAGCAGGCCAAGACTCAAGACTCGAGCATTAATTCATTTCCAGGTGAAAGAGGCACAAAAGACAGAAGTATCTTCTGCGGCGGAGTTCTTATACGAGTGACTTTGCCGTACGAGAAAGGCTGCATTGATGGAGTTCCGGATGGTTATCGAGCCGAAGCAGGGCCAAGGTGGGCCAGGCGTTGGCGTTCTTTTTCGACGCTGGCTGGCAGCGAGATATCTCATATAAGACAGCATACAGAGCATGCATGGGAGTTTGTCCCCTTGGGCTTAATCAAAATCCTTCGTCTGAAGGAGACTTGCATGCTGGCAAGTGATTTGATGTGATCCTCCGGCCGTTTGTTGCCGTGGGTGAAGCAGCCATCACGACGGGCGCGTAGTGACACCGGCAATGCAAACGAGCAGAATGCGGCGATATAGATAGCACCAAGTCGTCGTCAGCAAGGACGGCCTGTCTGATGAAGAAGCGGCTTCTCCAGGGTTGATCGTGCCTTTGTCCTCGTCTCGTCTTGCGTGTCTGTTGGTGTTGGTGTTGGGTCGTGCTCTCTCCGCGCAGACGCCTCCTTTCGTCCGTAAGACCGCAGACTTCCTAGTTAACGGCCTTAACCTAGAGCTAAAGGAAAGCCTGGCCTGCGACGGTGATGATGATGACGATAGGTCGGTCTCAAGCACCGATAGATGAGTCTGCCCAAGGTCAAAAAAGAGCTGTATGACTCGCTGTCAGGCACCGACGACGAGTTTCTTTGTTTCGCTCAGAAGCGAGCTGGCGGTCCGTCTGCTGTTGGTATAACTAGTTGACTATATACGACCGCTGGCCGGATAGCGATGGAAAGATGACGCACTCGATGCCATAGAAAAGCCCTGGAGTCGTCTGCCTTGGGAAGGGCGTACGTGTACAGAGTACGCAGCAGGTGGCAGGAGATGCTCGATCCGCCCTTGTTGCGCGTCGCTGACCGGCCAGCACGAACATTTAACCATCTCCTCTGGTCTCAGTAACTACGGTGTACAACAAAAAATGAAGACCAGGCGTTGTCTCTCTGATGATGATTACTCCGTATATCAATGGCGACGGCATCATAATCCGACCAAAAGAAAGAACATAGATATAAAGGGCTACTACTGAGTACTCCGTACTACTACTGAAGACTACTGTTTTCGACGGCTATCAGCCAATATTCTCAACTGAAGCTCTGGCGGTGACACAATCGAGCCAGAGGCTGCAAGCCACCAGACAGTCAGTCTCATGGAAGGACGCTGTTTATCTCCCTTCGCGGCGGCCACATGAACTTGAGGGTACGAGACGAGCCTCCATAGGCGAAGGCTAATGATGCCGTTTGTCTCCTGGTCATGAGCATATGACCTGGCTATGGGAGGTGCGCACAGCGATCGATCGATCGAGATGGCATCAAAGACCTCGTTCAAGGTTTCCTGCAGTGTCTCACAGCGAGCTCTGAATCTGGGGAAGGCTGGGGCAGGTGAGAGAGACCAGGCCCGGGATTTACCATTTGGCTATTCAGGGGCTTGCTGATACAGCCAATCAGCCCCTAACCGCCTCCCAGAAAGGCGCCTTTTATGGGTTTCCTCGGTGACAGGGAGAGCAGTCATAGGCAGCGCCACAGGTTTAGCTCGCTCGGCTGCTCCCCAATTTTGAGTCCCTCGTGCATAAATGTTACTCTTAAAACACTTGGAGTTCCGTCATCGAAGCTACTCTGCACATAGCTGGCCTTTTTCGTCATCAACTCAACCTTTTGCTATTAAGAGCCAGCCTCTTCCACCTTGAACGACTAGAGACCTCCAGATCATTAACATTTGACATAATCGGTATAAACGTGTGCATAAGTCGGCACGATGACGAAGAAAGTCCCCTCAATCGCTTCCTTCGGCTCTTCCAGCGAGTACCTCTCTCAGTCTCAAGCCAGCTTCCAGTACCGTCCACGACCCCAAGAGGACTCTAGCTACCATGAGCACACTGAATTCAACCCAGGAGCCTATACCAAGCCCTTCTGCGAATTCATGACCAAAAACCCAACCATCTTCCACGCTGTCAACGGTTTCGCTGAGAAGCTCGAGGCCAAGGGCTACATCAAGCTCACCGAGCGTGAGACCTGGTGTCTCGCTCGCGGGAAGAAGTACTATGTCACCCGAAATGACAGTGCTATCATCTCCTTTGCTGTCGGCAAGAACTACACCCCCGGCAACGGCATGGCTATCGTTGGTGGTCACGTCGACGCCCTGTGCACGAAGCTGAAGCCGCTCCCAACAGTGCCCAACAAGGCCGGATATGTCCAGCTTGGAGTCGCTCCTTATGCAGGTGCCATGAACTCAACCTGGTGGGATCGTGATCTCGGTATCGGAGGTCGAGTTTTGGTTCGTGATCCCAAGACTAATAAGGTCGAGAAGAAACTTGTCAAGCTGGACTGGCCAATTGCTCGTATTCCCACTTTGGCTCCTCACTTCGGCGCTGCTGCCGTTGGGCCATTCAACAAGGAGACCCAAATGACTCCTATTATCGGAGTTGACAACTCAGACCTGTTCAAGGGCCCCGAGCTATCGACCACGGACTCACACGGTGGAGATCTAGGCACCGACAACTTCACATCGACCCAGCCCCAGGGCCTTGTCAACGCCATTGCCAAACAGCTTGACATAGATCACAACACCATCATCAACTGGGAGCTAGAGCTTTTCGATATCCAGCCTGCACAACTCGGCGGTCTCAACAAGGATCTTATCTTTGCTGGCCGTATCGACGACAAGCTATGCTGCTACAGTGCCCATGAAGCAGTCCTTGCTTCCCCCGACCACATGTCCTCAGGCATTATCAAGATGGTTGGCATGTTCGACGATGAGGAAATCGGCAGCTTGCTTCGCGGCGGAGCAAACTCCAACTTCATGAGCAGCGTCATGGAGCGAATCACTCAATCCCTATGTCGCGAAAGCTATGGACCCAACATCCTCTCTCAAACCGTTGCAAACAGTTTCTTCGTATCGTCCGACGTCACTCACGCTGTCAACCCCAACTTCCTCAACGCTTACCTCGAGAACCACTCCCCCCGTCTGAATTACGGTGTTGCCGTTTCTGCCGATCCAAACGGCCATATGACCACCGAGGGCGTCAGCACCGCACTCTTCCAGCGTCTTGCTGTCAAGGGCGGTTGCAAGCTCCAAGTTTTTCAGATTAGAAACGATAGCCGCAGCGGTGGTACCATTGGACCCATGACAAGTGCTAGAATCGGTATGAGAGCTATTGATGTTGGAATTCCGCAGTTGAGCATGCACAGTATCCGTGCCACTACTGGCAGCCTCGACCCTGGTCTCGGTGTGCAAATGTTCAAGGCATTCTTTGACCATTTCGAGGAAGTCGACAAGGAATTCGCAGACTTCTAAATTTCTTGCCATGTTGTAAGGGGCGATTATACTTGTGGATTTGGCTTCCTTTGATTTCGGTCATATCTCTACCTACATGTTCTTGATCTCCTGAACTTGGTTTCGGCCTACCTAGAATAGGATACTATATGTTTGCAAATGTAGCATAGCTATAGATACTGAATGAAATATGCATACTCATAAACTCGGGGTCCATGGTCGGTCTCAGTATCGTTTTCGTAGAGCGGTGACTCGCCCAAACGGGAAGTAGTAGGGTGCTGCTGATAAGATAAGCTTAACGCACAGACCCACTTTTATCTCGAAATTCCTTATCAAAGATTTTTTGTGGCATATCATATCATGCAATATTTATTGTCTGTCGCCTTTCAATAACATCAGTAAAACAGATAACTTGCTGGAAAGGAATAATCATGTCTGAAAAAACTGATACCAACGAGCCTGAAAAGCCTGTTCACACTATAATTCTCGATGCCGGGCCACTGATCAAGAACGTCCCCTCAGTGTCAACCCTCCTGTCACAGTCGCATACTCTCCTCACCACACCATCAGTAGTTTCGGAAATCCGGGACCCTGAAGCCCGTCGCCGAATAGAAACCCTTTACCTCCCCTTCCTAACTCAGCGGGCTCCGAAGCCTGCCAGTCTCCGAGTTGTGTCTGAATTTGCTAAGAAAACCGGTGACAGAGAGGTTCTGAGCAAGAATGATTTGGAAATCTTAGCGCTGGCTTATGAGATCGAGTGTGAGAGGAACTGCGGTGACTGGAGATTGAGACGGGAGCCTGGACAGAAGGGTATTAATGGATCACCTCCGGCGCATTTAACGGCAGCAAGGGACGCTACGAAGGATGTTGATGAGAAGAAGCCGGAAGGTCAAGAGGGGAAGCAGGAGGGGTCAGATGAGAAACAGGAAGAGACGACAGGCACGATAGTAGAGGAGCAGCCAGATACCGTGGTGGAAGAAGTTACCCAGAAGATTGAAGATGTGGCGATTGAACAGAACCCTGAAACTGCCCTGGAAGAACCAACCTCTGAACCGACAGACCTTCCGAACAAGGATGCAGAAGAACCCGACAACGACGGCTGCGAAATTAACGATGACGACGAAGAGCAGCACTCTGTTTCAATAGATGAATCAGACTCTGACCCCGATGGCTGGATAACTCCATCCAACCTGAAGAAACGACAGATTCGCGATGCTGCGCTTGGTACGGCCGCACCAGAGACGAAAGTTATGCAGGTTGCTACTATCACAGGAGATTTTGCAATGCAGAACGTTCTTCTACAAATGAACCTCAATATTCTTTCGCCTAGCAACATGCAACAGATCCGTCAGTTAAAATCCTACGTCCTGCGATGCCACGGTTGCTTCTCTGTGTCAAGGGATATGTCCAAGCAGTTCTGTCCCCGCTGTGGACAAGCCACCCTTAACCGAGTCTCCTGTTCGACATCTGGCAAGGGAGAGTTTAGAATACATTTAAAGAAGAATATGCAATGGAACAATCGAGGGAACAAGTACAGCATTCCAAAACCTATTGCCGGCACTGCCAATACAAAGTGGAGTGGCGTTGGTGGTGGAAAAGGCGGATGGGGTACGGGATTGATATTGGCCGAGGATCAAAAGGAGCATGTCAGAGCTGTTACTGAGGAGGAGAGACGGAAGAAGAAGGGAAGAGATCTTATGGATGATGATTTTCTGCCTTCTATTCTAAGCGGGGAGAGACAGAGGGCAGGTGGGAGAGTTAAAGTTGGAGCTGGCCGCAATGTCAATTCGAGGAAACGGAGATAGGTATGGATTTCAGCAGCTTTACAGCTTTAATTATGATGATTTACGCATAAGGATATGATTTATAGACGCAACAAAAGTTATGCTGCATTCGAGACATATTTCAATTCACCTTACATCATGAGAAATATCATGAGAATCCGTAAACTTATATCTGACTTATATTTTGATAATAACCGTGGGACTTCAAGAAAGATCTTCAAATTCTCGAATACAGCCTCTCAATGGTCTATATCCTACGGGATGCTTTTGTATTCCTGACATGCCAAATCCGCTATAAATCCCACAAATGTCAAAACGCCGTGCGCCTCCGTTTAGAAGTCAACAATTTCAAGATTTCGATTCTAGCACAGAACGTGAATAGTTAGCGGATCGTTCAATGGCATAGAAATAGCAGCTTAAATTCATTGCGCAGTATTCACATACCAGCTTGCTGGGTTAGAAGTAGCCCATAGCGCTTCTTCAAGGTAACTCTTTGTCTGTAAATAGATTGAAATTAGTACTATGCGCAAAGGTCGAGCAGTAAACTCACCATCCATAACCATGCGACTTACCTCGAGTACTTGTCATCGGGAGAGAATCTGGCAGGGTGGGCGGATTTGGTGACCTGGCCGTTGAGGACTTTCTTAAGGGTATAGACTCGCTTGCCCTCAGAGTCGAGTGTGTACATCAAATGCATGCTATATAGCTCGTCAGAAGGCGCAAACATAATGGTATAAGGTATATCTAACAGCACTTACATTGCGACGTGTTCTAGTTTAGTCTCTTAACGAATATAAGTGTCTCTGAACCAGCAAGTTGATGGTGAAGCTCGTCCACACTAAGATTTAAAAAAATATTTCGAGGTCGCAGAAACCTTGGAGAAAACTTTTGCCGCGCCGCGCACACTAGTTAAATAAAACCCGAGGACAAAAAGCTTCAACCTTTTTCTTCAACTACAACAAACAGAAGAAAAACAACACACTTTCATTCCCTTGACTTGTGAGAAGGGAATAAGTCCTCGATACGAGGAAGCAGCGTATCTAACTGTTGCTAGCCCTGGTGTTAGAATTTCTTTGAGCTGAAGAACAACATTATAGGAGTGAGGTGATAACGAAATGACCATTTCTAGTCATTGCTGTGAGTATGCTCTTCTTCTACCTTAAATCCTTAATGAACCAGGAGAATTGCGGCGTGCGACGATGATTACACTATATTCGCTACCTAGACCATCAGCACTGATTTCTAGCTGTTGTCGATGATGGTGCTTTTGTACTACAACGGTATCTGAGTCACACGCTGCAATTTAACGCCCTCGGAATCTCCCTATTGCATCTGTCATTGCTGGTCATTATGCTAACGACCCGATGTAAAGAACACATAGGTATACAACATAGCGGGTGTCATGGCATCTTCTACCCCGGAACTGAAGCCTGCTCAACCAGAGAAGGCGGTTCCGCGCAATGGAGCAGCCAAAGGCCGGCCTCGGCGGCCCAATTATAAGCACATTCACCGGTTTCCTCTACCTATAACTATTCACCCATTGCCCCCTTTAATACCGCACAACCCCCTCTCACTTCTCAGTATTGCTCTCTCATATCTCACTTTCTATATATCTCCGCCTCATCCAATAACATGTTCTGCTTATTTTGACGCTTTCACATCTTCCATCCAAGTTACAGACCCCAAGACCATCCGTGTATTATGGGAGATGGGTTTCTTCGGTAAAGGTAGCCTAAGTAGAAGCGAGCCATCGTGGCTAGAAAGAGAAAAAAAGAGAAGAGGGCTTATCGGTCAAAGCACAAGCGAAGAAGCAACGGGGATGAGGCGAGTAGAAAGACGAGAATTCAAGCTGGAGAGAGCAAGGAGGGAGAAAGAGGCCATTGCCGAACAGCTCAGAGTCGAGGGAAAGCTTCCTGATGGGCCGGCATCAGATAAAAGCGTTTTGGCTCTAGATGATGAAGCTACTTCGGAAAAGAAGACTGCTGAATGCAGTGCGTCCGCACCAAACGATGAACCTGCTGGCAAGACAGTCACCAGCCGCATCAAGTCTGTTCGTTTCTCACCCACTGTGGGAGTGGCAGATATAAACGATAACGTTGAAGTAGAAGATGAAGAGCACCTTCAGCTCTCTAGTGAAGATGCGTTCTTCCTTTCATATGGCCTTGGAGTTCTCGAGGTATATGATGATACCCGAAGCACAATTCTCCAACCTCAATCACTCCTTGCTTTGCTCCGTCAGCACTCATACTTCCCACCTCGTGATCCCTCTGCAGTGCCAGAACCGGACGACCGATTCATGATTTCATATGTTGCATATCACCACTTCCGCTCCCTCGGCTGGGTTGTTCGATCCGGAGTCAAGTTCGGTGTCGATTTGCTCCTCTATAACAAAGGCCCAGTCTTTTCACATGCTGAATTTGCTGTCAACCTTCTCCCGTCCTACAGCCATCCGTACTGGAAAGAGACTGAAGAGAGACGAAAGTATGTGGCCGCAAAGTTGAACCATACGTGGTGGTGGCTTCACTGCGTAAATCGAGTGCAGGCCCAGGTTAAGAAAAGCTTTGTTATGTGCTTCGTGGAGATCCCGCCACCTTCAGCAGACGATAAATCTGGTGAACAGGATATTGGAGAGCTCTTGAAGAGCTATCAGGTCCGGGAATTGGCCATCAAGCGATGGGTGCCAAACCGGAGTCGTGATTGATTGTATTGATATATTTAATGTATTCTGTTCTGTGCCCTTGTTGCATAAACCACAAGCAGCATTTAGTAGAAATATAAATAATTCATCTTCAAAGCTAGAAACATAACTATACACGATATGTGTCGGCCATTCAAATGCTCAGTAGCTGATATCTTCTCCCCTGTTCCCAAAGTAGTTATATTAGATAAGTCAGCGTCGCGCGTCGCGTAGTAAAAAAAAAAAAAGAGGCATCCTTGCAAGCAACCGCGAAACCTCGAGAATATCGTAGCTAAATCTGCGACCCTATGGGAGGGTGGTAGGGATGAGTAATGTAACTGTTTGACATTACTTTTGTATGTATGCTAGTATGGCCTTCGCACAATCCTGGGCGCTTAACTTCCCCATAGGTGGTATAAATATAGCAACGATTCAACCTATATCAGCAAAGATATCTCCATTCCCCTCTGCTCTTCTGCCATGCTGAGACCAACACGTCCTAAAATATAATAATATATACGGACTACGGAGTATATATATATTCACTACGATAACACTGCGTATTTGGTTTTGATTCCTAATATGTCAGGTATATATTCTACGTTGTCCCACTTAGTAACAAGCTGTACCAATTTTCTCTCTAACAATCAGCTCAATCTCCAGGTCGACTTCTCCCGGTCCGACGCCGTCATGTTGCAGCATTACTTGCTTGTCTCGGCGCAATGGTAGTCGGTAAGCTCACTCCGTTGCGATATCCTTCATCCGAGCTGCGTTGACATGTTTTCCTGCTTCAAAAAGCCCTCTTCGCGAATCGTGGCACGGAAGTCCCCTCTGTTCAGGAATATTACGGCAGTCTCGAGTCTCGCATAGGATACTGGCTCTTCTTGGGAAACACTCGCCATTGTGGCCTGTATGAAAAAGGGACGATATGGCCATTCCCTCTCAGCGCGGCGCAAAGGAGGATGGAGGAGAAGGTATACAACAAGCTGGGCTTGAAGCCAGGGGCTCGTGTTCTTGACGCAGGGGCAGGATCGGCATACGTTGCTATGTATATGGCTAGAAAAGGGCTCATCGTCGACGCAATTGACATTACACCTTTTCATGTTGAGGATGCCAAACAAAATGTCAAAGCCCATGGCCTCCAGGACAAGGTAACCGTTTCGTTCGATGACTACCACAACCTAACCCAATTTGCCGATAACTCTTTCGACGGTGTTTATACCATGGAGACATTTGTACATGCCGATGACAGTATGCGTGTGTTGCAGAACTTTTATAGAATACTGAAACCGGGTGGTGTCTTGGTTCACCATGAGAATGATATCATACATGATTTGGAGGGTGTACGGGAAACATCCAGGCTCTGGCATACCCCAAACACCCTCCCGCGAGGGGAATTATCTCAATCGTTGGAAACGGCCGGCTTCAAGAATGTGGAGCTAGAAGACCTCACTGACGAAATATTACCTATGTGGAGGTTTTTAGGATTTATGGGGTATTTGCCATACCAGGTTTTCCGACTACTTGGTATTAAGGAGCGCTTTACGAACACCCTGATCGGCGTTGAGCGGTATCTGGGCTGGGGCGAGATCGGATATATATCTGTTAAGGGAGTCAAGCCTTGAGTGGATTATACATCAACTTTGGGCAATATTGTATCCGATAAAGAGCGCGTGTCGCGGAGAAAGCAACCTTTGGGAGTCTCTAATCTGGGATTTTCCAAGCTAGATTCTTGCCTACGAGCCACGAAAACCAAGGGACGATGAGAAACGAGGGGATGTCTATTCACGCCTATATATTTAATAGTTGTATATACACATATCGGGATACTATAGGGCATGTACATTCGACTTTGATAAGACTCTATTTTAGATAATTTGTTAATATTTAATAGTAGCCATGTCGAACATAAAGTCCTCGGGAACTCGGAGATCAGATACTACCCACGATGGTCAGGATGGTTCTTACACAAGTAAGATCAGAGTCGTGATTGATTGTATTGATATAATATATTCTGTACCCTTGTTATATAAACTGCAAGCAGCCTCTAGTAGAAATATAAATAATTCATATCTAAAGCTAGAAATATAACTATGATGCACCATATATGTTAGCCATTCAAATGCTCAGTAGCTATGATGTCTTCCCCTGTTCCCAAAGCAGTTATATTGGATAAGTCAGCGTCGCGCGTTTCGTCGCGTAGTAAAAAAAAAAAAGGCATCCTTGCAAGGAACCGCGAAACCCTAGAATATCGTAGCTAAATCTGCAACTCCGGAGAACCACATACGCAACGGCCTGTCTGATCGTCTGTCATTCCTCAATTATGTGTCTGCAATGGAAACTCAGGAAGACAGCCTCGACTTGACCTACCTGAAAAGTGCAGCCTTAGGCATCAATGTGAGTGAGCGCTGTGGGCACATCCCTGTCTTCTTCCTAGTTACCACGGATTTTCGTCCTAATGCCCAGTTTGATCACAGGAATCCCAGGCATCACTGAGCAGACAAGCGGTTTCCGCCATTACGCGACTCACCTCGGCGGCAGCAGGCTATGGTTCCATTCTGGAGCATGAAATGCTCAGCAACCAGCCTTTGGTTGTCACAGAGAAGCCCATTAACTCTTCCTCGAGTGTCAAACAACAAGCTGGACAGTCGATAAATGACACAGCCATGTCGAACATAAAATCCTCGGGGACTCGGAGATCAGATACTATCCACAATGGTCAGGATAGGGAATTATCACCTTCGGGAAGCGTTTTGGGGGATACCCAGCTAGTTTCTCAGTCGGTATATGAGGGACTATTAAATGGCAAAGATATAGATGGCAGCCCGATGGAACGACCATTTGTGAGTGTCATCGAGACAGCAGAGGGAGGGACCACACAAATGACGCTCCATGAAGGAGATACAGGGCATGTGGACCTGTTTTCCGACGCCGACAGTACAGCAGGCGCTGCTAATCCAGATGAAGATCGTGGCTCCCAGGCCTCTGACTCCGGGCAATCCTCTCCAACAAGTTACGAGCCGTTCCCGGAATCACAGCGGTTTAACACCAGCACACCAGCAATTCATAAAGGGCATATATCAAATATTGCAAGCACTGCCACACCATCGACTCTTCGGAATCCCTTTGGTTCAGACAATAAGACGCCCGGGTCTGTTATGGCTTTAAGCCAGCTTTTCAATGCAACCCAGGCTACCTCATCCCCATCTACTCATATACCACGTTTAGAACCACCATCCGATATGCCATCGCCAAACATCCCCATTCAACGACCAATGCGTAACACTGTGCCTTTCTCACCAAGCCTTCTGGGTACATCTATGTCCCGACCTGACCCAGTTGAACCGGAAGCGAACTATATTTCCATGCAAGAATCACAAGCTGAACGAGAAAAACGGTTACAAAAGTCGAGCTCCAATCTTGTTGACCCGGATGATGACCCGTTCCAGGCTGGAGAGTCCGCCATTGAACGCCGTATACGTCAAATGAAGTCGAAAAATGAAGTCCGAAAGGAGTTTGAAAGTATCAAAGCCCCGGCGAGAGTGACCACGCGTAATAATCCCAAACTAGATGTTTCATCTTCGCCGCCTTTGAATCCAGACCATACCACTAGTAGGCTGAAAGCTTTACAGTCAGCATTGGAAAATAATGGGGAGGAGGAAAGGGTTTTTGACACGGATCGCGGCGAAGATAGTGAAGTTGAAACGGAACAGGAGGAAGTTTCTATGATTCAACCGCTTCGCAGTTCTCAGAGAACTCAATCATTTCCTGAAGAAGATAAGGAAAACGTTGACAGTGGGCCAGTCCAAAATTCAACTCTCGCTGTTAGCACACATAGCGCGCTTTCAAGCGTGTTGGATCTTGATCAAAGTCCATCAAATAATTGCCAACAACCTCTTGGAGCACTTCAATCTTCCACAGGAACAACTTCTGTTCGGTTCATATCCAATCCAAGGCGAGGATCACGTCCACCATGGGTCTCCCAGCCAGAAAGGAAGGGAAATTCTAGAGAAGATGCCATTAAATATGGCACTCAAGGGAAAGAACGGGACAATAACTTCTTGAGCGGCAGGAGCACGATATTTGGCTCTGGGATGGGGCCTATAAATCTGTCAAAGCAAATACCTTCATCGCCTCCTCTAAGAGACATCAACAATATCATCAATAACCAACCTGATGAAGAGGACGACTCGCCAATCTCGCAAACTTCTCCAACACCGCTGCCAAAAGCGATAAACCGTAACCACTCAACGCCTCATAAGCTCAATCCTGATATGCCAAATCTTAATAAGGGTTCCTCCACAACCTCTCGTGTCTTTGAGACTCCTTCCCAGTCTGCCCCTGAAGGGAGAAACCTATCACGAAAAGTTCCTGAAACCAGTCCCACTGGTAAACGGCAGAATCGTGTAGCATCCACTAGTGCTACTAACTTTCCAACAGAATTTGGTGATGGTACAGATGGCATAGATGAGGACGATAATCTCCCTAATTTACCGCGATTTAACGACTCTGCAATACTAAAATCTCTTGGATCCCAGGAACTAGCCGCCCTCCGTCCTTCTCGTCGCGTCCAAGCCATTCTATCTAGCCCTAGTGGCCGACAGCGGAGGAGTATGACAGCTATTGCCTCAGATGAATCACCCCGACCTGCAGCTTCTGAGATTCCCATCAACGAGATCCGCCTACTTAACGCAGATGATCGCATTTTTCAGTCAATGATGGCTACGGTTGACTCACCTATTAAAAGGAGACGTGGAAATGATGGAAAGAGAATCCAGGAGCTTCTACAAGATCGTCAGCATAACTTAGCTAACGAGCTAAATAACAATATTCCAGCATATAGCCCTATTTCACCCATTGGGCCAATTTATAGCGATACCCCTAGGACACTTCAGAGAGCAACAAAAGAATTACATCAACCTTCGGAGCCCCGTAATGTATATGCTAATGATATCTGGGACTTTCAGCCGTCTCCTCAAAGGCCGGTACAAAAATCTAAACCCATGGTAACTGCCGGCCTTCCTATCCTTCGAAAAGAAGTTCAGAAAACAGAACAACAGCCTACACGGAACAAACGCTCAGTCCTTGACGCTGTTGTTATTCACCTTCCCTCCAACTCTTCCTTATCTACGCCGCTAGAGCCGCTATCACGTACCCCCAGCTCACCCTCTCTTCAAGCGCAGACAGAAAGAAGTGATTCGATCCTGGAATTAAATAAAGATACAGAAAAGCCGAATGAGGAAATTGTTTCTGCAAACCATATTTTTGCCTTCTTCAACGGCCGGCCAGCCGGATATTACCCAGCTATTTGCGTGGGTACTAGTGATGGTGTTACAAAGCAGCAGCTTCTCGTCCACTTTGATGATTCCGAGGCAGTGGAGAAAATTGATATTCGAGGAGCCAAATCCTTAGAACTCAGGATTGGTGACATTGTCAAAGTCAACCACCCGGACGTACCCAAGGTCCCACATTATGTGACGGGATTTGGCAAGAGATTGCAGTCTCCGACAGAAGATGCAGATTTGAATACTTGGGATAGGCAAATATCCGATGTCTATGGGAACACTACTGTCCGGCTGAAACGGAAATTGACCAAAGTTGTTCCCAGGGGCAAGATTCCCCGGGCTATCACTATGCCTATATCTAAGTTATATTTGGATCAAAATCTATGGTCTCGATTTGGAGAACGTCCTTACTCTATAGACTCACTACCAAAGGTTCTTCAGGTTGTACCTCAAGCAATGGAACAAAGTATGCATAACCGTGCCACCCAAGTTGAACAGACTCCGGTCGTTGAGCCAGGTAGAGCGGGCATATTTTCCGGCATGACATTTGCCCTTTCCTATACAGGAAACGAGAAAAGGGGCAAGGATGTTGAGTCTATGCTATCTGATAATGGTGGAATCATCCTCAAAAATGGGTTTGACCAATTATTTGAATCCTTTTCATGGGAATTAGTGTTACCCACTGCCAAAGATGAAAAGCTCCAAACTGAAGGGTCGCTAATGCTGACGCAACGAGCTAAGGAGACGGGTTTTACCTGTTTGATTACCGACCAACATTCACGGCGTGCTAAGTACATGCAAGCTTTGGCTCTGAATCTTCCCTGCCTTGCCGGCCAATGGGTATATGCGTGCATTGAGAAACAGGAAATTGTGGAATGGGAGCCATACCTCCTTGCAGCAGGGTCTTCCATATTTCTTGACAATGCCGTTAAGTCACGAATCCTTAGACCTTACCTTCCCTCTGAATCCAAATTCTTGGATGTCATCGCTACCCGTCCAAAGGTCTTCAGTGACCAGTATATGCTCTTCGTTATGGGACGCAAGCAGGTAGCACAACAACGACAGGCCTATGCATTCCTCACTTGTGCGCTGGGCGCAGAACATGTTTACCCTGTTCAAACCTTTCAAGCTGCACTCGACATTTTATCGCAAGCTACTGAGCTGCACCCTGAACCAAGCGGCTGGGTTAAGGGGCGCAGTAAGTGGGATTGGATATATGTTGGCGAGGAAAGTGCGGCAACTACCGCTCGCATAGCTCTGTCTAAGCTTTCATCTACGGTCTCGAAGCCTCCAACACGAGGGCGTGCTCGGTCTGTTAAACCACTTCAAGGGCAGGACAGTGATGGTGGGAAGAGAAAAGGTGAAAGTTTTCAAAATATCAAAATCTTGGATAACGAATTCCTCTGCCAGATTTTGATACTAGGTCGATTATTTGAGAGGTAGCTACAGCGGTATAGTAATCCAGGGCCAACAGCTCTTACTTATGATTTTATCGTTTACACGGCTTAATGAACATATTATATCAATACCCCGGACAGGATAATGGAGAAACAATGTGAAATAGATGTCAATAGCTCCGTCTTATTGTACAGTGAAATAAACCAGTCAAAAAAGTTATGAATACAATTCAAGCGTAACTCGATCAGGCCTTCACCTTGATCTTTTTCTTCTTCTTCTTCAGCTCCTTCATCTGTGCAACACGCTTTACTTTCTCTAGCTTGCGTCTCCAGGCGGTCCAGCGGTCCTTTCGCTTCCACTCCTGAACCGTTATTCCAGCTTTATCCGCGGCTCTTCCAATCTCCCAGTTCGCCTCACGGTGCATATATCCAGATCGGTACGTTGTTGAGCTGGATGCCACGAGTGTCAACTTGACGGGTTTGGATGCGTCAGCCGGTTCTTCCACAGGAGCCTCCTCTGTCTTTCGTGAAACAGCAACCATCGACAACCGCCTTCGAGTTACTGCATTCTTTGGAGTGGGCAGCTTATCGTCCTTGTTGAAAACAACGCCGATATATTTTCTGTCGGGGTGGCGCTCGGGATCCCGGTAGTATTGGACATATCCCTTCTCAAGGGCAAAGATCGTATGGTCTCTTCCCATCCCAACATTTTCACCAGGGAACCATTTAGTGCCTCGTTGTCTGAAGATGATATTTCCTGTCACCACAGCCTGGCCGCCTGTCTTTTTGGCACCAAGTCTTCGTCCTGGCGAGTTCCTTGAGTGCTTGTTCGCTCCGGAACCTTGCGAGTTGTGAGAGGCGTATCGGACCTGCCCGAGCTGCGAGAAAATAGATGATTGTTGCGGTCGTAATTGAGATTGTAGGATAGAGGATATGAGGGCTCGGGAGCTGAATGTCCGTCTAGAGAACTGGGGATGCGATCGACTCGAGGTTTTGGCTGTGCATTGGGCGAAGACTCCTTCGAGCAGCCTCACAGGCGCCCTCAATTGCGGTTGTAACATGGTATATCCAATGGGCCGAGAAGCGTTACTCAAACGCACCCTTTACTCGTCCTTCGGACCGTGGTTTTGTCGGGATAAAAAGTCCGCTGCTCGATTGTCGACCGTTTTTTCATTTCCATCGTTGAAAAGCTTCAAAAGTTCTCGAATTTTGTATCACGTGACTATTCCGCAAACCATCGAGCTTATCGGCGATAGAGCAACGTGTTTAGTTCAACAACAGACAATCAATTCACCTTCGATTGGCCCTGGACATTCGGTGAACTTGCGGTTGGGATCTTATACGGAAGCCCGGATATGGCCAGCATACTTCGAACGGCCCTGCTTGGGCTTCTTCTCTTTACCACCGCGCAAGCACAGTTCCAGTTCTTCGAGCAAATGTTTGGCGGAGGCCAGCAGCACCAGGAGTCATCAGGTCAAGGCGGCAACGTACCAAGTGATAGCGCATGGTATCAGAATACTTACAATGGAGGTATGTATCTAGTCTCTGGACTCTGTTATATCAGGGCATGTCTCGCTAACTTGTACAATCTTCTCCAGCCCAATGTTCGAATTATCTATGTCCTGGAACTTTAGCCTGCGTCGCTGTTCCACATCACTGCCCTTGTGCACATCCCAAGGTTGAGGAGAAATTCGAACTCGGGGAAGGAAGCGCTATATGCGCCTCAAAAGGTGGCTTCAAGGCTGGGGAGACAGCTCGGAAGATAGAGCTCGCGCGAAAAGGACTACTATAAACCTATTCACAGCCTCTCTTTTTTGGATTAACATACCTGAGCATTGCCATGGAAGGGGCTATTATCTACTCTCCGTATATGGTGTGAGAGGGGGCGTTTTTGGTTCAGTTGGCTTTAGCGATATCATTTTTGTTAGATGTAATTATACCTGGCCTGCAGCATATAATGAAGCATCCATTCGTTTTATGTAAATACACCTTCTTATCTTCAACTGTTCAGTTTCCCATTCATATAGTGCTTAAACGCAATTTAATCATCATACTTTATTAGCTGTATAAACGTCCACGCTCCTACGCCTTTCCAATGTATGATGAAGTCATACCTGATTATCCAACTAGTTAGTTTACCTAGGAGGTAGCAACACCAAACCACACTCATTGCTCTGCAACTGCACACAACACAATCCGGCGACGAATATTTCTTATTTCGCTATTTCCAATAATACCTAAGTACCTCTTCCCTTAAGAATACTTACTTTCTCTCTCCTTCCGCCTTTTACTAACTTCTCTCTAAACTTCCCCCTAGGCTTCTCCTTAGGCCTCTCTCCCTAGAGCTCTCCGCCATAATTATGGATATTTTTTAAAATATTAAAAATAATTATAATGGGCCTACCTCCGTTATTTAGATTTTTGCATACACCGGTGCGTTCAAAGCAACTCTACCCTGTAGTGGCAGGGTTTTGCGCAGTCAGACACGCTTCATTCAGGCCGAGTCCATGGTCAAGGAGGTCAAAGAGGCCCATACAGCGACATAATCCCTCCAATGCCTCTGCTTCTAGAGGAAGACCGGATAAAAGCTCTGCTCATTCTCGCCCAGGCAGTCAAGATGATATATCATCTACCATCCACGACACAGACCCCCGATATAATACCCTACTTGCTCCAGTCCACATCTCGGAAGATCCAGATGGACTGCTTAAACAGAATCATCCTGCTAGCCAGATCCTATCTAATTCCGGGCTGGTAGTGCAAAGGCAGTTGGAGATGATGAATGTTTTGCTGTTAGTGATCTTATACCACTTTTTTCAATTTGGGCAGATAGCGACTTGAATATATAACTAATTCAGTTACTCTTATCCAGTGGCTTTGAACAGGCAAACAGATATGTGATCCTGGATGCCCATGGTAATCATATAGGATACATGGCAGAGGAAGAAAAAGGAATGGGCGGCATGCTATCTCGTCAGTGGCTACACACTCATCGGCCATTTGTCACCCACGTCTTTGACAGAAATCAAAATGAAGTTCTGCGTGTAAGTCTCGTAGTGTACTATTTATATAATTATTGTTGAACAATATGGACTAAGCCTAACATCTCCTTCAGTTTCACCGGCCCTTTTCCTGGATCAATTCTACGATCTTTGTATTTGACCCCCTTAACAACATGGCCGGGTCTCATACACCATTAATCGATCTACAGCACAATGTACCCGGCTCACAAGCAGGGTCCGTGAAGGTATCTCCACTGGAGCATTCACAAATGCGTGTGATAGGAGCCGCACAGCAGCGTTGGGCACCACTTCGAAGAAAGTACAATTTATTCCTTTCGCATCCCAATACTCCCGTAAGACCCATGCAGACAGATATTCAGCAACCTGCTGTTCCGCCAGAGAAAAGTTTACACCAGTTTGCACATGTTGATGAACCATTCCTATCATGGGATTTTTCAGTACGTTCAGCTGAATCTCAAATTCTAGGATCCGTGAATCGCAACTTTGCAGGGTTTGCACGAGAGATATTCACGGATACTGGAGTTTATGCACTACGGATGGATTCGGCTGGCATGGCTGAAGCAATGCAATCAAAGAATGCTGAACCACTAAAAAGTACACCAGTCCCGAGTATGACTTTGGATCAACGAGCCGTATTGCTTGCTACGGCTGTGACCATCGATTTTGATTATTTCAGCCGTCATAGCAGCGGTCCTGGTATAGTGCCTATTCCGTTATTTGGCCTAGGGGAAGGTGGAGCGGGGGCAGCTGCCGGTACGGTTGCCGGAGGTGCTGGAGCTATGGAGGGTGCCGCTGCGGGAGCCGTCGGCGCTGGTTCCCTTGCAGGATATGAAGCCATGCGTAGGGGAAGTTCGACATCTCAAGAGTCAGCGCAACAACCCCGGGATATGGAGGAACAACAAGCTCAGCGCCACGGGGACGTTGAACAAGGGGCGGAAGAAGAGGTATGGGGAGAAACAGATCAAAATCCTTGGGAGCAAAGAGAAGAAAGCTCATTCCCAACAGAGCAGCAGGAGGCCTGGCCGAGTGACGGAGACTCATGGGGGGAGGACAGTGACGATGACTTTTTCTAAGATCAACCTCTCTAAATATTGAATAACGGGGGAGTCATGTATAGTAGATGCTGTATACTACGTATCATATCTAGTGGTTATGCCAGCCTTGCAACGGCAACTTCAGCGCTATATACATAAACCCCTAACTTCCTTGTCGTTGGCCCGGCTTTGATAGGCAGGAAGCTTGTTCTCGCCCCACACGGTGTGGCTCCTCTGGCATGCAACCAGCAACGGCTTCAACAACCATCAACCTACAACGGCTGACCTGCGAAAACGATACAGAAGGTACCAAGTTCATTGCTGGCATAAGTGAGGATCTATTATCCCCCTGCAGTCTTCATATACCGCGGCATACAACGTCTACACTCCCGCTCTAGGCGTATTACCCAAAACCATGGCAGCATCCGTCGCCCAAAAGCGATTATTCCACGAATATAAGCTCCTCTCTACCTCTCCTCCCGATGGAATCGCAGCCGGCCCCATAACTGAAGATGATATGTTTCTCTGGGAGGCATTAATACAGGGTCCTGAGGGAACTCCGTTCGAAGGAGGGGTATTCGCAGCTGAGCTGAAGTTCCCTAAAGACTACCCTCTCAGCCCGCCATCGATGCGATTTCTAGGGAACATGTGGCATCCAAATAGTGAGATTGAAAATACCTCTCCTATCATTCATATTCTCAGATGCAACAGAATTCGTTTTAATATAAAATGTAGTATTTGAAAACGGCAACGTTTGCATTTCTATCTTACACCCTCCAGGCGACGACCCAAACCACTACGAGCATGCATCTGAGCGCTGGAGTCCGATTCAGAGCGTTGAAAAGATTCTTATCAGCGTTATGAGTATGCTGGCTGAGCCCAACGACGAGAGTCCTGCGAACGTAGAGGCCGCTAAAATGTGGCGAGAAAGAAGATCGGATTATGAAGCGAGGGTGAGGGAAGAGGTCAGGAAAGGACTAGGATTATGAAATGGGAATAAGTCCATTTGAGCGGGTATACCTTCTATGACCTTCTCTATATTATCTACTTTGTGGGACGGTTTTGTCACTCGTTACGATAGCATCTTTGAAAGTGGTTTTAGCATTGGGCATAGGTGGTGGTTGATTTTTCGCGGCTGCATTTACGATGCTTGGTTAGTTTTGTCAATTGCACACCTAACGTGGCAGTTTAAGTATTTTGCTCACTACTAACATAACAATATAGATGTGAACGATAGAACTACTGGGGAAACTGGCTGGTCAACATATCTTCGACAACCGTCTATCGAGCCATCCCTCCATGCCACCATCCAATTCATACAGTATTTCGAGTTCCGCTTTAACATTCATGACTAGCATTGATTGCAGCTCCTTCCTCCATGTTGGCTCCGGACCATCTTCAGCAAAGCTTGGATTCCGTTTAAGCATAGCCTCTGCCTTTTTTCGGTCGCGTTGGCTCATTGGGACAAGCGAAGGCGTGTTTCGAGGATGTACGGTTGATATCATCTCAGAAGCCTGCAACCCCACCCACCTTATTGAAGGCACATTGAGATTAGCGTTTCGATGCAATTGGGCCATCGACCCATATTTATAAGTTGACATTATTGCCATCCCGTCTGGATCACGGTCAACCAGTATAAATATCGGCAGAGGATTAGAAACTATTTTAGAGTTGCATCCTTTCTGGCTTGAAAGGAGACGTAGAAATTCTCGACTGCTAAGATCAGGATATCCCTTTCCCTAGATGATTTTTAGATCTACTCCGTATTTACGGATGGATTAATGTGAAGGTTAATTATCTTACAGTTAAAAGGATTCCATTTCCTGCTGCCGAGGTATTGTGGTAGCCACTAGTTATCAGGCGGTGAAACACCGCCTAGGATCTGATTAATAGTATTCTACGAGCACCAGGTTGGTAAAACTCACCTCTTTCTCTACAACCAGGATCCATGAGATACCCGAAGTATCTATTCCGTCAACTTCATCGATTCTTGGAATTATGATACCCTGATGACTCCTTCCTTAGCATGGGCGCACATATTGGAGAACAGCAAGAATTATAGTTATGTTACCTCAGCGAAAGCTCCCACCTGTATTGAAGATTCGTTCTTCATCGTGATGCTAAAATTTCCACCTATTGCGCCTTTTGCTGCTGCTGCCTTCGTTGTCTACATTAGCGGTGGAGTGCTTTCGGAGACCGGGTGACATAACGCACCACATGTAAGGCTGCCCTATCCACATCAAGCGTGAAAGCAATATCATCGATGTACCTGTCTACTAGCGTTTGGGACCCGAAGTATACAGGATCTTGGTAGAAGATATCCCTTTTGGAGCTTATGAAATCCCCCTTGATTGCTTCTGATATCAAGCCCAATATCCGCGTCAACACTCCTTATCACAATGATGACTGTTAGCAGACTACACATTCATATATCATACAATACTTCATACCAAACCGCCAGCCCTCCTGAGAAGTCTTTCCAGGCCAGTAGTAGGTATAAACACGGTGTTGATCACTTGATTCTAGGGCACCAGTCTCGGGATTGAGGCTGTAGTTCGAATGGTTCAATCGGCGCTTCAATGAAATTGAAGGAGAGCCATCGGGTTTGGATAATTCTTCTATGATTGAAAGAAGAAGTTGATTGATATATCTCACCACTCTATCTTTGTCTGGAGAGCAACGAGCGTTTTCAGACGATAAATTTTCCTGGGAATCCATGAACGGGGTATCAAATAAGACCAGTGGGGAAAAGAAACAAATATAACAGCACAATCAGCAAAACAGTGCCTTCTTACAGGTTGGGAGACGCAAACATGAATATGCGATGGAGATTGAACAGAGAAATCTTTCGAAGAAGGTTGCTTTTTCCCAATCGGGCTCAACACGTGATGGTATAAACTGGGCAGGCACCTCTCCCAACATAATCCTAACTTGCAGGAATTTTAAAACACCATATAAGGGTGTATACAAATAGCCACCTTGAAACCAACCAAACGCCCATAATGCCGACACGAATAACACCTGGGGGTATAAAATCGCAATTAGTGTGGCTTCCGGGCCACCGCGATCTTTACCAGTCCTCCCATACCTTCACTCGTCAAAATTTCCAATTGGACCTTCTTACACAGATCGATAACCTGCCCCGCGGTCCAGCCGAGAAATTTTGTCAAGAGGCGCATACTGGTAGCCTCGAGGCCTTCAAATAAGACAATCAAAGTCATTTTTCCAAGGGTTTTCTCCTGTGGATCTGCAGGCCAGGTGCCTACGGGGATGTTGGTGTCATATATGCGGATATCAGTAAACCCAGCTGCCTCAAAAGCAGCAGAACGAAGGTGATTAAAATTCCTTGGATACCCCGCCATCGCGGCAGCAGAGCCGAGTGCTCCGAGATATATGCTGAGGTACGAGTCTGGGGGGGAATTCGGCAAGTGTGTGTCACCGGTCAAAAGAGCAGATTCCGCTACCTGGATGGACCCTCCAGGGGCAAGGTGCTGATATGCTTGCTGATAAAACACGGACCAGTCAGAAATTCCACCACCCAACCCTCGGACATGGATAAAATCAAAGGGCTCATTAAACGTCCATTCCCCTTGAGCGTCATCTATCTGGAAGGATACGTTTGGTGGACAACTGCCAACTGACTCGGTATCAAAAACACTAATATCAGTGGCTATTATTTCTGCGTCCGGGAACTCGTCTCCCATGGCAAGCGCCCAATCACCGGGCCCGGAGCCGACATCGAGGACTCTTTTTATCGATTGGGGGAGAGCACACTTTGTCAATCGGCCTTCTAGGATGATGAGGTACATTTGGTGAACAATGTTCAAACGAGTCTGCTCTCGTTCGTCGTTTGGCATGAAATATGTGCTGTCACAATATTGACGACCATTTTCCTCCACCACCCGGTAAGCATGTTCGGACAAGGATTTGGTCGAACTAAAAGGGGGAGAGTTAATTTATGCAAGCGAAGGCTCGGTAAGAGAAGCTCTAATATGTAGGTAGCGACGTGCCTGCACTCACCCAGCGTTGGTAGTATCTTCTCCAGGAGCCAGAGATGAGTGTTGTTCGTCCGAACTAACGTCAATATCGGCATCAGGTATATCTCCTTCTGGCATGTTTATGTCAGTGCCAGAAGATTCCCCTTGAAGAGACCTATGTCCATGCGGTCTCGTTTGGGCCATGACATGACGTCCAACTACAACCCGCCATATTAGCTGCAAAGTCAAGAGCGCATTATACTCCTTTGCGTCAGGGAAATGGATGCTTTGCCCCAGAAGTACCGCGAAAAGGGCAACACTTACTTCTTCGAATATACCACACCTTATCATTCAACAGCACACCCGGGAATATTGGACGGACTGCAAAAAGAATGGAAAAGAGACCAAATGAAGAGTTGCTTTGTGCGATGCACGCATATGTCAATTTAGTGCTTGCTCTGCCAGGACCTCAATCTTTTCTTTTTCTCCCCCTTTCTTAGCCTTCATCGGAAAAAGCACGAGGGAGAAAGACAGTTGAAGGCGAGGAATTGGCTTCGTATATTAACTAGACTCAATGCTGCCAAGCAGATCAAATATCCTCATTTTGCAAAGCTCAGCCGGGACTTGGGGGTATAATTAAACCCTCCTCTATTGCACCAGCAACATGCGATAACCTAACTTTGCGCTTTGCAATCGCCGGGAGAGCAGAAGCCGGCGCCAGCACGCACCAGCGATGGGAAGTGGTCGCACGGCATCTCCCAACCAGAGAATTCCAGTAACCTTCTTTGCTTTTCCTTTCCCTTTTAGCTTTGTCGTCGTGCATGAATAATCCAAGCCCAGCAGCTCCACAAATGGATGATACATCGTGACCACAACGTGTCAATATCCCTTGCCTATCCCTTGGGTTTCCTCTTTTCTTTAAGGGGAAGACATGTTTCATCACCACAGAAGCCCACGATGCCCGGAATGGCCGGACTTGGATGTTGTGGTGCGTACAGTAGCAAGCTTGCTGTTGCTGATCTCCGGTGAAGAAAAGAGAAAGGAAAAAATAAATATGCTGATCGAAGAGAGGACCCGGTTGATATCCATGAGAAGAATACGGCATGACGGGCTTGCTCGGCTAACTGCCCCTGACCCAGAGTGGTGGGATTTGGGTCAAACGCTTATTTTTTTGCTTCTTCCATGACAGATTCCATCCGCCACCCCAGTTACGCAGCGTTTACGGGGTAGTCAATAAAAACAATGCTACAACAGGCTTACTATACAGTATTACGCTCTTTGCCGTCCGCAGGGTGCCAGTCTACTCCGTACTGCACGAGGTGACGAGAATGCTGGGGTGGGTGCAGACAGCTGATGGAAGCGACCCATATACCAGAGTACCGGGACCCTGTTTCATGGGTCCGGGGAAGTGGGCACGGTAGGATACTTCTACGCTGAATAAGGCGTAACGCTGCAACGAATTATTCCATCCGGAAGCAGCATGCTGTATCACTGTAGATAGTTACGGCCTCGCTCTGGATTAGTGACCCAAATAACGATCGATCATTTACTTGGTGTAGTAGGCAACTAATGTGCTGGTCGAGACCTTGACCAACTCGAGCTAACCAACTTGATTGGATTTCATATATTACTAGCTGAAAGATACCCATGGCTCTTCACGTCAGATTTTAGTATCGAATCACTCAAAAATCCAACATTAGCTAGTTATTTTCCATCATCCCGGCGCACTCCTCCATGCATAGTGAAAAAAACTGGCTGCATGACAAGGACTTGTCCGGAACAACGTTGTACGTGATCATTATCAATCCATCCGTCCTCTCCCTTTATTCTGTGATTGTTACACAGAGTATATGGAATTTCGGTCTTGGATCGAATCACGTTAAGTCATAGACGAAGAGAACTGCGGGTGAATATGATGGATGATATTTCACTTCCTTTGTTGCTGAGTGGCCTATGGGTATTCCTGCACAACCGCTCCCGCATCCGTTAGACCAGCCCAAGACTGATCGCCATACAAGAACCATGTCAGATTATGTCTTTTGGCTTCTTCTGGCGGAGTGGGCCTCGTAGGCATTGAGTCCATGACTAGCCAGCAACATCCCTGTCCAGATCATTTTCCCTTTTCACCAGCAAACTTGGAGAGGTTTGTGAAGTGATGATGGTGTCCTCAGCACAGAGTATTTTTCCAGATTAATCCCAAGCCGCAACAGATGCGTCGTGCGCAAAATACAGTGGAAGTTACAAATGGTAGCGTCCGAATCACCGGGTACGGAATCCAGTAATAACTACCAATGATATTGCACAGGAAGATACCGCGATGGAGTACGGAGTAAGAGAGACAGAGACCGGTGGAACAAGGAAAAAGGAAAAATGAAGCTACCTCCGGAGTCTGTCCCGTCGACCTGGTTCTAGGAAACGGGCCAGTCGAACTTGAGGCTTCTAGAGGCCTCCTTTTATTGGCTGGTAATCACATCTTGTAGCAAATCAGCCCCGGGCTTCTCTAGTTATAAGACACAAGTGCCCATTAACTCTTTCACTTGGTCCATCCGCTAGTTAACCCCTACCTTGTTCTAGTAAAGTCATTCAATCGTTGGCTGCAGGATGTGGCCCTTACGAGGGAGAAACTGCGATCTCATCCAACTTGTTAATATATAGATGGGCACAATGGCGAAATCCCTGCCTAGAAGAGAGGACGGATCAAGGACAGCGAAGACAGCATCTTTCCAACTCCCTCCTTGAAATTCTGTCAAGTACCTCGGGTTAGCAAATAGCCGAGTTTCCTTTGGTGTGTCTAAACTCTTAGTCGAGCTCCTAAGACGATCCTCCTATGTCTCATAAATACCGTGATTTTCAGAAGAATCTTGACGCTTTTTCTCCTGACTCGCCTCTCATAATTCGAAACATAATGGCTGAATATATAAGTCCGCACAGCTCTAATATTTGGATTTACAATCTTGGTCATGTGGGCCTATGAACTTGTGCCTTGCCCTTCGGCTGCTTCTAAAAATGACAACAGACTGCACATACACTACTAATATCTTTGGGACGAGGTAGGGCCCTTTCATTGGAATACCCGAAGGAGTACTCCTTCGATAGAGCAACTCCCCCTGCTCTGACATCGAACTGACCGCAGACATTGTTGCAATGGGCATGTTGAGAATGTATGTGTGACCGCATTCAGGGGCTGCGGACGGCATAGCACCCGCGGTCGATGCTGCATTTGAGATGTCGCTTCCATCGTGGGTATTATTGGTTAATCCTATTACTGAATCCAACGTGTCCCGCTTCAAGACGTGTATCTTTTACACCTGTGGATGCAGGACAATGTTCAGCTTTCAGGGGCAGAGCGTCAGTGCCCTGGAGTAACCCGTGTGAAGAGCTCTCTGACTGCAACCCAAGACCAACGGTATTATGTTTAAGTTTCCCACAAGACAAGATTGAGCGTTTGCTGAGACAAATCTTTCCGAGTTGGCCTTCCTCCGAATGAATGACAGTGTTCTGCTCCCTAGGAGCCACATTGATCCTGCCCCTGTATTCTACCTCGACCTAACCCGAATATGAGAAAAAAACCGAATTCATAAAAATAGTCATTATCCGCAAGTATATCCGTGCACCATACCCTCTCCATCCGCCCGATTTTATTTATCTCTTTGTTAGTCCGTACAATACACGCACTCCGTAAGTAGCCGGACAACTTGCTGTTCGGTACGGAGTAATTGTTTGTCTATTCGTTAAAAAGCGAGCTCTAAATATTGACAACCAACGAGTTAACCAACTGGGTAATTGACCAGTCAACCAATTCACTAACCAACCAACCCAAAGTTTGCGCAATGCGGGTACACGGGTATCAAAGGGCTTGATTTGAAGCCGAACATACAGCTATTATTGAGGAACACGAGAAGTGTTGCCTGAGTTACTACTCAAGGTAGTACGAAGTACCCCGTAACAGATGTAATTTTCTGCCTTTCTCTCTTTTCTTTTTCTTTTAATAGACACGGCTTCCCAGAAACTTGTTGCCATGCCACCCGCCGGGGAGGACTTCGGATCTAATGACGGGACGGCAACCAATCAATTGGGCTTGCAAGCACGCCAGTCATCAACAGCCCCTGTTTGTGGTGATCTGCCAGCGGGGTGGACAAAAGCAAAATCACGGGAGAAATACCCCCGAGTGGTTCAAGGCAGGTAGCTTGGCCATTCTCGCTGTTCCCGGTGCACTGGGAAACATGAAGGATGGTAATTATCATATTCCTGGGAAAAAGCAAGAAAGAAGAACGGGCCTTGAATTGCTTTAGGGCCGAGCCTCGTTTCCGATTTGATCCCTAGTGGGTTACTTTGCGCACCCTTTGCTTCTTTGATAGTTATTCCTTTTGCAAATTCTAATTCTTCAGGACATGCTGAAATGAGCGGTGGTTGCTCAGTGGTCACTCCCACCATATTTCGTACGTTACATGCTTTCGGGTCTGTATGCAGTATTTATTAGCAGGACATGCTTATTTAGGGTAGTTAATTCAAGCCGATCAAATAGATTCACATTCTGTAGACAAATTGGGATTGGCTCATGCGGCTCTTTTCAAATGCTTCGGATACCGCTGACTCATGTTATCCTGTCCCTTTCATTATTTTCGTTCTATTTTATACCCAGTTCCACAGGCTGTCTATCAAGGCTGAGTCCTTTTACTCGGGATAAGTGAAACACGGTTAACTCGTTGACTGACTACTAAAGATAGCTAACGATTTAATTAGCGCCGGGTTGTCTTGGACAGTTCACAAATACCAAGATTTCAGCCACAACATGATTCCATGAGGTGAGGAACCACTTATTTAGGCTATGGGAAGTGTGAGGTTAAATATTCACCCTTCAAATGCGTTCTACCTAGTGAGATGTGTAATGATAGTGGAGGCTATAGTTTCTCAAACTTGAGAGAGACTCTCCGTACGATGGCTTTAGAGTAAAAATTTCACGCTTCACGGAGTACATTCATCTTCATCCTCGTTTGCTTGGTTATTTGCCTAGCATCGCTGGCTACAATAACACAGACAGAACCTGGGAGCTCGCACCAGTTTACACAATAAACCGCCATTTTCCATTTGATTCAAGGGCTGTGTAAATTTTATCACCATACTCCTTTGGGTACTCAATGCTCCCACTACAGCAGTCTACATGCTTTTAATGTCGATATCTCCACTCTTTCTTAGACGAAAATGGAAGTTAGTTGTTTGGTAGTACCGAGTAGATGAGGCTTAAATCTAGGTTAGAGACACAGCGGGGCGACCCACGACCTAAAATTGGGAAATCCATGGGAATGTACCCGACCCCTGGAAATGTCTCAGTAATATATACGACCCTGATATTATAACTGACCACTGTTTCCTTCTACTCCTAGGTAGTTCACGAGCAATAATAGCCACAATACAGAGAAAAAGTCAGCACTGAACTAGCTAACTGAGAATTAAAGAAAGAAGAATGCCGAAGCCAAGCTCCAGCTAATAACTATTAAGCATCTTCTGATAGTATGTAAATACAAGAGCATTGTGAGCCAGTACGTTTATACTTAATAGTATAATGTAAAGAACTGGCTATTTCTGGGCCTGTCTTTATAACTAACAAGAAATGATCAACTAATACAACTAGGGAGTAAGCTTTAGAAAAGGAAAAATAAGTTTTAAACCTTTTGAGCTTGGAATACTTCAGTAAAGAAGGCTATCTCCGAGACATAGTATTAATAATCCTTAAGCTACTTCGTACAGTCCGTGGCTATAGGAGATGTTGAAGGGAGCAGAAACATGCTTAAAATGAGGCTCAAAAATCCCGTGTGTAACTCTCCTTGGCGTTCCTTGGCGAAAAGCGAAATGAAGATGCCCGAGTCATCCATCAAAAAATTCACAAACACGCTCTACCAGTGGTAAACCACCACTGAAAGGCATGACTCACAAAACGGTGATATAATAATAAGAGTTTCCGCTATGCAAATACCTCCCTACACTCTACTCTCAGCCAAATAACCTATCGAACCGGCAGCCAACTCCAACAAGCCTAAAGCCGCCTGCCCTAGAACGCCGCAAAGCTATGGCGGCCACTTCCTCCTTCTTCATTGCCTCAATAGGCAACCCGGGGCAAGCATACTACAACACACTTCATAGTGCTGGTCACATTCTTCTCCGTTCTTTTGCAGAGGTCATGAACGCAGCACCATTTCATCCCGACCCAAACCTCAGCAACGGCCTAACAACAGAAACATACCTTCCCAAGACCCAGAGTCGCCTTACACTATGGCAATCGCCGAGTTATATGAACACATCCGGCCCATCCTTGGCAAGAGCGTATAAAGCCTGGCTTGCAAGAGAGAATATAGCGTCCGATATACCCATTCCGTCCCAAGATGTGGGAAAGAAAAAAGCAAGAGGAATGCAACCGATGACACATGTTCGCGCGACAAATCTGATATTATTACATGATGAGCTAGAGCGATCTTACGGTAACCTTTATATTCGATACGGTGGGCCTGAAATGAGTTCAAGGGGACATAACGGGATTAAGAGCGTGGTTGAGAGTTTAGTCAAGGCTAAACTGCTTTCTTCGAGCGGCGGTGCACTGTCTTCAACGAACCCTACGGCATTGATAAGGTTAGCTATTGGGGTTGGAAGGCCTATGTCCCGTGAGCGAGACGCAGTATCGGATTATTTGCTGAAATCAATATCCAAAGGTCAACATGATGCAATAGCTGCGAAAGGGATTGACTTGCGACAGCTGTTGGAAAGAGAGATATTGCGAATTCAAAAAGCAATGAAGCCTATTGAACCTCCTGTGGCGCCGGCTGCCCCGGGTCAGGTATAATAAATAAAGGCTCTGGATATTTAATGTAATGTACGACTAGTTATAGAACGGATAGACTTAATAGCAAAAAATGTATATAAAGTCAAGATACACGAGTAACCATTTATGTACGGAGTATATTTGCGCTATATAAGATGTACTTCAATACATAATCCATCCCAATATCAATAGGATAAATAAATAAAACATGGACACGGGAAGAGAGAAAGAGGTTTATGAAATAAAACGGAATCCAAGAAAGGCGCTAATACCATCCAGTCATTTTCGTCATGATACTTCCCTCCGTACTTAAGTAAGGAAATCAAATAACCTTCACATGTCTTTTTTTGCATCATCAACCGGTGATAGGGCAGTGGGAGAGGCTGTTGTCTCTATTACAGCAGCAGAGGTGTCTAGAGGGTTTGGCTCAATACCCTCATCGGAGCGAACCGCGTCATTCACCTGTACCGCCTTTGCCAATGGTGACGGCGACTGTTTCCCTGAAGATGCTGCAAAAGATGCAGCAGCAGCAGTGAACCGCTTGATAGGACTAGGACGCGGGGGGCGGTTGTCGGGTACGGTATCGGTGACGGAACGGCTGAGTGGACTTGACAATTTGCTATTCTTCCTAGCTACCGACCACAAGCCAGAAGAGGCGGTTGGCTTTTTCTCAACCCTTCGGTTGAGGTATACCTTCGGTGTAGGCGATTGTGCTTCTCGGCTCCGGCTGTTTATCCGTTCGATTATCTCCTTGTATGCTGTCTCGTAGATGTCGATGTCCGCAGCTGGAGGGGACTCACTCACGATCATAGGAGATTCGGTAACGGCAGGTTTCGAAGGGATCGGAATTCCACCGGATTCCATGGCCGTGTCATTTGTTGGGTTGAGTTCAGCCTCTGACCCAAAGTTTGACGGGCCTATGTTGAGGAAAGGCATTTCTTCCTCTAACGGGTCGCGAGCATGGCCACGGGTACCTTCAGAACCAGTCTGTCGTGTTGGCGTATCTGCTCCAGGGGTGGATTGAGGTTGTGGAGATGGAAATGCACATGGCTCGAAAGTGTTCGGGGGCGGGAGGGAAACGTATGGTGAACTATTCATAGTTGCCTGGCTTGGTCGCTTGGGCTGATCCGGTCGCCTGGGATAAACGTGCTCTTTCATATTTCGATTGTGCAGGATAGCACTGAATTCCTCTTCTTCGTCTTCTCCCATGAGGAGAGGGGGCTGCACGAAGTGTGATTCTTCACCCTCACCGAGAATGCTCTCCATCGGCAAGGGGCTTCCGTCACTGATGAGCCTTTTAAATTTCTGGACGGCTTTGACCTGCGAGCGAAGGGTTAGATTACTTCCAAAAGAGAGTAAGTTGTGGAAAATACATACCACTATAAGTGCATGCCCTAGATTCCTAGTGATGGCAGAATCCATCTCCTCTTCTGTCGGTGGACCCACGAGGGTTGCTGTATTCTCCTCCTCAGATAGAAGGGGATCTATTCCGCCTTTGGTAACCCAAGGGTGCACCTTGACCATAACTTAGTTCATGATAAGAAATTGAAACAAGGTCATTTGACATACCCTTAATTGTGGCATGGTAATTCTCTTTGCAGGATCCTTCTCCAGTATCTGCTTCATGAGATCCTTGAAAGCTTCATTTGTCTCGCCAGGGAGTTCAACCTCATCGTTTCTGATAGCGTTGTATAAATCAAATATATTACTCGTATGGAATGGTATGCGCCCATAGCGTAGACAGTACAGTGTCACTCCCATAGACCATACGTCGACTGCTCGACCTGAGACCTCACCATATTTTGCAACGCAAAGCTCTGGAGGTATAAAAGCAGGCGAGCCAGCTGACTTGGCTATGAACATATCCGAAGACTTCTCAAACATTTCTGAAACGCCAAAGTCGACTACCTTGAGGACATCATCGTTTGTCAACAGACAATTATCTGGTTTTATGTCACGATGCACAATTCCCTGGGCATGTAGATACTCAATCCCTAGGATAAGGTCACGGAACCAACATCGGCAGTTTTCTTCGCTGTATGGGTCTGCTTGTTCGCCTAGCCCGACTTTCATAATGACACCTTTCTTGCACATTTCCATCACCATGTAGAGAGAGTCTTCGGTAGGGTCATCCAACACCTCTATCAGTGAGACAAGGTTGCTGTGGTTGAGCTTTTTCATAATGGCAATCTCCTCTCTAATAAGGTATAGAGAGTTTCCATTTTCACCTTCATCAATTCCGGAAGGGTGTCGATGGAGTGGTGAATTGAAGCCAACACCAGCAGGTTGAACACCCGGATGCTTTCCAGTCCTACGGCGGAGACCATGAGACTGAGCCCTTTTCCGGAGGCGGGATTTGGAAAATTCTTTAACGGCCTAGTCCTGTTAGACGTGAAGATAACATCGTGTTGTTGTCAGTGGGCAGGCCAGCTTTTGCGAAACATACATATTCCTGGCCGTACTGATCTGTGGCTAGGTGGACGGCACCAAACGAGCCCCTGCCAATTTCCTGCTTGATCAAGTACTGGTTTATACGGTGTTCTGCTGTATTGTCGTCCTGGCTGTTGGTGTATGTTGATTGAGCGTTGAGTGTTTCCTTGACAGAGGCTATTCATTAGTCAATCGCATCGAATCAATTTGTATCATGTTGCCGCTGAGGTAGACTGAGACGACGAACTTTAACTTGCCGTGGGGCAGTCGGGTATCGAGCATGCTGTCTCAACGGGCTATCGTAGGAGCCGGAAGCAGGCCTGGCACTGTACCCTCCATCCCTCATCGCAGCGTCGTTAGTTTGACTTGTTATTTCCCATCCCTACAGACCGAGAAGAAAGTTGAGGAGACGCACCCCTTGAGAGCATTTGGACCAGGTTCCGAGCTTCTTGAAGTCGGCACTTCAGTGTCTAAAGCAAGCTGGGCCGTTCGGCCATGCTTTAAGATGGGATCGGCGTCCATCTATAACCAGCGACTAGGCGTTAGCGGAAAGAGTCAAACCAGGTTGTATCTGTGCGGGTATGTTGGCCGTGCTGCGTTCCGGCTGAGCGACCTCCTTGAACATGAATGCTGACCTCGCGAAAGGGCAGAGGGTTGTGACCTGATATATCTGACCGTTTTTTCTGTCTGCCGTCCACGCTTGTGAGCCTAAGCACCCGAGGTGCATGCACAGGGGAGAAAAAAGGCTGGAGGGGTGTGGGGTATGGCGGTCGACAGGGCTATAGGGATTTAGTATAGCTTCATGGTGTTCCGCCACAGTTGAGGAGGGTCGTGAGGGGAGACGATGTCAGGCGTGTCGTAGGCGGTTCATAGAGGTTCAGGCATCGGCCATCAGCTAGATCATGGCGCTTGATATCTTCTTGTGCGGTCCTCGAGGGATGTATATCGACGAACGGCAGGTCTCCTTGGCCCGTCTTATCGGCTCAGCGAGGCAAAACGGGCGTTGGGTTTGAAATCGGCCACTTGGATAGCTTGCAGAAGCTCAGCCAGTCGTCGGCGTCCAGCTATCCCTGAGGAATACTCTAAAAATAAAACAAAAAGCCGCAAAAGAGAGAAGACGAACGGCTGAAGGGAGCGTCGTTGTTTGGCTTGTCTGCTAAGTATCTACATCGCCAACTAGATAAGTCGACCAAGGCGTTGGATGTTACGAAGCGTCACGTGAACTGGCGTCTCTTTTTCTCCCCCTTTGAATGAGCAGGAAGGACAAGCAAGGCAAAGAACGTTGACAACAGCTCTCTGGCTCTCTACACGATGGTGGTCTACTCGTTCTTCATCTTCGACCGACATGGTAAGTGCATCGTTTTGAGCCGAAGAAAGCGACGAGCTACTGTAAAGATTCTAACTTCGAGCGCAGCGGAGTGTATATACCAACGACAGTGGTACCCGCGTCCAGGCACAGCTGCTGGCGGAGGAGCGAGCAAGGACCTACACCCATCCGACGGAACGCTATCGAACGGCCTGACGAAAGACTCTCACAAGGCAGGCTCGACGGATACTCGGCTTGTCTTTGGGGCTGTCTTTTCGCTGCGAAACATGGTACGGAAGCTTGGTGGTGAGGACGATAAGTATGGCCCCCAACTCAGCGCACCACGACGAGCGACAAAGGGAAGAGCAAAAGAGGTAGAATGAGGAGGAGGAGAAGAGGGAAGGGGACTTAAGCTGTGATGATGACGAAGAGCTGACGTGGTTTGGGTGAAATAGCTTCGTGTGCTACCGAACTGGCCAGTATAAGCTACACTACTACGAGACGCCGACGAACCTGAAGTTTGTGATGATGACGGACACGAAGGCAAATAATATGCGCCTTGCTCTCCACCAGATCTATGTCAATCTATATGTGGAATACGGTGAGTCACTCCAGGCTACAGGGCACATCCCCCTTTTTTTCAGATAGGGCGTTGATTCTGATATTGCCTGCTACATAGTGGTGAAGAACCCGCTCTCTCCAATCGAGCATCCTGGTGGCGTAGGAGTGTATAACGAGCTATTCGAAGAGTCACTTGAGCAGTTTGTGGTACTACCTCTTTCCTTCGCTGCACTCCCAGACAGAGGTGAAATATGATGAAGAAAGAGAGAGAGTAGCTGACCGTCTTGTTCTAGACCCGAGTGCTCTCCTAGCTGGCTGCCAAGGAGCAGAGTGCCAAGAGCGATTGAAGGAATCAACAGCAAACTACCCAGCCACAACCGATGAAAATGTTTAAGGGGGACGCACGATGGGGGTACCGACCATGTATTCCCCCCTGTACAACAGCAACAACAAGCATCGAAGCCCTAGCAAAAAGAAGCCCCAAAAAAGCCCACTGGGGGGAAGTGTGAGGGGAGCCAAGCTATCTTCAGCTCTGGCAAGCCGCGCCAAGAGCAATGCGGGTATATCCGTACAAGTTGTCGGACAGAGTCACGCCGACGCGGTGAGGAGAAAGAAAGGGAGCGAACCCCTTCGGCTTTTGGGCTCGGGCTGATAGGCTGATAGGGCTGAGAGAGACCCTGTCTGCTGCCGGTAGCACCTGGTACCATCTCTTTTTCTTTCGACGGGACCAGGGCGCGAGAGGAGAATAGAAACCAGCTGTTGAATAGCATCTAGACCTTCTTTGTCCTACAGTAGCAACCAGCTGAATGCCCTTCTCCAACCTGCACTTCCACTGCATCTGCTAGGGGAAACGCCCTACCTACTTTCTGCACTCTTGCTCTCCTGCCGGTCCGTCTGCTGCTCTCTCCTGCATAGGTCATCCATCGCGCTGGCTCTTACTCTGGCTCTTGCTCTTGCATCCCCGAACTCGAACTTAACCATCGGCGCTGTGGCTCAAGGCTTGGCGCTGAGTCATCCGAATAACACAGCCGGCGGACCCCCGATCAGGCAAGTCCACGCTGTTTTAACCGGAAGAAAAGCTTCCGCGTTCCGGCGCTGCGGGATTTTGCCGGGCGCTGGCTGATTGCTTGGAGCGCCGCGGTTGGTGCTGGCGCTGGTGGAGGAAGATCCCCAAGCAGATGCAGCAGAAGAAGCAAAAAAGGAACGAAGAACGAGGAAGAAGGAAAAAGGGTGGACGCCATGCGGAAGCCGGTCGAGGTGCATGAGCGTCGTGCATGGCCGTGCAGCGTGGTGCAGCGTGGTGCATCAACCAGCCGGCAGGCGAAGGGGCAAGGGAAGCCGGACAGCCGGCCAGGGTTGGGCCTATTACACTTTACGGAGTCCTTGCTCTTGCTTACTCTGCTGGAGGCCTCACCACCCTGACTGCTGCTGCATCTCCGTACTTCCTGCTGCTGCTGCTGCTGCTGCTGCTGCTTCTACTTGACGGAGACGCGATTAGACGCTGACCAAGCAAGCTCGAGCCACCTTCTTGGGGGTTGTTGTTCGGGTTAAAAGAGCAAGGAAAGCCTTAGTCAGCCACACCAAGCCCTGGCCTGACTTTGACCCAAAAACCTCCTCCTCGTCCTCATCCTCGACGTCCGCCGTTTTTCGTTTCCTGCTCGCCTGTTTCCCGCACACACACCAGCACCTCGCAGCCTCGCCAGACACGCAGCCAGACAGACGGAGACACAGCCAGAGACACCGGCCAGAGACCAGGGAGATTCACGGCACCAGTGCTTGCTACCGTTTTGTCGTCTCGCTGACCGCCGGGCCTTGCCTGGCTTGCTCTGCTCCCTCGCCTTTTTTCCCCTTCACCTCAGCCCGCCCCATAGTTACATAACACAACCGTTACTGCTACTTCTACTACTCCTCCTACGGCTGCTACTGCTACTGCCACAAATTCCACAGCTATATAAATACTTCCTTGCTCCAGCTCCTCCCATGAATTCATCAACGCCACTTTCCTCCCCATCTCCGTCCTCTGTCTCCTCGTCGACGTCACACTCGCAGCATGGAGATCAGATAACACGCACTGTGGAGGACAACCATCTGGCCGCTCCTCCGGTCACCTCTGCTCCTGCTCCTGGACCTCCCAACACCGCCTCTTCCGTCGCCACTACTACTTCGCTGCTCTCGGCTGCCTCCTCTGCCGCTCCCCCTCAAAAGCCTCCCAAAGCAAAGATGGCCAACCGGCTCAGTCGCATGTTCTCTCAAACTCGCTCTTCGGCACCATCTGCGTCAGTCTCCCCCAGTAGACAGAATGTCGACTCGTCGCCAAAGCAGAATGGAAACTCAGCTGTCACTTCCAACATGAAGACGCCTCCCTCATCTTCTCCAGCTACAGGCCCAGCAGACCGAAAAATAGACCAGAAGCTTGCCGAGAAGAAACCAGACGGGAAATCCGCAGACAAAAAGGCAGACAAGGGCAAGGATGCTGTTCAACCGATCAAGCGATTCGAGTTACTTGCAGACGGAACGCACAAGCACACTCTCAAATCGGCCAGGCGCCAGGAAAAGCTCTCGGACATGCTACGTGAGATGATCGGGGCCGGAAAGAAGAAGGACGATGCCGGTGCCCACGCACAGGGCCAGGGTGACGACCAGCAACAGCTCTCTCTCGTCTCCACCTGGGTCGACCAGCTCAAGAACGAAAAGGAGAAGATGGCAGCCGACAAGAAGGGCGGACCAAACAGCACGGCCTCTCTTGTCGACAAGTATGGCAAGTGTCATGAAATCGTCGGACGCGGTGCTTTCGGAATCGTCCGCATCTCCCACAAGATCGATCCCAAGGACTCCAAGACGGAACACGTCTATGCCGTCAAGGAATTCCGCCGTCGACCCCAGGAAACTGTCAAGAAATACCAGAAGCGTCTCACATCTGAATTCTGCATCTCTTCTTCTCTCCGCCATCCGAACATCATCCATACCCTCGATCTCATGCAGGACGCCAAGGGTGACTACTGCGAGGTTATGGAATACTGCGCGGGAGGAGATCTCTACACTCTCATTCTCTCCGCTGGCAAACTCGAGGTCGGCGAGGCTGACTGCTACTTCAAGCAACTAATGCGCGGAGTCGAATACATGCATGAAATGGGCGTTGCCCATCGAGATCTGAAACCCGAAAACCTCTTACTCACAACGCACGGTGCACTCAAGATCACGGATTTCGGCAACGGGGAGTGTTTCCGCATGGCCTGGGAGAAAGAGGCGCACATGACCGCGGGCTTATGTGGGTCTGCACCATATATCGCACCCGAAGAGTACGTGGATAAGGAGTTCGACCCAAGAGCTGTAGATCTTTGGGCTACTGGCGTCATCTACATGGCTATGCGGACCGGCAGACACCTCTGGCGCCAGGCGCAAAAGGAAGAAGACGAATTCTACGACCGATACCTGGAGGGTCGCAGAGATGAAGATGGTTATGCACCCATCGAGACATTGCATCGTGTGAGTAACCTCATCGTTGTGCCTTGGCGTTTAACATTGCATAGCCACACTCCAGTCCTCACCCCTGTCTCCTCTTAACTCTTCCCCGCTGACAAAATAACCGATATACAGGCACGCTGCAGGAATGTCATCTACTCCATCCTTGACCCTAACCCTGGTCGTCGCATCACAGCTTCCCAGGTTCTCAAGTCTGAATGGGTCCGGGATATCAAGCTATGCAAAGCTGGTGAAGAAGGCTTCTAATCATACATTTCTCTCTTCCCTTTTCTTCCCTCTTTTCCTCCCACCATCATCACTGCTGATATAAATGCGATGATGGGCACCAGTCCGATTGGCAGGTAAGCCGATGGAAAAGAAAAGAAAAAAAAGAATACCAAAAGAAACGATCCAAAAAAAAAAAGGAACAAGGAAGGGTCGGAACTTAAAAAAATCGAGAAAAAGGAACGGGAACGGGCTGGCTATCTGACTGACTTACTGGCTTGACTTAAGCCAAGCTACTCCTGGTTCAAGTTGGGTTGCCGTTCTCTCTTTCTTTTTTCCCTCTCTCTTCCCTGCCCTTCCATATCTCATCTCCGCGCTTTGCTTTTTGGTGGTCGTCGTCGTGTTCACCTGCTTCCACCGATTCCCTTGCTTCCTTGGCCTACTTATCTATGCCCTATAACTACAGAAAGTCAGGCAGACAGACAGACAGACGACGATGATGCTTCTTGGTTTATTTTCTGCCGATGGATTGGTTGGTTGGTTGGTTTGTGGTTTCTTTCTTTCTTCCCCAAAGGGTTTGCTCGGTCTAATGAATTATGATCATTTCTTCCGTCTCCTAACGTATAATTTCCTTTTTCCTTTCTCCCTCTATTTTCTCTCTTTCTCTCTGGCACCGACAACCCAGTCAACGCCGCTATCTATGGTCGCCTTTCCAACAACGACACCATCTCTTTCCACCCCCTTACCTTACCCTTTCCCCTTTTCTCTTTTCTCATGCCGAATGGGTATTGGCATTGGTTGGTGAGGTGACGAATGCATATGCACAGGGATACGTGATATGGCCTTTTGTCTTGCTGCTTCAACCTGCCCTATTGAATCGGACACCCTATTATACGACTGATTAGATATATGACTTAACGTATTTCTCACCTGGCTGTTACTCATCCCTCCTCTTCACATCCTTCGTTGGCTGGCTCACCTTTTATTTCTTTTCTTTTTTTTTCACCAGATATCTTTCTTCCCTTGTCCATATCGTTCTTTGCACATAAACTACATGCTTCACCAACACATAACGTCATTTCTACCTCGATCTACCCAAGCGTTCAATCACATTTTAACCGCTTATCTCTGTTTACATTGTTTATTTGCTTTTATTCACTTTCCTTTTTTAGATCGACTTGACCATATGTACTTATTTACCTACAACATACTTACTCCCCAGCCCCCCCCTCTAAACGTGGCTGGCATGCATCTCACACACGACAAGTGGACTGACGAGCAGGCAGGAAAGTGGAATGAAAAGAAAAGAAAAAACACAACTCAGAATAAACAATGAACTACGGAGCCACCGTATCTGCCCTAACTGGCTTGCCCTTTTGCTTGTTTTACTGCTTTCTTTTTTGCTTCTCCATCCAGTCTTTTCCAGGGGCTGGGTACGAACTGCAGATGCTGCCTTAGTCTACTACCATATCGCCAACTCTGCATGTACTATCTCCATACCCCGATATGAACGGATGCATCCGTACCAATCACCTGCATCCGACGATCAGCGAATCGAGTCGGAGAACATCCGTGGAAAGAAGGAGAAGAAGAAGCAAGAATCAAAAGAATAACAAATGTTTTATATCGGTTCGGAGTTGCCGCGATGTGTTTTGTTTATCTATCAACCAATTTGCGTCCGCTCGCTTCATGATCTTATCTGATCTTATCGTGTCTGGTTTGGGTTACAGATACCGTTTTGGCCTGAGCCTTCTTTCCCTCCTTTCTTTTTCTCGAGCTGGATATATATCTTCTTGCCGCTGCAGCCTGGAGCCTTTTTTTATATTGGTTGAGAACTTGCATAGCTTCCTTGTTAGCCAAGCGGTTGTATAGATACACGACGTGCTGTGCGCTCTACCTTAGCTGACACGGCCAGCCTTGGGTAGCAGCCACGCACCAAAAAAAATAATCAATCCTTCTTCGCACTCTTGAAACACCATCAATGTCCCGTCTATCTTTTTAATCTCCATCTATACTTAACACTCACTTAACACCTGCGAATATCAAATCAAATCAAACCAAATCAAATCAAATTAAGATGAAGCGCGGCCTCGACTCCGTCCACGTGACGTCTCTGCTGCGCCACGAAGACGCCAAGCCCCAGTCTTAGCTAAGCCACAGCTTGGGCGCAACTTCGACTCAAAAACCTGCCCAGGCTTCAAACCGTCGAGCGAACTAAAGAGCCTCTTCTGCTTTTCCACGCTCTCTCGACGCTTGAGATACCCTCTTCCGCGATAGAGAACATAGAAAAGGCCTGCGGTCTTGCTAATTAGCCTTTCCTGACCTTGACGCATCGTTAACAGTACCAGTTCCGCTTGCTTTTCCCTCGAGACCAACCTCCGTACGGACACGCAACCAATCACTGCCCCGCGAAGCAAGGGCGCCCTTTTACCGGCCTGTCCTATTTCCCTCGACTATACACCCAATACACCTCGAATCGCACTGCTTGCGCTCTAATAAGCTTGTTATAATATCCTGCTATCGACTGCGACTGCTTAACAACCATGTCTTGGGCCGGTATGTTGATAACAGAAGGCTCCCTACGCTGCAGCGTACTCTTCGAAACTTCGACTATGGCCCCTGATATATCCACGACCAATGCTGATACCGGCTGTCCTTCTAGGGTTTAAGAAAAATGTCAACCGGGCGACGACCCAGGTGATGATGAAGACTGGTATGTAGGCCTGACTTCTACTTGCTGCTCTGGACCTCTGCTGGATGAGACTGACTCCTCGGTATTACATTAAAGGCCATGTTGAGAAGACGAATGACCGGGACTATGAAATTGAAGAGCGAAGATATCGCACAATGGAATCCGCTGCGAATAGGCTACAAAAGGAGGCAAAGGGATACCTGGACTCGTTGCGAGGTGAGCACGGTTGGAGCATACCTTGAAAGATACGGTTGCTAACCTATCTCGCAGCCATGACTGCCTCTCAAATGCGAATTGCGGAGACTATTGATGCTTTCTATGGCGATGCTGGTGCCAAAGATGGCGTGAGCAGAAGCTACAAGCAGGCCGTTGAAGATCTAGATGCAGAGACAATAAAGGCACTTGATGGTCCCTACAGGTTAGCTCCATCTCGTTCATGCTCGTCATCAACCGACCTGACGTATACTGACATTACTCTTTAGAACGACTGTTCTTGACCCCATTTCCCGTTTCTGTGCATACTTCCCCGATATCAACGAATGTATCAAGAAACGTAACCACAAACTGCTCGACTACGACTCCATGCGCGCCAAGGTCAAGAAACTCGTCGAGAAGCCAGACAAGGACGCCTCTAAGCTACCGCGCGCCGAGAAGGACGCTGAAATGGCCAAACAGGCTTATGACCAATTAAACGAACAGCTATACAACGAGCTACCGCAACTTATCGATCTCCGTGTCCCGTACCTCGACCCATCTTTTGAGGCTCTTGTCAAGATCCAGCTCCGCTTCTGCGCCGAGGCATATAGCCGCATGGCCCAGGTCCAGCAGTACCTTGACTCAGACACAAGAGAGGAGTATGCATCTGGCAACTTAGACAATAAGGTTGAACAGGTACTGCAGGAGATCAGAGATCTAAGCATTGCCGGCACTGTTTGATTTGAGCTGGTGGCCCTCGTACTTAATTCTGGTTCCCTTTTCTCCGTTTTCGCCCATGAAGTAATGTTTTAGCGTGTTTTCAATACACATCAAGTATAATATTCCATCTTCCTCCGCTCTTCCGCTCTTCCGCTGTCTTGCGCTTCCCTTTTCCTTTCCTTCTTCTTATCCCTGGCTAGGGCTGCAGGGTGGAATAATATAGGAATATATATACATATATGGACAGCTAGCTAGCTATGTAAGGGAATAATTCCGCACCCCTTGCTACATGAAATGACTGCATCAGCCTTCCTCCGATCCATGCTCCAGCGTTTGGCCCCCTTAAACGGTCCAGAAGTCAACTTTCCGGCTGTTTCGTCTCACACCCTGGCCTGATCTGACTTTGAGATGATAACGACGGATTCCGAGGCGTCTAATTCATAAACTTACCTGATATTACCAGCAATACCCCGTCAACAACCTCACGACACTAGGCCATGAGAGGAAAGTGCATACGTGTTGTAGCTAGTTTTTACATGGGGATTTTCTCTTCGTTTTCTCTCTCATGATGGTGTTTGTTCTTTACGTACACCCATGTGATACGACGACGGACTTGTGCTTTTGATGTTATTTTGCAGAGCATGCGTTCCTGCTCGGCGGCTAAAGCAAATTAAGGCTTGTCCGTTCCGTTTCGAACTAGAAGCCCGTTTAGGCGGGTACAGTATTAGCAGCGATACGCCGTTACTGCCATCATGTACCGGACATGGTTGCCTATTCCTTCGACCAAGTCTGTTTGGGTTTCGGATATGAGTCCTATTGAGCATTTAAAGGTCATGGATGGAATAAATCATGCAACTATGCTATAGGTATAAGTATCACCACCATCCTACCATATAAATAGAAAATGTACATCATCCTACTTATACGCTTATATAGGAGTCTCTCTACCTTCCTGATAGGCAGAGATATGCACAAGGGCTTAACTTAATGGCTCGACCTTGTATCATGGGCTCACCTCTGAGAGGATACCAGTTGATGGGTAGTTACGGAATAAAGCTTGCTTGTTATGCAAGATACATGCTGGTCATCCCGTGTATAAAAACATCCCGCCGTACAATGTACATTATGTACACTTTTGTTCCCTGCAGATACGGTATATCTCAATGATAAGCATCTCATTAGGTGCATACGTTTGTGTACACCTACTCCGGATGTGCGTGCCTTGTGTCAGGAAGAAAGGGAACCCCGATCCATGAACCGCCCTAGTGGCTCGACACTCATACCCAAGGACAATACCTGCCAGAGAATCAAGGACAGGGCCGATCCTCAGATCCTGATCGCAACAAAAGTCCGCTCAGAAGAATCCTTGCATCGCCTATTCATGCGAAGAATTATTTCACGTGATTGTAGATCCCAAGGATGCTGCGAGCTGGGAGCAACCTTGAAAGGAATGGCCCGTGAGGGATAAGATCCCATGATTCAGGGCGCCTCCTGGTACCCTGCTTCAAGGGGGTCCATTGTTGCGTTGTCCAGTTGGAAGTTCGCCATTGCAGTTGAGCACCTTCGCAACCCCGAGGCACCCTGGTACCTGTCACTCAGCTTGAACGCCGCCCTTCCATCAAGCAGCTAAGCGAGCATTTTTAGCTCTTGCCTCTAAACCCGAGAATTTGTTCGTGCAATTTCTCTTGGTTAATATCGTGCCAACGCAGTATCTAAACCCAACTGCATCATGCAACAGGTTGCGATATGGGCGAATAGGGGTGTTTATGCAGCATCAGATAAACAGCAGAAGGCCCGTGCGTCTGACGAAAAACGCCCGTTGACAAGATACGATATCGCCATTTTGACCGAAACAATACAGCTTGAAACAAGGACGCTCCAGGTCCGGTACAGCTCAGCAATAGGCAGTGGGGTTGGCTGTAGTAAGTAGCTTCCAGTGGACAATAGCCGTCTTATCGCCTCCATGGGCAAGGGGAGAGCTGGCACCGGGGAAGCCTCCGCCCTCAGGTAGCCACTGCGCACATACTGCGCTGGCAAGGACAGAGCGGTGTACTCACGGTCGAAGCCGGATAACGGCGTCTTAGAGGGTATATGTAGCCGGAATTTCTTCAAGGGGATAGATAGACGGGAGCAGCCGTTTATGTTGAGCTAGTTAGTTAACTAACTAGTATGTAGGTTAGTTAGTTAGCTAAGTTATATGAGTCGATGCTTACTGATGCATCACCGCCCATCCGCCCCCGACCAGCTAATCCCGAGGATCTAAGGAGCGTATGAGACAGGCAATGCATGGTATAAGTGACGTCTGGGGCTTGCGTGGCTAGTCTTCTGGACTCATCGACCAGATCCTGTCCTGTGTTGGCGGTTGATATAAGAGCGATCAGATATAGCCTGGGAAGCGGCTCTGCTGGCGCTAAGCCATAACAGGCAACTCGCAACTTGCCCTGGTAAAACTGTTAGGTAAATCTGCCTTGGGGGATGATACAGATGAGTTTTTGAGAGCTGGTATGATGGGTGTTCTGTTGGTTCGAAAAAGGCAATTAGATGAAGCCCGTAACCTTGTATGCTGAATTATTTCTAGAATCAATGCCTGTTGAGAATGGAAGCTTGTAGTGAAGTAACAAGATATGTAGTAGGATTGAATTGGATATCGTTGATTCATAGATAAAAACAGGCCAAATCTATTCGTACATTGTTCATTAAGAGCGTAGCTTTTTTGACGTAAAGCAAGCAAACAAGCAAACAAGCAGCGCATGTAAACAGTTACATCAGTACAAAGGAGAAATGGATATGAGCCAAACGAACGAAAAGGGAAGAAGTGTAGAAGTAAAACAAGGCACACGCATGCTTGAGTTGGCAGCAGCAGTCGACATCATGAGAAAGTGTTGTCGTTTATCTCGATTAATTTTGTCTGAATCTCTATGCAGGATGCATAGTAGCCTTCGAAAATGTCGTTCTTTGCAATGCAGGTATACCGGAAAGAGATTAAACAAGGACTCCTGTAAATTTGACAATTCCCTAGGAGAGTTATCCGATTGAGCTGGATATTCCACGATGGGTTAGTGCCTGTGAGTGATCTCCAGGCCATTTGGTTAAGGGGATCAAGATCAGAGCAAGGCACCGTCCAAGCGGAAGGTAGATAGGATAAAACAGAAAAACAAAAAAAAAGGAATAACAAGTTAGAATCAAAAAAGAAAACAAAAACAAGGAACATAAATGGCAATTTTAAGGCAATACAACAGGTCCGTGAAATTTTTTGCTAAATGAGCAGATTTGCCTCCCACGCGATTTTTTAGACCAAGAGGAAGAGACACGGTCTCATCGAAATTCCTCTTCCAGTAGCATAAAAGGAAATTTGGGAATGGGAACAAGGCTGTTCCTGATAGGGGGAAAATAGTCGGCCGTTAAAATCTCCGAAAAAAAGGGCATGCTCCGTGGGTAGATGGGTGTCTAGTGGGAGTGAGAAACCGGGCAAGTATGATCGACTCCAAGTCAAGTCAGGCCGGATTCGTGATGTCGTTCGGGAGATAGGCAGTGATCTGGGAAAGGAGAAGACAAATCGAATAAATAGCAAGAAAATGGGAGATGAAAAAGAGAGAGAGATAAAAACAATTGCGAACACCTTTGGTCACGTTTTCGCATCAAGTCATTGTACATATGACTTGGTTCATGGGAAATATACGTCTCGCTCGAACTCGTTACTCCTTATATCGTATTCAATCCACCACGATTCAGCTGCACGGGGCGCAAAGCATCATTGATATCATGATACGCGTGCCCTCTGCGTATCGCTATGAGCCTTTATCCTCCTCTGGGCTCGTATCGGGTTGTTCTGGTGAAATTAGTTCCCGGTTACCAGGGGATTCTGGTTTAGCTGGGCCGGTGGGTGTCGTTGTGGCTGCTGATACTACTGTATCCGGCCTTTGGCCATTGCCGCTTGGTGGCGCTTCCGCCTGGGGATTCTGAGACTCTTGGGCTGGCCTGTTCGAGTCTTTTGATTCTATAATCATTGGCGAATCCTGGAGATGCCGGGCACCCTCCGCGCGCGGCATGAGTGGTTGCTGTGGTCGTTGTCCTCTTTGAACCTGTATGTCCTGTGTTTGAGATGGAGGAGTTTCGGTCCCATGATACTGTACACTCATTGGGGTCGGAGGATCGGGTTCACGTGGTTGTTCCGGAGGTGGTCGCTGGCCCATTGCAGGAGAATATGGTGTCTGTGATGTAGCGGGAGATGTTGCAGGGAGAATTCCTACTGCATAGCCAGGCCTTGGTGTAGTGTGGTTCGGTTGAGCAGCGGGATGGGCCTGAGATCGGGCCTCCTCAGCTATCCTGCGACGCTGCATTTCCACCTTGCTCGGTCGTCCGCGTTTGCGAGGAGTATCTCCACGAGGAGGTTCAGGAGCACGAGGAATCGGTACACCAGTACGAACCTCAGACATGGAGTATCTTGAGGTATCAGCTGTATGCGGCTTTGGCTGGATGGCACGAGGAGCAGATGCCAGCGGCCTTTCCCCAGGCGGTGCGGGCCGTTTTCTGATTATCGGAGACATCTGCAGAGGAGCAGGCGGGCCGGGGATGCTCTGTCTGTATTGACTCGTATATTCTTGCTCCATGCGATAGAACGCTGTTTGACAAGAGCTGAGTGATCGCCCTATATGTATAGTAGTCAGCAAAACCGCTGCTATGGGGCAAGCGCAAATTGGCTAAAACGAGCATATCTCCATTCATGCTTTCAGGACACATCAAGGCCACTTAAAGCGAGAGTACTGGACTGAAAGGGGAGGCGAGGGGGTCCCGTATTTATTTACCTGGCGGAAGTGGTATCTCCATCCAACTTGGGGCAATGCGGTTCTCTCTGATGATACTGAAGAGGTATGCGGAGGAGACGCCTGCTTTCTTCAATATCTCAGTGAGAAGAAAGTTCTGTAGAAGCAAGGCAAAAAGAGAATCAAAGGTCAGCGAACTAGACATTGAAAATAGGTATTGGCGTGAAGGGCAGGAGTGATATCAGTACCCTCTCCTCCTCCGTCCATAGTTTATCCTGTTGATGGGACATGTCCTGCGGGTGGTCATGTACAGTGTGAAATGGTAACGTAACGAATGCGCATATGTTGGGCCGCTCATATAAAAGGGCAAAAGAATCGGAGCAAGCAAGGTACAGAGAAACGAGAGTCGTCAGCAAAGCTCGCAAAAAAAAAGAAGACGGCGGCGGGAGCTTCAGTATTAACCACCGCCGCGGCCGGCACTGAGTCGAGACGAGATGGACTGATCGGACGAACGCGAGGCCGGTGCTACAGCCAGCAGGCAGCTAGCTCGCCGTGCAATACAAAGTAAAAGCAACGAGAGTAGAGAAATGAAGATTGGATTTGGTGGTAAACAACAACAGCACAAGATCCAACCAACGGGCAAGGTAAACAACCCCACACAAACTCCAGGACGTGGGGGAGAAGTAAAGAAGTAAGAAGTAAGACGAAGGGTCCCGTAGATGGAGATGGCTTGTCGTCTTCGGTGCTGTTGGTTGTTTTCTTTTCCGTTCTCTTTATCTCTGTATCTCTCTCTGTTTCTGTGTGTGTATGTGTATGTGTGTCTGTTCAGCAATGAAGGGCGCCGACGTGAGTGAGTGAGCGAGTGGTAGCGGCGGCGCAAGAGCCCACGCAAGTAGCAAAAAGTAGTAGAAATAACAAACGAACGGAAGCGCGAGCGCAGGAGTTGCCACACGCAATTGAAACCTCCTCGGATGACAGAGCTAGACAGAGAGAGGCAGCGTAAGAGGCAGCGTGGCGGGTGATAGGATGGAAAGTGCCTTTTGTTGTATGTGTGTGAGTGTGTGTACAGCGGCGATAAGTAGCAGACTGGACTTTTATGTTGGTACAAGGATACTTAGCCACGAGGATGGTCGTAGTAGTAGTAGTTGTCACCCATCGAGCGGACGGGGATTCAGGGTTGGGGATTGGTGAAGCAAACAAAAAAGAAACAAGAAGCAGCAGAATTAAAGCGTAAAGGGAGAAAAAGAGAAGAAGAAGAAGCTCGTATTTAATTCATTCGTAGGACAGATGGAGGTTTGGGTGTGCGACAAAGAAGCTGGGGCATTGAATTTGTCGATTTCGCATTGATGTTTTGGCTGGGCCGGACAGAGATGGAGGAGTTGGAGATGACGATGGTGGTGATAGTAGTGGTAGGGTAGCTGTTAGTAGGGTTCCCGTGGGACAGAATCAACAATGAACACTGCTAGGAATGAATATGCGACTTCGTTATTCCGGTGACATCAAGGAGAGACTTGAAACGAGCGATAAGAAGGTCAAGAAGGCACGGCAAAAGAGAAGGGATGGAAGCAGGGGCCGAAGGGGATGGCGAGAAGAGGAAAAGAAGGGGAGGAGGAGAAGGGCAGGAGCGCAAGAAGGCCAAAGGAAAAGGGGAGAAAGAGAGACAAGACAGAGGAGAGAGAGTAAGAGCGTAAGAGAGTAAGAGAAGGAGAGGAAGCAGAAGCAGAAGAAGAGAGAGAGAAGTGTGAGATGTTGGTGATGGAGGCTGGAGAGTCTGCGAAAGAAACAACAACAAAAAGAAAGAAGGTTGATTTTTATGGGGATCAATCAAGGGAGAGGGAAATGGGAAAAGGAAAAGGTTAAAAAAAAAAGGTACTCGCAGGTACCGCTGCGGTCACGGAAATACCGTATAAATAACCAGGAGGGCTTCTTCTTCTGCTTCCTTTAAGTTCGTTCGGGGGAGGGAGGGAGAGCAGGAAGGGGTACAAAGTCCCCGGGCGAGGCAGCCATACAAGATGAAAGTACCTGTCCCTGTCTATACACCCCCCAGTGGGTACAGGCTCTTCATGCAAGAGATGAATCCAAAACTCGCCAGGCTAGCCCGTTGCAGGCATGCAGGCAGGAGCTGCTTGGGATATTTCGAGCATCGAGCGGCCAATCAGTGCTGGCGGAAAATCTAAGAGACGGGCCAGCAGGGCTTGAAACACCTTATTTAGCCTGTCTTGGGGACTCGAATTCCGTCTCGGAAAAGGTCGATATATATTGCCCATATATGTATAAGTTGCTTCGTAACTACGGAGTAGTGAATCCGTAGTTAGCAGGCAGGCGAACAGAGAGTGAGAATTGTATGCGGGCCTTGCAGGGGATCGAGGATGGGTGTTAATTAGCCTGCTTAGAATAGAATATCACTCCGAAGGTCTGTTCCTTTCTTTCTTTTTTCTTTCTTTTTCTTTTTCTTTTTCTCTCTCTTTTTTTTTTTTTTCAATTCCTATCCTGCTTCTTCTGCTGTCGTTTCCTCCCGACCATAAGGAACGTACCCAGTAACAATCCTTCAATCGGCGAGAGCGACACACGCAATTCCCAGAGTGATACCAACGCTAGATGCGAGAGGCAGAAACCAAGGAGTGGAGCTGGCCAGAGGCAAACCTGCAGAGTAGTAATAGTGCTACCGACTGGCTGCTGGCTAGCTGGTTGGTTGGCTGTTCGTCTTCTTCCTTTCTTATTCGGCTTTTGCTGCTATGAAGCGCCGTCTATTATTTGTGAACATTCTATGTGTCTATGCTCCGTGGCGAATGATAGTCTAATCAAGCGCTGGTAAACTAGCATATACAGCTGTTGGGGCCAAAACTTTGACCGTTGACGTTGATGTGTACGGAGCGTACGGACGGAGTGTATACTCCGTACCTTTGTGCAAGCATATAGCCTTCCCTCGGTCGATATTGGCTGGAAAGCTTGAAGTCCGGGAGACCGACCTTAGAACCAGCGATCATATAGCTAGCTATATTATGATTTGCCTCGTGTTAATTGGGTGTGTTGCCCAGGAACGAAACGTTCCAGGCGTCACTTTGTCTGATACTGATTGGCCATGGTTTCGTGATAAGGTGCCTGTGTGTGGATAACGTCGTTTTCTGTTTGGCTGTTTTTGGTGGCATGTAACGAGCGAAAGTAACTCCTGTGTTTCAAACGAAATCAAAAACGCCCTGAGACATCAAGAAACAGGAGCAGCCAATACATACACGCACACTTATTCTTTAGTACTGTGTAAGAAAAACAACTGTCCGTTCTCGAAGTTTGGTAGACAAGCCTTGTCGCACAGAGTATCAACGAAGGAAGATTTGGAGCCTTTCGAAGAATTAAACCCATGGCAACGAAGATGCATGTTGATTTTTTTCTTTTTCTTCATTTCCTTCCTCCCCCGGGCCGTTCTTCTCAGGTGATTTTGTCGGGTGATTTTATGGGGATATCGATCGAAGCATGAGAACTCCATACGGAGTACGGAGTAACTAGTTAGCTAAACGGAGGATTGAGCAAGGTACTTCGTAGCGAGGCACCGCCTGTTCCTCACAGGCAAGCAGATCATCCGCTCTGACTGACTTTCTTAACTACTGCCTCGGCGCCACAAGCTCACACGCCCCAAGGCTATTCTCGGTTTGCTTGCCTAGCTCACAAGTATCTTGAGCTGTTTAGGTTGGAATTCTCAACGGGAGAGAAGTACTTATATGATGGGTCCGACGTGGAGAGGTACGGAAAGATCTGTGATTGGAGGGCAACACAGACGGGGAGGAGCCATGTTGCATGGGAGCTGGATGATTGGAGCCGCCCGCCCTCCCCTTGCTGATGATGCTGATGCCGATGCTGCTGCACAACCCACGAGAAACAAACAAAGAGAGATACAGACAGGAGGGATCCAGCCATGATGGAGATCGTTGGATGTGCAGTTGCACTGTATTCGTACGCCGGGGGGTAACCAACGACTCCTAGGCTGGCCACCGAGTTGCGCTTGTATCGAACTGGTCCCGCCGTTACGGAGGACCACCAGACACAACGTCTGCCCCTAGAGTATATCTAGTTAGCGCGGTCAAGCCAATACACGGAATTTTACTAGGGAAATCGAGGTACTTCTACGTCCTGCTCCCTCTATCATAATCTGGCTTCGGCCTCTCTGTCTCTCTTGTCTTTTGTCGCTTCCCCCAAGGCTGGACGTTGAGATTAGGCCAAAGCACAGTTCTCAAGCAACCAATCAACGATTAAGAAAAACCACCACATAAAGGCAAACCAATTAGATTTTATCAGCCCATCGATCATGAGCCACTTAGCTGTAGTTGGCCACCGGAGCCATATCTCATCAAATGACGTATTAAACAATGGAGTACTAGCCCGTCGAAATGGAATCAGAATCGGGCAAAATGTTCAGTGATGTAGTTGCATATATCAAGTTAACATATGCAGTCACTACGTGGGCGGATATTAAAGTCAGGAATGAGTTGTGCTACTTCTATTAACTATACTTTTCAAAATAGATAACACATCAGTTGACAACGGCTACTCTCATTTCTCCATTTCTTTATTTCCTCCCTCAACATATACAATTTTCTTCTTGTTGCATGAAATTAGCGCGATGAATACCACCGTGGCTCTTTGGATATGGCGTCGCTTGCGGTCATCGTGTTTTTGGCTTCCTGATGATGGGGAAGTCGAAATTCCACCTTTTGTTTCGCATAGTAAGGAATGTTTTCAATTGGTGTCAGACCAGCCGGAGAACAGCCTTCACCAGAACCACTCTGAGCACGACTATCTTCTATATGAAAGCCATCTCTCCGAAGATCAACCCCAACCTAAGGGGCAACTCGAACCAGTGCTAGATGAACCACAACACCCAATCCATTCCCTCAGCGCCGACATACTGTACTATCTCGCAGTGGCCTTCCTCCCTGTGAACGATACAGCCTCTCTTGCACTGACCTGCAAAGCTGCATTTATAGCTGTGGACGGGAAAAAGGTTCTCCAAGAGTGGCAAAGCCAGCCCTTAGCATGTCGAGCGGAGTTCCTACGGGGGCTAGAACGGGATTTCCCAGGCCACATCCTTTGCTATCAATGTGCAAAATTTCATTCCCGATTTCAAAGTGAATATCAAGATGTAGAATGTGATTTTAACAGCTGCCAAATGTATTATGGGCAATGTTCGTATCGTGTGTTGTATAAATGTGCCAAAGAGATTGTGAATCATTATCGGTTTGGCCCACGATACGGACGCAGTGAGCGTGAACTGATACCCAAGACGTTATATTCCATCTCAAAACCGGAGGATGATGTTAAGGGAATTGATTGCATCGATTTAAAGTGTGTTGGCGAAGGAGACAACGTTAACCTGATTTTCAGGCGGTACATATGGGTGGAGTATGATCTCTCAAATCCAAAATCGAGAGAAGCGGCAAAATATGTAGTCTTGATGAACAGCCTCCATATTTTGGGCCCCCACTGGAGGATGGATAACCTGACCGATGAAATTCCTCCCACGAGTTATTGCTGTAAGTGGTGCGGCGCTGAGAGGGAACACTCCATAGTGCACTTGCGGGATAAACCTGGGTATGCTGCTCTTCGAAGCACGCTATGGGAAAATGTAGGTCAATGTGAAAACACAGAGCATGGACTGTGGACTCATGTTTGCGATGATTGGTTAATGCACCGGGAGGAGGAGCAGTATGTTCCCATTAGGCAGTGCGATTTAACGTACTTGTATGCCTTCGTCGGTGATGCCTCCTGTGCTGATCGAGAAAGATATTATGATCCATCGGTTGAGTTCTAGTTCGTTGTCAGTATAAAATAACTAGTCTCTTTGCTGCCAAATTGGTGGACCCGCCTTTATACCCCGGCCGTTTGAAACTCGTTAAGGTTGCTATAACTGTCCCGTCCGTACCGGTGCACCGCTAGTCGGGGCGCCGGACGCCGGACAAGCCTGCGCCGCTGCCCGACTGGTGGGTTTGCTTGACACCTCACCGGAGCAGGAATGAACGGACAGATCCGGTCAAATTTCGCCTCCATTCTCCTCCGAGCATGTCTGTCAGCAGCAGCCGCATGCATTTCCTCAATTTGCCTCGCTTCAATCCTCTCGATAGCGACCCTGGTTGCACTATGGTCACTCGCTAACACTCTGGTTTCAAACAAGACACTTTTCGTGGTTGCCCGGGTTGAAGTAAGCGTATCCTTCAACCAAGCAAGCTTCGTACCAACACCTTCAGGGTAGTTCATAAATATTCCAAGAATTAGCGTCAGAGTTTCATCACTCGGCCAATTGGCCTCGGCCTGAGTCTGTATACTATCAATTGTGGTCTTCGTAAAATCAAGCTTCAACCTGAATGCCTCCATCTGTTCTTCCCAGGATCTAATAATCCCATCCCCCTCCTTCCCGAGGTTTCTAAACCACAATACGAACCGTGGTATCAGCGTCTCCCCTAACACTAGGTGTATAAGACCAACAAATGGAGAGAAATTCGCGATCCATCTAGCAACTGTTTGTCCAGTGCTTTCGTATGCCGGGGTTCCACATCGAGCAGAGGAATCCTGTGAAGTCGTGAGGGGCTGTAACATAACACGGGAATGTCGATGAAGAAAAAGTGCAAATACAAGAACATAGCCAAGGGCCAGCAGACGCATTATGGTGGGTATTTCTGGCTCGCTTGGGGGTCTAATGGTAGGCTGGATTGCTTGCTGGCAGATGATAACAGTTGGTAACAAGTTAAGAAAAGATGGCCTTGCGTTGTGGTTTCCTTCCTGGTCCAGGGGCGGAGAGAGGAAGAAGAGGAAGAAGAGGAAGAAGAAGAGAGGAAGTTCGCGGTGGAGGGGCAGGACATCGCGTTAGCGTAGGGCTTTCCTAATCGGGTTGACGTGACAACGAGGGCAAAACCCAGCATATGACATGGAAAGCGCCAGCAGTAGTAGCAGGGATATATAGGGCTACTCACTGGTATAAGAAATACATTCTATAGGGACAATTGGATTCTGGGTATCTTTTATAGCTTATATTTCATCCGGAAGCCAGGGAGGAGAGCTATTCTTTACATGCTCTTGACCTTCAGGCATGATAAAAGTTGGGTATATTAGAGAGTCACGTATCAGCCATCTCCATAGGAAATCCATGGCGTACCGCCCTTCCATAGAGCGGTCCATGGCCCACTTATTTTCACCGTTTATATGTATAGAAGATTGGTGCAGGAAGCAGAGACGTTGACAACTACCTAGGCAGGTGGCTCCTATCCGCTTTTATATAGAACGTTGGATGTATTGGTCATCGCCCAGGCCCCCTGGGCAAAACTGCTTTGTACTCTGTAGATACCGCGTAATTTCGCCTTCGAAGGAAGCAACAAAGTACCTTATTACCCTAGTAAGATTCTGTGTATCGGCTTAACCGCGCTAGCTAGATTTAGAGGAGTTGTAATAAGTTTTTGTTCTGGCATGCTTTCTTAGCGCGTTACTAGCCAGGCACAGAATCCGAGCCAGTAAGTGTCTGTATTTCCATACTTGTGTGTCCAGCTTGTTCGGTGTAACTAACGCTCTTTATACCTCGTCGAGAGGTTTCTTCCGGTTAGGCGCATACTTCATGGACGGAGTATCCCCCATGGCTCCAAGGCTTCACTGGTTAGTCTGCATTTGCTCTTTTCTTGGCCCTGCTCTAAAGCTCCCTTCGTCTATTTAACTACAGCGTATTTGTACAGCCACCTGTAACGCCGTTTTGAACTGTGAAGTCGATGGATGGTGGTTGTATTCAAGCCGATGGGGCGGTTTTTCCACTGTAATTACTGGCTACTGCTAACCACTGCCTTTCAATACCGCCTGCCAGGACCAAGGTAACTATTTAAAGCATACGAGTAACGCTCCGATGGATGATAATGAATGCGTTGGTGGTAGTGTTGGCGGCGGCTAATGGGTGGGCGGGCATACTTGCGTTGGACGGACACTTCAAGGGTAGATCTTGGTACAGAGTATCCTTCCACGATTTACTTTAGGCACATTGGTCCAGGGACATGGAGTTAACATATGGATGTTTCAAAGCTTCCTCGGCGGTAGGCCGTGCCGCTGGATCGATAACAAGAATGTGCTCAATGAAATCAATACATTCCTCTGAGCAGATCTCCCTTGGGAGCTTCTGTAGTTCGTCCAGCAAAGACCCTACAGTGATGAATGGGGCGTCTTCACCAGTTTCAGGATGCGTATATCCGGTTTGTTCAAGTGCTTCACCCATTTCAAAATCTTCTTTATAGGCCGGGTTATCTGGTATATCAATAGGGCCCAAAAGCCTGGTGATTTTTGCCAGGCACCATGCGGCTTTGTTTCCTTCGATGCTCTTATCCCGTGAGCCAAAAAGGGTCCCGGACATCAGCCAATGCGTGATCTGTTTTATGTAAGTAGTTAGCCTATTCTCCACTGACATCATGCAAGGCATACATACGGTTACTCCCAATGACCACATGTCTGATGAATGCCAGATTCCAAGGCCCCTCCACACTTCGGGAGCTCGTGTTTCGTCAGTCTGCGCACCAGGATTATTCTTTGCAACACCTTCAGAAAGGCTTTGTAAAGCGTGAGTATTTTTCTTCACAAGTCACTCGTTACGGGAGAGAAGCAGACCATTGTCCAAATCACCAAGTTTGACAATAGGTAATAAAGAATCAGGTTTTGATAGGAAACATTGTTTGGGTTCACGTCTAATCAAGAAAACCAATAAGTTGACCAAATAATATAAGCAATGGTAGCCGGTAAACAAGTGCGCCTACCTGTATGCACGCCCTTCATTTGGTGGAATACTACCAGCGCCTCAAGAATCGATTTAGTAACGATTTGGGGAAGGCGTGGGTTGGAAAACGGCTTGCCAAAAGGGCGAACTAGCCATAGTTCTGTATCCATCCATTCCATAACGAGGCGCTTCTGGATACTTGGCGGAGATGGACTCCAATCTTCGAGTTCACCTCTCTCAATGACATCAACTGCCTGTCGGATGTAAGGACATTCTTTTATAGCGGGTAACTGGTGGGCGCGGAGCTCCCTCTCCATGAGAAGGTCCTTCATGAGAAGGTTCTTAACTACCTAGGTACCACACTGCACATGTTATCAAATTATACGACAGGGAGTGAAAAAAGGATACCTACCTCTTGTGGAGCGGAGCAGCTTGTGCGCCATCGATTGATGAGACTCTAGAGGCCTTAAAGACCGAAGGCCCTTTAAGGAGGTCAAGCAACTTGTAGGATGCTTTCTGCCCATTTAAGATTCGATTTATAGAGGATGCCATCTTTGGTCGATTGGGCGGGTAGTAACATAATTTTGGATCAATATAAACTTCAAAAGATTATTATAGCCAATCCATATATACAGAATTTAACCAATAAGTTAGGTTGCCTACACTTTCAATCATCATGTGAGCGTTGCGAACATAAAATGTATGCCTAACTTTGAGGGAGAAGCAATCTCAGATTTCCTCACCATTGATTGGCTGTATGAATAAAAAGACCAACCTTTTGAATAATGAGGATGCATACAGAAGAACACGCAGTTAAGAACCTGTACATATTTCCTTGATAATGGGGGTTGTTTGTGCCTTTGGCGCTTATCCGGTCGCTTCTCTGGTGAAGTAGACAAACAAAACCATATGGAACCAGTGATTTAACCATAAGATCAATACTCCGTACTAGTTAACTGAAACTCTCCTGGATTAATCCCAATGTGCTGCTCAAGCTACAGTCACAACATCTCTCTGTCCCTTCCTGCATACATACGCACGATACTGGAGTACCACACGTTGATTCATGGATGGACGGGTACAGGAAAGGTCGTGTATCAGCCCGCATTGCTGATCTGCCCAGTGTATTTGATGATACGAGGGTCGGTTGCCTATTCAATACTTTTCGATCCAATCAACAGATATCAATCAGCCTTACCCGCAAAACCCCCGTGCGTCACACAATCCTCTGGAACCCAGTCGCTGCCCACGAACCAGGCAGCGCTCCGTTTAACATGCGCACGAAGAAGGCTGTCGGTTCAATTTAATCGAGCCATGTGTCCCTGCCTCTTGCCTATCAGATCATGTTTCTAATTCGAAACCAGGGAATTAACGCTTTTCCCCGATCTTAGCCTTTCAGGTCGCACTTTCGCCTCCATCTGCATGATGGGCGGCTACGGGTTCTCTATCTTCAATGAACCATACAGAGGAGCCGGATGATAACGTTTTTCATGATAACACTTGCTTTCTTTTCATTCGTCCCTGACTGTTTTCTGTAAGTTTTCGCACCCTTCCCCCTCACACATTCATGGTTTACCGAGAGTTCCAACAGTCCTCTGTACTTCTGTACCGCTGAGGCATTTCTCTTCCGGTGAGGTTCCCTTTCGGAGTACACACATCTGCTTGTCTGTTAGGTCTCAAAATATGGTATGGCCCCAGGTTTGGTGTAATGGAACAACGACATTCAAGTTATTAATGCGTTAACCCAATTACCATTTACTTTAGCCGTTGGTTTGAATGGTTTGCGGTTATGTCGTCCAATTAATCTGGATTTCCACCTGAATATGTTCAGATGACTGCCAGAGTCGTTACTTTTCATGATTTGACCACTTCCTGGGTTTTCACATCTTCGCCTCCAATGGTCACTGTCATACTTACTGTATGGCTTGCAGCCAACAAATACCATTAGCCCGGTATCATATGAACAAGGTTCTACCAATCTCTATAAACAATATACCAGCTAGATGGCTATATTGTTTCTTGCCGGAGTCAAGGTATCCTCGGATCGCTCTTGAATCTGGTGACAGCTTCCCTTAACCATCGGCGGCCGAGTCGGTTGCTAGATAAGTGCAATATATTCATATGGTGCCTTCACCCCGAGAGGTGGCTTCTGCCTTTACGGACGTCTCTAATATTCTCGGCTATTGTCCATGGGCCCTTCAGTACCTTCAACCTTTACTAAGGGCAAACAATTGGGTATCTGGGTTTCTGAAAAAAGAAAGCCCTGTCCACGAGGTCGCGTCAAAGAGTCAAGGGCCGATGATGAGGAGTCGTGGTTGGGATGATTGTTTTCCCGATGTACGTACCAGGATCAATGTCTGTTCCGTTTGAACGAAGGGACCAGCACTTTTATTAGTCCCAGTCTTAGTGTTAATGAGTGGTAGCTGGGGAAGCGGTTGGTCTCGTTTGTTTCTTTTTTCCTTTTTTCGCAGGAGGTTTTGGAGCTAGTGTTACTGCCACTCACTTCGAGCCACCGCCTTGACTGCATATTTTTTTCCCTTTATGTAGAAAATCTCCAGAGCCTCCAACTTCATTTATTATAGCTCATTCTTCACTTATCGTCATCGCTGGTATAGCCGGCCCCTTTTGTCTCCTCTCTTCTCAGAATAGCTCTCAAGGGCAAACAAAGAGAGGTGCATTCATCTGGAGAGATTATATCACTGATTTATCGGGAGCCATTTTCCGACTTGTTAGCTTGACATCGAGAAGATGACCGCAGGAGACTTATCATACCACTATTTGAGGAGTTAAGAGGGTAACCTCCCGAACAGCTTCCGAGATACATAGAGAGGAGCTCTCCAGGCGAATAATAACAGAAAGAAGCATTAAGTGAAGAGGACATCTTCCCTTGGACATCTTGATGCTGGCTGCTCGCTTGAAACCAGCGCCTTTTTCCACCCAACACCGGCCAGCAACTCTCAAGGGGACCACGAAACCAGGCACCCTTAGCTATATCATCACCACCAAGCCTGTTTCCTTTCGCTACGTCCGCTTCTTACTTTGCTCTATCTCATTCAGTCTGTGGCCATCAGGCAACATATATCGGCTCCAGCTACTCGTGCCTGGAGGTCAGCTTCTTCCCGCCAGGCTTGATTGATCCTTCTCCTGATACTTGTATTTCCACTATTGCCACTGTACCACTCCCTTTTTCGTCATTTCCAAAAACCTCGGAAAAATCTCCATTCAAAGTCGACGAACACCCAAAAAGTTCGACTTCTCAACCATCTTCACGGCGTCCCCTTGCGCCTCGACGTCACTCCTCCCTACGTCGCTGTTGCCTGTCTGTTCAGCCCGGAGGCAGCCACACCTTGTCACTTTTTTTCTGCAGTAGTTAGGGGCTGCATAGTTGACTGGTGTCTTGGCAGAAGATTTCCGGTTCAAAGCACCAGCGACAGGCGTCAAAAGCCGTAACACACCAGGAGCGTAAAAGAGTGTTGATGAAGGTCCTAGTGTCACAAAACTTGTCCTCTCCAGTCTCGCCCACTGGATTCGATCATTGCTTCTCCGCAGAAAGCACTCTAACCAGGCGGTAGACGCCTGCTCCCGCTGGCCCCATGGCTCGCCACGATGATGTCGACGTGAAGACAGAATTTGTGGCAGACGCGGTAACAGAGATGAAGCTGGAACGAGAAAACTCGACAGAGGATGCGTCCCTTAATGGCAAGACCTCTAGTAATGGTGAGGCCAATAGCACTCCTGCGTCGCCTGCCAAATCAGCAGTTTCATCGCCAGATGGGTCGTCTTCTGCCTTGAAAGATGAAGAATCAGAAGAAAAGATTGGAGGGGATATCACCGTCAAGCAAGAGCCGGGTCAACCTCCGAAACTGGCTCGCTCTGCTACCAAGAAAGTTGTTCCCAGGAAACCTCAGATGTTTGATCATCTCCCGGACAGCACCGCCGAAGCTACTTCCCTTTTTCAAGTGATAGATGCATGCACATACTCAAATAAGAATATGGGCTACACAGACCATGCCATGGAGTGTGACTGTGCTGAAGAATGGAGTAAGTAATTGTCTTATATGGACCTAGTGTCTCCTATGCACTTCCATATCTATAGACCTGATGGTTCTTACATTCTCTGCATACTTGCCTTGTCGTTCTGCTTAGTTTATTAGTTCTTGTGTAGAAGCTAATCCGGGTTGCTCTAGATTCCAAGACAGGAATAAACGAGGCTTGTGGGGAAGATTCAGACTGCATAAACAGGGCCACAAAGATGGAATGTGTTCAGAATTGCGGCTGTGGTGACAATTGCCAGAATCAACGCTTTCAAAAACGACAATATGCCGATGTCACAGTTATAAAAACAGAGAAAAAGGGGTTTGGCTTACGAGCAAACGCCGACCTGCGACCTAATGATTTTATCTTTGAATATATTGGCGAGGTCATCAATGAGCCGCAATTCCGAAAGCGCATGATACAGTATGATGATGAGGGTATCAAGCACTTTTATTTCATGTCTCTGAATAAAGGTGAATTCGTTGATGCAACAAGAAAAGGAAACTTGGGGCGATTTTGCAATCACTCCTGCAATCCCAATTGCTACATCGATAAATGGGTAGTTGGAGAGAAGCTGCGTATGGGCATATTTGCTGAGAAGTATATTAAGGCTGGCGAAGAATTGGTTTTCAATTACAACGTTGACCGATACGGTGCTGATCCACAGCCGTGTTATTGTGGTGAAGCCAACTGCCTTGGCTATATTGGTGGGAAGACCCAGACGGAACGAGCAACGAAGCTATCTAATGCCACCATCGAGGCATTGGGAATTGATGATCTGGATAGCTGGGACACTGCTCTACCGAAACGCCCAAAGAAGAAGAAGACTGCTGAAGATGATGAAGAATATGTCGACAGGTTCCAACCTAAATCCCTAGATGAGGAGGGTGTCACGAAGGTCATGGCAACTCTCATGCAATGCAAAGAGAAATGGATTGCTGTGAAGCTTCTGGGCCGTATACAGCGCTGTGACGATGAACGGGTCATCAACAGAATCGTGAGAATGCATGGTTACCAGATTCTCAACTCCCAGCTTACTGCTTGGAAAGAAGACTTCAACGTGGTGCTACAAATTCTCCAGATTCTGGATAAATTCCCACGGCTTACACGAAACAAAATCATCGATTCAAAAATCGAGAGCACTGTTAAGCCGTTGACCGTCTGTGGTGATGAGCGTGTCGAAAAGCAAGCTGCTTCTCTCCTTGAGACTTGGTCAGCGCTTGAAGTTGGCTATCGAATTCCCAGGATGAAGAGAGATCCTGCACTAACAGCCAATATTCCCTCGGCAAAACAATTTGAGCGTCGAGAGGTAATGCGTGAGCGTGAGGATCGTCCTCGGAAAGCAACATCGGAGTCACGAGATAAATCTCCAAAATCCCCTTCAGTTGACCCTACCAAAGTCGCCCCTCGAGGTCCTGCTGCCCATAGTAGGGGCGGAAAGAGCCACAGAAACTCATACCACCAGGGTCCACGACCGTTCCGCCGGCCATTCAATCCGCTTCCTTCAGGATGGTTCGCTGCGGAAGCTAATGGGAAAACATACTACTACTCTGCTCGAGGAGATACCACTTGGGTCAGGCCAACGACACCCGCACCACAGCCACCACCCCCACCAAAGCCTGAATCAAAGGATAAGACGTTGCAGGACATTATTGATGGGATTATGAATTCAAAAGAAGATACCCCGAAGTCAAAGGATAAGGAGGTATCTGCTACCCCAGCAACTCCCGCTGACGTCCATCAAAAGAAGGAACACAAACCGAAATGGAAATCGTTGAGTGAAGAGAAGCAGAAGAAGCTCTATGAAAACACAGTAAGCCAATTTACGACCACTTGGGCTAGGATATATGCTGATAACGAGCAATTTTTAGCTGTTTCCTCATGTCAAGTATGTGGTGGATAAATTTAAAAATAAGCTCCCTAAAGATGACCTGAAGCGCTATGCAAAGGAGGTAAGCAACCTGCATAGCATGTGTTTAATATATTTTGAATCTTATACTTACCTAATGTGTAGGTTGCCAAAAAGCTTGTGAACTCCGATTTCAAGAATAACCGCGTCACTGATCCTACTAAAGTCAGTGAGAAGCAAATAAAACAAGTAAAGAAATTCTGCAAGGAATACTTTGAGAAGGCTGTTGTGAAGCACCAAGCCTATGAGAAGAAAAAAGCCGAACACAGAAGAAGGCACAACAAGCCATCAGACAGCGGTTCTAAGGAGCAGACTATCCTACCTCCCACCGACAAAGCTGATGAGAGTGAGGTTGAAGATGATGTCAACTTATCAGACAATGATGAGCCTATTCAAGACGACATCCAAGGCTCATCCCCTCGGGAAGAAGAAGCAATGACGCCAGGGGGAAGCCTGAAGAGGAAACGTGACGTTGATGATACAGTAGAAGAAGATAACGACACCAAATTTGACGGTTCTTCGTCGTCTAAGCGGCAACGATCTGAATCTCCACCTGTTCCTCCACCGCCTCCACCGCCTATGAGCCCTGATAACTCAATGGAGGTTGATGACATGGAAGGAGATTTCAAGAGACAGAGAGACGAAGAGTTTGAATTTGAGGATGAGAATACTCCTTGCTCGAGATCACCGGGAATGTACAATTCCCATGTATCATCGCCACCCTTTCCTCCGCCTCCTCCATTGCCGGCTGATATGCCTGACCGGAGCATTGACCAATACGGAAATCAGCAGAGCAATGCGGATGATACGGACTCCTAGTCATTCAACACATATCTCTTTATTCCTTTACATCATGGGCAATCCAGTTACCACGCTTTCAACACTCGTTGAAGTGAAGGACAATGAACAGTTCACCTGCATCCCCCAGAGATGTACATGCAAAATCATACAGTTACAAGTTAGCCATGCGACGTAAGGCTTGCTGCAGTCAACCATCCCATCATTTCACCCTTTCCTATACCTGGCCGGGCACAATTTCCTCTATCTGAATAACCTACCACTTGTTATCAAGTAGACTTTTCCATCTCTTGGTAACAGGTATAATACCCATTGCCCTTTAATGCCCGATTCTCTTGATATACCATTTTACCCTTATTTTTTTGTACCCTTTTCCCATCTTGGCTTAACTTTGGCTCATTGTTCCTCTTTTCCCATCGATGGTTGTTAGGCCGCATTATTTTAAACATCAGATGAGCGACATTTAATTGGCTATGGAGCATGTTCTCTGTATCGTATTCATTAAGCGGTTACTGCCTTCCTGTCTTTTCCCCCCATGAAATTTGTTTTATTAGCATCTATTTACTTGCTATTACCTTGCGTTAGGCAACAACCAGCTAGATAAAAGGAGGAGGCAGCATAAGAAAAACAAGTTACCGAGCTTATGAGCATTCTACAACTGGCAAACCACGGTCCTTTCGTAACTGGAGCACTTCTCTTTTCCACCTCTGAAATGCATCTATCCGCTCATCAGCAGGGAGATGTCCAAAGGTGTCCATCCGATGACTGAAATCTAGCTCTTCTAGCCTCTCAGCAAGATTTATCTCCCTGGTAGTGTCACCGTTTAACTGGATCTCTATTTTTCCAATTCTTTCGAATAGAACCGAGCCATACTGCGATGTATGATAACTCATACCCAGCAAACACGAAAGCTGCCCAACTAAATACTTCATCAACCATTCTGGCCGAACCACTACTCGATGGACATCTTCCCACCCATCTATCTGAGACGGCATACCTCGGCACTCTTTCCACGATTGGAATAAATTGCCTTCCTCGCCCATGGCCCATTTGTGGTATATATCATCGGTACTCGTGTTATCTGTGGACTTCTGAAAGTCCAACGTTAGAGTACGCACGACAATTCCCCTGGATAGACTGCCTGGTTGGAGCAATGTCCCAATTACCGGACGTTGACTATGCCTTTTGTTTGTCCACATATCTGGTCCAGAGCCTCCCTTGAGAAGATTCACTAGAGGTCGATAGAAAGCCCATTGCACTTCAGTTGCGCCCATGTCGCTCCTGAACGCATTTATGCCGTCCATGCTTGCCTTAGTAACTGGACAGGTTCCAAAGGCTTGAATTGTCACAACCACATTGTCGACTTGTGGAGATAGGACCGGCACGCATATATGGGATGGCCACACATAGGAATCATCGAGCAGCATTATATCATACGTGTAGGCCAACTCTCGGCGTTTTGTGCCTGCTTTGTTCCCCTTTTTGTCCTCAAGGAGCCTGCCTATGGCCGCCTTGGTTTCAGTATAAAACTGCCGGTTGACGAGGAGGAGAGGGAGGGAAGTTGTTACATATTCTATGCTTGGTTTGTGATAATCATTTTGTTTGTCTGATTTCAAGCGTTCTGCAGTCCTGCTGGGTCTCTTTGGTGCTGGGGTTGTGGTGGTTAAGACGAGGTCGATGATGATGTCCCGAAGCTCAATGGGGATATTGGTTAACATGGCTCGACCCATCTCCTTGGTATCTCTTGTGTGTACACGGCCTTTGCGATGGTATTGATATCAAATACTCTATTGCCTTCTTGGTGGAAAATGATTCTAGACACGGTTTTCTAAGCTTGATTTGACATTGGACATTGGAAAAGGATGGGATGACGATAGATACTATTTCTCAAACAAGCTTATTAATCGGCAGGGAAATATAGGTAAGAGAGTACACTACCAGGTGGGTTGACGGTAAATGTTACGGGCAAATAGGGGTGGAGCATATTTATGATTGTACTATGAGGTAGTTATATTTTTCTAGCCTGCCTAAACCCATTAATCCAATGCACCTGCCTTCTCTAGTATCTCAACAATAGCTTTATACCCATATTTAGAAGCATACATCAGGGCTGATGTACCCCACTGATCCTTTGCGTTAACATCCACCTTATCTGTGTTAAGAAGTATCTCAACAACAGCTGTATGCCCACCATCAGAAGCATACATAAGGGCTGATTTACCCCACTGATCCTTTGCATTAATATCCGCTTTGCATGTGTTAAGAAGCATCTTAACCATAACCTCATGTCCACGCTCAGAAGCATGTATAAGGGCTGTCATGTCCATCTTATCCTTTCCATCAATATCTACCTTATCTGTGTTAAGAAGTATCTCAACAACAGCTGTATGCCCACTCTCAGAAGCATATATAAGGGCTGATCGACCCCACTGATCCTTTACGTTAATATCCGCTTGGCCTGTGTTAAGAAGTATCTTAACTATAGCCTCATGCCCACGCTTAGAAGTATATATAAGCGCTGTCCGATCCAAATTATCCTTTGCATTAACATCTACCTTCTTTGTGTTAAGAAGTGCCTTAACTATAGCCTCGTTCCCATAACAAGCGGCGGATATAAGTGGTGTCATACTATTCTTATTCTTTGCATTAATATCCACCTTTTTTGTGTTAAGAAGTATCTTAACTATAGCCTCATGCCCATACCGGGAGGCGGATATAAGTGGTGTCATGCCATTGTTATCCTTTGCATTAATATCCACCTTGTTGGTATCGGGAAGAAACATCGAAAAGGGCTTTATATGCCACTTTCTGTTGATATTCCCCTTTGCATCAATATTAGCCTTATCTGAGTGAAGGAGTAGCTGGACAGTAGCAATATGCCCATGCTTAGAGGCCAGTATAAGTGGAGTGTGGCCACAGCCATCTCTCACATTGATATCAAAGTTATGCTGATCTGCCCTCCTTTCCAGGATAGCTTGTAGTAGCCCTTTCATCTGGTATTGCGACACTACATGCAGTAGGCTTTTCCCTAGTGTTGCTGTTACACTTATACTTGGAGCCATATAAAAGCAAACTCGCTCCCACGTTTGCACAAGGTTCTCCGAGGGCCAGCCAAAATAGTCTAGCAGGTTATCTTGAGGGAATTCATGCGAGTCACTTTGACATATATGCAACATCCATGACTCCGCAGCGTAACGTAATAGCGGAAACTGAGACTCTAAGTCGGATATATCTGTACTGCTTGACTGGGTGACCTTCTTTATCGCAAAGTGGCATATGCAGGTTCTGAACAGTTGATAGTGTGCGTTTCCTACCACAATTTTTGGGTTTTCGGTCGAGCGCGCACCACTGTCTAACATGAATAGTCCTCTCTCGACGAAAAAATCTTTGACAGACTGGTGGATGAACTGCACAACCGGCTTGTTGAATAACAGGACAACCGGCTTGTTGGATGGTGGCACAACCTCCACAAGGCCACAACTTAGTCTCGTAAATCTCCTTTTCATGCCCTCGTTATCAGGTGGGAAGCCAGGCGCGTCTTTTGATTCTTTTAGTAACTTGTGTGGACCGTCAAGTTTAGGGTCAACGATCATGACCCATCGTAACTCGTCTAAAGATAGGGGTCGTTTGGCAAAGCAGACCCATTGGAATAGTTTTAGGGCCTCCTGCTTATCCTCTATGCTCTCGACAAGTTGTTTGTATAAATCGCTGAGTTCGTTAGGAATGCGCCCGATTTTCTCTTCAACCTTCTCCCAGCCAGCCTCCGGCCAGTCAACCCCTTCCCAATCAACAGACCTGTCAATATCACGTTCAATAATGCGAGTGGCTACAAGACGTGCCCACATAAAAACGCCAGAGGCACGCTTGACTATCATATCTTGAACTGGGCCTGGAATATTAGGAAGCGTGGAGTGCACGTAGATCGAAATATCCTTTGCGTTTTCTTCCTCAACACAAATTTGGGACCTACATTCAAAGGCCACAATAGGATAGTGACGGCAGGTAAAGTAGATATGAAATGGTAAACCATCAGATGAGAGATCTTTGAACCAGGAATTGAATTTTTTTGCCAAATCAACCGCAGCATTCTCCCCACATTCGTCCAGCGCATCGACAAATAGGCAGACTGGGCGGCTTTTCAAGACCACTGGGAGTGAGGACTCGAAGAAATACAGTAATTCCTTTTCATGCCACTTCCAATCTTTATTCGGTATACCCCTCTTACTGCACCGCGTTTCAAAGGTACTAAGGAGTTCAGGAAAAGCACCGGGAATTTCGCAGAGGAGCTGATAGAGGAGAGAAAGGTAGAAGCCGAGTGGTGACTTTTGGAGCTCACTACCGCGGCCGTGGAAAAAGAAGGAGAGGATTATGGTATCATTGCTGCGGGTATTGAACGCTTTCTCGAGAACGTAGTGCAGTAAAGTCGACTTTCCGGAGCCGGGCTTCCCCTTGATCCAAAGTAGATCACGATCAGAAGTAGCCCAGGCCTTATACGTCTTATGTTGAAATAGCCACTCGCATGTTCCCTTGGCGCCAGTTTTGATTTCCATACGTCGATTTTCCATTTGTTCAAAGGCCAGCGATTGAAGACAAAGGTCTAGGCTGGCATTTTTTGCATTTTTATCCTCTGGAGTGTTTTGGTTATCTGGAGGCGGATTGGCATCTGAAGTTGGTTAGCAAACCATGTAGTTAACTACTCTTTGATAATTCCATGATTCTTACTAAATATTTGCGTGATACTTCCTATTACAACATACTGGGAAGACTGATGGCCACCGTTGAGTTGCAAGCCGCCGTAGTTCTGGTTGTATTCAGCAGTAATATGATTGTCACCGGTTATTTGCGTGCCGCCTGCCGTATTATTATACTGGGGTCCAGAGGTATTGGTGTATTGGGGGCCGCTGCCGAAGTTCTGGATGGATGTAGGGACACTGGCGTGGCTGTCATTGCGGTTATTCTGAGGGGCTGGACCCGCAAGCGGTAACTCACTCATCACGCAAGGACAGAAGGTAGTTAACTATCTTGGCTTCTTATTTTACAAGTTAACAGAATGAGAAGACACCAGGCATAAACAAGCAAAAAGGAAGGCTAAAGGGCCCTAGCTAAGATGGGTAAGGTTTGGTGGAAGCAATACTGTACAATCATTTCAAAGCAGAGGAGATAGTTGAGATTCCCACCTTTATAAGAATAAAAGAAGGATAGCATGTATGTAACTATACAGGTCCCTGAGACTCCCTAAGCGCCTCACAGCCCAGCTGATCGCATGCATCTAGGGGGTTCATGCAGGCCGAATCAAGATATGTATCGCGTAGTTGATTAATCACCGCATGATGTGGACAGGTTGGATTGGATTGGCTCTGACATAAATATCAATTTGTTTATGCATATACTCCGCACTATATCAGGCGGTTATAACCACTAAATTGGATGCCTCGTCGTCATTTGATTAACCTTGCTATGACATCTCCAACAAGGCTGGGTTTTTGGCGATCTTGCATGACAGGCTTTCCATATATAGTAGGTCGATAACTCGTATTTGGAAAAAAATAAAAGAAATATGTCGTGCATGGCCCCTGTGTCTGCCGTCGGCGGTTATATACCGCGCTCGCATAGTATAACTGGCTGGTGGTTAGCTGATTATCCGGTCTATTAATAGTGTTGTGAACATGCATCAATGCAGATTGAATCAACGCAGATGATTATTTTTAAGCATGAGCCAGGACGGACTGCAAGGGTATGGGTGGGCGATGGAGGTGCCTAGGGGTATAAGTAGAGCTGGGGCCTTCCTACTCCAAAGGCCCATGCTGAGGTTGTTCATATTTTTTAGAGGGCAAAAGTTCACATTTCTTACTTTTAAAGGCGAAAAGCAGTTAATTGCAGTTCCTTCACTGGCCATATACCAAATACTTTTTCGCGTAACTTGTTATCAGAATTCCTCGTATCGTCTTTCTATGCAACAATAGCTAGCACCAACGCGACTGAACTGATCTCTGACTCGATCGACGGTCTAGCATCTTCCGAGAAACACTACAATGACGTCAAAGGCAACAACAATCTTCAGAAGGCCTTCCATGGAGCCATCCCTAGACGCGCATAATAGTTAGTTATAGTGCTTGACAGTTTTTAGCACAGTTTTCGATATGGTGTCACTCAGGCAGGCTTCAAAATGGATCCTGGTGTTTCACACGTGATTTCGGCGCTTCCCAGGTTCAAAGGCTTCAATAACTACCAAACAGGCAGTTTCAAAAATGTAGACACGGCGGTTAGAGTAACTAACTAGTTAGTTAACTAACCAATAGGATCCATTCTAGACAGCCAACCACAAATTTAAATCAACACGAATGTAGAATCAACCAATCATCTATTTGGTTTATTCTTCGATTTGCCCATCGTTTATTACCTCTAGGACCAGGGAACAGATACAGAGCCACATAGTTATAGCTCCTTAACTCTTTGAGAGGTTGAGCTGAACAGTTCTTGCTCTTAGGGTATTCCTCGTTCTATCTTCGGGCTTAGGGACGCTGGTTAACTAGTCATGAGGTTAATACGCTGGACGAGTAACACAGGGTAAGATTAGTATAGATACTAGGTCTTCTTCCACGTTATCTACCCTCATGCTACCTCTATTTTACACCCAGGGCTCTACAGAGCGGAAGTTCATGAGAAAGGAGACCGCTATGGTAGATTACCCCCTCAGCTAGAGAATTAATGTTTGCGTGGCGCATCCTAGCAACATTCTGCGATCCGTAGTTAGCTAGCGATAGCTTGTTGGTCATATCCAGAATATGTGAGCATACTACGTGCTTATCGGTTAGCATATGGCTCCGTAGGTACAACCTGACAGTGGCAGAATCAACTAGGGAAAGTTTACATATACAGGTGGTACACCCCTCGGCGTTTGGCATATTCTATCATTGAATTAACAAACTTATCGTTGGTTGGGTGAACTTTTGGAGCGTCCTCCACGTTGTCCGATGACACGCCAAATACAGGACTGTAGGTATTACCATGGATGTTAATCTAGAGTCATGTAGATAAAACAGGGCATAGTTATGTACCTCCCAGAGTTTTATTCTGTAGGCCTTATCTAATCCGAGCGCATTTCCATCCTTCAGGACACCTTTGACTATAGCTAAATAGTAGTGGGTAACAACACCAATATTATTATTACCTCCTTTAAGCGCCAAAAAGAGATCAGGGGAGCTCGTAGCATTTGCATATATAATTTTACCGCTAGCAGTAACGATCTTATATTTAATGACATTGTCGATGGCAAGGCCATCTATGTTAGAGAAGAATGAGATGCCAGCGCCCACGGCCAGGCCTAGCCCGGCCTTAAAATACCTAGTGGTTATATTTGATTATAACCGCGGTTACTACGGTATTTATTCCATATTTATTCCAATAATCAACAGCAGCATGAAAAAGGGGATGACGCCGTCTAGAGCTGGAACTTCGTCCGGACTTTTTCCATGCGGCCCTTCCACTCCCAGTCCTGGCCACTCTTCCTCTGGATACCTTTATCAATTCTTCGTAGTTTTAATGTAAACCGTGGACCAAGCTCTTGTAGACCAGCACGGATTCCTTCCACACCCTTCATCTCGACTCCGTTTGCATCAACGACACATTTCTCGGTCTCTCGTTTGTCGCGAAACACATATCGATGCCGCCTAACAAATATATAATCACGCTGGTTGTGCAAAGTAACCACCTGTCTTCCCTGAAACTCTGGCTGAGGTGGGAATAAGGTGCGGAAAAGATGGGCGGTTAATAAACCAAGAGGGGTCCGGAAGTTATTCAGTATAAGTTCAGGCCAGTGGTTGGTAGGGTTTCCGTGGCCAGGGAGCTTCTTGCCTTCTATCCAGTTGCTGATAGAGAAGTGGAATGTCGGTCCAACCGGGAGATGTACTATCGTCAGGCCGGAGACGCGCTTGAGGTCTTCCTCTACGACCACAACGGCAGTATAATTTCTATTCGCAGCAAATGCTGATATCTCTCGTACCGAGAATTTGTGACCATATCTATGCGCCGAGCGGCGGATATAAACACTGCTCGGGAAGAACTCGGTCAGAACTTTGGCTTCCTTGTGTAGGGTGGAGTTAAGCGAGGTTGTGATCAGAATCTTTGGTGGCGGAGGAGCTTCTGTTGGAAACAGACTGGGGAATTTCGCTGCGAGCGCATCGGGAGCAAGATCGATATTTGTACTTCGAGTCGACTGCGTAGGGCTTGTTGCTCGTTCTGTAGCGGATGGTACTCTGTTCTTCCTCCTGTCTTTGTCGCTCAGTCTGTCTTCTTTCTCCTGCTCGTCTTCATCGTCGCTGTCAAAATCGACCATGCTGTCCACGTCGTCCGAGCCATCATCTCCTTCTTCACTGCCTTCCTTATCTTCGGGTATCAAATCTTCATCCTTCTGTTCTTCCTCTGCTTCCTGCTTTCGTCGCTTTATCCTCTCCACGTCAAAACTCAGGCCCAACCCGTCTTCGACGTCGCTACCGGCATCATCCCACACTCGTTTCCTTTCCAGCGTCAGGGGGACATTTCTCTTCAATCTCTCGGCTTTTAATTGAGGGTTCTTTGCCTCTTCTTTTCGTCTGGCAAAGCGGAATGCCCTTGTTTCTGCGTCCTTGGTCTGTTTGCGCTTGATGTGAAGCTGCTGTCTTTTCAGCTTGTTCGCCGGCTTGTAATCCATCCCCGATGACCGTGGCCCGTTAGATTTACCCATCTTCAACCCTCAATCCGTCTTCAATGTCTTTTTCTCTCAAGTTAATTAATCACTTTGTCGATAAGTTTTCTTGCTTTTTTTCTCTCTATTAGGTACTTTTTTTTTGCGAAAGCTCGACGGAAGATCCTTTTACCGGCTGTTATCAAGATTGCCCGTTCCTGCGCAGAGGAAAAAAAGGAGCCGAATTATGACTGGAAGACGAAGAATAGAATAAATCGTAAATCAATGTACGAGTTCTAGAGTTGTATATTCGCTCTTTTGTCTTTCTTGCCCCTTTCTCTCGCTGCTCTATTTGTCTTTAATCCTGCCTGCTTGTCGCGTGCCTGGGTTGATGCGCCAACTCCGGTTCCCTCGCACCGTCTGCTCGCGGCTCTTCCGAACGCCGCCGCTGCTGCTAAGCGCAGGCATAAGCGCAAGCGTATTAAGCATAAGCACCCCACGGCCACGGCCCAGTCACAGTCACAGTCATCGCAGCAACCCGATCTTCCAGAGCGCACAAATATCGACAAAACCACGAGCACCACCGCCGCCGCCCACTGCCCACGCCATCATGGCTACCACCAAGTCTGGTCAGCCCTTTGACCGCACTGTCTGCGAGAGTCTGCTTCGGAGACGCCTGTTCTACACCCCCTCGTTCGAGATCTATGGCGGGGTATCTGGTCTCTATGACTATGGCCCGCCTGGCTGCGCTCTGCAGGCCAATGTGGTCGATCTGTGGAGGAAACACTTCGTTCTGGAGGAAGACATGCTGGAGGTAGACACCTCTATGCTCACCCCGCATGAAGTGCTCAAGACCAGTGGCCATGTCGACAAGTTCGCCGACTGGATGTGCAAGGACCCGAAGACTGGAGAGATTTTCCGTGCAGACCACCTGGTTGAAGAAGTCCTGGAGTCGCGGCTGAAGGGTGACAAGGAGGCTCGTGGCCAGAAAGTGGTCGTCGATGAAGAGAAGGACGCAAAGAGGAAGAAGAAAGTCAAGGAGACCAAGGTTGTCAAGCTGGACAATGCCGTCGTGGCTGAATATGAAGAAGTGCTGGCCCAGATTGACAACTACGACGGCCCAGAGCTCGGTGCTCTCATCGTCAAATATGATATCAAGAACCCCGCTACCAATGGTGAACTGCTGCCTCCAGTTGCGTTCAACCTTATGTTCCAGACTGCCATTGGCCCCAGCAGCAACCTTCCCGGCTATCTTCGACCAGAGACGGCTCAGGGACAGTTCCTTAACTTCCAGAAACTCCTCGAGTTCAACCAGCAGTCCATGCCCTTTGCCTCTGCCTGTATTGGCAAGTCTTTCCGCAACGAAATATCCCCACGTTCTGGCCTCCTGCGTGTGCGTGAGTTCTTGATGGCAGAGATTGAACATTTCGTCGACCCCGAAGGTGGGAAGAAACATCCTCGTTTCCATGAAGTGCAGGACTTGGAGCTGGCCTTCTTGAACCGAGAAGTCCAGCTCTCCGGCAGCACAGCTACAACCAAGATGGGCATCGGAAAGGCTGTCGCTACCGGCCTAGTAGACAATGAGACCCTGGGTTACTTCCTTGCACGGATCTACTTGTTTCTTAAGAAGATCGGTATCGACGAGTCCAAGATTCGATTGCGTCAGCATATGCAAAATGAAATGGCACACTACGCAACCGACTGCTGGGATGTTGAATTGTTCACTAGCTACGGCTGGATTGAGTGTGTTGGCTGCGCCGACCGAAGCGCTTACGATTTGAGCGTTCACAAAAACAAGACCGGTGCACCACTCGTTGTCCGGCAGACACGAGCCGAGCCCCTTCGAATCGAGGAGTGGCAGGTCGACATTGACAAGAAGAAGTTCGGACCTCGCTTCAAGAAGGACAGCAAAACTGTCGAAACCGCAATTGAGGCGTTGACCCAAGATGTTCGGGAGAAACTTTCACTTGACCTTGAAAAGAACGGCAAGATAGAGATCGCCGTAGATGGAGTTGGCGATGGCAAAGTTGAGATTGGCAAGGACCTTGTTCAGATTGAGAAGCGAACGAGGGTAGAAAATGTCCGAGAATACACTCCCAACGTTATAGAACCGTCGTTTGGAATTGGTAGAATTCTTTACTGTTTGATGGAACATGCCTACTGGTCTAGACCAGATGATGAGGCTCGTGGTGTAAGTACCAATCCCCCCTTACTTCACCTTTCAAACCATAACGCTAACAATCGCCCCTCCAGGTACTTTCTTTCCCTCCCGCAGTTGCCCCTACCAAGGTTCTGCTGGTCCCTCTTTCTACTCATCCATCTTTCCAGCCGCTTATTCAACGTCTAACGCTCAAATTGCGACGGCTCGGCGTTTCCAACCGTGTGGACGACTCATCCGCGAGTATCGGTAAGCGTTACTCGAGAAACGACGAACTTGGAACTCCCTTCGGTATCACTGCCGATTTCCAGTCCGTGAAGGACAACACCTTCACTCTTCGTGACCGAGACACCACAAAACAGGTTCGTGCTAGTGAAGATGAAATCTGCAACGCTGTCAAGAGCCTGGCCGAGGGTGAGGAGACCTGGGAGGATGTCTTGAAGCGGCTGCCAGAGTTTACCGGCCAGGAAGTCGAGTAAACTCAGACCTGCTTAACTACATTATAGAAAACCAATTGTAGTAAACATCAAAATCAGAATAATAAGACAAATCAGAAGAAAAGGCAACACCAGCTCGTGTTTTTAATGTGATGTCATATTAAGGTCTTGAGCCGCTCGTCCCAAAGCGGTTAGTAACCGGGCTCTCCCCCAACGAGGCCAAAACAACACCTTGAATTATTCTCCGGATACAAAGATGCAGCGTTGAGCATCGACGACCAAGTTCTGCGCTCTGGTACGATATAATGGCACCAAAGATCGCTTCCTCCAAGATAACGCTTTCATGTCCGCTTTTTGCGGCTGATTTCGACCCTCACAACCACGGCTTCCTGCTGGTGGGAGGGGGTGGTGGTGAAGGACGCAGTGGCGTTGGCAACAAGATCGTAAGGATAGGCCGTTCCGGAGGATATGAATTGGAGGCGCAGAGGCATTCTGCTAGTGGAAGAGCAGCGTTTGCTAACATAAACTGCTATTTTGCTCGCTTAGTCCCTTCTCGATACCTCTCGGCGCGATACTATATCGGAGGTAGTCGATATTGAGCTCTCCCGCGATGAAGATTCGGTCACCTCCCTAGGCGTTATACAATGCAGTGACCAAGACGTCGTGGCCCTGGCCGGAATAAATAGCTCTCAGGCGGAACAGAAACGAGGCAACAACAAACATCTACGATCCTTCGAACTCACATACCCTCCAAAACGAAAGGCTGCTACAGATTTAAAGAACGGGGGCTACGGCGGCGATGATGCAGTATATATCAAAGTTGGCGAGCCAAAGACAAGAGCCCTATCTCAGGTCTCTTTATTTAGGAAACAAGAGTCAAAATCAGAGGAAGGAGAAGCCTATCAGCGAATATTACGGCTTTCTCCCTGGAAAGGCGAAGGCGCGAAGCGCATCGGTGCCATTGCAACTGGCCTAGCTCCCCGAGGAGAGCTTGTTTTCTTCGAAGCAGACGCACAATCCGTATCCGCACCAAATGTTTTGGGGCGTGTCATACTTGGACAACAGGAAGAGGTTGAAGATGTGGATATCATTGACACGAGCGAGGACGGAACCTTCAAGTTTGCATATACAGATGGAAAGGAGGTCCATCTTGCGAATATAGCGATGTCCTCGAAATCCAACCTGCACGTAAACTCTATATATAAGGTCGGCGGAGGACTGAAAAGCAGCAAAATCAGAGCTTTGCGCTTTATCTCTCCAAACACCCTTCTCTTGCTCCAGAACTACCCTGGCCGCACTGGATGCGAGCTTGTGGTTATATCACTCTCTAGCCAAATGTCCAAGTGGACAGTTTCCCGGAGGAGAAGCCTACATAGGTCAATGAAGATTGGTCTAGGCTTGGATGTTTGCCGATTATCCGAATCTCCTTCCGGAGAAAGACAATGCATAATTGCTGTGTCAGGCAGTGATATGTCTATTGAGGTTTTGACACTTGAGACTGCCTCTAAAGGCCAAATCGGGAAATTACAACACTATACCACTTTCACCGATGTCCATCCATTCTCAATGACAAGAATAACGTTTTCGACCTTTATTTCTCCAACTTTACCTATTACCTCAGATGTACGGCCCCAATTCGTGAAGCTAGCCTCTGTCAGCGTGGGGAATACCGTCATTGTCCACACCTTCCCCCTATCTCCCTACCCTACAACTTCAAAACACCCACGATATGTTCTGGCCGCTCCCGGCCTCTCGGAACTTGCCAACACCATATTCAGCTCTCTCGTGGCAATATTTGTCGTCGCGCTGGGTGCTTTCTTCCTACAAGCTTTTACGGAAATTCGAGGCGGTGTTCCCCCTACTCTAGGAGCTACGAACTGGCTTAGCCCGCGTCTCAGGGAAATGCTCGCACGACCATACATGTTCGAAAACGGCCATCCAAACGCTCAAACGTCTATCCCATCATTAAAGGATATCCCTCAAGCCAAAACTTCCCAACCACTGCGAGACCTGATATCTTCACTATCACAATCCCAAGAGAAGGAAGGCTCCTCCCCCACCCCCGGAAAGCCGCAAGAAGCCATTGTTGTCCATGACCTTGGGACCGAAATATCAGCAAAGTCTACAGTTCTATCACACGACGGTGAAAAGCACGAGACAGACCACTCGAAAACCAAGAAATGGGAAGAATTGACTGAAGAACAGCGCAAGATATGGAAGCAGAAACTAGCAGATGCCGGCCACTGGGCACTAGATGAAGGCGAGGTGCTACTCCGCGGCGTACTTTTTGGCGAATTGGCTGGATTCGTTGGCCAGATTATGGCTTAATCTATGCATGCATATAGGGACTAACATATATACGAACTACGCAACACGCTTTCGGGGCCTCTGGTATTATTATGACTTTCTTAATGTTAGGCGAGCGAGTTTCCAAGGTTGTATAATGATTGAGACTAAAGCTTTTGGTTTGGTCTCTTGGTTTTCAACTAATGTTGAGGTGTGGGAGTTTTGATAGGAGAAAATGTGTAGATAGATAGGACTGTATGCCAGTCAGTGACGGTTCATGAGCTATGAATATTTCTTTCCGTACTAGCTTGCCTTCCGTGTTATTTTAAATATGAATTGAGCCAGTTTGGTTTAAAAGATAAGCGAAGAACTTGTATAAAACGAAATAAAACGTTGATTAGTCTTGAGATATCAACGGCCAGAGCCAAATAAAGTAAAGAAGCGGTCATGAAAACAGGCGCAGACAGGGCATTGCAGGTCTTTCAATAGCTGATTTAAAACACCATCAAGAGTCACAACTAGTTAAGTTATGTAAATATTATCGACCTCGCCATTCCCTCACTCCCACACGCAGTTCAAAAAAAAAAAAAGGACATCTATCAAAGCTTCGTTCAGATTCCCAAGCGCTCCTTTATCATCGTTTGTTTCATTATAGAATCGTATATTTTGACCATAAGATACCCAGAGCAGCAAGACGTCGGAAAGAAGCAGAGAAGCGAGAATGTAAAAAGGGTGTGAAGAAAGAGATGAAAGAAAAGATCATCAATCAATCAACCAACGTGAAAGGGGAAAAAGGTAGGGAAATGGAAAATGAATCGAGCAGTAGATACAGTGGAAAAGCAGGAAAAAACAAACAAGAAAAAAATCCTCCTCCCTTTGCATGATGAGGTATTCCCTCGTTCATCCCATGAAAAAGCAGAAAAGAAGCGAGAAGATGGAAAAAGAGGATGGGGAGGAGAGCGGTCAAATTGCGGAAATAAAATGAAAGAGTAGGTAGGGAAAGGGGTTCCAGAGAGAAGAAGAGATGAAAAAGAGAGAGCCCCGGTTAAGTTGAAAGTAAGGGAAAGAAAAGAAACGGGTCGTGTTCGTCACTTTAGTTAGAGGAGTTCTTCTTGAATCGTAGTAGCTCAGCAAGGCTGGCTAAGCTGCATCCATTCTTAAGGAATTCGTGGGACAGTAATTCATCAGATGAGGCACGGCTTCGGACATCGACGCAGAGACATACGCTGAGGAAAGACTTGAGTTCCTTGCTTGTTTCTCTGGTTTCTTGAGGCCTGGGGTATTAGTTTGTGTCGATGAGGTAGAGGGCCTTGAGGGGTTCTTTCGTTGAATATGGAGGGTTCGGATTCGATGAGCTCGTTTGCCATGATTCCAAGGGACCAGACGTCGACTCGTGGGCCGTATTCTTTCTGTTTGACGACTTCGGGAGCCATCCAGTAGGGAGTTCCGACCATGGTTGCACGCTTGCTCTTGGATTCGGTGAGTTTGGCACAGAAGCCGAAGTCAGCTGTAGACATGTGTTAGTAAAGGTTGTATAATGGTATGGTAGATGCTGGTGAGCGGGTAAAGCCTACTGATTTTCACGTTTCCGACTCTATCTAGGAGGACGTTGTCACTCTTGATATCACGGTGGATGATGTTTTGGCCGTGTAGATGGGCTAGACCTTTGCATGTCTGGGATGGTGGTTAGTATAGACCTATATAGTTAATGGAAGGAGGTATTTACCTCGTAGCAAATAGTGGAGATCTGGTCTTCTTGAATGACAGGGTTCTGTTCAATGACATCGGTCAAGGCACCTCCCTCCATAAACTCCATAACAACCCACAGTTCATTGCTAGACTCCTGCAAGAACGAATCGAGGAAGTTGACGATGTTGGGATGCTGGCTGTCCTTCATGACGATAATCTCGTTGACGATAAGCTCCTTGCGAGGCTGACTTCTTAGATCCATCTGCTTGATAGCAACCTGGCCACGAGGGCCATGAGTGCGATACAGTTCACGGGCGACAGGTGAGCTTGCGTTCTCCTTGACACGAGCAACGTACACGGATCCAGAGGCACCCTGTCCGATCTTTCGTTGCTTGCTGTACGACTCGTTGGGGTTCTCCTTTGAAACGACCTGGCGGAGTCTCTCCATGACCTCGCTCTCGGACATGGTTGACATGCGGACATCCTTTTGGCGGGATGGGTCTGGTTTCTTAGTTAGGGCGGCTTCAGCTTGACGGACACCGTCTGAGGCTCCGTTCATCTTATTGTTAGCAGCAGGACCATGCTTGTTAGCAACGTTAAGAGGCTTAACGGCCTGTACTGGAGCAGGGAGACGGCTGGGGGGTTGGCCGGCAGCAGCAGAGCCGTTTGGCTGGCGTGGTTGGGTGCGAGCTGGGCTGCGGCTGTCGTTGCCAGCATAGCGCGAGGAGGAAGGTTGCTGTCGGCTCTGGTCTGGACGAGGAGCACTGCGCTGAGCTCCGTGGTCGTCTCTGGAGTGTGATGGGCCACCGTTTCTTGGTGGAGAGGGAGCTGGGCGCTGGGCAGTAATCTGTCTTGGGTCCTGCTGTGGCTGTCGAGATCTGTCGCTGGAGGGGGCCTGGGGAGCGGGTCGAGAAGGGTTATACCTGCTGCTGCTGCTGGTGGATGTGCTGGGTGACTCTCGAGGACCACCGTACCCACCGAGCTCCTGCTGTGCAATTGGTACTCTAGTCTTGGGCAAGGAGGCATTGTAGGCTTCCTGTTCTCGGCGGTTCTGCTCTTCCTCACGCTGTCTCTGTGCTTCACGAATACGACGGGCTTCTTCTTCCATTCTCCTCCTCTGGTCTGGATGGGGCATCTCCTTGGACCGGTCTGGGGTGTACTGCTGGTCGTAGGGCCGGTCAGCGGGATCTGAGGCCTTACGCTGCGCCGACTGTGCAGGAGAGCCGCTGCCACCCGGAGACCTGTCGTCGTGTGCGCGCATGGACTGGCTGGTATCTAGACGCTGGAGCCCCGTTGGCGGAGGGGGTCTCGGGGGAGCTACACCGTGGCTGTGGCCGTGACTGCGGAGAGGCTGCATGTTGTGTGGAGTGGGAGTGGGATTGGACATGCCCGGGAAGTACTGGGGGTTCTGCTCGCGCATTCTGATGTCGGAGTAGAACTCGAGCACTTCGATGACAGCCTGGGGGTTCTTCTTGTAGTCTTCCTTTGTGATGGCAGAGGCCGTCAGGAGCTTCTCCCACTCTGGCGGGAGACCGACAAAGGCACCGGTCTGGGGGTCAAACCCGACGTGAATCTGGTGGCTGAAGTTGGTAGGGTTACTGACGCCGCCCATGCCGGGACATCGTTCGTATATCTTATCGATCCAGTCGTAGATTTCGTCGTCGCTCTTGACCTCACAGGTAATGGTCTTGGTAGCGACGTCACGGCCGGCCAACGGGCTGCGGGTGTTTGCGTCCTTGGGGTTGGCCACTCTGGTGATCTCGAACGCCATCTTGGTATCCTCTGACCGCGTCACGTTCATGACATTGTTGAGCTGGATGGAGAGCACGCTCTTGCCGGTCTCGTTCTTGAGGAAGTCGAGGCGGAACTCGCGTAGAACGAGGTAGCGCTGGTTCCAGCTGGCGAGGAACTTGTCCTCCTTGCACCGCACGTAGCCCTCCTTGATGACGGCGACGCCGCCCTGGCCGGTGGTCTTCTGGCTCAGCGAGAGCGAAGACGAGTTCGGGAATATGGAGAGCGAGGGTGTCGAGGGCGAATTGATGTTCATCCGGTCGAACGAGGTCGCCGCCGAGCTGACAGACGACATGGTCGACACTGTGCTCAGCTGCGGCCGGTCTGTAGGCGGGCGAGGAGCCGGCCCTGGGTTCATGAACTGCTCGCGCGAATACATGCTAGAGACTGTCAGCATCTATCTCTCTGTCTCTCCGTCTCCCTCTCTGTCTGTCTGTGTATATGTATGTCTGTATATCTGTCTCCAGTATAGAAGTTGTATTCCCGTCCTTCTTCCTTGCTTTTTCCTCGCTCTATCGCTGACATGGGTTCCCAAACACGCCCGCGCGGGTTCCCGAGGGGCAAGAGGCAGAGGCAGAGGCAGCCAGGAGGCAGCCAGGGGGAGTTGGTCGGTTGCACACTCACTTTGGTGAAGAAGCCATGTTTTCCCGCAGAGTAGAAGCGGAAGAGGGAGGGAGATTCTCAGCAGGACATCCGGCAACACGGCCTGCCACGTTAGCAGCAGAGAAGCGCCGTGTCGATGGGTTGGACTCTGCCTTCTTGACTTCTCTTCCTTTTTTCTTTTTTCCTCCTTGCGCTTGAAGTTGAAGCTGTGGGTGTGGATTTTTCAGGTGCTTCTTAGGTGCTTTTTTAGGGGGGGCGAAGGGGGAAGAAGATCCGGTTTCGGTTTTTGAGGCGTTGGGCAGAGAAGCCAGGCAGGTCGCTGAGGGCCACAGCGGTCGCAGCAGGCGAAACGGTAGAGGCGAGGAAGAGAAAGACGGTAGAAGAAGAAGACAGTGAATGCAGTAAGTAAAAGGTGGTGGTGAAGATGTTGAGGATGGCTGCTGGTTTTGTGTTTTATATGGAGGAGCAGAAGTTGTTGCTCTTTCGAGTGGTCAATAAGTTAGAGTCGGTCCAGGGGGTGAAGGCGCTAAAAAGTGGCAGCGACTTAGAAGCAGCAGAAGAGGAAGAAATATAAAAGGAAGAGAAGGAGAGAAGAAGTCGAGAAGGTCGACGAGATCCCTGGCCTGCTGGTTCGGTCGTTACCCACAGGCTTATATTGGTTGCTGGTTTGACGGGCAAAAGTGATACAGTCCCCTGCTCCGCCGTAGGTAGAGTAGTTAGGGGGGGTGGACCTTGGGTTAAAACTGCCGGAGAGAAGATGATATTGAGAAGAAGAAGAAGAGAAGAAGAGAGTTGATGCTGTCTCTGTTCAATTCATGGACTGGACTCTTACTCTTCTTGCTTCTACCTTCTTACTCTTACTGTTACTCTTACTCCTTATGCTGGCAGCTCTTGCAACACGCATGGAATCACCACTGGCACCACTGGCAACATCAACAGCAGCAGCAGCTTGACAGTCTCTGCTAACTACAAGGAACCGCCCTGACCCCCTGGCCAAAAGTTGGATTTAGTTGGACTCTTTAGTCAAGCTCCTCATGCGGAGTGCTTGGGGCGAACTCGGTGGATGGTGGACGGTGGATGATGCCAGCCATCCAAGGGCCTCAGGGGGTGTCTCTGTCTCTCTTTCGTGGCTGCTCTGTCTGTCTATCTATCTATCTATCAGATTCTGGCCAGTCAATACGGAGTATACGAATATATTTGCTCAGTGCAACAGAGCATGTCTGCCACGGTATACGATACAATCTACGGTCAACATGTCTCTGCAGTAGTGGCTGGAGCATGCATGCAGTTACATATGGAGTTGCGGGTACATCCTTACTTACATGCATCGAGCTACGGAGTCACTTACTCACGAATGCTGGAATGTTTCAACTTCCGGCGTAGCTGGTAATACATAAGTTGGATGAAGCCCCTATTCTGCTCCCCTCGACGGCCCGTTGAGACAGGCAGAGTCAGACGGAGACATGAAGGCGTGTTCCATCTTTACACTCTCGCTCTCGCTCTCGCTACGGGGAGGAGCTTAGTACTTTTGACATCCACCAGCAGAGAGTAAGAAAGTAGTACGATGGCCCGAACTTTTAAGCGGGTTTCAGTAGACGTGTAGGATTTAGACGGTGGGAGCCAGAAAAAGGGGTTAAAGAGAAGAACCTCTGGGGATTATGGACGATATGGATAATATTGATGCTATTCCTCGGGGATTCAAAGGGAAGCAAGCCGAAAGGCGTGGATTAACGCAGGGATCCGGTATATTACGCGGGAAGATCACCAACGACAAGAGAGCAAGTTCGTATGTTTTTATATGCAGGCCAAGATAGGAAGAAATAAGACGGAAAGGAAAAGAATAAGACTCCAGGGATGCGAAAGGGCTAGAAAGTGTGAATATCAAGACTCCGAGCCAAAGGGGTAGTTGAACTTCAACAGGCCGTTGAGACCCCCTACCCAGCCGTCCGCAGCGCCGCCGGCACCAACGGTCTTGCGCATCACACACGGCACGCCGCCGTGCCAGGCACCGTCGACGACCGTGATGTCCTCGCCCCAAACACGCACCTCCATGCCCACTCGCAGGCCCTGTCCCATCGTCACCCCGTCGATGCTGACTTCCACCTCCCGCCCACGGTTCTTCTCGCTCAGCCGGAGCGTCACCGGCGTTCTGGACGGCACGACCAGGGACCGGAAACTTAGACTTCGTGCACAGATCGGTGTAAGCAGCAGGGAAGACACGAGAGGGTGGATGATGCTCCCGCCGCACGAGAGACTGTACGCCGTGCTGCCTGTGGGTGTTGCGACGATCATCCCGTCTGCGACTGCTTCGGTGAGGAACCGGCCGCCAACAAACACCTCGACGATGGCCAGATGTGCCTGTCGGCCGCGGTGGATGACCACTTCGTTCATAGCGTAGACGCCTGTGTCGGCCTCCTTGGGCGAGGTGAGTGTCACCCCGTTGCTGTGCACGGCTTCTCCCTCCGGTGTGAACACGCCTACCCGTAGTCGGCTGCGGACCAAGATGCGTGCGCTGCGAGATGTTCCCATGGATTTTCCCCGTAGCCTCGACCACCCTCCTGCACCACCAGCAGCAGTAGTAAGACCACCAGTAGCAGTATGTTCTTCTTCTCCTCCTTCGTTCTCAAGGAGAGGTGCTCGCTCGCCAACCCCAGCTCCAGACATGTATACCTCTCGAAACGCCCCTTTGTACTCTGAGAACTTCCACTCTCCCAAAAAGCCCAACGTGCCCATGCTAAAGGAGAGTATCGGCGGTACCGTCTTGGACGTCGCAAAGAGCGACGAGGCCCGTAGAATCGTCCCGTCTCCGCCCAGCGTCACTATCAGGTCTACCTTTTCCGGAGGCATCGATGCCTCCGACACGTTGGTATATACCGGGAACGGGAGGGACTCATGTATCTCGGCCGCCGTGTCTCGTTCAAGGATAACTGATATCGGTGCATAGTTCGACTTTATATGGCTATACCAGTGTCAGTACCAGTACCTCTTTTGATTTTTCCTTTCTTCCTGCTGTTGGAGCTTACTTTGCGAATTCAACCACCGACTGAGTCACTTCCGGAGCTCCCTTCTTCTTCATCAACAGGATGTTCCTGGGCGGCCCGGGCCATTGCAAGGCAAGTAAATCACTTCCTCCGGACTCTAATCCATGGTTATCTCTTGGTTAGCAGGAGAAATAACAGACTGAACAACAGCCAAAGGACCAACGCACACCTTCATATCTTGGAAACACCCTCCCCGGCAGAGTGCCGACATCTTCTATCTGCCTCAGCCTCGAGCTTACTGAGAACGTATGACGGAAGACGGGAGAGGGAGAGGCTATAGCAGCCAATGCGCTGGTACAACGCTTCATCGCAATATTTTTTTGATATATGACTTGTTCGCTTTCTTCTTCTTTTTTTTCAGTAAATGGGCGTGTGACAGTGGCTATAGTAGTACTTTTCTATATCTATAGCTTATTAGTATAGATCCAGCTATACATAGAGAAATGGAGTCATACTGATGTATGCCAGTGTTCCTTTCTCTGCTTCTCCTGGCTCTCCTAGTGCTTCTCGCGCCTCTTCCTCAAGCTCCCGAAGATCTTGAAGCTCTCCATCCAGAGGAACAACTCCTCCGTTCGATGCCGTCAGGTAAAACCTTTACACCGATAAACGAGCATGGCCCAAGGTACGTCGAAACAGCCACTCAGCTCCGCCTAGCACCACTTATACCAGCATCCCGACCTGCTACCTCGCTTTCCCTTCCCATCTTGTCTTTTTCTTCTGCTTTTTCTTCTGCTTTTCTTCTTTTTGATGACCTCACGATCTCTAAGTCACATGTATTGCTTAGTAAGGCTATGTAATATAGTTAGTCCGTATCCGATGATTATGTCAGCGACGCTTGGGCCGCAGTTTGTTTTTTTAACTTTCTTGTATAGAAAAAGGTCGAGTTTTGATGTAGAAGAAGAAGAAAGAAGAAAAAGAAGCAGAGGAAAAGAAAAGAAAAGGTGAGATGAAGGGTGACTGCATGGTAGGACAAGAGTAGGACAATATGGAAAGGTTAAAGACATAACAAAGTCGAAGTGAATCGCAAAGTAAACAGAAAGCGGAAAGAAAGCCAGGGGACTAAAGAAGGGGCAGTGCTTGCCTGCTTGCTGCCTCTAGAGTTGTCAGGCAGCAAGTCAGACAGACACAAGCAACACTCGAGACTCTCGCTTTGTCTCGTTTCTTTTCTTTAACTGCTTTGTTCGCCCTTGTCACTTCACTGCTATAACTTGTTTGTGAGTGACGGCATCACGCTTGGTTAACACGTGGCTATCTGCACTGCTTAAGCTTAACTACTTTTTGCTTGCTATAAAAACGAAGTAGCAGCAGCAGCAGCAGGACCGGAACGCTGCGGATTCCTAGCCAAGGATCTTAGAAGGAAAAGGAAGCTTGTCCGGGACCTGATACAACACTCACCTTGGGGCTACAACGTCGATATCAACAGCTAACAAACACCTTATCCACTGCTGATGCCTCGAGCGAGACACCGGAAGACGGCTTCACAGGCCAGGATCGGCTCGAAGCCTGAACTGATGAAGTCGTCCAGACATATGTACGAGCGGGAGCCAGCAAACTATGGCCTCTTCGTCCAGCTTGTTCGCAGCTTTCTCATAGTTGCCTGGTTCTGCTGCTGCTGCACCTGCATCATCGTCGCCCAGGTTGTCGGCCTGCCGCTCTACGTCATCAAGAAAGAGTACTTCAATGCATGGATCGCCCTGACCAAGGAGTCCTTTGGCCTCGCCATCACGGCCTTGACTGAGTGGAGTGCCCCAACTCCTGTGCGCATCAGCGGTGATCGCAGCGTACTTGGCCAGGTCACTCTCACATCCAACGGAGGCATCAAGACTAACTTCCCTGACCGTCTGGTCCTGATCGCAAACCACCAGGTCTACACTGACTGGCTGTACCTCTGGTGGGTGACCTACACCAATAAGATGCATGGCCACATCTATATCATCCTCAAGGAGTCACTCAAGTATATCCCTTTGGTCGGCCAGGGGATGACCCTCTACGGGTTCATCTTCATGGCCCGCAAGTGGATGGCAGATAAGCCACGGCTGCAGCATCGTCTGAGCAAACTCTCCGTCAAGCGTGCAGAGTCTTCCTCCGGCAATCCTCTATTCGATCCCATGTGGCTGCTGATCTTCCCCGAGGGAACAAACCTGTCACTGCATACCAAAGATGTCAGTGATGCTTATGGAAAGAAGAAGGGTATCCCTCCTCTCAAGCATGAGCTTCATCCACGCTCTACGGGCCTGTTTTTCTGTCTGCAGCAACTTAGAGGAACAGTAGGCCATGTATACGACTGTACTATGGCATATGAAGGCCCACCGTAAGTTTATTTTTGGATACCCCCCCCCCATAACATCTATACTTCGAGGCACTGACAGTTTCCTATAGGAAGGGAAGCTTCCCTGATAGCTACTTCACCATTCGCTCGACCTATCTCAAGTGTCGCCCACCAAGAGTTGTTAACTTTTACTGGAGGCGCTTTGCATTCGAGGATATCCCTCTGGAGAACCAAGAGGAATTTGAAGCCTGGCTATTCGAGCGTTGGGCCGAGAAGGACCAACTCTTGGACACATTCATTGAAACTGGCAAATTCCCACCCTTTGAAGATGCCGATCTAGTGGAGATGGATCCAAACAACCCTGACATTCAGACAACCTCCGGCAAGAATCACGGATACGTCGAAGGTGAAGTCCGCCTTAATTATTGGGCCGAGATTTGCAGAGTCTTCGCCGTTCCTGCGCTTATTGCATTCCTCATCCACGTTTACCGGCGGTATTGCTGAATGACTTTATGTTCTCACCTGAAATTACGACAGCGATGTCTTTCTTACCCTTTTACATTAGTTTCCTCCCTTTTTTATCATATTGCTAGGAGGCGTTCAAGTTGATCAAGGTCAGTCAGGGGAGAATTAATGGTGGCATAGAGCTTACTTGGGCGTTGGCTGGGGACAGGAGGACAAACTTCTTCAACATCATAATAGCTACCAGTCCCTACGGACACAGTATTATATCCCATTTCACTCTTCTCATGATTCTATCATTCTTGTCCTATTCAATGCCTCGCCGTCCCGTCCTGTCCTTCGATGTCATCACGTGATGCCAAGCCTTCGACCGAAGCTTCGACTTTCTGATATCAAAAAGCGAACAAAATCCAAGTGTTGCTTCAGTTGCTTTCAGCTCGTCTTAATCTACCTCCTCTGCGCAAGAGGCGAACCCAGGCTTTCCCTCGAAAGCCGTACCAACCTTCAACGGGCAGACGATGAGAGCTTCCTGCTCCTTCCTGCTCTCCTAATCACCTAATCAGTTTCTCTCGCGCCGACCCTTTGCGCGCCCCGTCATGGCGCCCCTTCAGAACGGTCTTGCCAACGGCGGCAGCACCACCGGCCCGGATACCATGGCCAAAGGCACTGCTCGCTTCTCGGATATCCCTTCCGCTATCGATATTCCAGCCTCTACCTTTGACAGCGAGGTCGAAATCAGTTTACAGGAACTCCCGGACGACCCTACAGAGCTCTGCACCCTCCTAGACAATGAAAAGGCCGCAAAGAACTTCTGGGTTATCATCGCTCTGGCATACGCTAAGCAGAAACAAATCGATCATGCCATTGAGATTCTTACTCGTGGCCTTGCCTCTCTTGCGCATGGCGCTACAAAGGAAAGGCTAAGCTTGCTAGGCTGGATCTGCTGGCTCTACCTGATCAAGAGCAGGCAAGCTCCTCGAGTTGCTCCAGAGGGCCAGCTACATTCTGAAGCAAAGACGAAAGAGTTTTATCTGCAAGCTGCTACAGCAACTTTGAACGAGGCTTCGCGCTTGAATCCCGCTTTTCCTCCCTTGTTTCTTGCTCGCGGTGTGCTCTCTATCCTACGTGCGTCGTTACAGCCTCCTTCGAAACCTGTAAGACCCGGTACTATCGATACTTCCGAACGAGTCGAATCACTTCAGCAAGCTATAAAATGTTTCGACGAGTCTGCAAAGGCATTTGGAGGCCGGAATATCATGGCTATCTTGGGCCGCGCGAGGGCGAATTACATGCTTGGGCGTTATGGCGATGCTCTGGAAGGATATCAAGAAGCGCTGGTGAAGATGCCTAGTATGAGAGACCCGGATCCGAGAATTGGAATTGGATGCTGTCTTTGGCAGCTGGACTTTAAGGACCAGGCGAAAGTTGCATGGAACAGGGCTTTGTCTTTAAACCCTGATTCAAAGGCTGCTAATATCCTTTTGGCTGCATACTATTTGCATGATAGTTCTCGTCATTCGACCAACGATCCGGAATTCAGCTCCCTCTATAAGACTGCTATGACGCAGTACACCCAGAAGGCCTTCAAGCTCGATAAGGAGTATCCGATGACTTGTGCGACGTTCGGCAGCTATTTCCTTCTTCGCAAACATTTCCCGACCGTTGAGGCCCTTGCACGCAAAGCCATTGAACTTACGGACGTTAATGCTATTGCTAGCGATGGCTGGTACTTACTCGCCAGAAAGGAGCACACTGAGGGTGACCCAGAACGCGCGTTAGAGTACTATAACAGATCTGACCAGGCAAGAGGCGGAGCTGACAAGGGATATCCACCAGCCAAATTCGGTGCGGTCCAGATGCTAGTCAGGAGGAAGGACTTTGATGGCGCCAAGTTCCGTCTAGAAAAGATTATTCAGCAGACTAAGAATCCTGAGGCCATGGCTCTGCTTGGATCTATTTATGCAGATGAGGTTTTTGCGGCAAGCAGTTCAAAGGAAGACAAATCGGCGGAAGCTAAGAAGGCGATCTCGCTACTCGAATCCGTACGGACCAGCTGGAAGGCTGACAAGAAGAAACTCACTCCGGATGAGTCTGTCTTGCTTTACCTTGCTAGGTTGTATGAGACCAGTGCTCCGGAAAAGAGCATGCAATGCCTCAATCAGGTTGAAGAAATGCAATTGGCTCAAATTCCCGATGATGAAAAGCCAGACAATGTTGAGGGTGAACAGGCCGTGAACGATGTTCTTCGTGAGAGACTCTCGCCTCAACTACTCAATAATATCGGCTGCTTCCTATACCAGTCCGACAAGATTGAGCAGGCTAGGACCATGCTTCAAACCGCCCTTAACGCATGTGTGCAAGCACAGGAACGAGAAGACGCCTCTGACACGGATGCATACGTTACGACTATCAGCTACAACCTTGCCCGGACATACGAGGCTGCAGGTATGCTAGACGAAGCCAAAAAGGTCTATGAAGGATTGCTCGAGAGGCATCGCGATTATGTCGAAGCCAACGCCAGACTCACCTACATTGCTCTCCGTCTGAATCCCGGAGACGAAGGTTCAAAGAGGATGACCAAGCTTTACGAGACAGAAGCATCCAACATGGAAGTGCGGGCACTATACGGTTGGTATCTCAATAAGTCTAAACGCCGCGTTGCCAATCTGGCCGAGGACCATGAACAACGGCACTACAAGCATACTCTCCAGGGATATGACAAGCATGACCGGTACGCCTTAACAGGAATGGGAAATCTTTATCTCCTTACAGGTAGAGATATGCGACGAGACGGCGAACAGGAGAAAGAGAAACGGCACAAGATATATGAGAAAGCCGTTGAGTTCTTTGACAAGGCTCTTCAGCTTGACCCAAAGAATGCCTATGCTGCTCAAGGTATCGCCATTGCTTTGGTTGACGACCGCAAGGATTACTCGACTGCTGTCCAGATATTCTCGAAAGTCCGAGATACTCTACGTGACTCGACTGTGTACCTTAATTTGGGCCACGTCTTTGCAGAGCTGAGGCAGTTCACCAAGTCCATTGAGAACGTATGTGATTTTAAGCATTGCCTATTTTACTGTCTCGATATATATATATATATATATATGCTAACGATTGGATAGTACGAAATCTCACTCTCCAAGGACAGAGCCAGAGACGCACAAATCCTTGCATGTCTCGGCCGTGTCTGGTTCCTCAAGGGTAAACAGGAACAGAATCTGACAGCTATGAAGACCGCGTTGGAGTATGCTGAGCGTGCACGTTCGGCTGCCCCTGACCAAATTCACCTTGAATTCAACATTGCCTTTGTTCAGAATGAAATAGCTCTTCTTGCAATCAGTCTTCCCGAAGTTCAGAAGACCTCTGAGGATGTTGAAGAGGCAATGAATGGCTTGACAGCAGCAATTGAAGCTTTCGACAAGATTGCTAGTTCAAAGAACCCACCTTATCCACGCAGCTCATTAGAATCTCGAGCAACTATGGGTAGAAACACAATTCGGAACCAGCTTCAGCGAACCCTTCAGAGCCAAAAGCAGTACGAAGAGAAGAATGCTGCCAAACTACAACAGGCCCGAGAGCTCCGTGACGCAGAAATAAAACGCCGTGAAGAGGAGAAGCGCAAGGCCGAGGAGGCAGAGAAGGAGAGGAAGCGACAAATTGCAGAAGAGCGCCAGCTCATGATTGAAGAAGCCGAGCGACTTACTGCCATCCGCATCGACGAAGAGAGGGCCAGGGAAGCCGCCGAATACACTACTGACAGCGAGACCGGAGAGCGGTATAAACGGCAACAAAAGAAATCCAAGGGTGGCAAACGGAAAAAGAAAACCGATGCAGACAAGAAGAGACAAGACAGTGAACCACAGCACTCCGGTTCATCATCTGACGGCGAAGGTGAAGAACGCGCCGCTGCCCCCAGAAAGAGAAGACGTCTTGAACGACGCGGAAACGCAAAGTCAAATAAGTATAAAAGTACCGAGATTGTCGTCGACTCCGACAGCGAGGCGGAAGATGCTGCTGATGCCAATGGTGATAGAGCTGGTTCCGCGTCTGCAGCTCGAAACGATGAGGATGAGGATGAAGATGATCTTGTACAACGACGAAAGAAGAAGGCCACTTTGCGAATTGAAGATGATGAGGACGAGGACGAGGAGCCTAAAGCAGCTACGCCTGCCGGTGATGATAACGATGACCTTTTCGACGAGAAGTCGCCAGCAGCCGAAGGAGATGCTAATAAAGATGTTGAAATGAAAGGCACCGAAGAGGAAGAAGAGTGAGCCCCTCCCTCTGCCCTCCGTTTACTCGGCTCCTCTTCTACATACCATCGTCTTCTTGCTTGTCTACAGGCCGTCCTTTTTTACTTCCATTCATGTATTAGTTATTTAACGGTGGCGTCGTGGTGAAAGTTATTCCGGAATATCAAAGCGATCTCACTTGCATTTCCCTTTCCCCCAGCTTCCCCCCTGTATTTCCAATCCTATCATCTTTTTTTGAAACCTCCAAATGGCAATGTTTTCTGTGGTATGAAAACTACAATTTCAAAAAATCTCATGTTGCACTGGCGTTTTCGTGTCATCACCCCTTTATTTGGCAGTCAATCATTTGCCCATTTTCTCATAGCCAATATGTGTACTTTAAGCAGTTCCTTTGCCATAAACCTGTTTTATAATACGTAGTTAGTTACCAGTGGAGAAATGATAGAACAGTTGCTAATTTAGCGTACCAATTTTCCGGTTGATCAACATCGTCTCTACCAACAAACCACCAACCACCGGGCCTCACTAGTTATAAACATAGAGCATACGAGACGCTGATATCTATACAAGGATAAGTGGAATCCCCTCAGTCGCGCATAGAAGGACGCCAAAAGAGATGATGAAAGAAGAAATCACCAAAATAATCTATGTGGACAAGCCCCGCGCCGTTAAGGATCCTGACTATGCCCGCTCCTTGAGCAAAACACCTTCGTTCTGCGTCTACGATGAACGGTTCATAAAAGATGTCCTTGGGCCCGAGCCAAAGATACAGTTAATCGAAGAACGAAGGGAAAAGGGAGAGCAATTCGCACATGAAGCGGGAGTATACATCCGTGAGACCAACTCGGTGTATTTCACATCCAACTTCCAGACCTGCGATCCTATCGATCTATACGCCATAAACTGCAGTACTCACAAAATCGAAAAACTGGATTATCCAGATGTCGTGCAGGCAAACGGAGCATGCAATTTTCCTGGCAAATCCGCGTCTCTCTATTCACCTGGTTCTGTGAATGGAGACGAAGAACCTGACCGTATCCTTTATTGCTCCCAGGGTGACCATTCAACTCCATCTGCCCTTGTGCTAGTTAATCCAGTCACCAAGGAGTCCGAGATCTTGCTCAACAACTTTTACGGCCGAGAATTCTCCTCTGTCAATGATGTGGTGATCCACCATGGCACAGGAGACGTTTGGTTTACGGATCCAACGTATGGTTATGAGCAGGGCTTCCGTCCCGATCCTATTCTACCAGCACACGTATATAGATTTCGACCATCTACAAAGGACTGCTATGTCCTAGCTGATGGATTTGATATGTGCAATGGGCTCTGCTTTAGTCCGGACTATTCCTTGCTGTACGTTACTGATACAGGGGCTGTGAAGGCTCGAAGTCATTCTGGAGATGGACGCAAGTTCCAAGCCAACCATAAGAACGCTGGGACGATATATGTTTATGACGTGATCGATGAGGGGACACGGATTGCCAACCGGCGGACCTTTGCATTTTGTGATTTGGGGGTGCCTGACGGGATCAAATGTGATGAGAATGGCTATGTATATTCCGGCTGTGGAGATGGAGTTCATGTTTGGGCTCCGGATGGGACTCTGATTGGCAAGATAATTGTTGGATGCACCACGGCAAATTTCTGCTTCGTTAAGGGCGGAATCTGGATGTTCAGCGAGAAGGACTTATATTTCTGCAAGCTCCAGGCGGCGACAGGAGCGTTGGTTAAGATTGAGTGTGAGTAGAGGGATGGTACATGATCTAGAGATAAAAGTCAAACTGCTGTACGGAATGCGAGCCGAATGGAGTGATTTGATTTATGATTTATTTCGCGTTTCAGATTAGCTGTGACGTGTGGCTACATTCGCTAAATTCAGTTTACTATATAGATGCAGGGAAACCAAGAGAGGATATTTCACAAATGGGACCAGTATCAAAGGATAAACAAAAATGCTGCATATGTACGGATACAAAGTCCGTCTTCAATAGTAATGTACAACAGTGCGCTGAGACAGATTCTAAACGCGAGAGGCTCGTTCGAAACGAGATATCAGAGCATGCCATCATGCGACTAAAACTCCGTGTTCCAAGTAGGCGGCGACATAGAAAGGAAGTCAAAGTTCTCCAAGTTAAACCATGACAGCAGTTCCTGAGACGGTGTCTCAGGGTTTGAAGTCGGGGGTAGAAGTGGCATGGAAGTAGGGATAGACGGCTCTCGGTTAAAAGCCCTGTTTACAGGGTGGCCGGAGCTTTTCGTTGCGATTTGACTTTCACAACGTTCAACCATTTCCTTGAGCCCCTGAGCGATGCGGTGCACAAGATGCTGTTTAGCGCAAGGGCAGTGTTGAAACACCTCCAGAACCCTTTGGATAGTCCGAAACACCAGCTGCGTGTCAACTTGCACATGCTGTCTATTACGCGTTGCAACCTTGAGGAGAAAGACTGACGCGAATGCGAACATGGTATGGAAATAATGAGGGATCCCGACGAGGTACGCTCGTAACTCATCAGATTCGATCAGCATCTCGAGAATGGATATCGCAGTTGTAACTGCATCAGCTGCAATGTCACTTAGTTCTGGGGCGAGTGGTACGTTGGCAGATTCCACGTTTAACCCTCGAAAGGCATGGGAACATATAAAGAACTTTGCAAATCGAAAATGGAGCTTAACGGCTTGAGAGGGGAAGTTTCCAAGCCATTTGTTCCGTGCTAGTCTTCCTGCCCATGTCTGTGACCATCTGTCCAGCTGCACAAGGTAATCTCGAAGTTGCGGTATGAGAGCTAGGGGAACAGCCTTCATTGCATCCACCCCGTACGTCTGCCGTACCTTTCCCAAAAGCAAAAGAAGGTCGATATGACTGATTAGCCTCAGATCAATCTCCCCTGAAAAGGGGGAGGCCAGGTGATTTCTCCAGTTGATATATCCAGGCTCCACACCACAGGCGGGAGAGCCATGGAGTATTGATATCTGTTCATTGGCTAGAAATATCAATAACCACATCTGAGACTTGCCGAATGCTTCTCTATCGGTCTGTGGCTGGTTCATGTGAGCTGTGTGGTACTGCATGTCAATGGCCTTTCTAAGGACAAGCCCAGACAAGACCCAGGTCAAGTTCCCCAGCCAGTAAGAGGCCATACAGAAGGCTTTGATATCTTCTACTCCCAAGTGAGTGCGAAACATAAGTGATGATGTGACACTGCGGAGCTCTCTGCTCAGCTTATCGTATGCCTCTGTACCGAGAGGGTCATGTAAAGCTGCCACAGTGCATAAGGTTAGTGCAAGTAGTGTAGAGGTCCTTCGTATCTCGCTAATGTCTGCATATTTTTGTAGATGGTCATAGAAGAAGTGGTCCAGCCGGGTCAGATATGTTTTGGTAAGTTGGCCAGCTTCTACTTCGGTAATTACTCCCCGTGAGACGAAATCCGGCTGCAAAACCAACCCTGAAAATTGGGTGGCATTTTCGGGCACCTCGCTGGATTTGGTGACTTCATAGAGAGACCGCACTGGGGCTGAGGCGAGTGTATCTTGCCCCATGGAACCCTCCAGCGGATTGTGATGTTCATCCACCGGTTCAGGCTGGGCCGCTTTCACGTCTTCCTCTTTGGTACCTAATTCCTCCACTGCCGATATAGGGGGTAGTGATAACGCTGCCCTGGCTTCATTTAACGCTGTTTGAAGCTGCGAGAAATAAAGATTCATCCGAGAATTCCATCTGTTGAAGAGTATATATTAGAGATGTCGTCTCTCTATATAGATATATTGTAAATGCTTGTATATATCGTACCTTGCCTGCTCTACCATAATATCCTGGATTGACTTATTCGGTGAACATTCTATGCCTCGCTCCACGCAGCGTTTACACGGCGGTTGGTCATACTCCATAACACATTTGGTCTGTCAATTTATATCAGTAGTATTCTATGGGAATACTCGGCAGCACAATCCTTCAGTACCTTTTGTTTCCTGCAGGTCGGACATGCTGTCGACTTGCGACTCGTCACGGCAACACTGATTTGCGGCGACTCCGGAGGACCTATGCCGAACGAAATCGGAGGGGTATTGGGGGTCTTCGACAAGCTATCTGGAGACCTGTACATAGCTATCTCAGGAGCACCAGAGCCATTCGGCACAGAATTCAGCGCCTCAGGCAGCGGCAGTGGTAGCGGCGGAGGCGGCGGCGGCGGTGGGTGCAGCGGGTTGGAGGAGAGCTCTGCAACGGACCATGGACGCTTACGCGGTGGATTCATGGTGAGAGCCAGCAGCTCTTCGCGGCCCCGGCTATTGAGTATCACAGATCGAGAGTATATATCCTAGCTATCGGTTGGCAGTACAAATGGCAAGGCATGTGCGGTGCGACAAGGGTCATGGATATGGATGGGACAAGCTGCAGTCATCGCAGGGAAAGAGACGCGCGGGGGCTCGTAAGTATTTAACTAGCAGCCGGCCAGCCGGCCAGCCTTGCCACTCCCTTCGAGGCTTCGCCGGCTAGGCTGAAGACGCAAACGAAAAGAACCGACAACAAACGACTGCCAGCAGGTGATGGAGCAGCTCAACGAGTGTTGAAGATGCTGAAGCTCCCACGGAGGATCTGCTAACCGCGAGATTAAGGTGAAGCTTGCGCATATGGGGAATCCTCAAGCGCGGTGGAGTCAACCGAGACGCCAGACAACAAGGGCCATCATTGAGATATCAAGATAGCAGGGAAGATACAGGCATCTATACACGCTGAACGGCGTGGAAAGAGCTTCTACAGATATACAGCATACTGAAGGCATACGCAGAATGCCAGAGAGAGCTCTCTGGCTAATGGCAGACACAGCCGTTTATAAGTAGTAAGAGAGCGCAGGAAGACGGATGAAGGGAAGAGGATGAGATTATCTGTTACCGGGTGACCATATTACGATATTATGCCTACATATAAGTGCTAGAAGCCTCAGGTGGACACTGGCATCTGCTCGAACGCAGTCTAACTGGTGATATATGGCCCATAAAGCAGGCATAAAGGCCATCCCGCCAGATGACATTCAACTTGGAGCAATTTGCTGGGCCTGTTAGCCCACCTCGACCGTTTGTTCTCTCGCTTGCTTGTCAGCAGAGAAAACCAGCCTGTGTCAACGGGATGACACGTCTCCTGGCCGGCTGTGCCCTTCGGTTGCTGGAATAAGGCATTGATATCGCCGGAAATACGGAGCATGAAGCAAGCTTTTCCACCAGGATGTCCTTATGTCCTAATGGATTAATTCAATTTGATTAAAGCATATTGTTTCGGGTCTGCAGGAAGCCGTCAGTAAGTCGCCAGGAAACCTCGGAATGGAATTGCCATTAATATCAGGCCTCAACGATAATGGGCCTGCGAAAATAACACTCCGTTTCATGTGCAGGTAGATGCTCAGATACGATCTGATCAACTTTATCACTGGCTCTCGGCTGCAGGTACGTCAGGTTTAAAATATTCTATTCTCGTTTTTCGCCCTTTGCCTCGGGACCGCTTTCCCCTGCCATCTTGCAAACGAGAAAGAAGGGTATACTTAAATATAGACACGGAGTAGCTGAAAGGGCCAAAAGGAAAAACCGAGAGCTTCGACAACGTCAATCTCTCAACTCTCTCTCTGAGGCTTGACAGCTCGGTTAGGCATTAGCTAACCTTCAGCCACCAAGGCCAGCTGGAAGGTGCTTTCCGCTTCCCCCCGCGGTACCTGAAGGAAAGAAAAGCAACAAAAAAGAAAAGCGGTCAAAAGTGCCGACTAGCATCCCTCGACTTCAACTTCAACATAGACCTTGGGGTGATCGAAAATATTGGCGTCTCGACCGAGTCATGATTGAATATCAGTCATGCCAACAGATACGCCTGGGAAGGCCAGCTTGGTGGCTGATATCGTGCCATTTTCCCTCTTTTTCTTCTTTTCAGTCCAATTGAAAAATCACGTCCAAGGAAAGAGACATTTAGCTTCATGCAGAAAATGAAAATAGTACGTCAGACCGTATAACGACGGGCTTCCAACTTTCAATCCTCGTTCTTATCAGATGGTTTAAATGCATATAGGAGGGACAATCAGGCCAGAGTGGATGATGTATGTCCTTTCTGCATATGTATACACCTGAGTGGATGAGACGACATACATACTTGAGCCAAGAGTGGGAAAGCATTGGTTGTAACACATCAAGGAGCAGCTGGTGCCTTTTTTATTCAGTCAAGACAGGGAGCAGGGAGTCGACTCTGCCTGCTGAAAGATGTCAATCCCCCTCTTGAAGGATGAGAGGATGAGATTGGATAAAGGCTGAAGAATTGAATCTGCTCCCTCCTTTCAACCCCTCCAACGGATCAACAAGACTTCCTTCCTTCGATGGGAGTTGCAAGGGGGAGGGAGGTCCCATGTCTATATCTCGATGTATTAATGTTGCTTACAGCAAATAGCTGCATGGCAAGCTGAGCGAGATAAACATTCTCAACCGCTCCGTACTTCTGGAAGCGATGAGAAATATAAAACAGGAATACGCAGCATATGCAGCTATTTTTCCCCATGTCCTGCATAACGCCCTAGCTTCAAGGCACGCACCGCCGGACGCCGGAATGGACAGCTCAAGGCATTAAAATCCAAGAAAGTTATCCAAGGAAGCATCAATTGAAGGTGTAGTAAATGAAGCAAATTCCTCAAGGCTGAAAAGGCTTAAAAATAGAAGCATAAGCCTAATTTGCCTATAACTAACTTACATTTTTATGCTTCTTTTCCCATTATTAACTTGTTTTGTGTTTACCATGAGGAAATACGGTTAGGGTTCTTATTCCGAGGTTCCCCATACGCGTGCACTTTCCTGACAAGGGCGGGCCAGGGAGTTTCGCTGTTGCATCGAGAAGGAAAGGAAGGAAGAGAAAAGAAGACGACGATTCGGACCGCAAGGAAGGCTGATTCGGGCATACGGAGCTTGAACCCTGGCCCCCGCTGTCCAAAAGAGCGCTCAAGGCCGAAGATGGCCCTTCCATACACTTGTTCCTTGCATACATAGCTCGTTCGCGGGGAGGGACGACGTCAAAGTATAGGCGGTTTAAGGCTCGTATTTCAGAACGATCAGCCAGTCCGGTCTTTTCCTCTCCTTCCTTTCTGGATTTCCTCCCATGGTGATAGGCTATAGCCGACGACGACGCGACGGGGGTTTTGAAAAGCTGGTGGAGTTAGCACCCGTCTGCTATTGACAAGGTCCTCGTGTGCTTTTGAGATCAGCCCTTGTCTAGATCCCGCCGAGAGGGAAAGACTTACCAAGCTAAGATAGTAGCTATATCTTGTTTGCTAATAATAAGCACTATCTCTGCAAGACCAGTGTGCAAAATGCACAAATATAATGCCATTGAGTGCAGCTTTTTTGTAGCTTTGGCTCGGGGTCGTGCCTGCGTCATCCGGAACAATCGTAAGGATCTGGCTTTGGCGATTTCACGAGGAAAAAGGTGCGAATATATCCCTGTGTCTTGGATTCTTGGACGTGATCATTATAGATGTGCGTGATTGTGCCATGGGCAGGGTCCTAATTCATGCATATGTTCCTTGTACGACCGGGTATCCATAGGCTGACGGGCCCTGTCCGGAGGAAGGGTGGATAAGCACAGGGATTAGGAGCGGTTCAAATACCAATACATACTCCTACTGGCAAAAGTCCCGAGTGTATAGCCTGGAAGGGATAGGGAATTCACCTGCATTCGGTGGCCTGGCAGACAGCTTCTTATGCGGTTGTGATTCAAAGATTTCCCCCTCCTTCTGGATCATTCTACAATAGAGCTGACATCTCGCTAACAGCATCGGAGCATCCATCTGCGTCTAACTGGATGGCTTGGCTTGATGATTGGTACCGGTTGGCCAGCCTGTCCTTGCATACCTGGGCCCTCTGTGTTCGGAGTACGTACGCTGATGTGCTTGCTCCATTGGAATGTGCGACGGTGGTATAACACAGCGCACCATAGCACAGGATATAATATGGAGGCCAAGAGAAGTCGACGTGGGGAGTCTCAGGGCTTCTTGCTCGATCTTCATGCAGCAGAAGGATACGAAGGCTATCGCTAGATTCCCAGAAATCTAGGATGGTACAAAAAGGGTAAAAGAGAAGCAAAAGCTGGCATATCTTTTGGGTCGCTCGTGATGGTTCGTGACGGCCCGTCAACGGACTAAATCTTGCATAAGCGCAAATTCTGCATCCTTTGAATATCCGGAAACAGAATGTGTCATGGCCTTGTTCCAAATTAGGGGCAAGATATATACCCGCCGGAGTATTCCCTACTGCCTTGCCTACATACCTGCCTACCTATGTATATCCGACAGGAAGCAACGTGCCCTTGGCGATCGTGTTCACATACCTGAGAGCATGGCATACACGTTTTTTTCCCCCATCGGGACCCTGGCGGCAGGAGACCGCTGCGGCCGCACATGGACATATACATCGAGATCAAGGCCTGCCGGGCGAAAGTCTTTTTTATTTTTCATTGTCTTGCCCGTCTGTCCTTCCTTCAATCGCACTTGATACCGTTGAGAAGGATGCGGGAAGGGGAGGACGGCAGAAAGGGCAAAAGAGAAAGGGGCCAGCCAGCCTACTCCGTACATACAGATTCTTCACGGGTAGTTTTGACAGGGGGCCAGCATTCTCCTGATTAGGAGAGTCGGACACCAGACGGGATTTTCCAGCCTTCGCATCAATTGACTTGTTGTAGCTATTGTGTATGAGGTTGTTTGCTGATCTTCTGCAAGGCAAACAATGTCTTCCTCCTTTTCTTCGTCCTTGCTTACACAGACACGCGCACTTCGTCAGCCCGACGGATCAGATCTTTTGCAAACAGAGAAAGTCCGAATGTAACATGTAACTATACTCCGTAGAGCGGACCCCAACGTGTATCATCGTCATCAACAGGGCGTCCTCTGTCATACCCTCTGGTTAATCACAGAGGTAGGCACGGATAGATAGCCGTTAGAATGCTTGCAACATTCGGAGCGAGAGAGAGTCCACACATCCACGTTCGGCGAAGGGGCCGAGCTGAGTGGGCAGCTTCCTGTACAGTATACCTACATACCTCTACTCCGTACCCTCCCATATTCAGTTTTATATAACTCTACTTGAAACGAACGTGCTACAACCAGCCTCAAACATGGTACATGCAGGCGTGATAGCCGCTGGAGCCCAGGGCAAGGCATGAACCTGATGCTTAGCCAGCCTGCTGCCCCATCACCACCACCGCGTCCCGTTATCCAGCCGTGCGTATGGGGATACTTACGCAAACAATGGCTCATCCAGACAAAAAGACACAGGGAACCATGGTTGAAAGAACGCGCGCAAGGCTCTCCGGACCACTGATAACGTCCCGTCACACGTGTTGACCTGTACAGGTTGAAATCGGTCGCCTGGGTCGGCCGTTGCGGAAAAAAGGTGTGCAGCGACTCTGCCTTATGCAAAGGGAGAGATAGTTGGAAACCCGAACTTATGTTTCGAGATGTCCCTTCCTTTTTTTTCCTGGTTTCCTCTTCGTCATTCCCATCCGCCCGTGTAGCGTTTGTTCAGCCTGACTGGCCGTGGTTGTTTTTTGTGCTTTGACCCGAAAATAAGCCCGTCCCAAGCTCTCGAAAAGCTGTTTCCTTTTTTTATGCAGCGGATATGAAGGCATATGACTGGACAATGGACGGGAGTGCAGGATTCCGCCTTACTAGTGAGTGAGAGCGCGGAAATAACGAGTGATTGTAATGTCGACTATCGGATACCAGCTCTGGTGTTCCGAAAGCCTGGCGATCTGCTTCTGCTTGCTGTTTGCAGTCCGTGGCTTAACGTGGCTTTGAATAGGTCAACGGTCAGGAAGACACCAGACCACATCGTCGGGCACGAACATGGCATGTGTTTCCGGCCGTTTGTCCTAGTTTCTCTGCTCATCTTTTCAGATACTTCTCATGTGCTCTTTGAGGTACCTCCATTCGTCGGTAAAAGTAGTGCGGCTTGATGTTGGCATTAATGGCCGATGCTATGATTTGCATACTATCACATGTATAGCTATAGAGGAGCAGCTTCTGTCTCCGCCCCGAAGATGGACAACAATATGGGGAACATGGTGCCGTGATTAATGGACGGGGGTAGCCACCCTCACTACTGCTTGCTTAACTTATTTTGTAGGTACTCCGTATATGCTGTACACTCTGTATACTTTCGAGGAGAGGGGAACCCCAGATGGACATCCTTGCGTGGGGAGAGAGAGGTTCATGGTCGCACGGAATACGCGCGAGGACTGCAAGCCATTTGCCGATCATACCATCCATCCACTCCTCCTGTCCTGTCAGAAAAGGGGGTCAGTCAGCCATGTGTCCTCCCTTTTCTCCTGTTCAGCCAGGAGTGGCCTCTGAGAAGGCGAAGGTTCGCCACTACCGGCTCGAAAGTTGCGCTCCAATTCTCCATCTAGGAGGTGATCTTCGGTAGAGACAGGAGGAGCTGCATGTTGTCAACCATGGATCGCAAGCAGTATTATACTCTGCACCAGAGTTTAGAGTAGTCTGTCAACCACGCTTGGAGATGTACATATAAAAAGCGTGTGATATATGTATGCGAAGTCTGGTTGACGGTTAGCCCAGATCGACAGGCAAGAAACGTAATAGGAATCATAACATCAAACCCGAGGGACGAGAGAACCCGAGCCAGGGATAGAGCGATCGCCGGGCCCCAAAAGGAAAAGATGTCGATGGGGAGGGAGCAAGGTGGATGTATAACTCTGGTGTTATCATGACGCCAGCCTTTGCTAAACAAGTGTCCCTGTAGTAGATACATAGCTTATCGGCCGGCCTTCCTCTGCTCTGGTTCGGTCTGGGGAGAGCTGGCTGGTCGAGTTCAAGCCCGTTCGTTCGGACATGGCAGAGACGGCCCTGCTCGAGCGTTGCTCGAATCGAGTCCGAGCTATAGTGGCAGCGTACTATTAGCAGGGCGGCTTTATGCTTTGCGACGCGTTGTATATATCCTGGCCTGGCCTCTGTAGAAGGCCGTCCTGTCCAAGCCATGTTTTCTTGTCTCTCGCTTCCATCATGGGTAATGCTGACCTGGCCATGGGGGGAGGCACAGGAAGGGGGAAAAGCAGCCACCCTGTCCCCCAGACACCCGCCGTTTATTCTCCGCAGTAGAGGGACGCTAGGGGGGAAGACGGGCTCCTGGATGTTCTCCATCAGGCGACGCCGTCGACATATGTAAGTATATGTATGTATGTATATACTTCTGTCTATATAGATAACCCTCTTCGGCAAGCCAACCCGGTCTCCATCTGCGGTGGATGACAGAGATAGCTAGAGCTAGCTAGTTACTTGTATGCCGGCAGCCGGAAGCGCGATCAACTGCCATATCCATAGCTGTCCGTTTGACATAGAGAGACGCCCGAAGAGCACAACAGTTGACGTCGTTGTATTGTTGCCGTATGCCCAACGGTCACAGGCAGAGGCAGCGAGAGAGAGAGCAACATCCCGCGCCGTGACTGTGGCGTGCAGCTAGTCGACTCTCGCAGGAAGAAGCAAAGAGAGCCAGCAGAAGGCCGGTCGAATGCCAGTCGAAGACGTTTAGGCACGGCACAAGACATACATACAGCATGCAGCAAGCAGCTAGCTAGCTAGCGATGTCGTCCTCGTTCTCGTCGTCGTCGAAGGCGATGGTGCGTTTGCTTGCGCGACGCCCGTTTGGGTGACAACTACAGCGACGGCTGGTCTACGGCGATCCTGAAGGGGGAACAAGCATCACATTCCACCATCAGCGGCTTTCACATTCGCTTCAGGCCGCGTGTGTAGAGATGCTCTTTCTGGACAGCCGAGTTCCACCTGCTTTTGCTTCTTTGCCCGCGGTCCAGACGAGAGAGAGAGATACAGAGATACAGAGATACATAGAAAAAGAGAGAGTGTGTGAAAAAGAAGCACCCCTGAGCAAAAGAAGCAGAGACGGCAGACAATCCCGGCGTGTTGGATGCTCGCGCCCCCAGAAAGCGCCAATGACGCTGCCTGGCAGTCGGACGCTTTGCTGCTACTGGCATAGGTTGATGGAGACCGCTGTTGCGCCGTTGTTTCTGGTTGGAAGTCTATCGGGACAGGCCCCCTTTTCCCTGTCGAGGCCCGGAGGAGAGAGGGTTGAAGGGTGCGCACAAACAGACAGACCGACGATGGAGCTGGCGGAGACAAGCGACTGGCGAGATGGACGCATAGCACGTCGCTGCTCGATCTCTGCTGCTGACTGGCGTTGCAGGCGAGAGCGTACAGTAGCCATGGGCCTGTCCTGCCTGGCGGCCGCCATGGTCGACCCCGTCTCTCTTCCCCTTTGGGCCGGCGTCCAGCCATCTGCAGTAGCGCTGCGTCTTTCGTGCATTCGCTGCATCTCGCTCGCTCGCTCGCTCTCCTCCCTTGCCCTGCATCCCATCCATCGCACAAATGGGAGAGAGGGAGCGGAAGGGCGATGCCAGCCTGATTGGCGGATTTATTCAACTTGCTTATACGACGCCTCCGTTTGACTTCTCTGCCGTTGGAGTGGTTGACTTTTTCCTCCAACTCCATGAAACGTATACATATTTACGCACGGTAAAGTAACTAAATATGTCCAGCAGGAGAGGGAAAAAGGAAAGAAAGAAACAATAAAAAACACCACAGGCAAGGGGAGGAGGTAAAAAAAAAGACAAAAAGACAAAAATAAAACGAAGACGACGTTTCAGATGTCTCTATCGTCCTTTTCCCTCAGACGAAAAGCGCAGATGAAGAGGCAACCAGGCGAATTTGCCTCAGCTGCAAGGGGACGACAACCCGACCAGATAAGAACACGATTGAGATCGTACAGACAAGAACGATCAGCAATGCTGAGTTCCTTTTCGACATCAAGGCAGCCAGACAGTGGGAGGAGTATACAGAATACACCATCCTTGACAGGGCGTTTTTTTTTACACCTCGCGGGAGGAGAGGGCTGCAGCAGTACGGAGTATCAGCATCAGCATTAGCATCAGCACTGGCGATGTGCAGCAGTAGCAGCAGATGAGATGGAAGAAGAAAAGAAGAATGATATTAATAACAACAATAGCTGCTTTACACCAAGATCAACCACCATCACCAACATGGGACTTGCAAACGCTCGCTGCTAGTGTGTATAGAAACTCAGTACAAGGACAAACATTTATTTTATCCTCAAAATGCACCATAACACCACAAACGGAGGATTAACCGGGTTCCGTCCACGGCCAATGAGAAATATTCTCTGTGCTCTCTCCGGCCGCTCGACCCCTTGCCGTGGTACCTGGTAGAGTTACTTATGCTCCGTATGCAAAAAAGCAAGAAGAGGGAAGAGAAAAAAGAGTGGTATGGGAAAGAAAAAGAAAAGAGGCCCAGAGCTTGTTACTCTGTCCAAAAGGCAAAAAAGCAAAGAAGCAGAAGAGAAGGAGGAAGAAGCAAAAAAAGAGAGGGAAAAAAAGCAAAGCCTTACAGCGCGAGAGAGAGAGGGAGGCCTTCCCATGGTTCCCGTTCCTGCAGGTGGGATCTGCTCGTCCTGATAACTCCGCCCCAAAAAGCCAGTGGACAGGACTAACACGACTAGAACGGGGAGAGGACGAGAGAAGGCCCCATTTTGCATATACGCCTTGAGCGTTCTGTCTGTCATGTCCTCCCTAATCTCTGGGTCTTGCTGCTCGGGGCTTTTCTACTTATTCATGGCATTTTCCCGCCGCAACCGGGGGAAGAAGACGTTTTGAGCTTTCTCTCTTCTCTTGTTACCTCTATCTCTTCTTTCTCTAGACCACCTCGGCTTCTTTTCTTTTCTTCTTCTTCTGCTGCTTTCTTCTATACTTCTGATTCTAACCTGTTCCGCTCTGTTCCCGGTCCGGCCTGCTATTTGATATAACATACATATCTTGCTCGTGGCCCTGTGTCAGGGATTTCTGTTCCATCTCGCCAGCCTGATATCAAGCGGGCCACACCAACCTATATATCTAACCATCTATTCAATTCTGCTCTTCTTATTTTTGTTTTATCCGGTCATTTTCCCAACGATAGATTCCCTGTCGAGGGCTAACTCTTCGGTCTCTTTTTAACTCTCCACAGGGAGTCTTCTTTTGGGTCGCTTGCTCATACACTGGTTGTTTGCGTCCCTTTTTTTTCGGTGGTCATCTCATATCACACACTCCACGCCCTCAAATTATATACAAACATACATTCATATACGCCCTATCCAACATCTGATCCGAGACGCTGGCTTCTTTTCGTCTCAGACTACCGCTGCAAGGTTTTAGTGTGCGTGCCTTGACCAAGGCCTCAGGAACTGATTTCATATATACTCGACTGTTTCAATCCGGCTGCTTATTTGGCCATTGCATCGTCGGTTGCCTTTCCATGGTTTCTCGCTAGCCCTGCTCCCCTGAGGCATCATCCCGGCTCTGCCCAGGCAAGGCGAGCAAGCATACGGAGTATACCACAACAAAGTTCCCAACAGGGTCTATCCCTCCAACGCCGTCGTTTTATTTTCAGTTGCTATTTATTTATTTATTTTTTTTGTTTTCATTTTTCCCATACTCGACCGACCGACCCCTGGTCCTTCGCGTGGGCGTATGTGGAGAGAGAAGTGACAGGAGGATAAGGACGCAAGCCCATCCTTTTTTGGCCCTTCTCCCTCACCCCATCTCCGTTATAACGCCCACTCGCCCTCCCCTGGAAGTCTAACATAATAAGAATATCCTCTTGTGTTTCCTCTTGTGTGTGGACTAAGGAAAGTCACCATGTCTTTTCTGGAACAGTATACATCCTCGCCCTCTCCCGCTCTTCCTTCATCCCAGACCTCTTCACGGCCCTCGACCTCCCAGTGGTATCATGATCAGATCTTGCGGGAACTACCATTTATATCTGGAGCCTCAAGAAGTCGATCAGGCAGTCCTTCCAGGTCTCGAAACAACACTGGCACCCAGACTCCCAAACGCCTATCGGTACTCGGCCAGCGTTCGCGAAGCGACACTGCCAATTCTTCCAATCTATCCCCTGCCTCGTCTATGACATCGTCGAAACGATCCTCTCACGACGGAAGCAAGGGTGTCTTTGATTTTGTCTTGCCGCTTGAAAAGGAAGAAAGCTCGAGCAAGTCGTTCTTCTCCCGCGGTAATCGCATCCTCAGACGCCAGGGAAAGCAAGTTTAGCCTCTTAGACACTCATACCTTGGACGAGGAGGAAGAAATGTCGAGTGATCAGGTCTGGTACGTGAGAAGGTGAAGCCGAGGCGGAGAAGCCTGCTGCTCTGCGCCGCATCAACCGACAGAGAAAACTCTTCCAGCCGTATGTTAAACGCTGAAAAAGAGACAGAAAAAAAGCTTCTCTGATCTTCGTGGCTACATATCTTCTATGACGCAGATGCACAGGCTCAAGAGCAAGTATCTCGGGAGCCTTTCCACTTTCTACCACATCACTCCACACCAGCCGTGGCCAGTTACCACCATTTGCCTCACACTCATCCTCAATGATCTCGCTACCCGAATTCTCCCATCATCCGCGCCTCTCAACGGCCAAACTCTGAGCTTAAAGGGCATCCATGCTCAGAACCTGTCATATCGACCATACACCGCCGAGGAGGAGTCAGATTGGACTCTTGACATCCTCGCCCCCGATGCTCCATCTCTCTTTACTCGCAGCCCCCCCGGATCACCGCGAACTGCAATGATGAACGTCACCTCGCCAGATTCCCGACCGCTGCGAATGCCACGTTCGGTAGAAAACTTCTCTCGACCAGTTTCTAGAGTTGTACGACATCCATTCTCACCCCCTATGGTACCACCGCCTAGAAGATCGTCGAAGATGGCAATGAGTCCCAAATCAGGCGGTCAAGCAATCGACCCAGCCGAAGAGCTTATGGGGTTGAATGGTCTATCCCTATCTCCAGTGGAGGATGGGTCGATCAACAACATCGTTGGATACGCTGTGTCGCCGCCAGCGCCATGCCCTGTCGCAGAACCGATTGAAGAGATTGGACGTGCATTTAGCCCTGACGAAAATAACACCGCCTCCACTAAGCCCTCTCCGCTCGTCCAGATCAGCGGAGTCATCGAAGACAACGAACCACAGGACAGTCATGTCATAGCTTTCGACCCTGCTCCATACAACGCTCATATGGAACCTGAACTTGTTGAGATGCCCTCTGAGGCAAAGAAACCAGCTCTATACTTGAGCCCACTCAAAGAAACCCGATTTGAGTACGAAGATATGCACTCGCCCATCCTTCCACCCGAGCAACCACGCAAGCTGCTACCACCTGTCGAGCCAAAGAGTCCCGCTGGAGCTGTCGGGATGCACGCATCTAACGATTCCTGGGAGGCCGACATCGACTACTGCTATGAGCATGCCGCTGAATCGAACTCAAATTTCGACTGGAACCGTAACTCGTCCGAAGAAAATCGAGACCGCGAATGTTCGAACCTTGGAAAGTGCGAAACCTCGGGTGGTTTCAAGTCCAACACCAGTTCGTTTTATCTCCACCCCTTGGACACGACCACCTCCGGCCAGACCACGCCAGAGCTCCAGCCATCATCCGGAATCTCGGCTTCAACAAGAACTGAAAGTGATGCTGCCAGCCCAGCTATTTTTAATCACCCCTTCGGAACGTTTCCGTCAAGCGCTGAGTCGCTTGACAAGAAACCCAGGACGAGCGAAATCCAAGTTTTGGAGACTCATTTCGAGGATGTATCACATGACTCTGTCTACACTCACGTGATATCTGATATCGACGAAGACGACGAGTATCACATCGACGGGCCAGCGTACGTTCGCACCGGTTCCTCTCCTCTTAGCAAGTGCAACTCCCAGGAGAGCATGATGCTGTCCCGTGCTGCCTCTATCGTCCGCAAACATCGCTCGTCAACCTCCACCAACAGCGTTCCAGACCTCATCCACAGCCCCAACTGCAGCCGCGAGATGGTCGATCGCGAGGTCCCAACTAGCCCACTAGCTGAAAGACCAGCGATGCCTATCTATTCGAGGTCTCACCCAGTTGGCCGCGAAGCAATGCCTAGAATGCCATTTGCATCTTTCTCTGGCGTCGAGCCTACTTCCAACCCATCCCCTGCGATGCATGACCGCTCCAAGTCTGCATCCGTCCTCGAGTCCACAGAATGTCACTCGTCAGAACTCCACCAGTCAAACGAACGTCCTCACTCTGACTCGCGGGGTTCGCA